CCAACCACTGTTTGGTGGACTTGTAAGCATTGGTTACGTGGCAGCATTTAGGATTTCAGCTCACGTCGTGCGCCACTACCATTAGACCACGAGGCCAGGGTTAGTTTGAGCTACGTTCATTCCTCTAGCCTGGAAAGTGCTGTAGGCGGTGTTTTGTTGGAGGTGGTGAGAAAGGCGATGACGGCGACAAGGGTTCTAGGGCCTTGGCTTGTCAGAGCGCAAGAGCAAGTTTCTCTAGACGTGGAGCGCAAAACATTCTGGACGGAGTACGGATAGTGCCCGCTCTTTTGGCATGACAGCTTCAGCGGTGGGCAACCAACCAATCGAACAGGGAAATCGTTTCCAAACGACCCATCGAAAGGTGGTTCTGTGTTGGGGAGCGAGGGGCGGGTAGGTTGCAATTGCCGACCCTGAGCCGAGCGGATTTAAGTTGGTCCCATGTAGTCAGTGACGCAGAATCCGCGTTGGAAACAGGCTCTACCTTATGCGTCCCAGAGACAACGCAGTGAATCCGTTGGGATTAGGTATCCGCCGGTGCGTTACGAAGGGCACACGAAAGTGTGGCCTGAGCTGACGTGCTTCACTCTGCCGGCGAGATGGTGGCGGTGAAACAAGGCAGTCAGACTGGATGAACGTGACTGTCTCGGCCAACGACATTTGCTTGCTGGCAAAGCAGGTGAGCGGGTGGTGACTGCCCTTACCCCTGGCAGCCGGTACAGGATTCTCTGCCTTGTTAGGTTCGGATTATTTGACAACCCAGGGCCTACCATGTTGTTGGTTGCTCGGTGTAGGGGGCTGGAGAAGCAGGGCAACGGCCAACAGCAATTGGTTTCGGAGCCTACTCCGGATGAAGTCAACTAAACTCCGTATCCGCGATCCGCTAATTATTGGGTGTAGCACGGCGGGCAGGTACCTAAGTCTGTAGGCAAGGGACGGCGGTGCAACATGTATCCGTAACGGCCGACTTCTTCTAAGATTGTCAGCGGATTCTGGTTCTGCAAGCTGGCGCCAACGTCGTTTCTCACCTTTGCCGCCAGACTCCATCTGAACGCATGGAGGCGTGATAGAATATATCGGGTCCGACTTTGGTCTCGTCACCGATAGGAGACGGTGAGCCCGCAGTCTCCGTGAGATGATCGGAAGAGCTGCTGATGTTAGGTTTCCAGTGGGTTCGAACTGTCCTGGCCTAGTTTGCAACTCTGTCTGCCCACGTGCATTGGAGAGCACGCACTGCACTGCACTGCGCTGCACTGCAGGGCATGCAGCCAACGCTGTGCAATGCGATGTGGTAAAGTTGCAGTTGGGCTTGGGCTTTGTCGGTAGTCGGGGCCACGATTCCCGAGCGCTTGAGCAGCCGCGCACGAGGAGAGGAGCAGCAGAGCTGGAACTGCTCGTCGTACCTGACGGGAGGTACTGTATGCTTTCCGACGACCTGGACTCGGTTTTCGCCTTGACCTTGACGCGCCCCTCGCTGCGATCTGCTTGTTGTGCGCAAGATGCAATGCGATCTTCACGGCAGTTCAGCTACATAGTAAGGGCTCAAGAGGCAACTGTTTTCGTGGCTGGCTGGATCCGAAGCTGACTTGCCAGTATCAGTATCTGCATTTGAGTGAATTGTTTTCTCCAAATCGTTTAATTATTGCCGAGCCCAAAGTAGAGCTTGATCTGCCCGTGACTCAAAGGTTGGGCTTCAAGTTCGTTCAAGTGTAGCGTCCGCGGGATCGAGGAAAGTGCTGTATGTACTATTTATGTACCTATGTACTTAAATTGTACATTACATGTATATACTGTATAGTCGTATTATACAAACAACTTGTGAACACTTGTAAGGCATTCGTGCTTTACCTCTGTTAACAGTACCCAAGGTAACGGCGTGCAGACAGTGTCGCCTTACAATTTTGTCGCCTTACAATTTTCCAGTTCTGTCGCCATTATCTTATCTACAGGTGGTAAGCGCATCCCTCCCGCTCAAGGACCAGCTTCAGGTCGTGGTGCAGGATTAGAAACCGACGGCTTCTTTCCGTGTAGTGTAGAAATACACAGTCGTACAGATAGCATGGAATGAATCTCAAGGTTGATGTGTGTAACAACTGTGCAGCACCCGATTCGGTCCCTCCTGCACTCCAAGACCCCTGGCAGGGCTGCGCTTGCGAGTTACGAGTTGCAGTGCTTGCAGTTCAATGCTCCTTCCTCCTCGTAAGGAATGATGGCCGCGTCGTTCTTGCATCTTGCGTAACCCGTGGGGCTTCCCGTTAGCCTGGGTTCTGGGTTCTGAGTTTGGGGGTCTAGGTTAATCTTGGTGGGGTAAGGTTAGCCTGCAGCATCCGTCAACTGGAAGGTGCAAGGGAAGACTGGAAGCCGTTTTCAGTTCCGCCGTGGGGCAAGGAAAATATTCCTTCCACGATCAGATGTATGACCCCAGCGCGCATTTTCTTGAGTCTAGGTTGCTCCTTCTCGGATTCTTGGGCTAGCTTGGGATCGCATTCTCCATTCCCCGTCCTCGGAATACAATCTTTGGGGATGCGACATCGGAAGAAACAGGCTTAACTATCCTTACGTACCATAAGTAATCCGTACGGAGTACTAACTGGCGAGTTGCAAAAAAATGACGCGAATGCCGCACCCAAGAGTCCGTCCCAACAAACATCGAACCCTCGTCAAGCCATGATCATATGATGGCTGGTTCCGCGGCAGTTCCCTCCCTTTCGCCCTAGCAAATGTCTGTGGTTCGCGGCCGTCTCCCGTTGACTGTTGGTTGGGCATCTCTGCCATTTCAATTATCGCGGACCGCATCCACCTGTGACGTTCTGTTCTGGGTGGCTGGCTGGCCAGATCAGATTCGCGCCATTCTAGAGTAGGGCGTTGGGCTGCGGATACTGTCAAGTGCCAAACCAATACCACAACCTTACGGAGTACATGCCTCGACAGGTTGCGAACCGGAAGCCCGGAGACGGGGTTGAATGCCGCTAAAAGGATGAGGGCACAAGCCGTTCCAAAGCATGCAGTGCTACTCGGAGACGTCGTTGGTTTCTCGAGCTCGTCGTCCTCGTCAATGTTGGGCGGCAGTCGCCCGCCTGCTGACCTGACCGCTGCTTGCGAGAGGCGAGAGCTCAAGCAGAGCAGCTCCCGCTCCAATCCCGAGACGAGACACGGCAGGACACTGGCCTATTGGGCGTGCAGCGTCGCATCTCGCGGCTCTTGTTCTTCGTGGGGAAGTGCTGCTGCAGTCATGCAGGAGAAGATTCCTCTCCCCTGGTGGTGGCGATGCGGGCGGCACTCCGGAAGGGAGAACGCAGAGAGAGCAAAACGAGAGTTACCCGAAAGGGAAATAGTAGGCACCAGCCTAGCACCCCCATCTCGAACCCCATCTACCCTCCCCTTCGAAACCATGGTCGCCGCAGCCGTCGAGCAAAACGGCTTCGCAACGTGGGGGTTTATTTCGCTTCATTTCCCGCGCGACCCCGTCGACGACGGAGAGACTGAGAGATGGCCAAGACTGGCCCGCTACATACTAAGATGTCCTTGACCAAGGGCCAGTCGTCGGCGATAGTACGGACGCTTCAATACGGATACTATGACCCAAACGCAGCGACGGGCGTGTCACTGCACATGAGAACCGCTGTCCTTAGACGTCGACGATATTGACCCTCCCTCGTGATGCCCAGACGTGTCGACTTCCATGCCTGGCTGGGTGCCCAACTCGATAGCCAGCAATTTGTCGCTCGAATATGGACAGGGGGCTTGAAGGGATGCAAACTTGGCTCGACTTACAATACGAAGTACTCCGTACCATGTACGGAGTAGAGCTTCGATATTTCTGCGCATGCGTCGGCCACACAGCCGAGGAAAATATCTGAGCTGTCACAAAATCTAGAGTCCTTGCGCGGATCTAGTGGTTTTACAAGCCCGCGCTATCCATTCATTCCCCACCCAACGGCTTCCATGCGCTGCGCTGCGGGCTCCAGACCGCTTCTCCCCTTTGGGAACTCCGGATCAGCCCTGACGGGCCGTGTCGAGACCTCGCTTCAGCAAGTCCCTCCCTTCCTTTGATGGATGTTGGCAAATGCTCATGATACGATGACGTGGAGCTGCTGGTTGAGAATTTCGGCATTTCTACCTTTTTTCTTCTCTCTCTTTTGCTTCCTTGACATGGCGCTGGTCGTGGTCAATTCGAACGGCTCCGAATAAAGAATAGGACCGAGCAGGTTACGTTACTTCCTGGCTACCGCCCGGCCCGGGGTTGGCTTCGGCCCTAGCACAGATAGGCTTCCGGACAACGAGACCTCCCGCCGGTGCTTCCCGCCACATTGCGTGCTTGGCCGGAGGATGACGGGGCGTGTGGGGTGACTGATTTTGTTCCAGGGACAAACGCACAGCCTTGCATCCCCATCCGCCCAGGAGGAAAGCCGAGTCGCCGCCGCCCTTTGCCTTTTGCAACAAGAGAGCCAGTGGGTGGCCACCGAAGCATTCGGGATGCGGATCTTAGGTCCCGGGAGGGCTGCATGACTGGCTGTGTATCCGTAAACTACAGCGGATGGGAGCTGGTTAGGCCAGGGTTGCTTTGACCTCTTGCCGTCGAATCTGGTGGGGATTGTCACCAGCGCAAACGCGCGAGACTGCGAGCGCCCCGAAGCCGAAGCAATCACCCGTCGGCAGCCCAATTCCAAGGCGGTCTGCCTGTCTATCATCTCCTTCTGTGCGCGTCGGTACTGCTACGTACTTTGCGACGGATGGAGAAGGAGGTCCAGGGCCTGCACGCACGCACGCCACGCAGATTCAACACCTGTTGTCGGACATGTGGGGTGGGACAGGCGGGGGTAATGTGTGTACAAAGTACTTCGTACATGTACCTCAAGGCGAGAGGAGGCTGCGTCCATGCTTTGATCAAACGATTTGCAGAAAAAGTTGTCCGTGGTACCAACAGCTCTTCACCTTCGCGCCCAGGCCCAATCGCAACCTCTCTCGTCAAGCTCACACGTCAGGTCTGGCGCGCGCATGAGTCTCGTGTGTGCTACACCATTGCAGCCTACTCTGCTGGGTTCAGGATTTTGAATGTGGCTCTCCCAGGCTTACTATGGTATACTCTCCCGTCCATGGCACCTGGGGGTCTTTGCCGCGCAACTTTGCTCGGCCGAGACTCCACAATAGCGCAGTGCTCAGGCCAGACTTCAGAGCTCGGTCCCCGGGAAAAAGGACCGCGGAGACAAAATAAATCTCTCAGGGCAGGAGAGAAAGAAAGGAAAGAAAAAGAACCTCGCGCGCGATTTACCCTCCGGCCTCCGGGCCATTCTTGCAGGACTACTATCCGTACCCTACCTACAGAGCATCCAGGGCCAGAGAAATAAAAACTGCGCCTCACGAGCAGCACAAAACAAACTGGCTCTGATATAGCCTTCGCAATAATTCCTTCGCTTTGAGATTGCTGACCCCACAGCGCAGCTGTCATCTGCCCTCTTGCACATGGCGCAAATTGAAGCCCTGCTGCTATAATGGGCGAGAGCTATTATATCAACCAAAGAGCTTGGCCAAGTTTGCGCCGCGAACCGAGAAAACAGCACAGGATGAGACCAATCGAGTGCCGCCCCGACACGGGCAAACGCAGCCAAGTACCGGATCGTCACTTTTGGCGGCGCAAAGCGGGCCTGAGCTCTTGGGAATACCCGCCGCCCGTCGACGTTTCCAAATCCTCTCAAGTCAGTGCGTCGATATGGTTTTTCTCCCTGGCCACCACCACCTCCACCACCACTAGACAGACTCCAGTCCCTTGCTATTGCTGCGCTGCGGACGGATAGACTGCAGTGGTTGTGTGCGCACGTCCCTTTCAGATCTCTGGCTTTTACCTTTTCCTCTCTTGGGCTGCCGGCGCACATGCCCCCCTCCCCTCTCCGTCTTGCGCACGCTGACTGCTGCTGGGACGATTCGGCTGCACGACGCATCACGGGAGAGGGGAGCAAAGTGGGCAGATGGTCGGAGATACTCCGGACGATATAGTTCAGCAACGAGAATGGAGAATAGCCCCCCTCCGGCCCCCTCGGCTCTCCTCTGGACCTCGTCAACCCCTCGCCCTCGCCCTGACGGATTCTCGCCCGTCCACCATACCATACCCCTGGCCCCTGTCAGCACCCCACCTCCACACCCCCCTCCCTGGCCTCCCCTCCTTCTTTTCCCCTGGCTGACGGCCGTCCATCCGCTCCAGGCGAGGGGTTGTCTTTCCTCACGAATGCAAGGGCACGCTGATGGGCTCTCCGTCGGAGACTGATGGATTTACCTCGCAGCATGCACACGTTTCTCGACGAGGCAAGCTAGGTAAAGGTGTAGTGTGGCGGGTCGCTAGTGAGGTGCAACCAGAGTGTAGAAGAAAGGAGCATCGACTGGTCAATGGGTCGGTTGCGGCACCCCTGATTCTTCAACGCCCGCTGGCGGGGAATGGGCAATGAATGGGCAATGGGCTACTGCCATCAAGGTTCCCAACCAGCTCTGCTGCCAAAGGTACATGCAAACAAGTCCTAGAGCTACCTCGCATCTCACATCCCACACTTTCACGCGCCTCGACGACGAAAGCTCTCGCACGCGCGTCAGATACAGAGTCGCTAGCAACAAGGTTGAAGACGCCCGCCCCAGCTGCCGCGCACCCGCACCCGCTTCCAGCAAGTTGCGACAACGTACCGAACCGCACACTAGTGTCGTGCTCTCCATGCCCGTTTGCCACAGAGCACAGAGACATGACAGCTACCTACCTGCCTTGCGTATGTACCTGGGCATGTAGCTATCTTTCCGGACCTTGTCATACGGCCAGGTCCCCCCTCCTCCCGTTTCGACGTTGTGGGTAGCTTGTGGACCAGAAAGGCCGAATAGGTACTGCACTGTTCCGTTTTCTTGTGCGCCCCACTGTGACAGTCAAACCAAGGATCAAGGCCATTGCGGGTGCCCTGTCCGCGAGTCTACCACTTTGACCGTCTTTCACATTCGCTTCTGTCTTGGTACCGCAGTAGGACACGATTGATGTGCCCGCCGCTACTCCCGCCGGCACAAGTCAGGCACGAAACATGGCTCTGCTAATTTGTCCTGACATATCGCATTTCAATCCGTTTGGGCTCGGCCCTTACGGCAGCCAAGGGCTGGCTGGCTGACATCTGCTTGCTACCTTACCTTATATTTCCTTGCTTCTATACTAACTAGCCCTGGGGATGTCTATCTATACCCACTGGACCCCTCCCTCCCCCGTCCCTTTCAGTCTGTTTTCCCTTTTTTTTTTTTTTTTTTTTCGCGAATTGTTTTATTCGTTTGCGCCCCTCCGCAACATGTATATCCAGTACCTGCGCTGTACTTTGTCAAGCCCTCGTCAACCTCCTTCCCAAAGATGACGGTCGCTGATGGGGCTGCCTCAAGCGCCTAAATGCCAACAATACCCTCCATCCCGCTGCCAACCTACCCTTCCGCCCACAGCCCACCCGCTGGAAACAGCACAACGTTGGCGTCCCGGTCTGCTCGAAGCTAGCTGCTGTCTCTTATAATATCTTGGCCTCTTATTATTCTGACAAGCAAAGCACTAAAGAGAGAGCCATATAATCCGGGGGAGGGGGTCCTTCAAACTCCTGTCTCGTCTTTCTCGTCCCAAGTGGACCCCCATAGTCTTGCCTTTCACTTCTCTTATACCCCCTTCCTGGTCTTGTTTATATATTACTTGGGTCTCTGGGTTCTTCTTACCTTATCGGCAACCCGAGGCCTTCGTCATCACCCTCGTCGACAGCCTTGTACCACGCATCGTCTTCCTTCGCCGACTTGCTGCATTCCCAAGAGAAAGATCTTTGCGCCCATCTGTTACTGCCTCAGCCCTGAGTAGTAGCTTATATATAAACCACCCTTCCCCCGTAAGCTTGCTACCTTTTTCTTTCGCATCGTCGTCGTTGTGGCACGTCGTCAGCCAACCAAAGTACCTAACCTCTTCTCATCAGGACCTCTTCTGTTCTTCTCCTTTGTGCCCTCACCCACAAGGACCGTCAAGTCAACCGTCGTCACCATGTGCGACTTCACCAAGAACTACTACATCTACACGTCATGTGTCGACCCGGGAGTGCACTTCTTCCGCACCGAGGTCGACGGCAGCCGCAAGCGCTCGTGTTCTAAGGGCCCTCACGAGCGCTACATCGTGCTGCCGGGACAATGCCCCCTGTGCTACGGCTAATGGGACTCTCTTGTCCTCCTCCCCGGCTACCGTCGCGGGCGCCGCGCCATACGTTCTCTCTCCCGCTCTCTTTGGAAACAATCACAAACCCGCCCGGGGCTCTCACCGTACCACTTCCGAAGCCCCTAACTACACGCGCCACAATGAAGACCACAAAACCCCAGAAGACACCATATTGCACCAACAACAATCGTCCAAGATAAAATACGCAATCCCCTTTGACTTGTTCAGTCGATCGACCAACCAACTAGATCAGTTCACCGCAACAGCCTCCTATTTATCACGCCCGCTTCACTAAAATATACCCATCCCCGACCTCCGGAATCCCATCGACATGAAGGCAAGGGGAGGAAGCTATCAGTTCTCATACTACTAAACCCCCTCTATACAAAAAAAGATGGCTCGGGTTTCTTGATATCTCTTTTCTTATTTTCCTTTTTACCATCTCGGGAGCTCTAAGGAGCTAGGCTTTCCCGGTCTGTTCGTGTGTTCTTCTTTTTCTTTTTAATGACGGGTCTAGCAAAGCAAGCAAGCGGACATGGGCAAACAGCAAGGCGTTTCTTGGGGGGAGGTGGCGCACATACGCGAACACGGTTCTATGGATTTTTTACACGGCAGATTTATCACATCTCCGGGTTCGGAGTACCTATCTATTCATTTCGCTCTTTTTTTTTTTGAACTGGAGTTGGAAAGGATCTTGTGTGTGTATGTAAACATAATATATCCGAAACCTTCTGGTATCCAGGATGAATCCCAACGAACTCACAATCTCACTATCGATGACTCGGGACTATGGACATGGCATGCAATAGGACCTCCTAGTCAGGCCAAGTGAGATAATTTGTGCCGACGAGGCAGAAAAGGGCTAGATAAACATGAAGCGTTCGGTCCGCGTGTGGGGGCTAGGCCGGAGTGGGGGTTAGAAAAAACCGAGTGCTGGCGGACGGGTGAGAGGGAACAAGAATGGTGGTCCCCGTGGGCCAAGTTAGTCCAACAACAGGATAGAAAGCCTCTCTGCACGTTGCAAAAGCCACGCAACGTGTCTGCCCCCCATCCATATACAGTCATTTAGAAGTACTTTGTATGTATCGCAGGTGGGCCGCCTCCAGCCTCCCATGCCCCTAGGCTATGTGGTACACAGGACAGTTTTTGAAGCAGTCATGTTTTTTGTTTTCGGCGATCAAGTAAAAGATAGCCCACCCACTCACCGTTTCCCTCCTACCGAGACAAGCTGAAAGCTTCACTACCGCCTAACCTCCTTCATGTGCCGCAAGATTTAGATGCGCAACCAGAGGCTTGCGGGGGAGAGGAGCCGGCCGTGTCGTGTCCGTCTGCTCAGACAGCAAATATATTAACACCTGTTAAGGCTGCATAGAAGACATGGGAAGGGCGGTTGGAATGTTTCGGTCTTCCGAATCTTCCGTGGAGGTAGCTAGAACAGGATACCTGCATCACCGTCACATAGCTTCGGTTTTGTGGCCCGTTTCGAGGTGAGGGGATACGTGATGTGCGCGTGCCTTCTTGTTGAACATGTTAGGGCAAATCTGGGGACGGAGAGCGAGAGAATTGTGTTAGCTTAGTTGTACGAAGCCAACACGGCGACCCTAGACACCAAGATGCCCATTAATTCCTGCAGTAAATCTCATTATTGCAGGTCTTAAGGCTTCCGACCCAAGCGGTGGGGTGCGAGAGGAAATTTCTCGGCATGCCTCATGATCAACCTGTCTGTTGCTGCCTGGGAAAAGGTGATCCGGCAGGGAATGCCAAACTGCTGGATGGTGCTGCTCTACGCCGAGAGAAGCCAAGTCCGCAGTAGCGTTTGGCCGCTGTCCCTTGGTCATGGCTGTGTCATCGAGCTCTAGCTGGTTGACGCCAATATCGCGGCAGATTCTGCCTATTTTTTGTTGTGGTCAGCAGTCCATGTCCACGTCCACTCGGAGAGCACCGCTGGAAAATCCCCACTTCGCAATCACTGGGATAATCTCTACCACCTTTGGAAAGCCTGTTAGTCAGTTCATGAACATCAACCACGAAGGCGAGTGGCGTGGTTCAAAGGCCGCCGTGGAACGATAAGCGACAAAGGGCTGTGCAGTAAAGGGGCCTCTACATCGCGGCCGACAAGAGGCATCCGGGAGGGAGGGAGCTAGGGTAGCGACAGGTCGGAATCCATCCATGGTGACACCATGATGAGTTGGCAGCGCTATCTCTCTCCCCCACGGTGCGCCGCGATTCTCAGTAGCAGTGGCTGCCCTCGTCGAAGGTCTGAACGACGCGGCCAAGAGGGAGTATAGCACACTAGGCTATAGCCTGGCTCCCAAGTACCCACGTTCCCCTCACGGCCTTCTCGTCACGTCTTTCCTCTTCCCCTCTTCCCAGGCCGGGAAACGGCCATAGAAGAGCGCGTTAAGAAGGACGACTCGGCCTCTGGAACCATAACCGGCTGCAGCTGTCCACGCAACCCGGTGGCTAGATAGGGGGCAACCTAAGTCAGCTAGGCAGCCACTTGGGCGTCACAAACACAGAAGAATAGCTGGCCACGTATAGAGGACAGAATCGGTTCATCTGATTGGCGGGGTCCGTCTCCCACAGGGGTTGCATGAATGACATCTGCAAATCATTGCGCGGAAGTGGGAAGCGCAAACCGGCTGGCATGCTGCACCTGGATGGGGTATGTCGCCATGATGGCGATCCCGCCAGATAAACAGAGGATTATCGTGTTGCGGGGTTGAATCGAGATGAGGTCCGGGGCTCGCGTGGGCAAGGTATCTTAGGCTTGACCACATACTTTCGAGAGCAGGTAGAGGGAGATGACCGGCACCTGAGACACGCTCGCTCCAGATCCAGTCGGCGAGTGTCTCCCAGTTGCTGTGCCTTGGCCTGACGGTAGGTACTGGTGCAAGCAACACTCACAGAAGTTGCGTGCAGGGCCCAAGGAGCATGCCGGCGGGTAACTGCAGTTGGAGAAGAGAGGAAAGTGAGAACGTCCGGGTTTCCTGATGCACAAACTGTCTTGGCACAACTCGAGGCTGGCGCGTCCGAAGCCACTTGCAGAATCTGGGGCCTGATGCCCAATCACGAAAGCCGGCAGCGGCTCCAAATAAAGTCCAGCACAAGAGCTTGGCAACGGGATGACCCATACACTGGCGGAAACACACAGGGCGCACGGCTGCTTGCTATCAAGCAGAAGCACAGGTGTGACAGCGCCGCCGGCTGCTACGACGGTGGCTGCTACGACGGTTTGCAAGCAGGGTCAACCATGTCGTACCAGACACAAGACGGTCAGGTATGGGCGGGTATCGGATAACCGAATCTTCAGGGCTGATCCGCGATTCGACGATTCAACGGGGGAGCTGATGATCAGGAACTGGAAAAGGGCCGTGGCAGGGAGTAGGGAGCGAGCTGGCCCCTGGAAACCTGGCTCGAGCTTGACATGGCCCAGTGGGTGGGGGAAGCTGGGAAGCCGGTGCTCTAGATTAGCGAAGAGACGCTTGGTTTCCGTTTCCCGTACGTGGTGTATTCTTAGACACGGGACACAAATTCGATCTGGATGAATCGGATGACAAGCAGACGCACAGGCGGATGGGATGCCGCTCCGTATCCAATCTGTCTGGCGCCTGCCTTGCCGCCTTGCCGCAATCCGGAACATGCGAGCTTGACCAAAGCAAAGAGACCCCTCAGTTCGGCGAGGGGGTTTAATTTGCAAAACCGGTACTGGTGATTCTTTGGTTCCCTTGACGCTGTAGATGAAGCTGGGATGGATTCATGAGGTCTTGGTGCTCAGATCTGCTCCGCCCTTGTCAGCGCTCTCAATGCAAGAACCCCCCGTCCATGTCCGGTCTCCTCAGGGCAAGCCGCCATGGGTCGGGTTCGCTTCACCCGACCCGACGAGAGTGCACGACGCACGGCTGATGAGCACTGACGCTCGAGGCCCTCGCCATGAGAAACCGGAAACACTTGCAAAGCACGACGTTCACTGAGCCAAGCACTCCTGTCCAGATCGGGAAAGGCGCAGCAGCGCCAGGTCCCTGCGCTGAAGTCTGGGCTTTGGGGCAAAGTCTGTGCGGGGAATCAAGGTGAGCCCATCCCATCACTAGATGGACGATCTCTTCCTACTCGCAGCCGTTGGCAAAAGCATCGCCGAGGACGAGAACGCCGCCAATTGGGTGGTGAAGGGAAGCAAACCACAAAAAGATAGATGGTTAATAACTTGTCCTCGTAGTGCAGCTTCCGAGCCCTGGCACATAAACACTCGCCTCAATGAGCAGACCAAACTCGAGAGTTTGGATGCCCAAAAGGATAAGACGCGCAGTCATAGATGCCGAACCTGAAAGGGAATAAACGGCGACGAAGATCCAGGATGATTCCACCGGATTAATCGACCATTATTTCGTTGATCCATCCCCTACCAAGCTGGTGCTACTCTGTTTTCCAGCGGAAGACGCGCTTGCGACCTTTAGGAAGATGGCAGGTGTGAACCACGGACCCCGCCCGGTCAAGCACAGGCTCCAAGCCTTTTCTGACTTGTCGCTTTGGGATATCGAAGCTCCCGAGACTATAGTCTACCACACGAAGAGTAGACCGACAGGGTCCATGAGGAGGGTGTTGAATACGGAAAGGGGGGCCAGGCAAGGAGGGGTTGATCAACACCGAGGCCAGAGCTTGGATAGCTTCAGCCAATAACTCCGAGCAAAGTAGACCCGATACGCCGAGAATTGGGGGCAGCAACGACACGTCCGGCCGACGAGGAGTGGTGAGCCGGGTGGCCGGAAGCACGCCCACGTGCGTTTTGGGGGAAGGAGGTGTGGTTCTTGCGGTCCTTGGGATGCAAGCCGTGTCAACGGCGAGGATCGAGAACGAATTGTGTGCGCTATTTTCCCAAAGAACCCGGTTCGCGGAGTTCCCAAGCCCCCATTCCTGGGAGGTGTCGCCCCACAGACCTAGATCGCCGTCTCTCGCTCGCCGGCAAGACGGAAAGCCTGCTCGCTCGCTCGTTCGCCGGCCCTTGGGCAAACAAAGCCATCACTTCTTGCCCCCCTGCGCGTGCTGCAAAGCACCATGCCGGCTTCAGGGAGGGGTGGGAGCGCGGGGAGGTCGTCCGTCGGCTGCTATGCGTTGATGGGGGGTGGAATGGAGCGTGAAACGGTGAAATCAGCATCAATTCAGGCGCTGGCCAATTGAAGACGAGGCGCTGTGGACGCTGAGGGTTCCTGCGTCGTAGCTGCTCTTTGGTGCTAAACCGAACCCGATTATGGCTGCAGGACTGCATCCTTCGTCGAAGAGGGCGTCGGGGACCACCTTGACTAAAATGAGGCCAAAAGACTACCCGCTCCGAGAAATGTGGTGTGGAAGGTGAGGGTAGTGCTTCTACGCAGTAGGTCGCGAGAAAAGGTTTGGGGCCCATTGGATATTCCGAAGCCGCCCGCGCAGGGCACTCTCCCCATCTTGTGGGGCGCTCCTTCCGCCGTTGCAACCCGAGCAACCGCAGCTATCATCACGCATCCTGCACTAGAACTACACCTCCTCCGGGGTAATACATGTTAGCGTAGGAAGGTGGCAAAGTTAGTGATTAGCGAGATTTCCCTAAGAGATACTAATAGTAGGTAACGTACCAAACTAACATGTATTTCCCCGGTGGAGGTGTACGGATACCTAGACCGTAACTTACAAGGTATAGTACTGTACATTTCAAGTTGCTGCTACTTCCTTCGTACCTTCTTCAACAGTTGCTTCAGGTCGGTCGGCCCCATCTAGGAAACCTTTTGCGCCTGGGCCGTGCATTATCAATGCTACCCAAAGCCAGACACCTGACCTCTCGTCCCAAGTTCAACTACAGGTCTTGAGAAGCTGTCGTGCTATCCGCACGATGCTACTGATAGGAGGTACGGATATCGCCAGTTTCCGTGGCTCCTCAAGGCGATTTGACCGACGCTCTTGGGTTTCGTTTCCGGAAGGAGCACCTGTATTCCCCCACTCTACCGGTAGACCTGGAACGGTGAAAGGGTGCCTGCCTAAGGTACCTTAGGTAGGGGGTTTGCATGATATGTTTTACGATCACTACTGCGATGCACCTGCTCGTCACCTCGTCTTGCGTGGATGCTAGGCTGGGTTTCTCAACAGGGACGCCCCCAAAATTTTGCCTAGGTACCCAACACCGTGGCCATGTATGTCCCTTCCCAAGGTGTGCCAATGGCTCTATCTTCGGAGCAGTGCTACTCTCTGAACATCCAGAAAGCGGTCCCCACGATATATACAAGGAATTGATCAGGTACACAACCTAAATGTAAGTGTTTCGGAAAGCACATTAGATGCCTAACAAGGACAGATAAACCCAGACTACTGGGTAGAAACTAGCTCAACTGTGATCTACCGAGAAAGCCCACCCATAATCTCTATTTTAAACTTCAAGAGACTGACACGTCGGGGGCATCACAACCTGAAGTCATCGAAGCTTGACCCGGAGTTTCCGATAGCAGCTAGGAGTAACCCTTACAACGTTTTCCATTAGATATCTTTGCGGTTTTCTTCTCGGCCTGCAACTGAAGAACTGCAGTGCTCTGCGGGTCCGCACATGCCCCTGTGCTTGACTGAGTCTGCCCTCCTTCAACGGCAGCCGTGCTGCCATGTGTACCACTGGCGGCCTTGAGAGCGAGAAGGTGATAGGCTTTGTTTGCCAAGCGAAGAACCCATTTGGTGTACACCTCTGTCAGTCCCTCCTTTGTGCATAGCGATATGAAGTAGTCGACAGTTTTGTCGTCCCCATCGATAACATCCTTCCAAGACTCGAGTCGATACCAAAGCTCGCGAATCCTGGCCAGTCGGTTATCTGATCTCCTTTCCAGTTCTTTGGGGAGGCCGCAAAGCTTGCACTGGCAACGGAACCCCCATGATCGAATGGTTGTCCGACGAATCCAGCTTGGCTCCCACAGGCTCACGTATGAAACGCAAAGCTCCTCACCGATGCCAATATCGCGATTTGTCGACGCATTGAAGGCCCAGCCTTTGTTAATGTAATAGGTTACACTGCAAATTGCTAGTTAAGTAGCTGCATTGAAGAGTGCCAGGCACCACTGATAAAGGGGCATGTACTGTACTCACTTGGGTCGACAGTCGTGGTTGAAGAACGACGAGAGTGGGTACAGAGCAAAGTAGCACGGAGTCCCACTTGTCGCTGGAATGCAATATGCATTTGTCAATATAATATCGACTTCGCGGCTACCGCCAGCTTCGGCCGCTCTTTTTGCCACACACTCATCGAGAGTTCCCCGAGTTCGCAAAGGGAGCTTCGAGAGGGCGAGCATGATGATCTCGTTCCGGACGTCGACGGGAGTAATCCCGAGGACCCTCTCGTCGACCAGGAAGAAAGGGTTAGCGACAAGAAGAGGTTCGCCCGGGAGGAAATGACGCTTTGCAACCACGCCGCAGCCTTTGTCCTGGATATGGCGAACTTCCATGTTGGGGTTAAACATTAAGCCAGCCCAGCCATGTGGCATTGGACCTCCCGTGGCTCGCTTGATCGATCTCGGATCCGTGACGAGCACGATTCCCGTCCCCCTTGCAAATAGAGGGTTTGAAACGATATAACAATCGTCAACAAGTGTATGGGAAAACTCCCAGCCTCGCTCGCTATAAATGTAATCCTCGAAAATGCCCTCTCTTTCACTGTCGGGAATTTTTTCCAAGATGTTGCTCAAGTCGATGTCTGCTTCTATGTCGGCGAAACTTTCCACATCAGGGGTCTCAGTCTTGTCAACGACGTTGGTCTCCATTCAATCGATGAACGGCCGGTTACTCTTTCCCGAGCTTGGTCTGCTTATTTTCAGATGGAAGAAAGGAAAGAAGAAAAGAGGAACTAACGCAAGCTAGAAGTTTGTAAGTGGGCTAGAGTCGTAGGTAGGTATCTGAGATTGATGAAGAAGATGCATACCAAAAACTACCAGTAATTGGCATTGAGGACACAGCCTGGTAGTCTAGGGGTTCCGAAAAGCAAACCCAAAAACGGCGAGGACATCCATACCTAGGTACTTAAAATTCCACCTTAAGAAAGAGCAACCTCCATGGCTAGAGGCCATCTAGAAAACATCGAATTAAAAAGGCGCGGCCGGACTGTCGACAGAACAGTGCACCAGAAAAGGCAACTGCAAAGGAGCGTAAATGCAACAGAAAACCTTGAGTTGCCTTATGACAGCTCGCAAAGAGATGCACAGATCCACCAGCTACCGTCGAAAAGAGTTCTTGAATACGTGACTTATTAATACCAGATAGGGTTGGCAGAACCTAGAGGGGCAATTGAAGTGTCTGGAGAGGGAGTACGTCGGGGATTCCGTTGTCATAGAGAGACGACGATATTTAATACATGCATAAGTACGAATACATACATACAGTACGTAAAGTAAGCGCCGTGTAATACTCTCCGTAGTACGGATACGTAAGGACGGGAGACAGCCACCGTCCCAAGGGTCCCTGAAAGTTTCCATGTCAGTCTGATACGTGCTGCGAACTGCTAAATCATGATTTCCTACGGCGACAAAATAGCAAGGCAAAACTTTGCAAAATAGGAGATCTTTTAAATCACCCTTCCTACTTATTTACGGCAACAGATTTATAAAACCCCACAAAGTTTCGAGCAAGAAACTCGGAGTTTAAGCTGACAAAACATGCAGGGACCAGAGTGTAGTTGGATTGGACAGTGCCGTTAGATAGAAGCGGGCGGGAGCTGTTTGACCCCTGCATTCCTTAGCGCATTGATGCCTTAGCATTTCAGCCTCAAGCTGGCTTCACGGCCAGGCAGCATCCCGCCACCCCGGAATTTAGACGAGACGAGTCGCCGAACAGCATCGATCTTAGCAATGACAGTGTGAACTGCCGGCCCCAACCATTGACGACGCCATGGTACTTGCAGAACGCCCGAGGTATATTGCCGCAGGATGCCTCGTCGTGGACCGGGCGGCGAGCAATGGCAATGTCGCGGTCGCACCCCAGATTTGGAACTGCGAGTCCCTTCCCGAGCTCAAGCAATGGCACCACTTCTGCGCCCGCCCCGAACCGGGCCCCAATGGCCAAGAAAAGGTGGTCGGCGACGGTGCCTCGGATAATTTGCAGGGCAAGAAGGTGCTCGCGCCCGAGATACAGAGCCTTCTTCTATCGTCGAAACTGCTAGCACCGCTCAAGGGCCTGCTGTTCAACTTCTGGATAGAGTTGAGCTTCGGCATCAGCCAAAACGGTGCCCAAGCCATCATCCGCGTCTACGTCCTTCCCGATGATGTAGACAATCGCCTAGTCCCCCGGTCCAATCATGCCCTGCGGAAAGCAAGGTCCCGCCTTATGGGGCAGCTGGATTATTCCCCCAACACGTGGCGCGGTGACCCCGGAGCTGGGACTCGCACTTCGGCCCCGCCCATCTTCGGAGAGGCCAGCGATGCCGATACCCAAGATAATTCAGATTCAGAACCATCCGAATCTCTTCTTCAGATGTTCAACAACTTGCCCTCCCCAGACCCAAGGCCCGAGACGGTCGAGGATCCTGACGTTCGCGATGCTATGCACAGGTTGCTGGACAGTGACATTTCTGGGCTCAACATCACCCTATTTTCCTACCAGCGCCGATCAGCAGCTTTGATGCTCCAACGAGAGTCCCAGCCTGGCCGAGTGCTCGATCCCCGTCTCTTGAATGTTGTCGATCAGAATGGGGAACCTTGGTATTACGATTCGGTTGCTGGCGTTGTCTTGTGCGAACCCAGATACTATGATGGGCCGTGTGGCGGGATTCTTGCCGAACAGATGGGCTCCGGCAAGACAGTAATATGCCTTGCCCTCATCCTCGCAACCAAACATATCCCCGCCAGGGCACCCGAGATGCTTCGCCAGACAGGCCTAAAATCCCGGCCTAGGGTTGGCAGCCTCGCCGACATGGCAGCCGCTTGCATCACTCGCAATTCGGTGCCATGGAAGCCGGTGCTCCAGTCATCGGGGCAGGACTTCGAATACACGCGATGCATCCAAGTCATCCTTCGGAACCGCGCGTTCTATTATCTGCCTCGTCCTGAAGCACGTCGCGCTACTCGTAACACTCGCAAACAGCCAGCAGACAAAATTGTTCGCGCGAAGAAGATATTTCTCAGCAATGTCTCGTTGGTCGTGGTTCCTTACAACCTAGTGCGGCAATGGGAGCAGGAAATAGCAAAACACACTTCTGGCCTAAAATTCCTTGTTTTCGCCGGCAGGTTCGAAGAAGAATCTGCTACCATTGAGCAGCTGCTCGATTGCGATGTCGTGCTCTTCTCGTCGAACCGCCTTGCGGAACTATATCGAGAGCCGCCTATTGGTAGTTCCTACGGCACATCCAGATCTCATGGTCTACAAAACCAGTTAGGCAGGATCCGCTTCAAGCGTTGCATTGTCGATGAAGGACACAGGCTCGGCAAGTCGACATCGGGGAACAAGAGCAATCTTCATCTCTTGCTTGACTCTCTCGAGATTACGGCTCGTTGGATAGTGACTGGTACACCGTCCAAGGGTCTCTTTGGCGTTGATGCCGTCCCAAGCCCTGTCGAGGACGGGCCGCTCATCATCCTTCACCGCCAGCCTTCCGCCGAGCTTGAAAAGGATGACTTGAGGCGTATTGGTTCGATCGCTACATTTTACCTGAGGATGCGACCCTGGGCACCCGTGGTATCAGACGAGGCCACCATAGAGCGGCCTGTTGCGTGGTCTCAGTACGTTAAGCAGCCAAGCCAAGCGAGTCGGGGAGATCGGGAAACTCTTAAGGCAATTCTCGAATCGCTGGTAGTACGGAATCGCCTCTTTGAGATATCTAATCTCTTGCCCGTCGTTGAGGAGAAGTTTGTTTACCTCGACGGCTGCTTCCAGGACATCCTGGTTCTCAACCTTTTCTCCGCGATCATCATTTTCAACGCTGTACAGTCACAGAGATCTGACCAGGACTACTTCTTTCATCCCAGCCAGAAGAAAGCCGTCCTTGAACTCGTCTCTAACTTGAGGCAATCAAGCTTCTTTGGGGGATCTTTCTTCTCTCCCGCAGAAATACTCAACGCCGTAGAAACAGCGTCGGGATTCTTGGACGCCGGCAAGGTTGCCATTAGCGCCGAGGATGATCATCTGCTGCGCGAAGCGATCAAGTTTGGCCGCATTGCGGCCCAAAACACCATCAAAGACTCGGCCAACTTGTTCCGCGAGGTCCCGATACACCTCGAGAACTTCCCGTGGGGAGCTGGCCAAAGCTGGTCTCTAGATAATAAAGAGGGGGACCCCGTGCTGACGGATTCGAGAATGGCCCTCGCTCTGCAGAAGTTCCTACACCCGCTAGCTGATTCACCGACATCGCTTCAAGTAATGTTTGAGACGGGGCGCTTTGCAGCCCGGGGGCAAGAGGAACGGACTTGGGGGATCGAAGCTCAGGACTCTGCTGCCAACCCAACTACGCAGAGATCTCAGCCCAGGGCTCTCGCCGGCAACACTCAAATGGGGCAGGACCATAATGCCCCCGAAAAGCGTCGAGCTGCCATTCTAGGTACGCCTAGCCTGGTGGAACAGGTTTCCCAGCCAGCTGAGGGCACCGGGGGCGATCTTGCCGAACCTCTCGCCAAGACTCAAATGGTCTCCACTGCGTCGGCAAAGCTCTCTTACTTGATCGATCAGATCATCAAGTACAAAGACAGCGAGCAGATAATCATATTTTACGAAAACGACAATACGGCCTACTACTTGGCTGGAATTTTAGATATTGTTCGTTCTATCCTCTTTCCCTCTGCACGTCTGTAGCCAAGCTAATAACCCGCCAAAACCACAGCTTCAAATTCACCACCTCATCTACGCCAAGGGCATAAAGCCCGAGCGACGCACTCAATACGTGGCAACATTCAATTCTAGCCCTCTATTTCGGTAAGTCTTTCTTCCAGTCTCTATTCTGTGTCTAAAGTCGGGGGACTCTACCCGTCTATTATTACCTTGTCTCAAATCCAACGTTGGCATCACCGGCGATTTGCTAACGAGACTATAGGGTAATGCTCATGGATATTACGCAGGCGGCTTTCGGCATCGACATGCGAACCGTATCACGTATCTACTTCATCAACCCTGTCTTGAATCCTCAAGTAGAGGCACAGGCAATCGGTCGAGCAAGACGCATCGGTCAGAACAAGCCGGTCACGGTGGAGACGCTAGTACTCCGGGGTAGCCTGGAGGAGGTCATTGTGAAGAGGCGTGGAGAGATGACACAGGAAGAACAGTGGAAATGCCGGTCGATACTTGATGACCGCCCCATCTACGAATGGGTCCTGAATGCAAAGATTCTACCCCTTCCTGGAGGGGAGAATGTCAGCGACCAGGAACAGATGGCCACGCTAGACACGCCTCAGTTCATTTTCGGTCGTGGGTTTGGCCGTGAGAGCCATCCCGACCAAGACCTAGTCACCACAGATGGCGGTGTCGTGCTCAAAGAGGGAGACGGCGTGGTCAACGGCATCGGCACAGCGCAGAAGAGGGCGCCGCCGGCGGTCGAAACGGCGACTGTGACGAACACTACTCCAGAATCGAATGATGTTCCTCCTCCCAAAAAGAAGGCGCGGGTTCGTTTCGCGGGCTTCGCCGACGACACTGGGGGTGTTGAGTGACTTGAAACCCTGGCAACGTTTTCGAACCCAAACATGTATACCCCTTGAGGCCAGCCACCTCGGACGAAAACCTGCAGCACGACGCCGCTGATGTGGGTAGCTCAATACGGGTGGGCTAGCTGGTGCTAAGTGCCTCTCGCATGTTCCCGTTGGTTAGCTCACCTCGAAGTCTAGGTTTTTCGACACCTCGGACCGCTGGCTCAGTAACTATCTCCACGTATGGCTCTGCAGTTCTTGGTAACGGACTGGCGGCGATTGCTGTCAAATTTGTTGGGGGTCTGCACACTCCAGCATCTGGAGGTGGTTGCTCAGCAGGGTCGATTAGACTCGCAGTTTATGAATGCTGCTAAATGTAGAAGTATGCCGTACAAGCGCATTTGTGGATGGACAGGATACAAGCAGCTTTGCCTCAGCGCAGCGCGAAGGCAATTTCAGGGCGAGTACGAAGACTAAAGTGTCTCAAGCCAAGACGATAGAACGACGAAACATATCCCGAACGCACAGCAAACAGGTAGCTCTAGGCAGAGTAGAGGAGGGCCCAATGTATTGGTGAGGCGCAATTACCGCAAGACAGGTCAAGGACGACGCCCCAAACGCGAGTGTCGTGGTGAGAAAGGGAGACGTGCCACAAACATACATGTGGTAGAGTCAACTGGCTTGCTTGGCTGGCTGTTCCTGCCAATGCCCCCCAATCTCCCTCTCAGGAATTTTCCTAGCAAAGCAAACAAAACTCGCGCGAGCCTTGTAGGAAAAGCAAGCAAGCTACCGAAGCAGAATTCGGTGAGTAAGAGAGAAGGCTGCCGAATTCAATGCAGGTCCGAGGAAAAGTCGGGGCCCCGGCGATCCAACCCAATCGCAGATGCCCAAATCGCGCGCTCTTAGCCAGTTGAGGCTTCGAATTTGCCTGCCTGGCTTTACGCTGCCCGCTGCCGCATGATTCGTCGACCTTCGCATCCTCTGGGCCCAATCACCACCCCGACGAGAAACAATAATCGTGACGCAATGGTCTGGGGAAACACTTCAAGCTAAGCCGACTGTCTGTCTATAATTTAGCCCTTCCGTGAATACTAGGAAGGATAGAAGCTATTTAAAGAGACTATTTAAAGAGGAATTTCGTCAAGTCCTTTTAGAAGAAACATGGATACCCTATTTAATACTCTGTAATATTACAAGGGGACGAAAATATCTCAACTTTCTCCTTTCCGGAGCAGGTTCACTACTCAGTACCCCAAGATCTTGGCCGCTAGAAGAGTTGGTGGAGTTGGTTTCCTTAGCTAGTGTGTTTTAGTTTGAACAAGGTGGCGAGAAAACATACAGCACACCAGCACCTGTGCATGATGCGGGAACACATTAGTTTTGGGCCAGATGGTGGTGAATACGAAAGGATTTTGCCTTAACCCCCCCCCCTTTTTTCCCTCCGCAGACGACGTGTGTGTGGTTTGGAAAGCTGGAGGGATGTGGAGAGGGGGCCCAGGAACAGCTGAGCTGAAGTGAGGGACTGGCTACATGCACACGCACACGCGCACGCACACGATGTGCTGGAGAAGCTAGCTGCCGTATCCAGGTTGACTCCGACTCAATATGCACGACTTTACTTACCCCGCCATTTTTTGCCCTCGTTACTCGCTTTCCATGAGATTCAAGTCAGCATCGTGCCTTCTGCCGAGTCCTTGAGGGGGAGGATGATGGGGAGCACTGGGAGGACAAGACAAGACACACAACATGCCCACCCTCCCACGAAGATCGAGGCACAGCGCGCCGAGATTGAGCTCGTCATGGTGGTAGATGCAGATGCAGCCAAGGTAATTAAAGAGCGCACAGCAGGTTATTTCTCACAGCAGCGGACTGTACTGCACATGCCCTACTACAGCGCATCTGCATATTTTTGTCAGGTCATGCGAGGCCACCTGAAGCGCATGTCTCGCTTTCCCGGCCCGCAGGCTGCAAAAATGGGGTGGGTGGATGGATGTGAGAGGTCGGGTTGTGGAGGCCGGATGTACGGCCGCCATTAATAAGTTTGGGCAGGTGATGATGGCGTGGCCGGAGGAAGGAAGTTGCAAGCCCATACAGCCTAGCACTTGCGGGATAGCGCAAGGATAGAATAAACCACCGAAGCAGGTTCTAGGCGGTCCCGTCGTACTTTTGAAATGGATGCAAAACTCGTCTAAGGTTGCAACGCTCCCGCCGGCCGTTCCTTCTCGTTCTCTTTTAAACTCGCGGTGCTGCAGTTGCCGGAGGAAGGAGACGGAGAGAGGCTCGAACCTTCCTGCATGCAAGGCCCCCTCTCCAAATGGGCCGTTCACAGCATCATCGCCTCTCCAGCTCAGCGCTCTGACCTTGCTTGACCTTATTCCGGGGCTGCGGGACACCAGAAGAGGACAACGAAAACAGCAACAGCGGGCAGCAAAAGCAGCACTGGCCGTGCAACCACACACTCGTTCGCTCGGGTACCGTTCTCCTGATGATCCTCGCGGATTGACCGGCCGACCAGAAGATCGCCTGTTTGGGCCAAGCAGGAGCGACACCATCCGAAGAGGTGCATTGCCCTTTGCAAGAAAAAGAAGGGCCAAGAAAAGCTTCAAAAAGGCAGCATTCACCCAACAGGCAGACAGACAAACATTCCTGCGTCCATGCCAACCTGGCATGTATCGAGATTTCGACCAGCAAAGCGCGATTCGTCCGTTCTTTTTTGTTAACAACCTACACACAGATTTCCGGAGCACGCGACGAACGACGGCGTGTGCGGCTGAGAACAGCTAAAGGCTGGGGGGGTTTTCGGGTTCGGCAAACATTAAATCCCTGGGACGATCCCAATCGCGCGGCGTCAACGTCTCAGAAGTGGCCTAAGGGCCAAAAGGCAAATAAAGCAGACGCAAGGGGCGACGTGTTTGGCTCTGTCGCGGGAAAAGGGAGCAACGAACGAGGAGAGAAAAAAAAGATAAATTGGCCACTCAGAAAACAACAACCCCATCAGCATCAGCACAGGCTTGCGACACCTGAGCCCGAAAGGCCCCCCGTAGCGACCGACCCGCTGCGACCTCATGAAACGGCGACGATACCAGACCCCCCAGAACCCTCGTTATCATGGCGGGCGGTAGCTCTCCGCCGACAGCGTCGCCGCAGCAGCGACAGCGCCCTTCATCGTCGTTTTGGTCGTGGAAGGGCCGCTCGAGGCGAAACAGCGAAAGCGCACTCCCTCCTTTGGCCGGATTAGTCGACGCGCCTCGGCGCTCCAGAAGCTCGCTCCCGGCTGTCGACGCCAAGACTGCCGAGATTCGCAATCGCGTGGTGGCGGCCGAGCTCGTCACGGGGAGCTTCAATCCCCGGAGTGTGGTAGTACCTGGAGTTGGAGTCGGTGGCCGTGCCGCCGCTGCAGGAAATAATGTTATTGCTGCTGCCGTCACCGCCGCCGCTGCTCCTACTGTTGCCGCCGACGGTGCGAAGAACAACGCCAACCGCAGGTCATTGACCTCGAGGTAAGCAGTTTATTTTCGATGGTTCTTTCAATTTCTACCCCCACCCCCTTTGCCCCTCTCTCCCCAACTGTTCGTCGGCCAGTGGGTTGCCGCCCTTGCTCGGGGCAACGCAACCCCAGGGCGATGACAGCTGATGGCCCTGCGAAACATCTCAAATCACAGGGCTGTTTCGGTCGCTGCCGGGCGCCCCCTACCATCGTTCTCAACTCCGTATCTCGCCGTAATCGGATTTCAGACGCTGTACGGAGTAGAGACGAGATTATGTTCTCTTATATGGATATAAACACATGCTCTTCGTTCCACAGCCAAGCACCTACTCCGTCTTTATCATTTTCAATTATCACGAGTTTTGTTTCTTCGGCAACCCTTTTCCGCTTGGTGCCGTGGCGTCATCGAGCTTCCCCTTTTTGTAGTCTAGGTCGGATGTTTCGCGGTTGAAAAAAAGCCTTTAATTTCCACCTAGCGCAGCGCCTGGGCCTTCAACCGCCATTCGTGGTCGGAAGCGGTTAGCTCCTTGCCGTCCTCAGCAAGCGCTCAGGCCCAAGGAGGTGTGACGTCCCTGTCCTGCAGCTGATATCGAAACCCTGCGCCTATCGGAAAGCCTTAGCTTGTGAGGCTGCAAGCTAATTTCCGTTTCTGGCGAGAGCGTGGAGAGCCGGCAGCAGTTCACCCTGCCTGGTCATTGACCACGGCTCGGCGCTACGCTCTGTCGATGCCTCCTCGTGTTATTCATAGTCCTGCTGGTCCCACCAATGTCTACTCGGATAGTTCCAGGCAATTTCTCAGCCCTTCTCCTTGGTTGACGAGAGAACAAATTGCCTTTGGCGAAGGATCCCGACTAACAAGCTCCCGCACTGTAAGACCACCGCTAGCATTTTACAACAGCAGCAACAGAGCATATCACCAACGCACAGTTTCTGCAGCAGCCGCACTTCAGCAGTCTTTTTTTCCCGACGATGATGAAATACTGTTAAAAGCACCTCAGCCGCGTTTCAGGAGCTCGTCCTACGGCGGCCCGGCAGCTGGCGGCGGGCCAACAGGAAGCGGCACAATGGCGACGGCTGCGCCGTACTCTCGCCCAACACATGCTAGGAGCATCGGGAGCGGCCCAGTTGTGGTCATGTATCCCCCGAGGGATCAGGAATTCGTTGCGAGGACAAAAAGGGCCAGCACCAGGATACAGCAAGTGACCGGGCCCTACGCTGCTCCCCAGGCGCCGAAAAGACCAGATCCCTCTCCAAGGCGGCCCGTCACCATGGCTTATCCAGATAGCCCGCCTCCGGAAAAGCTGGAACGCCCGGGGTCGTTCTTCCGGCCCCGGCGCGTGTCCAGCAGCAGCGCTAGCTCCGTGACAAGTAGTGTCGTGTCCGGTCGAGACAGCTTCGACAGCCGCTTCGACAGCCGCTTGCGTGCCTCGTCTCTAAATAGCAGCATGACGAGCATCGAGTCGATGCCACCACTTAAAACCCCTGGCTTCAGCCCACTTACCGGATTGTCATATTCACAATACCAGCTACTAAACGGGGGACATGGGGGACATGGGGGACATGGGGGTCAATATTACAATCGACAAAAGCCAGCGCCGGTCCCGTATGGAAAGAAGGCGAGGCAGGGTGAACTGTTTTCCCTCCTTCCTGGAGAGGTGCTGGAGCTGATACTCTCGGAACTGCGCAAGCTGCATATGCGACCGGGGAGTCACACGTGCACGACATGCTGGATGCGCGACTGCTGCTCTGTCGCAGTCAGTGCTCGAAAGTTTGTCAAGTACGCACGAGAGGCCCTGTATCGGCATATCTGCATTGTGGGAGCGGAGGGCCCTCAGATGAAGAAGCGGACGAAGTTAAGCTATGGGTCGAGATTGGTGCTGCTACGCCGGACACTGAGAGCAAACCCGCAGATGGCGGCCATTGTGCGGTCCCTCAAACCGCCCGCTTTGCCACCCGGCGTGAGCGCGGGTGAATATGGCGATCTTATAGCATCGGTGTTAATGGCCTGTCCGAATCTGGAGAGGCTAGTTGGCTTCTATCCTACCTACGACCACTCGTTCCATCGGCTGTTCCATGCGCTCTCGACGCGGACGCGGTTGAAAGAGATGGACTGGGTTTTGGAGGCCTCGCCTTTCCAACGACAGCATCGGATGCGTCCTTCAGCCGGATCAGGGGGCAGCGTCAGCGGCCAGCTCTGGGCTCCAGGAGACTTGCAGCCTCACCAATCTCTGGAGTTTTTGGAATATCACTTGGACTGGAAGAACCTAACCACACTTGTGATTCACTGTCTCTCCAGAGCCACGTTGACTCCGGTTACGCTGCTCGAGAAGACCCTGCGGTCTCTGCCATCACTCGAGAATCTCCACCTCTCCCATCTCCCGCACACGTCCTTCAACGACGCTAGCTTGCTGGTTCTTCCACCCCTCGAGAAACTCACCTTGTCGCATCTACCTGGCGTGACAACAGGGGGGCTCTCGTCTTTGGCGACGCGGTCAGCCAGTAGCTCCATCAAGACGCTCACGCTGGTCCACATGAATGTCGAGTCGCTGCCGGCGATAGCGCGGATCCTTTCGAACCTGATCTCCCTAGAAACGTTCAGCCTCGTGCAGGCGTACGCGCCAGTGATGCCGACGGACGAGTTTATTTGGTTGTTCCCGTATCTGGCGTCGTCCACGGTGCGAAAGCTGCACTGGGATATACCCTATCTACCGACCCGGGCCACAACAGCCGACACCATATTCGCGAAGAGCATAGATGCCGGCGGCTTCCCTGCCTTAAGGATACTTCGTGCACCCAACGACCCCGAGGGCATCTTCCAGGCACTGTGTAGGCCACGCGAACGAGTCGACATTGTTACGGATCGGTACCGCGATGGACAGGCGCACTATGGGGCTCACATGCGCAACACGTCGAGTTTTTCTCATGGCAGCGTTCCCAGCACCAGCGGCAGCCGAGCGGGTAGCCGACCAGGGAGTCGTAAAGGGTCGACGGGCGCGATGGGCAACTCGCCGACAAGCCCGCTATTCCCGCCCGACGCACTAATGCTTCCACGCGACAACAGCAACCTCCACCAGGCCCGGCTTGCAGCGCAGGAGCGCCTCGAGGCTGCCCGGAGGTTCCCACGGTTCTTTATCAACGTCTTCGACGAATATGGGGCGTTAGTTGACAAGTACGGCGTCGGCGGATTCATCGGCACGGTCGGATCCAAGATCAACTACGTGCTCACACCGGACGCTGGAGGCGGGACCGACGAGGGCGGCGGGCTAGTCAGCGTTGTGGACATGCTGGGTGACAGCGGCGAGGCGCTGGTCCTCCCTCAGGCGAGAGACAAGAGGGACGGGGCAGGGTACAGTAGTAGTGGTGGCGGCGTCAATGGCCATGGCAGCGGCGTGCGAAGCAGCTCTGTCGGCCCCATTAGCAATAAGGTGAAGAAGGAGAAAAAGAAGAGCGACAAAGGCGGTTCCGAGTCGGATGCTGGTTCGGCCGAGACGAAGACACGCGAGGGCTGCATCGGGAGATGGAACACGTTTAGCGGGGCCGTGGTGGACAAGAAGGACAAGGACAGGTGGTGGCACCAAGAGCGCGGGAGGTGGAAAGAGATGATGCTATCTTGAGGCCGATAATTTGGCTTAGGAGTTGGTGTCGACTGTAAGGGTGGATAAGTGACGAAACGAACATATGCACACGAGGATCACGACCGGCGTTTTATTGGGGGTTGGAAATCAATACCGACGCTTTGGGCGAGTAATTCTGATTGGGGCTGGAATGAGGGAACGCATTGTGAGCATAGGGACACGACTTGCATCGTGCCGTGTCGTGTGGCTTTACTGTGGATAGTTGGCGGCAGTGTTAGTTGCAGTGTCCTGATGGGCTGCGCTACGATGTTATGGGCAACGGCATATGTATTATTCTAATGAAACATCATTACAAATGTGAGCTCACTTGGTTTGCGCGATTAGTATTGATATTGAGTTGTGGAAGTCAATATGAGAATTACACGATGGTTTCCATCCAATGCCCATCCGACCTCAAGTTTGTGTCATCGCCCGTCTCTTTTGTCAGGACTTCGGGTTTCGGCGGCTTTAGCTGGCCGCTAGATTGGTGCTCTCGGCTCGGAGCCAGCGGTGTTTTCGGGCGGACGGACGGACTGGGCAGGGGGGCTATCCGTTAAGGTATAGTGGAGGCTTTTGCATTTTTACGCCCGTCTCAGCCGTCCCGTCCCCTCGACGTCATTTCAACCCGCGCCAATAATTCTACGTACCCGGGGCATCCTAGAAATCCCCAACCCCAAACGACAAAGACGACTGCTCAGTACATACAACTACAACATTCTGCGCAAACCAGCCAGCCTCTCTGCCGCACACCACATACCTATACATTGCGCGCTGTCCCTTTTTGTCGAGACCGACGCACGAAATAGCATCGATATACTGCGGCGTCGCTTGCGAGCCCTGGAGCAGAACGAAGACGAGGATAAGCGATAGGCAGAGGGCAAAGGTCGCCCGAGACAAGAGGCAGACGACAACAGGCAATGAGAGCGTCCATGGTATTGAACAGCGTCGCAGTCACGCGGGTGTGCGCTGCGTGTCGGGGGGCCGCGACGCCCCGTCTCGCGCTGCGAGCATCCACCGCCGCGACAGCCGCGCCATTATCGTCATCATTATCATCCCCTGCCTTCCCGACAGCCGCAGCAAGGATACCGCGGGCGCCGGCGAGGTGCTGGCTCTCGCAGTCTCGGAGCACGCTTGCCTCGCAGCCAACAATAGCAACAGCGGCCGACCCTAGACCAGACTCGGAGAGCCATCAGCAGCGGCACGGGAAAGTACCAACCTACTACGCCCTCTTCCCGGAGACGCTGCCGGCCGGCCCGCCGCCCTCGGGGCTGTTTCACATCAATGTGCGCGCGCTACGGCGCGAGTTCCTGCGCCTGCAGGCGGCGGCGCACCCGGACTTCCACCACCACGCCGCCAAGGCATCATCATCATCTCCCAGCAACACAACAACAGCACCAGACGAGCAGCAGTGTCAACGAGAGGGCAACAGCGCGGCACAGCAGACGGTGCGGGCGGCGGGCGCGACCAGCGCGCTGATCAACCAGGCGTACAAGACGCTGTCGAGCCCGCTGGCGCGCGCACAGTACCTACTGCGCGAGCAGCACGGCGCGGACCTGGAAGGCGACGAGCACGGCGCCGAGACGGACCCGCTCGACGCGGAGCTGCTGACCACGGTGCTCGAAGCGCGCGAGGCTATCGAGGACGCCGCGCGCGAGGCCGACCTCGCGCCCGTGCGCGCCGCCAACGACGCTCGCATCGCTGCCTGCGAGGATGCGCTCGCGCGCGCGTTTGAGGGCGGTGATCTCGAGGCGGCCAAGGCCGAGACGGTCCGCCTGCGGTATTGGATTAATATCCGTGAGAGTGTGGATAATTGGGAACGCGGCAAGCCGGTGGTGTTGCATCATTGATTAAGCTGCCGCTGTTGCTGCTGCTGCTGCTGCTGCTGCTGCTTTTGCGAGGGGGAGGGGGAGGATGGGTTGCTCGTTTTGATATGTGATCCCATCTTTTCTTGTTCTTTTTAATCAATCCCCTACCCTGCAAAATAATCACTCCTAGCGTTTGGTTTATCCTGGGAAAGACGTGTGTGCTGTTCTGTTCTGTTGTATATATAGGTCGTTGTAATTATCAGCAGATGGAGAAAAATTATCTCACCTTGATAGTGAAAAGAGGTGGCGGTGGTAAACACGAACGAATCTCATGTGTTTGTCTGGCTGGCTGGCTGGCGACGCTGTTTTGGATGTATCTTCCGTTGCGTGTGTTGATGCTGCTGTGGAGGATATTGTCGTCCATCTTCCACTGCCCCCTCTGCCCCCGTATTTGCTTTTTATAACCTGGGACACATCGCTGTCTGCTTCGCATTATATACCTAGGTAATAGGTGTGCTGTCGAGCTCGGCGGTTCGGAAGGGCCCGGATTACTTTAATGCGATCGATCGTCGAGTCTATTAGCTAGCTGGAGACAAAATTATCAGGGCCGTCTTCGCGCACCGGAGCTGGGCAGGGCCGGTAAGGTGTTGAAGAGCGATATTCTGTTATCGAATAGACGAGAGACTAATTCGGAGAACAATGCTTTTTGAGTTGTGTCGTAGTGTGCGTGCGTGCGTGTGTGCGTAAACAATTCGGACCAACCCTCCTATTACCTTGTATTTGTTCTCGCGATGCGGCTCCTCGACTAGATTTCCAGTGTGTTTAGTCACTTCCCAGACTCGAGGCAGAATCATACATGCAAGAAGGAGACAAAAGTAGAATTAAAGCTTCCGATGATGTCTTGATAGGTGGATGGTCCGTTTTTGGCGGCAAGTGGCCGGGTTTGTTTGGGACTCCGCCGAAATCGTACGATGTTGACGTACTCAGCCCATGCAGCCCAACGCCTTCAGCTCGAACCGCAAACCCGGTAAGCTTCAGGGCAACTGCCAAGGCAAACAGCCTGAGCGTAACTGCTAGACGTTTTTGACCATCGTAGTTGTATTCCTCCAGACCTCAGCTTGTTTGTCATGCTGTAAACAGCGCACATTCGAGGGCGAATCGAAATCCCAAGTTTTGCAACCCATTCGCTATTTGAGCATAAATTCATCTCAACACTTCATATGGTACATACAAATTCCAGCATATCTCAACTTCAATCCCCCTACCGCCATATGACCCTATGCATTCCCAGCAATGCCTCGTATGTACAGTGGCCGCGCTACTTGTGACCGCCCTTCCTTGCAACATCTTGAATGGCAGACAGCAGGGCTCAAGCCGTAAAGGCTCTAGCACAGCTCGCGGCTTTGCCTGTGGTGGCAGCTGCGCCGGCCATCTGGATGGCAACAACTCCGCCGAACGGACCCGCCTTGTTAGAGTTGGCAATCTTGACGAGGCAGACGTTGGACTGGCCGGCAATGGTGCCGTTGCACGTGGTACCGGCCGGGACCGAGAACTTCATGGGGAAGTCCTCGTTGACGTTGGCGGCTCGCTTCATTATGCCGGCGCTGACCAGGGCCCGCGCCCAGAGAGACCGCTGCTTGGGGGCCGCGATGTTTCCGTTCTTGCCGGCTATCTGGGTGACGGTGTCGAGGAGCACTCCCTTGGAAAAGGCGCCCGTGCCGGTAGGGTCGAGGACGGCCTGGATAGGTCCTGCGCCGTCTGTCGTGACAATGTGAAAGACGCCCGAGATAGACCCCCCATCAGAAACCTGCGGGAGTGTAGATCCGGACTGCGCCATCGCTGCCGACAGCATGGCGACCTTGTTCTTGCCACTTCCCGTAGTCCTGCCAAGTCCGTTGGTCTTGATTTTGGTGCTGCCAAAGACAGTGGTGTCTACCTCGGTCTAAATAGCCGAGTTAGCCATGTTGAACGAGACTGGAGAGCCGAGGCCGCTGCATACCTTTGAGTTTGGGCCAGGGCCAGGGACAATGCCGCCCTTGATGCCGAGCGCGGTACCATTACCACCAGCATCACCAGTGACCACCGCAACTTTGCCGTGAGCGGAGACGAAAGGCACGACTGCCAGAGCGAGGATGAAAGCCTTGGAAAGCATGATGAGGGTCTGCCGAGGGATGGTGTGTATATACGAGAAGAGAAAAGAGAGACTGCAACACAGTTGCTGGCCAAAGGAGTGTGAATAGGAATGGAAAGGGAGCGAATCAACCGCTTCCCAAAGAGAAAGTTAAGAGAAGGAAGTAAACAATACTGATGAGGGAAGAAAAGAGGGAGGTGAAGACGGGAAATCGAGCATTTTAATACTTGGAGGGTGTTGTGCTATCCGTCCACTTGTGTATGAACGATCACTAACACGCCAGGCAGATCATGGTCAAAATGATGCATGCCGGTTTTCACTAGCCCATCCAGGTAGGCCGCCAGGAGGCTTACTCGTGAGGTTTGAGGTCTGGAATATGGCCCATGATATCTTCAAGGATGTTCCTCTGCATGTAGTTGTGATACTTGGCAAGGGACCCCGGCAAATGTCAACATGCACTGTCCAGGCTATCACGGCTCAGGACTTGCCGTTTCTTTTTCCCATTCCCAGAACTGTGTCGCACCTAAAGATTAATTCGGAAAGGGTTGCTGGCGATAACACAGCAGCAGTTCTGCAGTCAGGCAAGACACGCGAACTGAAGTCAACGAGCTTCGACACAAGATATCATGCTGTGTTCTGCTAGCACAATCCAGTCTAGTAAGAGTGGGATGGAAGACGGGAGCTTGCCAGAGAATAGTGACAACCGTCATACTTGGGCGGCATATGGCCCTGCTAACGGTGAAAGTGATGCTTGCGAGGGGTGAAACGAACTCCATGATCCCCACCCAAGCCGAAGATCCGCGTAGGGATCCCTCGTCCACTAGATTGTGAAAACTTTGGGGATCCTCGGCAGGCCCTGCCATGCGGCCGTACATCACGGAGGTTGTATACATGGCTGGGGTGCATGGTGGCTATCCTAGGGGCCACACCAAGTCGTCCCTATAAGATCAAACCTAAAGATGGGATGAATGAACATGGCGATTGGGTCAAATTGTTGTACTACCGGTGACACAAACCTGAGCGACAGTGCAGCGGTAATGACAGACGTATGAGGGTTGATTCGGGAAATCAACACATCAAAGGCCGCGGGTTCGTCAGTCTTCGGATGTTCTTGCCATCACCATCGACAAAGAAACAAGAAGCAGCGATCTCCATAATCGAGGCCAGGGATTAGGGACTTGGCGCCTGGCGTTTACCATGCACCCCAAAATAATTGCTGCATTCTGGCAACTCGTGGGCTATCCAGGCAAGCCAGGAACAAAGAAAGGGAGATGAGATGGCTGAAACTCCACGTGGAGTCGCGACGGTCCACAACTTCCAGGGACGACCAGGGCGCAAGCCTCAACAAAGTTTAGCACGACCCGCAACATGTCGGCGGACGAAACACGTCCTCCGTGGCCCGAGCCAGGCGCAAGCTACCGATTGGCCTTGGAGTGCGGAGAATTGAAGTAGACATATATACGGAGAGTGTACCGTCGTGCACATGCCCATGCCCATGCCCGCCGCTCTCCCTCGTCGGACCGAAATGCGAGCCAAGGGGCTCCGAGACGAGGCGACATGGCAGCGAGGCAGCAGGCTGAAATGCAGGCGCGCGCCAAATCCCAGGCGGTCAGCGGGCTGGCCCGACAGTGACACGGAGGAGCGCTAGCATCTCGTTTCGCCTCAGTTCAAGGCTGACAGACCGCACAACGTGGGACGCGATCGAGCTGGCCAGCACAGCAGTTTCCCACACGCTGTGTAGCCCGGGTGACTGCTCAGATAGCCGCCACAGCGGGTTGCTTAGATAGCCGCCGCAGTGGGTTTGGAAGTAAATGAAGCGGGATAAACTGCGTTTCAACACGGAAAAGCCGGGCAAGCTTTTGCCCAAGCCAACCGCTGAGGTCGGCTCCTATTGCACTGGCAACCGCGCTGGAAACGCGCTGGACCCGCGGAAAAAAAGATGGGCAAAAACAGGTGGTCATCCTGGGCTGCTGAGAAAATGATGCAGATCATCGTCGATCAGGCACGCTGACTGCAGTTGAGTGATCAGACTAAGTTGCCAACCGCGCCGTCTGGGCAGGTGCTGTGAGCAGCCCTCTTGGCACATATTCAAATGGTGAAATGGCTGCAGGTTGACGAACGCGGCTGAATAACGCGCTGGGAATTGAAATTGAGAGCGACCTAGAATTTTAGGCAGGGCACTCTAGAAAAAAGGACTCCACCGATTCGTGGACCACAATTGGCTGCCCCAGGCCCCAGCTGCCTGGAACAGCTCCCCGCCTTCTGCATCGGGGCAAGATGCCCCGCTAACAACCCCCCGCCTTAACTCCAACGACCAAGGATCACCGTCCACGCTGGGCAGCAGCAAATGCTTCAATACCACTAACGAACTTCCAGCAAACGTTCTCAGCCTCGTCACGTCACTGCTCGGCCAGCATTTCCCAAGCCTTGCAGACCAAACCACTGCTTCGACGAGAACCACGGCTTCTAGGCCATAGGCCACACACGGTTTTCTCACATTCCCGTCCGGGCTCAGAAGAAACGCAGCAACGCCAAATCCCGGGGACCACAACCCAAAAAAAGACAAAAAAGACAAAAAAGACACAAAAAAAAGATGGTGTCGCCAAAGGTGGCCGACGCCCTGGCGCAGGTGACGGACCAGGCCGACCCGGCGGCCGCGTACAAGCTGATCCTCTCCAACACCAAGACGCTGTCGACGCCTCCGACGGTGGAGGACGACCTGCGGGCGATTGCGGACGCGGCGCTGGGGGCGGGGCTCGGGGTGGTGGCGTCGCGGGCGGTGCTGGGGGAGCTGGTCGAGACGCTCAAGGGGCTCGGCAACCACGACGTGAGCACGGCGGTAGGACGGCACGTGCTGGCCGCGGTGTCGGCGAGCGCGTCGCTGGCGTCGTCGCTGCTGGAGCAGGCGGCGGCGCTGGGCGAGGTGGTCGCCGCGGCGCACGAGGCCAGCGACGAGTTCCTCGAGGCGGCGCAGGTGCTGGCGGCCATCTCGCTGGACTCGTCGCAGCGGCGCGTGGGCGACGCCGAGAAGGCCGGCATCTGGATTCGCATCGTGCGCAACTACCTCGAGGTCGACGATAGCACGGCGGCCGAGGCGTTCCTCAACAAGCTTAAGAACGTCATGCACGACGTCGACGACCCGGAGCTCACCCTGCACTTCAAGCTCAGCGCGGCGCGCATCCAGGACTCGAACCGCCAGTTCCTGGCCGCCGCCCAGAGCTACCACGACATCAGCACGTCGGCCGCCATCGCCGAGGAGGAGCGCCTGCACACGCTCAGCATGGCCATCAAGTGCGCCGTGCTGGCTCCCGCCGGCCCGCCGCGCAGCCGCGTACTGGGCCGTCTGTACAAGGACGAGCGCGCCGCGGCGCTCGGCGAGTACGGCATCCTGGAGAAGATGTTCCTGGACCGGCTGCTGGCGCCGGCCGAGGTGGACAAGTTCGCGCAGGGGCTGGCGCCGCACCAGCTGGCCACGACGGCCGACGGGCTGACGGTGCTGGCCAAGGCCGTGGTCGAGCACAACCTGCTAGGCGCGAGCCGGCTGTTCAGCAACATCGACTTTGATGCGCTGGGTCTGTTGTTGGGCCTCGACGGCGACAAGGCCGAGGACACGACGGCCAAGATGATCGAGCAGGGCCGGCTGACGGGGTCCATCGACCAGATCGACCGCATCATCTACTTTGAGAGCGGCGAGGCGTCGGGGGAGAAGGGCAGCGGCCGCGCCGACGTGCTGGTCGGCAAGGAGATGCGCCGCTGGGACGCCAACGCGCAGGCCATCGCCGAGGACGTCGAGCGGCTCGCCGATGCCCTGCAGACCGAGTTCCCAGATTTCGTTGCTGCAGAGGTTGCATACTAGACTTTTTCTTTCGGTCGTTGGAGTTCTGGCGTGTGCTATGGGTTGTGGATGGACATAAGAGAGATATCTAGCATTCATCAGCTTTCGCGTGCTATACATAATGCGCGCGAAAAGCCATTAGCTTCCGCTCATAGAGTAAGCGCCATCAGGAGCGAGCGCCCCGTAGCAACGACTCAGTCTATCTACGTGATAGTGAGGAGGCTAAAGAAAAAACCATACAGTCCTAAAATAATGCATCATAAAGATGTTTCTCGTCCCGCCCCTAGTAATCCATCCGCTTAGTCCTAAACCCGCGTTTCCTTTACCATTTCGTCACTTGTTAATGCCCCGCCCAACCAACCGACCGCTAGGAAATCCCCAAACATGTGTTGCCGCTCCGTCCAGTATTCTACGCATGCCCTCTACGTCTATAACCCGTATCCTTGTCTAGTCTAGTCCAGATCCTTTCGGCGGACGACGACGTAGCCCCGGTCGATGGCGTTGGGGCCCTTCTCCTCCTCCTCCTCGAACGTGTTGTCGTCGTCTCTGAACACGCGCCGGCGCTTTCTTGGGGTGACAGGCGGGTTCAGGTCGGCGCGCTCTTTGGCCAGGATGCTGACCAGCTCCACGCCGATCTTGTTGCCCATCAGGTCGTAGCCGTCGGGTGTGAAGTGGATCGCGTCGTCCCAGTACCGCGTGCGGTCGGCTTCCGAGAGCGCAAAGTACGGGAAAGCGGCGTTGAAGTCGAACTTATAGCTGGGAGAGGGAGTGTGGTTCTAGATATATGACTACTACGGAGATAGGGAGGTGGGAAGGAAGAGGGGGAAACTCACAAGCCTTCTTGCTCATGTCCCTTTATCAGGTCGTTCAGCGCGTTCCTCCGGGCGTCGAGCCTCGCGCGGCCCGCCGCGCCGACGCCCGCCTCGGGCACCGTCAGCGCGAGCACCTTACTCTTACGGCTGAGCGCCACGTCCCAGACTTCCTTGAGCCTCTCGTATATCTCCTCGGCCGGGATGCTAAACGCTATGTCGCTGTTTGGGGTTCAAGGCACGGCCCGTTGTCAGACTATTGGCTCTTGCTGGAGTGGAAGGGGCAGGGGAAGCAAGATGTGGAACGCCTACTTTGTCCCTCCCAGCACGATGGCCCAGTCGAACGGCTCTTCGGGCGGGTCGGTTGTCTCGACTGCAAGGTTGTCCACGCCATGTCAGCTTTTGTGCATCTTTCCTAGGAAATTATTCCAGTCCCCAGCACACGGAGAGAGGAAAACTGACAGTGCCGGCGCATGCGGCTCAAGAAACCATGCTTGACGGTATCGCCCGACTTGCCGTCCTCGAGCGTGTCGATATCCGTGTCGGGGAACGCCATCTCGAGCATCTGAGTCAGGCGGTCCTCGTACGGTTGGAACACGGAGCCCATGCCCGAGTAGCCGGCCGTCAGCGAGTCGCCGAAGCACAGGATGCGCAGCTTCTGCCGCGGGCGGCCCGCCATGGTCATGGCGATGGTGCTCGCGAGCACGCGAAACGTCCGCCGGACCGCGCGGACGAGAGCTCGCGCGCGCGACGCTGCTGTCGATGGGGGGCGTGGCTTCCGCGGATCGCGTGCTCGTCGTTGTCGCATCCAGGGGCAGATAGGCGGCGGGTTATGTTGGCAAAGAATGGAATGGGAACAAACAGCAGCAACCTGGCGGCGGCTGCAAGCGAAAGTCTCTTGTTCTTGGGGAAAATGAAGGTTGTAAGTTTGGATTAGATAAGGTATGGAAATGAAAGTAGCGCCTCGTCTTTTGACAAAACCCTCTGGGCCCTTCTGGTGGACAAGAGACTTGAGTTGGGTTCGTTGCCCAGGGCCTAAGGTAGGTAGTCAACCGTTGTTCGTGAGCAGCCGCGCGAAGGCAGCAGTTGGTAGAAGGCGGGGTGGTCCCGCCGCCGCACCACCACCCTGCCCCGCGGGCCTGACCAGCGTCATGCTTACATGTTTGCTCATGGCCCCTGTCTTGCTGTCTTGGGAGGAAAGATGTGGGGCCCGGCCGCCTTCTGCTGCAGAGACCGAGTGGATTTTGGTTTCTTTCTAAATTTTGACGGGTATGATTTAACTCGAAATTAGGGCTTGTGTGAACAAGATGGTATTCGGATAATTCTTGGTTGTAATCCGCAAGGTTAGGCAGCTATTTGTTTTGTGATTATCATCAGCCAGCGACTATCAGGTATTCTAGGTATCCCGAAATACGCGCTGTGCATGGTCACTGGTCAACCACGGCAGCAGAGACAACGTCCTATGATGCTCTGTGGCGTTATCGGTGCACTTCGCGGCATCCTCACCCTCTCTTGTCAACGGCAAAAGCGTGTAATTATAAAACACCGATATCCCTTGCAGATCCTTCAGCCGCACATACAAGGCTCTGTTCCGGGTTCTCCGAGACTTTCGAGATGGCACGGACGGGATATGAAAATGAGGCTCCCTAATAAACGCCAAGTATGTACGGATACTCTATGGGAGGTAAGAAAACTACAGGACCAGATACCTAGAATAAGGTAATCACAAAGTCCAAGTTTTATATTTACTTCGAGCAAATAATACTTAATTTCATCCGTCCACCCCCCGGCCAGAATCCCGTGTTATTTATTTCGTTCCCGTGGAACAGATAGGGGCAGAGAAACGCTTGTTGGTGGGGTTTCGCAGCAAGCCAGCTACCAATCTATCTGCCGTTGTCGGATATTTGCGACCCCCCATCCCCCGCGATAGCGTTGCCACTAAACCCGTGGAGAAGGGGGAAATACGACCAACCACGCGTCACGCAATTCACCACTGCGCCGGCCCAAGGAGATTAAAACGCTTGCTGATGAGTGGTGGCATGAAATAAACATTCTTCAGCTTCGGACTGGAGACTAGAAACTACCTAATCAACCAAGCGATTGGCCTATCACGAACCATGGCCAAGGTCTTCAGTGCAGAGGAAGGCATGTTCAAACTTCAACGTCCCTAGGTATATTTACCTTTGCCGGGTGGTAACCTCTGGCTAACAGCCGTCACGTAGTCGCGCAGCACAGGTCCGCCGAGAGCTGCTGGGTGGTGCTCTACGGGAGTGTCTACGACGTGACGGAATTCCTACCGTCGCACCCTGGCGGTTCCAAGATCATTCTTCAGCTCGCGGGGCGCGATGCCACCGAGGAGTTCGATCCGGTCCATCCGCCAGGGACGCTAGAGGAAAACCTCAAGCCAGAGGCCAAACTGGGCACCGTCGATCCCGAGAGCCTGGCGAAGTTCCAGCAGCAGCACAAGCCCAGCGAGGCCGCTGCGAGCCAGGCCGCCACCAACCAGGCCGGAAAGCTAGCGCCGCCGCCGTTGCACACGCTCCTGAATCTCAACGAGATTGAGGAGGTTGCCAAGACGCAGGTGTCCAAAAAGTGCTGGGCCTACTACTTCTCGGCCGGCGACGACCTCTTCAGCAAGTACTACAATGGCTCCGTGTTCCGCAGCATCCTGCTGCGGCCGCGCGTCTTTGTCGACTGCACCCAGGCTACGACGGCGACGACGCTGCTCGGACACAGGGTCGGCACCCCGCTCTACGTGTCGCCGGCCGCCATGGCGCGTCTGGCGCACCCCGACGGCGAGGCCGGCATTGCCAAGGGCATCTCGAGCTTCGGCGCCATGCAGCTCGTGTCCAACAACGCGTCCATGACGCCCGAGCAGATCGTCACCGACGCGCAGCCCGGGGCCGTCTTCGGGTGGCAGCTGTACGTACAGACGACGCGGGCCAAGAGCGAGGCCATGCTGGTGCGCATCAACAAGCTGCGCGCCCACTATAAGTGCGTCGTGCTCACCCTCGACGCGCCTGTGCCGGGCAAGCGGGAGATGGACGAGAAGAGCAACCTCGAGGCGCAGGAGGTGGTCGACTCGGCGAGCAACGACAAGAGCGACACCGAAAAACGGCCCGGCGGCGGCGGCGTCGGCCAGCAGCTGTTCTGGGGCACGGCGGCCGACCTGACCTGGGACACGACGGTGCCGTGGATCCGCCAGCACACGGACCTGCCCATCGTTCTTAAGGGCGTGCAGACCCACGAGGACGCCTACCTGGCGGCGCAGTACGCGCGCGAGCACCCGGGTTCGATACGCGCCATCATCCTCTCGAACCACGGCGGCCGCGCCCTCGACACGGCGCCCCCCGCCGTCCACACGCTGCTGGAGATACGAAAGTACTGCCCTGAAGTGTTCGACACCATCGAGGTCTGGATAGACGGCGGGATCAAGCGGGGAACCGACGTCGTCAAGGCCCTCTGCTTGGGCGCAAAGGCCGTTGGCGTCGGGCGGGCTGCGCTGTTTGGGCTGGGTGCCGGCGGCTGGAAGGGCGTCGAAAGAACATTCGAGAGTGAGCATTCCATTCCGCCATAGGCAGGCGTCACATGTTTCCCCGGGCCGTCATGGTTTTCTAACGAGCCGTAACCATCGCCAGTCCTGCAGGGAGAGATCGAGACTTGTATGAAGCTGCTCGGCGTGAAGGATGTGTCAGAACTGGGGCCACGATTCGTGAGTATTTACCGGCGCCGAGTGTGCCACCCCAGAGGGCATCACGCTAACAGGGAGCAAAAATCTAGATCAACAGCCGGATGGTCGAACGGGACATATTCGACGGCAGTGCTGAGCTCGACAAGGCGGGCTTGTGGACGTCTCGTGCGAAACTTTGATGCATGAGGCGATGGGTTGTTTCGGCCAAGAAGTTGGCGAACCAGTAACAGGCAAACCATGTCGTGGAGGTAATTGCCGATGCACCGGCTCGAGTCCGTCTCTGCAGGTTGGATGAGACATGCCAGAGACTTTGTACCCATAGCCATAACATGCATGCATTGAAGGTGCTGGGATGTGGGATAGTAACGCAACAAGGGGGTTGGACGCTCGGAAAGGGGTTCTCCTTTTGGTGCATTCGCCCCGAGATTGACCTTCCTCTATTGTTTGCTTGATCTATCATCACTTTCATCACCCACTTGCAACGTCCAGAACGGTCCGGCTTCTATATTTGGCCATGATCGGATCCGCTCACTGAGAGTGAGACAAGTGAGACGCTTCATTCGCACATGATGAGATCACGTCTCGCCCACCGTGCCACCTACCTAACTCTGACGACCGGCTTTGCCGTCGTCCGTTCAATTTTCAGTTGCTATCTCCCGCTTTAGAGCGAAATTCCAACGATCTTGTCTCACGGATTAGCTTACCGACGACTCGGTATTGTTTGCGGCGCAGTGCCCGAGACCCATCTGCACATGGCATACCTAGGTACGTACGGAGTAGATAACATGCAAAGCGAACCTCGAAAACAGAAGGCCTAAAGGAGGCGAACCGTTCAGATGCGCGTCCGGTAGAATAGACAAGAAGAAAAAAAGCAGAAGCGGTCCTTTTCTGGGTCGGCCGGGCTGAGCCGGGGTGGTAACGATGAGACAGCGGTTCTGAGGAATACGACTGGCTGGCCTTCTCATTCGTCAAAGACGGGAGAAAGGGTCCCATTCACAGTTGCATCCAATCGGACGGCCCGAGAAGCCCAATATCTACCTGCAAGACGTTTGCAGGTCGACATGCGCTGCCTGCGCAGGAACCAAACCAACCGCTCCTCGACAATACTCTTGTATTTTGGGTGGTATTATTATGAGAGGATGCGAGCGAACGAGTTAGACAGCACGTTTGGCAGAAATCTGCGACAGGAACCGAAGGCTGATGAACAACAAGTCCAACTTGGACCCGCAAGAGCTGGCCATTGGCCCGCCATCAGCCATCGTGGCTTCCTCGAAATGTGCTGGGTCTTGCTTGCCCTGCCCAGGGTGACCCCGGAAGAGGGGGCGGGCCTTTAAGCCCGACACCTCAAATCTCCGACCTAACTGTGAAAGGTCAGGTCGCATCGGGAGAAGCATCGCGCCAGGAGTTGAGCTGGAGGGAGACAGGCTCCTGGCATTTCCGGACACGCCAATCCGCACTCAGGGTTGCGATATTACCTGGCGACGTCAAAACCTATCTGGTCCAGACACCACAATCCGCAGATTTTTATTTTGGCAGATTTGGACTCCGCTTGCTGAGGCCTGGACGAAGTCAAGGAATCTGCCCACGGTCCAACTCTCTCTCAGTCATTCAGTCTTTGGCACCTACTCACTACTGTACATCTATACGCGAACTGCCCCGTAAACTGTGGATTAACAAGCATGGTAATATCTATCCGTACGGAGTAAGCAGGGCCCAGTTGTCTACTTAGTACGGCTCCCCACGGCTGAGGAATGAGGCCAACACACCTGGGGCCGCCGCCACACCCAAGATCGATCCGGGCGGTCCAATCGCGCCTTTGCCAGTTGCAACCTGCTGACGTCTTTCCCGCAGATGCCCAAAAAGGAAAGGGGTTGGTGCCCTCAACCGTCTTTTCTCCAAAAATCTAAAAATTCATGTGCTCACAACGCCCGCACCTAAGATGCCGAGGGGCTTGCTTGATTTGACTTGGGAGTTTCCCCCCCCCCCTGTCAGCTTCCCCAGGAAATGTGGGTCGGGAAACGAGGTGATCTCTCGGCGCGACCTCATCGGGCAGTCACCCCCGTTACGCTTGTGAGAGAGCGATGCGATGGCTTCGACGTTAGCGGGAAGAGCTCCGCCCTGTCGCCCTGTTCCAAGCGTGGAGCGCATTGGGGATTTGCTGGTCCCTCATTTTCCCCATCTCTGATTTAACTGTTACAGGCAAAGACTGCAAATCCTTTACCCTAGGCTCTTCTTCACTGCAATGGGGTATGTATTATTGCCACTGTCCAAAGGAATGGATTAGCGACCGCGCTTGGTCGCTGGGCGGCCTGGGCATCTCCATCCCATCAGGTGTGCAGTGTGGTAAGAACTGGCGAGAGCAGAGCCAAGAAGTGCGGAGAAGCATGCTGCCCAGAACTTGGGAGCAGCAGCACGACCTAGGCCTAGGTTATCTTGTTTAAACCACATGCCCAACTTGACGATGTCATGCGGGTGATGGGTATAGTCCGCACCTGCCTACAGCACATATTACACGGGGGCCAAGAGCCAGAGTTACATCTGGGGCCTTCTCAGCAGAGGGCCCGGGGCCGCATTGGAAGAAGTTTAAATGTTGCGCCTCTGGAGCCGCACAATATGGACGTCGAGGTGCGGCGAAGCCTGCGGCAAGTGGGGAGCAAGCCGCCAAGCGACGGAGGTGTTCCCCGCGATCACCTTGCCAAATGAACGACAGATCATAATCCAGACAAAGAAAAACGCCGAACCCGCTGAGGCCAGTTGCCAAGTTTCCATCGTTTAGGTCAGGCCGTTCGTCGGACAACAAACTCCACCAGGCGTCTAGGGCTCTGGGCCAAGTCAGTCTTTATCCCGGTTTTAAAAGGGCCGGGGGCGAGCGCGGGCGGGCGAGCGCGGGCTAGCGCGGGGCAGGCAGCTTGTCGTCGAATTCCCTCCCGTGACTATCCAGAAAAGGCGGTTGGACAGCGAATTCCAATGATTTGCGTAACGAGATGCCCGAAAGAAATGCCCAGCAAATCCCCAAAAAAGAGCGAGAGGCGGGGTTTGGCATGTGAGAAGAGACACTCTCTCGTCTGGTAATGAGCGATGACCATTTTCCCCTGGCACTTGTTCTTGGACAGCTGCAGGTTGTGTGCGGTTCAGCCAGTCACATCAACTCAAGCAGGCGGCTTGTCCAGCTAGCGACTTGACAAGCTGCTGGGCGGCGGTATTGGGGGTGCCTTGCTGCGGGCGTTGCGGGTGAGCCAAGTCGGCCGTCCTGCTCGAAGGGGCTAGTCACTCGGAGTCGAGAGGATGGTGTGGTGGTGGGTGCCAGGCTTGCTGTCGATAGCTTTGTTTCCGCGCCCACACCTCCCTCTGGGGTAGCAGGGGGGTGGCGACCCGGGATTCCTGGACGTTATCACGGGAACCGACCGACGATCCACTGCTTGCGAGCTCCCAGGACCCAGAGAAGAGAGGTTGAGAGGAACCGGACTGTGCCAGCAGCTCTTTTTATTTTTTTTTTGCCAAGCCTACCATGCGATCCCTGTCTTGCGTTTGCGCGGATGCTCGCTCTACCTCTGCCTCTACCTCTGTTTGCCTCTGGCTCCGTTACCAAGTGTAAGTGGCCAGCCCTTGTCTCTCTCTTCCCGGACACACCCTTTCTCCCTCGTGGGCCCTTTCTCCGCTTGCCGATCCCCAGTCTTCTAATTATAAGCTCGCCGTTTCCCTCCCGCCCTTGGATTCAGGCCTGACCTCGACTCTGTTTCTCACACTGAGTTGATCCCGGTTATCGTCGACTTGGGATAGTGTCACGGGACCTGACTCGCTTTGAGATTTTTCGACTGTCGATATTCGGTACAAGAACACAACCGCCACCATGAGCGAACTAGACAAGGCCAATGTCGTCCAGGAGGAGCGCGTCGAGAAGGCACCCAGGAAACGCGGATGCGTCGGCCACTGCCTGAAGTTCTGGTGGGCGTATCTGCTCGCAATTGTCCTGATAGTGGTTATCGTGGTTCCCGTCGTGTAAGTCGCGGCATGCCGCCAAGAAATGCGCATATGTACACGAATAAATATACTAACCAAAGGATCGCAGCCTTCTTGTCGCCATTCCCAAGATCGCCCAGTCCAAGCTCGACGAAGCTGAGCTCACCCTTGACGGCCTCATTGTGTCCAACACGCAAACCGAAAACGTGACCATCGCCCTGAACACCACAATCCGCACCGACGGCTCAGTGCACGCTACCATTGAGGCTTTCCTGGGAGACATGTACCTCGAGGACAAGGAGCCCCACGTCTCGTTCGCCACCCTCCAGTTCCCCGAGACCACGGCCGACGCCTTCCAGACTGTCAACATCAGCCAGTTCCTGCCCATCGAGAACCTCCAGGCCCTCACCGACTTCAACACCTGGCTGCTGGCCAATGAGTCTTTCCGCGTCACCGTCAAGGGCGACACATATGTCCGGGTCAAGGGCATCGCTAGGCGGTATCCCGTCACTTTCAAGAAGACACTCACGTTGGCCGGTAAGCAGTCCCAGACGTGCTCACAAACCATGACTGGGTTGTTTGACTAACTGTTTATCCGCCAGGCCTGCAAACCTTCAAGGGCACATACGTCACCGACACCAAGATTGCGCTCCCCTCGACTGGACCTGTCTTCACGGGCACTGCGCACATTCCCAACCGCTCAGTCGTGACGTTCGAGCTTGTAAGTTTCCGCTCTGGTGTTACTGCACAGCTTGTCGGGCAGACCCACTGTCAGTTGAGAGTGTCGAGTTATTAACACGTACCTCTAGGGAAATGCCACTTTCTACAACTACCTGCTCGGCCAAGATGTTGGTGAGGTCTACCTTGACAACGTTATTCTCCGTCCCGGCAACGACAACCAATTCTTCCTGAACTCGACCATCCAGCAGAACCCCGTCATTTCAGCCTTGCAGGAGAAGCCGTACTGCGACACCACCAAGGGCGTCATCCCCTTCCAGCTCCGTGGCAAGACCGTCTTCAACCACGGCCAACCGCTGCCCTACTTCGCCGACGCCCTTGGAGCCACCAACCAGACTATCGATCTCGACGTCGGTGGCACCCTGTTCAACTCGACTGGCCTGAAATTTAACTGCAGCTCCACCTGATTCTCTATTTTCGCAAAACAACCTACCCACCATCTCGCAAGGCTTGAGAGAGAGGAGGGATACGCGACTGGCGTCTTGATGACCGAACCCCCTCCCCCAACAGCATAACCCATTTTTGCGCGCCATTTCTGTGTTAATAATTCGCCCACATCTTTTTTTTTCCTTCTTTTCTTCCCATCTGTGTCGTTGAGCCGACCAAGTTGGGCCTGTGTGGTGGTAGTGGAGAAGTACGGAGGGAAAGGAAAACGATTTGTTGTGGAGATGAGGATACCATTACGTACGGGGTGGATGGACAGAAGGCCCCGGCAGTCGAAAGAGTCCGGGCGGAGCATGTCGAATGGAGTTGGTTCCCGGTTTGGCATCAAGGAGGCACCCTGTTTTTCTTCTTTTTTTTTCTATCTGCGCAATACCACATACATAAACACGCAGGAAGAGCTTCCCGGCTGTGTGCCTTTTTACTTACGCACGCGCCGCCGCCGCCGCCGCAAAAAAAAAGAGAAAAAAAAAGTTATATAAGAATTAATTCGAGGAATGACTGTCAGGGACCATCATTACTATATTTTCCCTTGCCTACCTTATTCTGTAGTGTCTATTCTAATATCCAACAACCCCGTTGCCAGGCCCAGCCACCTCTCTCCTCCAAATCCTTACCTGAATATTCTCATGAACTAGGACCGCGACAAGGAAAGCCAGTCTATATGCTAGCCCCGCAGCCAGTCTATCCATAATTAATCTGCACAGTACCCGACATACCGGTCCACCTTCACACTGCGCGTCGCTCGCGTTCTTTTCTTGAAGCCTGGTCCTCAACAAACATTTTTTTTATTTCTTCTCGATAGGCTCCAGCGCGTGGCACTAATGCATCTTATCTCCAGCCCTCCCTGTCCTGTCATGTCATGTCATGTCAAATCCTGCCCTACTACTGTAGCTAGCCAGCCTCCGGGGCGGAATTCCACTCCCATCCTTGTTTGTGCCTGCCAGCACTTCCTATACCTCCGCTAGGCACTCACTCCGTACTGCAGCGGATCTGATTCCCCGGCAGACAGAGAGACTGCCGAACGGACCCGTACATCAGCTGTCGGGAACATAGTAGGAAAAGGGAGAAAAGGAGATTCTAAGCTCCGTCCCAGCTGTGGAAGTTGCTCCTCGAGTAGACGAAAGCAAGCACAAGACAAACTCTGTCCCGGACCTGCGGAGGACGCGTTAGGCAAGCTTACACGACGTGATATGTGTATGTTTATATGTGCATATATATCATGAAATGCTCCGTGTCTCCCCAACTCTGTGGCTCCGTTCTCCGTGCTCCATGCCCATAGCTTCGCGATACTTAGATGAGGTAGTTAGACGCTGCTCACAAGAATTGGGATGCAGGTATGGTACATGGCTCCGCGATAGTCGGTTAGTTGATGTGGCTAGACGCCGTTCTCAATCATCGGGATGCAGGCAAGGCACCAATGCTGCGAACATGAAAGGGGGTATCATTTTTTTTACATTTTTGTACACAAGTCAGGTACATCTTTGTACATTACAGCAGAGAACAAGAAAAGAAACGGAAAAGAGTTGCCAGATCTGCCGTCCCATATGCAGCATACCATCTCATGGCCAGAGCGCACACGCATGACGTAATTCCTGTGAAATGGGTGGGCTTTCATGTCCTTGCACAAAAAAAAAAGCAATGTCCGCAGACAGCTAGGGAAGAAATGGCCGGGCCGAGATATCTTGGTTTCCCTTTCCTTCCCTTTCCTTCACACGTCGAACCTCGTCTTGCGCTTGCCCGTAGCCGTCGGGAACGAGACCCCTTCGGCGGCGGGACCACCACCCGGCGTGCCTCTCCACGAGGGTGCGCCAGCAGCGACAAAGTCGAGGGGCTCGCCGCGGGGCCGCTCGCGGTCCTTGGTGCCGCGCTCCTGGGCCTTCCTCAGCGGGCCGCGGTAGGCCCAGGCGGGGAACGCGGCGGGGTCCCACAGGGCGGGTGGCAGCGTGGTGGCGTACTGGGCTGTGGTTGACTCAGACGCGGACTCGGTCGTCGTCGGCACGCCCGTAAACTCGAGCAGCTTGTCCATCAGGGCCGGGTTGCGCATCGCGCTCGACGTCGCTAGCTGCTCGTTGAAGTGCTTGCCGCGCGTGCGCTTGAGCCGCAGGAACTCGTCGAACCGGGCCGTCAGCGCCGCTGCTGCTGATGACTCGCCGGACGACGAGGGCGAGCCCGGCGGCGACGGCGGGATTACCATGTTTGCCACGGCTGGCAGCGTCAGGTCGCGGATCAGCGCACGCCGCGCCGTGTACGGCGACCGCGGCGGCTCCTGGGCGGCACCGGCGGCGGCGGCGGCGGCGGACGGGTCCGAGATGTCGTCGAGGAAGCTCATGTCGACGTCATCGTCGGCGAGGGTGCCAGCGGAAGCGGAGGCGGTTGCTGTGTCTGGAGGTGGACGCGCAGGACCGAGAGTGGGACCCATCACCGGGCCTAGTTCTGGGCCTTGGGTTTCTGTCGGCCTGGGGGGTCCTGTCGCGAGTGTGGGCGCGGGGCGGGGTGGTGCTTGTGTGACTGTGTAGACTAGACGGTCAGGTCGGGCTGGCTCAAACTCGATGGTTCAGATTGAGCGAGCCGGCACCACTAACCTTGTGCTGTTTGGGGGTTTATTTTTGGTGATGGCGGTGTTGTAGACTTTAAACCCAATTTCAGCATCCTCTCATGAAAATTAGATGAATATGGGACCATTCTCACCTGTGTCTCTGTCTCGTTCTCGTTCTCGTTCTCGTTCTCGTTTTGGTCGAGCCCGTCCTGCGACTTGTCGTCCTCATCGCTGCTGTCGTACTGCACCAGTCCCATATTTCCAGACCAGTCACTCTTGCCTCTTAGAGCACAAAGAAGCGATTTTGGGATGTCTTGCGTTTTCGGGTTGTTAGCGAGGCTGCAAGGCTGCGGATTTGGTGAGTGTGCTGATTAGGTTTAGGTGAGAATGACGGCTGTCACGTGCAGTGAGCGTGTCTTTTCAAGACGGGACCACTCCAAAAGAATATACTGCCTCAGGCACCAGTGCGCCTGGACCACTGCCTGCAGTACACCCTGGCTGGCAGCCTCCAACCAGGAAGGCAGCACTGCGGACGCGAAGCCAGCTCCAGCCTCAATCCACCGCCCAACTTCGAGCTCCAGCTTCCAACAACGTAATACACCATCACCGCATCCCATCCGTTTGCGACCACCAATCCACCACCGCGAGCCAGATCGAGACAAAGACACATCTCCGAACCCTCAACCCCTCTCCCAATTTAGGGTCCCCGAAAATATAAAAGCAGCCATGGATCACCGCCCGCAAGCCTGGGGTCGTGTACGTTGTTTGGCCCTCTCCTCCATCCATCGCAGGCAGGCAGGCAGGCAGCTTGCTGACATGACATGTGTCGAATGCGCATCTAGCCCAGAGACGACGTGTACGGCGCCTACGACTACTCGTATCTACAGTCGGGCGGGCCGAAGCAGATGACACAGTCGCCCGTGGTGACGGGCACGTCGGTGATTGGGATTAAGTTCAAGGACGGCGTCATCTTGGCGGCTGACAACCTGGGTACGTCCGCCCCTCATCCCCTTTTCCCATCCTATATATCTCCATAATAAACTGACCCCCCCGGGCACACAGCATCCTACGGCTCGCTGGCACGCTTCACGGATGTCAAGCGGCTGCGGGTGTTCCTGGGGACGTCGGTGGTCGGCTTCGGCGGCGACGTCAGCGACATGCAGTACCTAGACCGGCACCTGAACGAGCTAGCGATCGACGAGTCGTACGAGGGCGGGGGCGCGCAGGAGGAGCACGGTGAGAAAGGCAAGCTGAACGCAGCGAACCTGCACACGTATCTGCACAAGCTCATGTACCGGCGGCGCAACGACTTTGACCCGCTGTGGAACCAGGTGCTGGTGGCGGGGCTCGACGCGGCCGGCAAGCCGCACCTGTCGTCGGTCGACCTGCGCGGCACCGCCTTCACGTCGCCTTCCTTGGCCACGGGCTTCGGCGCCGCCCTCGCCCAGCCCATCATGCGCAAGTACGCCGCCACCGAGGAGGACGCCGCCCGCCTCACCCGCGACCAGGCCGTCAAGGTCGTCCAGGATTGCATGAAGGTCCTCTACTACCGCGACGCCCGCTCCCTCGACAAGTACAGCATCGCCGTCGTCACAAAGGACGGCGTCGAGCTCAAGGAGGACGAGCAGCTCGAGAAGCAGAGCTGGGCCTTTGCCGAGCAGATCCGCGGCTACGGCACCCAGACCGTCTAAGATGGGCGGACGAAATGATGCATGTTGGAGCTACGAGTGAATCGGAGTCTACGGGGGTGAGGACTAGTGGGTTCAGGCCATCTCTGGAGTTTCAGGATCACCGCGGTGCTATAGACTCGAGAGCTGCCAGTTGCGCCAGCTGGAGCGCCAAGACGTTGGGCACGCCATGACTTTGTGAACTTGAATGGCAATCTAGATAGAGAGCGGTTACGATACGACCGAAGCAGCCTACGGTAGCAAGGCTCATGTAATTTTAACACATCAGACATGGGAACCGGCGTTCACTCCTCGTCCTCGATGCATGTCGTGTTGTGAATATGTACTTGATATGGTCTGTTTTTTGCAAGCCACTATTTTGACACGTTCCTTATTCCGTCTAAGAGGTTGCCGTGTCAAAGAAAAGCAAATAACCGCTGAACCATGAATATCCTCCGCTCGCTGTGCTACCTGCGCCTTTACTTTCCTTGCCAGTTCCCTCTCCTAAACAATTCCTGTTGGGCGGTAGACAAAAAATACTAGTACAAAGATGCTTAGGCATTACCACCGAGTCAAAATTCGCCGTGTCGTTTTTCCCGTCGGTCCTCCACCCAAAAATTTAGCTGACAACACCTCCGAAGACATTGTGTAACTTACTCCACCGTCACAGACTTAGCCAGGTTGCGTGGAAAGTCCACATTAAGGCCTTCCATGACAGCGAGCCAGTATGCAATGAGCTGGAGCGGGATGACGTTCAAGATGCCCTGCAGGACGTCGACCGTCTTGGGAACCTCGATCCTCTCGGCCTGGTTGACCTTGAACTCCTCGTCGCCTGTGTTGCAGATCACAATCGGTTTGCCACCGCGAGCAATAACTGTTAACAACAGAGGTTAGAAAACGTGTCGCAAAATGAGGGCAGACGTGGGGAAACAAACCTTGCTGGTAGGCATTCAGACTCTTCCTAAACAAGTCGTCACGAGTCAAGATCATGATGATGGGCAGGTTCTCGTCCACCAAAGCTAGCACACCGTGCTTGAGCTCACCGCTCATCACCGCCTCACAGTGAAGGTAGCTGATCTCCTTTATCTTGAGCGCGCCCTCCAGCGCTGTGCTGTACTGGCTGCCACGGCCTAGAAGCAGCAAGCTCTTCTGGTCTTTGAACATGCGAGTGCACAAATCCTTGATCTTCTGGTCTTGCTGCAGGATCGACTGGATCTGGCCGCTGATGTTGCCCAGTCCCTCCATGATCTCCTCACGCCGCTTCTGCTTGGAGGCGCGGTCCTCACTAAGCGACAGCGCAAACATGACCATGGCGATGAACTGTGATGTATATGCCTTGGTCGACGCGACACCGATCTCGGGTCCCGCGTTGACGTGCACACCACAGTGGGTCAACAGGGAGATGGACGAGCCAACGACATTGACAATGCCAACCGTCAGCGCTCCGCGCTCCAGGCAGTACCGCAACGCTAAAAGCGAGTCTGCCGTTTCACCCGACTGCGAGACGAAGACGCACGTGTCATCGCGGAAAACGGGCGCCTGGCGATCGAGGAAATCGGAAGCCAACTCTACGGCGATGGGTATCTCGGCGAGCTCTTCGAATACACCTCGTACAGCCATGCAGCTGTGGTATGAGGTGCCACAGGCGATGAAAATGATGCGACGGCAGCGACGGATAGTGCTAATATAACTCCTAAGCCCACCTAGCGTCACTGCCTTGTTGGCAACATCAAGACGACCGCGCATCGTGTTGACGACCGACTCGGGCTGCTCGAAAATCTCCTTTTGCATGAAATGGTCGAACTTGCCCTTCATGATCTCCTGCAGCTCGAGCTCGAGCGTCTGGATGGTTCGCACGTTACTGCTGCCATCGGCCTTCTTCAAGCGGTGGATGTTCAGAGATCCCTCGTGAATATGCGCAATGTCATCATCCTCAAGGTACATAACCTTCTTGGTGTGTTCAACAATCGCCGACGGGTCCGAAGACAAGAAGAACTCGGTGGGCATCGGCATGCCGTCGTCTGTCATAAAGGCACGCGACTGTGAGCGGTGGAGCAGCGACTTGTCGGCGGCGCCCAGGAGACCGTTAGGGGAAAGAAAATTGCCGCCAGAAGATGCAACCGTCTTCTTGAACGCGACGTTTTGAGCCGCCGTCTCTGCGGGCAGAGGGGCGTTCTCGTCGGCGTATTCGACATCAACGAAATCCACCTTCATGCGCTTCTGGGTCTTGACACCAATAACGAGGGGAGAGCCCTTGCGGGCAGCAATGACCTCGTGGGGGAAGTGCACGCTCTTGATGAGGAGACCGTAGGCGCCCTCGAGCTCGTTAATGACGGCCTTGGCGAGGTCGGTGAAGCCCACGTTGGGGTGTTGGTCGAAGAGGTACTTGGCCAACTTTGCGATGCACTCGGTGTCTGTCTCGGTCTCGAACCGGAAGCCCTTGCTCTCGAGCAGAGTCTTGAGCTCTTTGTAGTTTGTAATGATGCCATTGTGGACAATGGCGAACTCCCACTTGGGGTCCGATCTGCAACGAGCTTGTCAGCGACATTCCTGGGTGCTTCCACCTCACCGAGCAACGGGGAGGGCGTCACTGTCTCTCGGCTCTTGTACGTACCTGTGGGGGTGGCAGTTGATGCGGGACGGGGGGCCGTGTGTCGCCCAGCGTGTGTGGGCAATTCCGCAGTGTGAATCGTAAACCTTGGTGAGGTCGACTTCGGACTCGGCGATGAGCTGCTTCAGCTTGGCCACCTTACCCACCTCCTTGAAGGCAAGCACCTCGTTCTTCTTGTCTCCATCGATGGCGAGACCGGCAGAATCGTACCCACGGTACTCGAGACGGGAGAGACCTAAATTGCCGGGAGGCCATACGTCAGCTAGTGTAACTATGAGAGCGGAGTCCAACCTCAACTAGGCTCGTCTGGACGAGTTTGCGGCGCCCCTAGAGTTTTGGCGGTTGAAGTGGCCGGGAAAAGCCCCTCCAACCAGGAGCCGTGGCCGCGCACGCGAACGTACCGTTAATAAGAGTGTCGATAATGAACTTGCGGTCCTTTTCCACAAGGTAATTGACGTAACCGAAAATTCCACTGTAACAAGAAGTGCAGTGTTAGCCCATATCACACTCCTCTTTCCGCAATTGCAGCTTGCAGCTGGCCGCGTCAGCGCAGCGTTCCCTTTGCCCGCCCGCTGCCATTGCTCCTCGAGCTCGCCGTCACCGTCGGTTCCCCCGCCCAGCCGCAGTGCGTTAACTCGGAAAGGAAAGCTCTGCGGCGGCTTGTTGTGTGGACTTGGCGGTGGAGAGAGGGGCAAAGGCAAAGGCAAACACGGCGGGGTGAAGAAAGGCAAAAAAAGTAGGGCGGTACATACCACATGTTGACGGACCAACCAGCAAACGACGGGATGCAAAAAAAACTCTGTTGCTAATGCGGATGCAAAACGGGGGTATCAATGGAAAGCGATGCAGCAAAACCCCAAAGTTGCAGACAGCGAGCGAAAGTTTGCAATGTTGGTTGTTGAAATGGGTCCTGGAAAGGTTGCTGTGTCGCCGGGGAGCATGTCTTTATGGCTAATTCTGGTCAGCGAGGAATGCAGCGGTTGCTCCAGGTGCAGAGGCGCAATGTGGAGTGGGGCTAGTGTAGGGGCCGGGGGTGTGAGGGGCAGGCGCAGCACGACGCCGACGGGCAACCAAAGGAGGTGCATCCCTCTGCAGTGGACCAGGCTCGGGCTGCACTAGTTTCGAGCCATCTGAGCTGTCTTTAACGCGGATGATCGCTAGCTAAGTGAGACTGCACGACTAAGGTGCCTCTGTCTCTTCGGGTTTTGCTCCTCCCGTCCCGTGCAGATCAACGAAACCCCGGGACTTTAGACGCAAGCGACAAGGAGTCGTCAGCTTCCCTCCATCCCTCGGTCGATTCCTGTTTACCTAGAGTACCAAGTCTCTGGCCAAGAAACCGAAGCCAGCTGGCCAGTGTCTCCTTCCAAGGCTAAGGCAGGTAAGATTCTTGTTTCTGATAAGGCCATACGCAGGAAGGTGGGCTTAGAAGCAGGGACGGGACCCAGCAGCAGACTCGGGCGTTTCGGCAGGACGCTTCAAATAAGCCCCCCTCCACCCCTCTTCCCCCCTGTCTTCAAGTCCAAAAAGATGTGCATTCCACGGGTTGCTGTGTGCGCCCGAGCCAGGTGTAGGTACCTTGGTGGATAGTAGGAATTTCTTCTTCACGCTAGAACTGCCTTACAGTTAGTTCCTTTGAGGCCACGCTCCGTGCCGGATCCGTGGTCAGCGTCAACTCTCGTTTGCGTAGTTCTGGATAGTGCCTTGCCAAAAGACAGGGCGCCCTTCAAGGCAAGCACTGGCAGATATGCATGCATGTTCTCCATACAGGACTGTACATATGCACCCGAGGCAGGACAGGCAGGGCCGAGCTCACGTTGTTTGGGTTTTGCATGATCTCGGACTCCAATTGGTAGGGTGGGCTTTGCCCAGCAACACCGGATATTTCGTATCAGACTGCAAGCTTGCACACAGCGTCCACAGATGGCATGGGTGGGCGCTCAACGGCCCTGGCCAACCTGCCGACAAAAATGATTAGTATCAAGGCCCCTCAGGTAATCGGTACTGTACACGTGCAGAGTAGAGTCCCAGTCAAGACCCCCAATAGATGCGGAGAGCCTTCGTAATTGTGGATCGATGCAAGAGCTCCCCAAGGTTGCTCCTCCAAGGTGTTCGCCTCTTGCCCAGAGCCACTTTTCCAGCAGCATCCCGGTTGCGGTTGCGAGCAGCTCGGCTGTTTGCTACCCGGGTCCATTTGGCCCATCTCGTCTCCAATTCTGAAATCTCGATTCGCGAAGCCCTCTCGTTTGCATCGATTTCCAGTCCTGTCGGGCTCCTTCCTTGCTGCGCTGTCACTGGGGCATCTGGTTTGATGACGGCCACTCGCAGCCGCCCGTCGTATTAGTCGCGTTGGTCTGTTGTCCGGTGTCCTATGACGGCAGCGCTTGCCCTCTGGCTTCTAGCGCCCGCTAGCCAAGGAAACCGCTAAGTCGCTGAATGCACGCATGCAGGCCACTGCACGGGAACCCACCCTCTGACGCCAGGGCGATCGGCGCCCGCCCAGAGCTTATGCCCGCCACCGTCCGCTTTCTCAAAGCCGCCCAGCCCACGAGCCCACTTTTTGCGGCTGTACACGGTAGAAGAAAGGGGTCGATGGAGGCCCGGAGGAGGCGAGTGGGGCCTGCCGCGGTGACGCCCGGAGGCCCCTCCATGGATCAATCGTCAATCGTCAATCGTTCGCTGCAGTCTATTCTTAGCTTTGGACGACATTGCCTGCCGTACCTGCGGATCACAGATCCGTAACACTGCGCAAAACACCGCAATTGCTACGGTGCATGCTCTAACTCGACACCTACCGGCCTTGATATCCCGGACCTCGCCGCGCGTGGCCAATTGCTGGCGCCGAGGACGCTGGACACGAGGGTGAGAAGATGAGAAGAGACGGTGACGGATGTGGATAGAATACGAGCGGGAAATTTGCTGCCCTGCGGCCCGGTATATCCTCTATCGCACGCCGCGCCAGCAAGCAACAAGCATCATGGAATACAAATCTGCATACGCGCGTCGCAATGGGCCAACGTCTTCTCAGTCAATCAGACCCAAAGAGCGACCGACGGACGGTAGGCAAAGGATTCTTGCTTTTATTATTATCAGCAATGCAGTGTCAACAAATGCGGTGCAGGTCAGCTATATCATTGCATTGATGGCGCCATCCCCCTCCCTTTCACCACATGGACACATGCCAGGCATGTAGTACTGTGCATACCGATTTGCCGATTCAACACACAGACATGATGGAAGTCAGGCCCATCCAGTCGGCAACCAGGCAGCAGGTGGCAGTCGGCACGGACTCGTTTCCATCGCCCTCCGCCAGCAAACCCTTTGAGAAACTTCCTACCTGTTCTGGAAAGACCAAATCCTTCCCAGGTCCAAGGCCATCCTGTCAGCGCAAAGAGACGGAACTCAACCACCAACAGTCGCACAAGGGGGGCGGCGGTGAAAGACTGAAACCCGAGACAAGACTGCTGCTCACTTGTCTGCGGTTGCAACGCAAAAAGTGCGAGGCTTACGAGCATCTCTGCTTTGAATCGATATAACCCATGCGGGCTCTGGACGAGAATGGCAAGGAGAAAATTCCCAAGACGGGTCCGAAGTACGGAGTATGGCGTGACCAGCCTTTCTCGGAGCTGTGCACGAATCGCTTTATTTCCGTTCCCGTGTGCCGTTCCCGAGCCGTGAGACGTGTCGCAGTTGGGTGAGAAAAAAAACTGCACGGCACTAGTAGCAGGGTTAGGGTTGTACCAAAAGAATAACCCCTTTATTTTCATACCCATGATGTCTAGGTAGGTAGGTAAGTAAGGTAAGCACCTTGTCATATCCTATGTCTAGCAAAATGCTGTACGCTGGCTGACATCTGTGTCTCTATATCTGCATCACTGGCCCAAGAACTCTCTCATCTTCTTCAGCGCATCTTGTCTATATTCGTCGAGGTCCAAACTGAAAATGAAGGACCATCGACCGGCAAACGCCGCTCTCACCCTGGCCGGATCCAGGCCAACATCAGGGTTTTGCCCGCACATGATGGCACCAGTGCCCCGGCTCGAGTCGATAACCTGCTGGCAGCGCGGCCGCCGGACCACGTCAAAGGCCTTGAATGCGGCTTCGATGTCGGCTCGGCGTTTGACGTGGTCGTTGCCCAGGAGGAAGCCGAGGATCAGCGCGTCTTCAAAGGCCTGTCCTGCACCGGCGCCCTGCCACGGGGATGTCGCGTGGGCGGCGTCCCCGATGATGCAAACACGCCCGTTGGCGTACGTAGGAGTGGATTTGTGCTCCCATTGCGAGTAGCCCTGGGGATCCGCCTGGTCGAGGACAAGCTGCACGACAGTTTAATTAACTCTCTATCCAGATGAGACCAGACCTGAAAGGCTAACGTTTGGCGGGGACGGAGAAGCTCACATCTATTACCCCCTTCGCAATGGGCCCGTCAAGCCACGTGCGCAATGACTTGGTTAGACTTTCCAACGTCAGCGGGCGCTTCCTGTCCCGGGGCGCGTCTTTTTCCACCGCAGACACGACGCACTGCACCGTCGTCCCCGCGTCCAGGATGTCGTGCATGATAAACGCCCCGTCGCCCACCCAGCCGTACTGGCGGTGCACGTCGAAGTACTGCTCGCCGAGCGTGGCCTTGGCCTTGTCGAACGGCACCAGCACCCTACAGTCCCAGAACCCCGCCGGGGACGGGCCGTGCTCGGCGGCGGCGGCGGCGGCGGCGTCGCCGAGCACGAAGCTGCGCACCGAGCCAAAGATGCCGTCGGCGCCGATGACGGCGTCGAAGCGCTCGACGGTGCCGTCTTCGAAGCGGACTTGGTAGAGGCCGTCCTCTTCCTGCACCAAGGAGTTGAGTTTTTTGTTTGCGTGCAAGAGGTCCGGCGGCAGCGGCGCGAGCAGCTCGCGGAGCAGGGCCGCGCGATGCACGACCACGCCTGGGTCGCCGTGGCCCGCCAGGTCGATGATGATGGTCCCTGCTTCCGGCCCCGAGCCCTAAGAGACAAGATTTTCAGCTTCGGCAGGAGTCATGACATGGCTGCCGGGCGCTTGCTTACCAGCACGGCCCGGCTCGAGTTCATGGGGACGGCGCCAGCCCGTTCGAGCAGCTCTTTGGAGGAGGGCACGATGATCATCTCCAGGGCCTGCTGCGCGTTGGCCGACAGACCCACGGCGGCGCCGCGCTCCGAGAAGGTGGCCGAAGACTCGTAGACGTGCGCGTCGAGGTACGGGATGCGGAAGAGCGCGTTGGCGAGTGTGGCGCCCGCGAGACCGCCGCCGATGATGGCGATGCGGAACTTGTTGTCTCCCATGCTGAGGACTAATGTTGTGGGCGTCTGGCAGAGTCTGCAAGGCTATTAACAAGTGACTCCGGGGAGTGGTCTCTTTTAGGGGGAGGCGTTCGACTCCTCGTTGAGAAAAGGGGAGAAGTCAGAGCCCGATGCCCGAGACGTCACACACCGAGCCCGGCCGCTTCGTCGGCCGCCGCCAGTTGTATTCCCCTTGCTGTCTTCAATTCCGTCTTGATAATCACAACTACCACTATATATGAGGCAGGGGCCTGGCAAATGAAGGCCCAGGTCCTACCTGTGGCTGTGCCTTACGCAGATTAATCTACGGGCCCCCGGTTAGGCAGATTTGAGAGGGAGACTCAGCTCGAGGCATGGTAGCTAAATTATCTCACCTACAAAGCAGGAGCGGCGCGTGTGTCAACAGCTGCGATATGGCAATCCAGCAGATCAGGGGCACAGCAGACATTTGCCTGTTTTTTTTTGTCTCGGTAATTGCAATTCTTCTAGAAGAACCTCTGTTGGTCGCATGGGCCCGTTTCGCTTTCGAGCATGCCGCGTGCGCAACGCGGCTCACGCGGAGATATATATGCCCGCCCGACCTGTCTATCTAGGTAGGTACCAACGTCACTGACGCAACGAATCATGGAAAAGAACTAACCGGCGAACGCGAGGCAGACTGTTGAGATCGGGAAAGGGGGCTGCGGCAGGTATTTCCAGTGCAAGTGAATGTGACCGTATTCTGTTGCATGGAGAAACCACTACACGCATGCCAGCAGCCACGCTTCTACGCAAAGTCGCTTACATATCGTACATTCAACTCTCTATCTATCCAACCTGGAAGTGCCAGCCCGTTACCTAGCTACTAGTTCTATTCTATCCTAAACATCCTCCAGTGGTCTACGACTTCCCACATGCGGTGCCGCGGCGGCCTGCAGTTCGAGCGGGAATGGCTTACCGCTGTAAGCGCTGCCGACCGAAGCAGAGTAGTCAGAACTAGCACCCCAGTGGCCTGCCACAGCAGCCTGCTGGGGCTGGCAGTAGTATTTGTTGTTGCTGTTATTGCCACGGTGCGACACGGTGACGGTGGCCGTGTGCTTGAGCAGGATGGGCTGCTGGCTCGCGGCCTTGGCGTAGTGATGTGCATTAGTGTTGCCGTTGCCGTTGGCAGCCGACGAGGAGCCAAACGACGGCGACGACGTCTTGCCGCTGCCGCTGCCGCCCAGCCGCACCATGATCTTGACGCTGCGCAGCACCGACGCCCACGGCAGCTTGCGGAACAGCACCTGGAACACGGGCGCGCAGGCGGCCAGGATGCCCGTCCCGGCCTCGACCATGCCCCAGTATAGATACTCGGTGATGACGACTAGGAACTGTGTTAGTCTCTGTTTTTATTTGGGATTAAAAGGGGGGACGGGGACGGAGACGGGGACACAGACGGATCTGGTCGGCTTCGGGGTCGAACCCGAGGTACACCATCTGGATCGTCATGACGAGGCGGAGCAGCGAGGCTATGACGGTGCTGTGCGAGGATAGAGTTGTTCAATCAGATTCTAATGGCAACACGAGTTTTCTTTTAGGGTCAAGTACTGACACTGATCCGAGCAGAAACACGGCGCTGGCGGTGAGCTTGTTGGCTGTGGACAGTTTCAAGCGCCAGACCTGTGACGTTGTTAGCCTTTGTTGTTGTAACCCCCTACTTCACCAGGACGGACGAACGGACGGGCGGCCGGACAGACAGACAGACAGACAGACAGACAGACAGACAGACAGACAGACAGGCAGGCAGACAGACAGACAGACAGAGGAGACGGAAAGCTCACCAAGGGCGCCGGGATGCAGAAGATGACGACGTCCGTCACAACATTAGTAATGCACAGCGACAGGTCGACAAACATGGTGCCGGGGCAGTGGGAGTCGAGGTCGGCGGGCGAGCCGAAGAAGGCCCACAGGTCGAGGCGGCACTGGAAGAGGGTGGCGAGGAAGAAGGCAGCGGTCCACAGGGCGACGAGCAAGATGACGGCGGTGAGGAACACGTGCGTCTTGCTGGCCGTCGTGGTCGAGAAGATGCGGAAGTAAAAAAACAAAATGCTCAGCTTGACGCACCCCAGCGCCAGCGGCAGCATCAGCGTGAAGGCGAACTGCACCCGCATGGTCGCCGCCGTCTGCGCCGTTACCAGGCCCAACATGTCGCCTCCTGCGTAGTCCGCCGGGATGTCCAGCGTGTGCGCCAGCGCCTGCTGGGACACGCCGTAGAACATGACGCTGCCGATGCCGACCACCAGGAGCTTTTTTGCGTAATGTCAGCAACCAATCAAAATAGGCCCTCAACGTGGGAACAGCAAGGAACCTGCGTACTGTCGCGGGTATGATGAGCCAGTCGTCGGCTCGGAGGCCCTGCTTCTGTCTGTTGCGCGCCCAGAAACGCATCACGACAGAGACCACGTCGACGACGATAAGCACGGCGCCGGCGGCAATGACGTGGCCCGGCGTCTGGTAGTACGCCTGCGGGGGCGACATTGTGGGCGAGCCGGGGCAGGCAGGCGGGAGAGCAGTGATACCTGGGGGTAGCTCGGGGCTGGATCTGAGAGTCCTGACCTGGAGGCTCTGGGCCGCGTCTGACAATGGCAAACCATGCGGGGGATGATATGAGCCTGGCTGGCAAAGACATATAAACCCTATATGAGAGAAGGCTCCCAGAAGAGTATAGCGGCCCCGGGGGAGTGTTCCTGCGGGGATCGCCGCCTGGACTGGTTCGACCGGTATGGCCGCTGCGTCTTACCGCCGCAGAGTTAATTGCCTCTGACTTGACCTAGGCAGATTTCGTCGAGTTGTGCCACCGGACAAACTGCCGATGCTCACTTCGCTGGCTTCAGGGCCAGGTAGAGCCCAACTCCCTGCTTTGCGTCATGTAGGACCTCGGACCGGCTCTTGTCATGAAGTAGGCAGCTCGGGCAAGATGTTTGCTCCGACGAAAGGCATGTCCGCCCCGACACAGCTGTGTCAGGATTGCCGAATGCCATGCCGAGGCACAGCTGAGTCTTGTCGCTGTGCACAATAAACAAGGGGCCGAAGGCTGCCGATTAGGTGTGCGAGGGACGGGCCAAATGAATAGGCCCCAACCAGGAAATGCGCCCCGGGATGATATTGGCTTATCAGTGAGGTTGGGCACTGCGACTCCGTATTAGCTACGGCGTGTTCCATGATTGCGAATTGTGGTGCAATACATCCCATCCCGTAGCGCAGCTAATAACACGCACACGCGAGCACTTTAGCCGGGCTGGCCTGGCCCTTGAACATTCACATTCAAACAACCATCAGTGAGTGATGCAGGTTAATTCACGAATGAATTTGCAGTGGGTTCAACGCAAATGTTGGTCACCACGTAGGGGCACAACAAGAATCACTCGGGTGCCGATGAGCTGACAACAGAGATTTCACTTTGTTGCTCATGATCGGAGTTGACAGCGCTTTGAATTGTCTGCCCAAATAGATCTAAAAGTACAGAAAAGAAGGCTTCCTTATACTCGTTGAGAGAAGGCAGGGAAAGTGTTGTAATGAGCCCGAAATGAGGGCATTTCGAGGCCAAGAATGAAGGAAAAATAGAGAATCAAGTATAGAGGCATGCTAACCAGGGCCTGGAAAATGTGGTTCAATTCCATGAAAAGTGGGTCAATTCCAGGCGGCCACTTGTTTCCCTTGAAATTCAAACTCAACTACGAAAGACAAATAAGAGCTCAAACAAGCACACAAGCACACAAGCACACAAGCACAAAGCACACAAGCACAAAGCACACAAGCACAAAGCACACAAGCACACATCCAGTAATACTATAGACAGCCAGCCCTGCCACATACCCCATACCAAGTTCCTAACCCTCAAACCGGGGACGGACCGCAGGATTAGGCGAGACCATGCGGGCGCGGGCCCAGCCGTCGACGGAGCTCCACCGGGCGCACACGGCCTGGGCGCTGGTCGTGGCGACGGGGCGGTCGCGCGTCGGGTCGATCCAGGCGAACGAGTAGAGGGCCAGGTTGGCGTGGCACATGACGGTCAGCCGCAGCGACTCGATGCAGTGATCTATGCCAACAGCATTAGCTCGAGTTTTCCTGCTTTGGATCTTGGATGGAAACGGGATCACGCACCGAGGTGCGAGTGCAGGTACGCGTCCTCGGCGGCCGTGAGGTTGGGGTAGTAGCGGCTCTGGAAGACGAAATTGCGCAGCCGCCGCAGGCAGTGCAGCTCATGGTACACGGCGATCGTGGCCAGGTAGCCGCCGCCGCCGTCGGCCAGCGCGGCCATGGATTCGAACTTCTCGCCCGCGCGCTGCATCTCGGCGCGGCTGGCGCGGATCATGACCGCTAGTTTTTGTCAGGAGCACGGCGCTGGTTGTCTGTCTGTCTGTTCGTCTGTCTTGGGGGGTGAGACTCACGCCTGAGCAGCTCGTCCCACGCGTCGTCTTGTTCTTGCGACGGCGGGCCCGAGTAGCGGCTGAACTTGTGGTAGTCGAGCGACGTCTTGCCGCTCGTCTCGTACTCGATCGAGTCTTGGAGGGGCGCTTTGGTGTTGTGAGCGATGAAGCTGTAGTCAGCGTGCTGGCCGTCTCTCGGATTTGGATGGGCGCCTATGTGTCTTACACCATGTCTGCCCGCGGGTGCATGGCAGCAGGCCAGGATCCTCGCGCGTGCTCCTCCTTGCCCCCCACAGCAGCACCACTAGCAAGGTGATCAAGACATGGAGCGCGAAGCTGTACGCTTGCTCGCGAGTCACGGATCGTTTCTGGTTGTGGCGTGCTCGCAAGGGCGAGTCGAGGAGCTGTGGGCACTGCTCGGTGTCTGCGTCGAAGCTGGTAAGGTCGGTTGGCGACATGTTGACACTGCTCAGGACTTGAAAGGGTAGTTGTCGAGCAGCATGTGGTTAACGCATGTCGAGGCCGGCCGGCGGTAAACGATTCACGGCGAGTAATATGATTGATTGATTCAGGTAGATGCACACCGATTCTCCGACTAGGTAAGTCTCCGGACAGACTCCGAACCAAAACATCCCGATTTGCCGAGTTTGCCCTTTTGAAGCTGCGGGGTTGGCGAGGCATATGGAAGTAGGAACGCGGCGTGGTTCGTCCGTACGGGTGTCGTACCTAATGCTCGATGAAGGGTAATATAAAATAAAGCTCCCCTCCTTTGCAGCATGTGCCCAGGTGGACAGGCAAGTACCTATCCTTGTTGCTGAGCTTGCTTCCACTGGACAACATGCCACTTGCCGGAGCGGAGGGCCGTGGCACTGCATCCAGCGGCCTCGTCGGCCGATTGCCGGTTGGCATTGCAAGCTCGCTCATTGGCACCGAAACAGCTGCAACCAACTACGAGAGAGGAAAAATTATAAGAAGCCGGCCGAGGCCGATGTGTTGAAAGAAAGGCACGAGCCCGGCTCGACAAGTTGGCCACCACTACTTGAAGTTAGACCGGTAATACCGAGCCAGTTGCTTATTATTCACCCCCACCCAACCGTTAGAATGCATCTTAACAAGTACTTTGTCATCCTGCTCGCGCTTGTCGCTAACATGGCGGCGGCGGTGCCCCTGCCTAAAGGTGAGACTCACAATTACCACTTGGTCTTGTCTTGCAGCCATACCAGCATGATTGCTGACGTCTGTTCTCAAGACATCATCACGGAACCCTACAAGGACGGGGACGATGACAAGGACAAGGACAAGTGCAAGGAAGCTAACTTCCCGACTTTGGCTAAGGGACGTGTCAGCACGTGCTTCTTCTAGGGAGACGTCACTGCGGCGGTGGGGGAGTGGCTGCATGGGCTTTCTTTGTTGACGCCTTGGCTGGTAGGAGACTGGGCTGGAGGCGGCTTAGTTGGGTGCTACGTAGTACCTTGTTCACAGCACTTGGTTATCTGACAATTTCACGTGTTTAAACTGGCAATCTAGGTTCGTGAAACGTCTGGGATACTTACCTAAGTGGTCGGCCCTTGTCTTCGGCCTGACCGCTGTGTCTAGGGTGGGATTCTGGTCATTGGGGACTACTAGTTACGTCTCCTTGGAGAGATACGTCCTGGAGAGATACGTCCTGGAGAGATATCTCTAGGATGGATAATTAATTAATGGCCGAGCCTCTATAGATAGACTGCAATTTAGGTAGTTAATAAATTAAAAAAACGCTGCGTGGTTGCGGCTCAGCCTTAGTTAATACCCAGCATAGGGCGAGATCAATTTGGTAGAGGTTGCAAGACCTTTGCAGAGACACAATCCTCCCTGATAAACATTGGAAAGTGTCTATATAAATCAATCTCCGACAGGAAATGCCGAGACGCGAGGATCATGCCCCCTTTCACTCCTCTTTGTCCCATTTACTAGGACTCGGCACTTGACTAGACTGCCTGAGCTACTTACCTAGCTGAGGACCCCAGCCCAGTTTCTAATATGTACCGTTAAATTCACTTGGATGCTGCTATCCTTGTCCGCATCGGTTGCCACTTGTCCGAGAGGGCGTAGATCCATATTACCCCTTGTATTTGGAGCCTCGATTTCTACTTCTGATCCCCCACTCCCCAGCCTCTTCTCTAATTACTAGGTTGTCTTGAAAGTTAGGCCAAGTCAGACAAGCATGCCATGCCATGCCATGCCACCTGGTTGAATAAATCAGTCCTTGGCGCTGCAGACCAATCAACTGCCCTATAGCTCGCCCCTGACACTGACACCCTCCCTCATAACGGCTGAACGTGATACTACCTAGTGTTGTTATTGGAACAACGCGCCAGTCAGCCACGGAGGTGGCGGTGGTGGCGCATACACTAGCCACACAGGTGGCGGTGGAGGCGTAGGGCCTCCCCCCCCCCCCCCCCCGGATTTCCACATAAGTGGCCTACGGCCACCCCCTTCTAGATGCACAGACATCAACAATCAACACTTGAACCACCAGACTTCGGCGTGTTACGCCCTGTTGATTCCAGTACCGGTACCTGGTGATTCCAACACCTACATTCCCTTCTACAATCTCTCTAATCACCTCCGTATTTTTCTCTATTTGATCACTTGTCTTTTTTCCCTTCACGAATATCTACGTATGCTCCAGAACTCCATACTATAACTCCTGAGCCAAAGAAAATCAGGCCAGAGGGCATAAACCCAGACGACAACCTAATAGAAACAGCCATAAAAGATAATTTCACCAAGGATAAATCTAATATCGACAACCATCTTGTTTACAAAGAACCCGCCCCGATCTCTAAGCCGTAATACGCCAAGATAATAAATATACAGGTAGCGTCAATTACTAGTACTATATACTTATTAAGAACTTGGACTAATAAATATGTAAAACGGATATCATCCGCTGGTGCGGTATGGATTGGAACGGTGGTGGTGGTCGAAGTCGTGGCGAGGAGATGACTTTTTGGCATACCCTGACTGCTTGCCGGCTTTCCTGCGGTCGTGTCAGACTCCAATGATGACTGCTCCGTGCACCCCAAGCCGGCTCAGATGTGATAGCCACTGTTTCTAGCTCCATTGAAGCGTGAAATTTAGGATAGATCGGAGGCCTAGTTGCTGCTAACTTCGTTGCTGGGGTCTGGGTAGCGGTTCGAGGAGCTATCTCTCAAGACCCGTGGGAACTGAGGGGAAGATGGGTCGCTGCCTCTTGAAGGCTCAGCCGCACGCCAAACGTCACGCCACTCCACTGCCTCCCTGTATGCCAAGCCTCGGAGACCATACCACCTGTCGATATCTCTTGCCTTGACCACGCATCACACTAACAAGAATGGAGGGTTCCCCTGGCGGGTGTCATGGCCCGCCGAGGCCAAGTCGCCGACGACCTGCAGATGGACCACAAAAAGAGGCTGCTGGCTGACAACTGCAGCGCCGTGCGGGACTATGATAGTGTAGGCCCTGACTTCCTCCGTCAGCTAAACGAGCCGGGCTTCGCCCGTTGACGTTGGGGAAGACTGAGGGGCGTCGTCAGATACGGCGCCGATGGGTATTTTGTAAGGCATGATTTGGGCCAGCTCGTCTTGTGATCCTAGGTGCTTGGCGTCTCCGTTTGAAGCTGAGGCCTCAGCAGGCCTCTTCGAAAAGTTCCCTCGACTTGATACCCTTGGATGTATGTCGAAACCGGGCCCGCTGTAGGTGGCATCACGAGCAAGTCCGCCGCCGATTCTACCTACGGTGGCAACACTTAACACTCTTGGATGTATGTTGGACCTGGGCCCGCTGCGGTTATCTCGAGGCACACTGCCGCCGACTCCGCCGACTCCGCTAACTCCGCCGATGGCAGACGCTTTAGGGTGCGAGTCGTGGCTCATATTGCCCAGAAAATGTCTTTGCTGCTTAATTTTCTGTCGTTCTAGAGGAAGTCTATAGAGTTGTAAGCAGATGCGGCAGGATTATTTTAGTGGAGATGGGGTTAGGAGCCTGAACCTACTGTTGCTAGCCGTCTCGATGCGGAGCAACCGGTCGTACACACGATGATAAAGATTGCATGATAAGACCCGTGACGCGCGGCAGTGAGAGGGCGGTTGAAGCATCGCTGTCCGCTGGCTGTCCGGAAGCAGCTCCTTCCACAGTTTCATTCTGTTGTATCGGCGATCCTTCTCCCGTTAGTCACAGTCAAAGACAGGCTAGCTGCCACGAACCTGTACGTTTTCTCTTCAGGATCTGGGTCTAAGCTTCCATGAAATCCAGAGATTCGTCCTTCTTCATCTCGTCAAAGATCATACAGAACGCTTTGAGAGGTGGGAATTCATCATCGTCTGAATCATCGTCCGAGGACGGGCTGTCGTAGATGTCTCGGGTTGATATGGCCGCTCGAGTTAATCACGTAGCTTCCCGCCATCGTGGTTGTGAGACCTGAGAGGAAACTGTCGAGGAGATTCGGACTGCAGGAGCTGGGAGGTAAATTGCAAAGGAGATCTGCTAGGGGCCTCCCAATGGCGATGGTGGCTTATTTATATTCGTCCAGCCCGCTGCCCAGCTCCGCCCACAGTCCGTTGCCTAGAGCTCAGATGCCGCGTTACCTCAAATCGAAGCAAGTCGCCAGACCCCGGGGGGGAAACAGAAGACGAAGTCCTAATAGACGAAGCAGATGTCTGGCGCGATCTTGGCCCGAGGCACACGTCCACGGACCCACCATCCACTATCGTCGATACTCCGCGAAGCAGCCGGTGATCACGGGCACCAACCAACACATGCATAGTCGCTCAAGGTCAGCGACCTGCCAAGACTCTCCCCCTCTCTGTGACTCCTCACTGCCACGACCTGGCACGGCCGAGGCACACCGTGCTGACAATTCTGTCCCAGGGGTAGTGTTCTCCCGGTCGAGGCCGCGTCCTCGTATCGCCGGTCATCTGCAAGAGTCAGGTTTTTGTCTTCGTGGGCAGAACCAACAGACCACCAAGCTGCCGCCATCACCCTATCATGTTCTTACCAGGGCGCGCATGACCGCCCTTCTCTTGATGATCCTTGTCTTTTCCAGGACTTGAAACATCAAGTCATGTCTATCCTGTGAACCCAAGCGCTTAACGACGCATTTTGCCAACCCCTAGCTCCCTTGGGCGCCGGTCTGCCCTTTTCCTTCCACACAAGTATCCTCAAGAATCTCCTTGTTTCGTTACTGTCATCCCCATCAGAACCAAAGCCGATCCGAGACGCCACGCTGCCGTATCTAGGTTGGCAATCTGTCACCCGCCCGCGCCGAAGCAATTTCGCGCCTAAGCAGCCTGTCGGCGGCCGCCGCCGCAGGATGCGTCGAGCTGATCTTGGCTAGGAGCAGAGATGCGTGGGCCGCGGCCGAGGTCTTGATGCGGAGGGGCGTGGCGGGCGGAACGGTGCTGCCGCTTTGTTTCGACTCGGCCGGGTTTCCATCCGTGTCGTCTGGCACTTTTCTCGCAATCAGCGGCGTTTCTCCGCCCCCGAGCCGCAAGTAGGACGGGTCAACGCGCGATCCGCTGTCCTGCATGGCCAAGCTGAAGAGGCCCGAGATGCAGACGAAGTAGGGGATGAGGCAGGAGACGCGCCGCAACGTGAAGAGGTCGTCGTAGGACTGCACGAGGGCCAGGATCGATTGCGTGGCCTGCATGGAGATCTCGTGGGGCCGCATGTCTGAGTCGACTTCGAGGCCGACGAACGGCTGGATCGCGCAGAGGAGACAGAAATGGTAGAACATACTAATTACATCCGTCAGACTGGGGCCGAAACCGAATAGCCTTCGGGACTGTTTGTATTTGTATTTGTTTTTGAATTAGAAGAAACGGTGGGGGACTCGGTATGTGGCTTACTGAACAAAAAGCACAAAGGGCGTTCTTCCGCTCTCCGAATCGAAAAGAGTGAAGAAGTCGTTATACCAGTTGAGACAACTAGTATACGTGCTCACTATCTCGGTCGAGGCAGCTTCGACGTCTTTTCGCGCGGCGGTGGAGATTTTGTAGACCAGCTCGGTCAGCTGGAAAATCTTGGCTGCCATAAGTTGGAGCAACTCGACGCTGTGGGCTTCTTTGGCGAGGTCTATGTTGGTCTCTTCATCAACGATCTAGCGATTTATGTCCCACACGTTGACTAGTCGAACGTCAACAGAGAGGGTGACTTACTGGGTCGCATGGCGCCTCTCCACTCGCTCTTGCCTCCGCTGCTGCGAGACACTTGATCCAAGTATATCAGATCGTCTTGATCTTTGTTGTTGAGTACATTCAATGTCCGTCCGGTTACCAGGGAAAGAATCCTGTCCATCATAAGCGACAATCAGACAAGAGAACTCTTGAGACTTACCGGACTAGGGTTATAGCGCCACAGTACGTGGTGGCTCGTACTCGGGCATGTAGTTCCTCTTCCTCGCCATCCAATGGCATGCGTTGACAAAGGTCCATGATGCTCGTGACGCAAACCTCGGCCAGTTCCTGGGCTTCTGCCTCTCTTCCACAGCGCAACTGGTAGAGGGCGAGGATCCCGAGCGCCTGGATATCAGGAAGCGCATCTGGCTGCCCTCCTTGGCGAAAATCCGACTGGGCCTCTTCGAAGAAAGTCTGGCTTCCTACCCACCCTGAAGGTAGAAGGCCGCTGCTGTCATTGTTTTCGTTAACCAGACAAGTGGCCAGTGCTAGGATGGCGTGCACCAGGGCTGGCGAGCAGAACCGGCTTGACCCGTGTTCAAAGTCGTGCAGGAAAAGATCGGTGCAGAGGAGACAGAATGGGAGGTAGTCAGAGGTGAGAACGACGTCGACCAGATGGCGTATATGCGCCGTGGTCCAGCCTGTGCGTGTCCATGTGTCGACACGAGAGTGCGAGGCGTATGCGTCAAGCGGCAGCGGCGGGAGAGACAAGACTGTTGACGGCGCTGAGATGGCCGAGGCTGGGTCAGATGCCGAGCCAGCGTTGGGGAAAGGGACGGCACGAGATGACCTCCACGACATCAGATGGTCGAAGCAACTCGCTCGAGGGCGGGATGCAAGGTATGCGCCCTCGGAATCAGGGCTGATGACGGAGCCCGAGTAGTACTGCCAACTTGGTGGTGGTGGGAGGCTTGAAGCAGGGCTGTAGGCCGGACCAGAGCCAGAGCCTGGGGCAGAAGCTGAAGGGGTAGGGGAGGGATCTGATTCTTGAACTTCTTGACCGAAGCGTCTCAAGACGTCAGCCCGAGACATGGAGCCGTCGATGAGGGCTTGAAGAACTCTCTTGCAGACTTGTGCATCCTGAATGGATGCCAAGGCAACTAGGACGTTGTCTGTGTCATGGCTGCGCTTGCTCAAGCGGTCCTTCTCGGCACGAAGCTCGTCTTTTGATTCTCGGCGTGTGTGGTCGTACTCGCAAGTCTGCTGGGCCTCGTCGCACCTCCGACACGGTGTTTTGCCATCGCACTGCGAGCAACTCACAAGGTTAGTAGGCTGTTGACTGCCAAGGTGATATTTGAAGAGCACTGAGCAAAGATGTTGTGGCTGCACATGAAGGGACCAAGGCCAGAGGCTAGTGGAGTTCTAGACCGAGACCAAAAAGAGCTCATTGTCATGTTTTTTTTTGCACATTATATTTCTTTTTTCTTCTTTTTTGTGTTCTTTTTTGTCTTGTGGAAGAGGTTTGATTGAGAATGCCATGATTACTTTCGACCGTTTCTTTCGGCAGCGCTGACAGGCTGTTCGTGTTTGGGCTCTCGAAGTCATACTGTGTAAAGTAAGCTTGTGACAGCTTGGCTGGACCCTCTTGCTTGGGCTTGGAGTGGTCAGCCGTGCAGCGGCGTGCAGTCTGGACACTGGACTGTGGAGCGTCGATGAACGTCGATGAGCGCGTAGATCTCGATCTAGACCCGACGACTGTGGGAAAAAATGCAGGAGCTGCCACCACTACGGTCGCTACCTTGGGTGCCTGCGTGTATTTTAATTGAGTGCCCAGCCAAGGCAGCCCTGCTTTCCTTCCCGTCGCGGGCAAGGCAGGATTGCAGAAAGACCCCGTCAAATGACGTCACACCTTGACGTCACTGCCTGCAGCGCAATAAAATTCCGTATTGCAGTTCATCGCGTCCTACTCATGGTTCGTTTGCGAATCCGATTCGGTATCCCTATAAAATTCCAGCACTCTGTGCGATGCAAAGAATGAAATTCAGCAGAATTTGGTGGCCGAACTAATTATCGGGACATTATATACTAGTTATGAGCTACCGGCCCGCCCCCTCGGGTTGCGGCAGCTTAGATCTCGGTCTAAAGTCGCTCAATCTGTAAAGCTTATTACAACTTCCATGCCTTTGTCTCATCTCGTTCTTTCACTTTCTCCTTCCTTTGTCATTTATTCTCTTAGTTCTGGAAATTCGGCATGATTACCTGTGGCTCGTTGCGAAGTCATACTCTCGAACTCAAATTATGAGTTTCCTAGTTAAATATCGCGTACATATGAGAACGGAGACTCTCTCATTCTCTGATAAATGTACATTGCAAAACATGGCGGGTCGTACATGCTGCAAGGCCTGGCTTCATTCAGAGTCGCATACTCGATTCTGGCAGCACCCTTTTGTGTAGAGTTGGGCAACTAATTCAGGTAGCAGTTCCACCACTTGACAAACACCAAGAGAGGGGTCGTATGAGTTGAAAACATGCCATATTTTGCTTGTGCGAGTTAAAGCAGTGTCACCAACGGGTTTCACGGTGCAAGCTCGGTCATTGAAAATCATTCCTTGTCATTCATCGTCGTTCATTGGCAGTCGGGCCAGTGGAGGCTTAATTTGCTCGTGTCGCTTCGCCTGTGTATGTCTCATCGTTACAAGACGAACATCTCATAGCACAAGTGAGCTCGGGATATTTTCCTCGTGTTTGTATGAGCACTTGCCGGTGAATTCATCTCTCGCGTTGACTTCTTAACCAACCGAAACCGAAACGATCGTTACTCGACACAACCCAATTTTTGGTAGATCAGGATAGATACACTGGATCCCATCACGTTTAAGGATAAGGCCGGCCTCTCCATCAACACTTACCGACAGATAAAGGTAACATCCGCGCACCATATCTATCACTGACATGATGTTGAAGGAGCTCCTAATAGTTTTCTTGATTGGCGGTGCCGCTGCCACCGCCGACGACGGACCCTTGGCCCCCGACGGCATTACCCCCACACCCCCACTATTTCACTTCGAAGGGCTTCAAGCTGATCTGCAACGTCACGGACCCGACTAACGACCCGGACCTCGCCAAAGTCGCCCGTGGGTAAGAGATCGAGGGCTTTCATGTGGAGCCGGATTCAACCGTGCTATATCTGTGACTACCTGTGACTAGCTTCTTCAACGACCAAAATATCTTCTTCCAGATCCAAAGCTTCGAGGTCAATTACGAAAGGAACTGGAAGGAGAGAAAGTTCAAATGCTGCGTTATTGAGTGGAGTCAATTGACGACTGGCTGGCAGCTGCCAAAATGCGAATGCAGGGGTCGAGGTCAAAACAAACATCAGTTTTCTGGCGCAGGATTGGGTTTTTCATCCCACGTTAATTAATGTTATTTTACTAATTCGGATGACTTGTAACTAAATCTCAGTATGAACCATTTCGTTTTTCCTCGCCTCGAAGTCGAAGTTGGTTTGCAGGCAGCTCCAACAACGCGCGAAATGGAACCACCCACTAGGGCAACGCTTTCCGAAAAAGGACAAGCCTCTCGGCTTGTGATGGAGCTAACTGACGACCCCTGGAAGTGGAAGCTCGCTCTGAGTCGATCCCCAGCTCTCTGCAGACACCACCAAAATCTCCCGATTTGGGCCTTGTCTTGGCTTCACCAACATCGCATAAAAAAAAAAAGAAAGCAGAAGGAAAATGGGCCACCAATCCGGCGAGGAGAAACGGCTGGCATGTTGGTTTGGAGGAACGAAAGAGGCATGGCCTCTCTCTCAGTCTGCGGCCCAGCGGCAGCAAGCGCGGGCGCAGCGCAGCATAGCAGTCAAGCCGTCAGAGCGTCCATGGCATCCTCGGCTTTGACCGCGGCTCCGCGGCGCCTAGTCTGTTCGTTGGAATGGAGATGCACAGCGCCTCACGGCGCCTCTCTTCCCACAGCAGAGCACCACCAGTGTCTCATCAGCTGCCTCTCCCTCGGCTGTCTGAAGCTTCTCCTTCTTTTCCCCTGACTTTATTTTGCCGTGAAAGCCTGGAAAACATGTCTGCAGGTAGCACAACACAGAAGAAGCAGACGCCCAAGACGGCCATTGTCATTGGTATGTCCAACTTCGTCACCCATTTATTTCCTTTGTTGATGTCTGACATGCATACCTTCGTCCAGGCGCTGGGACCGGTGGCATCGCCATTGCCGCCCGCCTTGCCAAGGCCGGGCTTGCAGTCACGGTGCTGGAGAAGAACTCGTTCACGGGCGGCCGCTGCAGTCTGTTCACCACCGAGGCGGGCTTCCGCTTCGACCAGGGCCCGTCGTTGCTGCTGCTCCCTGGCCTCTTCCACGAGGCCTTTGCCGACCTCAACACCACCCTCAAGGACGAGGGCGTCGAGCTCCTGCAATGCACGCCCAACTACGACGTCCGTCTTGCTCCCGCCTGTCCAGCTGCTCTCCCCGGCGATGGACCCCCACCCAACTCCCATTTGACTGACAGCCTATCTAGATCTGGTTCGCCGATGGCGAAGTCTTCCGCAGCAGCACCGACACGGCGGCAATGAAGCGCGAGATTGAGCGCTTCGAGGGACCAGACGGCTTCCAGCGCTACCTGACCTGGATGGCCGAGGCGCACGGGCACTACGAGACCAGCCTGCGGCAGATCCTTCACCGCAACTTCACGTCGGTCGCCCAGATGGCCGGCCCGCGTTTCGTGGCGGCCGGCATCGGCCTGCACCCGCTCGAGAGCATCTGGAGCCGCGCGGGCCGGTACTTCTGGACCGACCGGCTGCGCCGCGTGTTCACCTTTGCCACCATGTACATGGGCATGAGCCCCTTCGACGCGCCGAGTACGTACAGCCTGCTGCAGTACACGGAGCTCGCCGAGGGCATATGGTATCCGCGCGGCGGCTTCCACAAGGTGCTGGAGGCCCTCGAGCGCGTGGGCCGCGGCCTCGGCGTCAAGTACCGCCTCAACGCCCCCGTGACGCGTATCCTGGCCCGCAGCGACGGCGCCAGGGCCACGGGCGTCGAGCTGGCGGGCGGCGAAACTCTCGAGGCTGACCTGGTCGTCGTCAACGCCGACCTGGTCTACGCCTACAGCAACCTGTTCCCCCAACAGGGCGCCGTGGGGGAGAAGACTGCGCGCTATGCCAAAGACCTCCAGAAACGCGACGCCTCGTGCTCTTCTATCTCGTTTTACTGGAGCTTTTCTAAGAAGTTGCCCCAGCTCGGCACCCACAATATCTTCCTGGCCGACGAGTATAAGGCCTCGTTTGACGTCATCTTTCAGGACAAGTCACTGCCTGACAACCCCAGCTTTGTGAGTACCAATACGGTGTGTCCTATCCACATCTATTTTCTGACTGAAAACAGTACATCAACGTGCCGAGCCGGATCGACCCGTCGGCGGCGCCGGCCGGGTGCGACGCCGTGATCGCGCTCGTTCCCGTGGGACACCTAACATCAGCACCCGAGTCCGCGCCGCAAGACTGGCCGGCGCTCGTAGCGAAGGCGCGGGCGGCAGTCCTCGCCATCGTGCAGGCGCGGACGCGGTGTGAGGCGCTCGCGCCGCTGATTACGCACGAGATCGTTAACACGCCTAACACGTGGCGCGACAAGTTCAACCTCGACCGCGGCGCTATCCTAGGGCTGTCGCACAACTTCCTTAACGTGCTGGCGTTCCGGCCGCGCACGCGCGCCGAGGGCCTCGCGGGCGCGTATTTCGTCGGTGCCAGCACGCACCCCGGCACCGGCGTGCCCATCGTGCTCGCCGGCGCCAAGATCACGGCTGAGCAGATCCTCAAGGACCACGGCATGGCCATTCCCTGGGAGCGGGCGGCTGCTGCTGCTGGTGGTCGTGGGACTTCTTCGCCTTCTGGCGTTGTTGCTGGTGAAGGGGGCAGCCGCCGCCGAGTCCGGGTGAGTTCGTTGGACCAGATCCGCCCGCCGCTTTGGGTGTCTGATATGAATCTGCTGCTGGGCGGAATCATCGGGGCCTTGGTGCTGCTGCTGTTGCTTGTTGCAGGACCATCGTCGCTCCCGGCCTCGTTCCTCGGAGATTGGTGATTGATGGATGACCAACTTCGATGGCGGAGCAAGTAGACCGTAATTGCATTCTTGAAGTGATACGAATTATATAGGACAGCACCTCGAATCATAGACAGACACACTAGACAGACGCTCTGGATTTAGCTAGCTAGCTACGCATTTACACATCTATACAGACATCCTGTTACCACACAATCAATCTCGTCTCTTTCCGGATCAGATCACATACACTCATAGTCTGGCTGGAAGCTGGAGACCAGAAACACACGAGACGAATTCAATTTTATGATCTGGACAATGCCTTGTTCGGACGAAACCATACACACCCAAGCAACCCAAAATGCCGTCCCGCCTTTTTCCGCTAATGCCAGTTATCAGCCCAATGCCCAGCCCCAACACAGGCGTACAAAATACCGAGAGAGTAAAATGGCAAAAAAGACCTTGCCATCCTGTGATAATGCAAGGATCCATAAAGTTCAAAGTCATCATCCCATAGAATAGACTCGCTCCTCTTGTCTTTCCCCACGAAGCTTTCTTTCGCATTGCCGACGGCCTCTTCTCCGCTGACTAACTGACTGACTTCTTCCATCCCTTCCTTCTCCCACATCGCGTCATTAGCTTTAGAATAAAAAGAAACCAGAAAGATACAAGAATTAAGATTCCGGCTATGCAGCAGATAATTGGTACGGCATACATCCTACGGGTTGTCATCCATCGCTCTGCCAAGCATTAACCCGTATATAAGCACGGATCTACCGCTACCACAGAACTCGCATCTTGTCAATACAGCCAAGTTGACCCGGTTTCCGGGCGCTTCAGGCTTGCTTTAATCGTCATCGTCAAAGATCTGGTACGTGTTCTGGAGGATGGTCTCCACGACGCGGACTTGCCAGCCCGCGTCCGAGATATTGGCGCCGGGCGCCGTGCCCATGAGCGTCGGGCCAAAGACAATGGCGAGATTCTGGCCGCTCATGCGGTTGGTGCCCGAATTGTCCATGACACGGTGCAGGTGCAGAGTGAGTGCACGGAGGGTAGCGTAGTTGGGGTCTGGCAGGCTATTGATGATGGCGTGTAGCGAATCACGGCGGAGAATATCGTCTTCGTTTTCTAAAGTTTCACCCTTGTCAGACCGGAGAAGACTAAGTTAGAAGTAGGAGACTCGGCTTACTGGCTGCTTCAACAAAGGCCGCGTAGTGCTCTTGGGTCAGGAGCGGATCAGTCAGATCTCGGAAGAACTGCTTGAGCAGACCTGCTACGCTGTTCACATCATGGAAGAAATTTTCAGGATTCCGGAAGTCAAGATTGGTAGATCCAGAGTCTGAGAAGGGCCGTCGTGTTAGCTATTACTCGGGGGAAAATGGGACAGGCTGACATACTCGTATCGAAAAGAGTCTTGAGCTTGTTGACGTGTGGTACCGAACCTGACAGCCGGTAGATGCCCTCGACGCCAAGGCCAAAGAGGTCTACAGCCTGGATGCACTGGTAAACAACCATGGGCACTGCCAATCCATCTCGCTCATAAAGCCTGGAGAGAGAAAGGCCGAAAACCGGGCGAGACGGTGCTATTTGTGGCGCCGCTGGCGGTGACTGGGCGCGGGATTGGCCGGGACCCATAACCGGGCCGTTGGGTGGGTTGGACTGCAGGGGGTTGGACTGGTGGGGATTTGACAGAAGTGGGTTCGAGACCGGAACTGCTTGTTGGGGAGGAGGTTGGCCGTAAGATAGTTGCTGTGGAGGGGATTGATATGATTGCTGAGTTGGTGGTGCCTGCTGGAACTGCTGGAATTGCTGAGGTGGCTGGGATTGCTGGGGTGGCGAGGTTTGGAATGAGAGAGCTCCCAGCTGCGGAGGGCCTTGAGAGCCGCTGGCGATTGGTGCACCGTTGAATCTCGAGTTGGCCATCTGGGACTGCTGCTGGTTGGTGGAGCCCCGAGGAGCCCCGTACATTTGGCCAGAGGGGCCATTGTTTTGACTAGAGATGCTGCTGTGGCTGAAGTTCCTCTCATGCTGCGGCTGCGAGGAGGGTCGCTGGCCAGCGCCAACCATGTTTGGCGCATAAGGAAGCCCCATCCCTTGGTTTGGCGAAGTGAGGGGAGAATCTGCAAATGTGCTAGACCTTGAATTCATAGAGCCCTGGAACATATGCGGCTGTGACGGCTGCTGGCCAGGCCCTTGTTGCATGGGGTTCAGTGCTGTTGGAACCCTGTTCTGTTGGTCGAGCAGCTAGAAGTGTGCATATGTTAGCTCGGTGCTAAAGAAAGGCCCGAGGACGATAATACATACGGCATTGTGCTCATATTTAATCGGCCCCGTCCGCGGCGGCAGCCTGGCGTGGTGGCCACTGATATAGTCGTTCAAGTCCTTCTCGTTGTTGATTGCGAGGACGCATTCTCGTAAGCTGCGCGCTTCTGGCCCATTCTTGAGGGGGCTTATGCTCAGGCCGTTGCTGAGGAGGAGCTTCTCGTTGTACGACGCTGCAACAACCTTTGGTCAGTCTCGAGCGTTGGTCCAGCAGTTGGCCGCGATCTAGACGTACCAAACTTTTGCATCTGCAAAACGACTCCAGAGTCGCACTCCTTCACAGTATCTTGCAGTGCTTTCACCGTCTCAGGCCTAGTCCTCGACACCAACTCGGCACGTTCAGTCTGCGCGGCCTGCACCTTGCCCAAGTAATCTTGGTCAGCAGCTTGGGCCTTTCGCAGCAGATCTTCCTCGTGCTGCGCCGCCGACTTGGGCCCCTTGAAGCCGAACATCTTGCCTCCTTGCCGGCCGCTAGTGTCGCCGGTGCGGGCACGGTCGTACTCCTCGGCCAGTAAGTCGTATTTCGCCTTGGACTTGCGCATGGCAGCCTCGAACTCGGCCACGCGCTGCTCGGCTGCGAGGCCATTCTGCTTCCAGCCCTTGCGCGACTTCTCAGCAATGGAGGCCAACTCCACCAGGTCCTCGTGCATCTGGTGTAGGGACATGGCGAACTGCGACCCGTTGTCCGCCATGCGCTCGTGGATGGTCATCATATCCTCGTAGGCCTTTGCGAAACTGCCGCCTCTGTGCTCGGTGCGCTGGATGCTTTCCTGCGACATCCTGCAAAGCTTCTTGAGCCCGTTCGCGTGCTCTTCCTCAAGGGTCGCACGCTTCTTGAGGAAGAGAGCAAACTCCTGTGCGCGAGAAGTGGTGTTAGCGGGAGACGGATCTGGACAACGAGCCGCAGCAATTGATGCGCAGGGCGAATGGGGGAGCAAGAAATTGAGCATACCTTGGCTGAGGCGATGCTCTGCTTCAGTCTGTTGAGCATGGCAGAAATGCCGATCTGCCACAGTTGGAGTCAGCACCAAAGGCGGTCGTCGACAGACGCTGCCGTTGTAGGCGCCAAGGGCCCCTTGGAAGCTGCGAACCTCTGAAGTCAAGACATCTTGCACCTGGCTCTTGATCTCGTCGCTGGGCGGTGTCGTCGTGGGCGGACTTGCGACACCAGCGTTTCCGACTGCCTGCCCTCCTCCATTTTCGGCCGTTCCGTCGCCCAGAGACATTGTGACAGCGAAGAGAGCCTATGATTAGAAATTTACGGCCAATCGTCCGCCCCGTCGACTATCGTGCGTGGTTGGGGATGGAGTGGTGTTGTCGGTGGTTTTGGACTCTCGGAGGCCGGGAGTGGAGCAATCGGTGGGCGAAGTTCGATGTTGTCCGAGCATTACGTATGTTCGATGGCGGCGCGGTCAGCAAGCCAACAGAAAAAAAAAATAAGAGAGATGGAATGGGCGCGTGCTAATCCTGCTGGGCAGTCGCTGTCGGGTCGGGCTGCCGCGTTTTCGTACCTAATTAAAGCGCCGCAATTCCCGTTGGCCAGCGGCACAATTTCGGTACTGTACTGTATATACCTGCCCTACCCAGCTTGGACCGACGGATTACAGCACACCGTTAGGCACCCTCGGCACCCCATATGCTGCGAACCAGGACGGAAAATCTGGGCTGACACCAATACCGAAAGGCTCTTACGTCATGCACCTCTGGAAATATTCATCCGGCTAGGCATTTTTTGAATTCTTCAGCTCGCCCTCGAAGATGTTCACGCATCCCCCCATTGTTGATCTCACAAACGCAACAGCTCATCAGAACGCGGGATACTTCAGCCTGTCGCCGATGAGGCCAGAACAGACCACCCTCATGAACCACTTTGCAGACGAGGTGGTGCCTGATTCGGAGCGTTTGCCAGGTCCAGGTCCCGTGCAGAGCCGAGCTGTGTCATCCCGTCACAGAGGGTCAGAGATGGCATGCTGCGCATGAACTGCTGCAGTTTCAACACCTGCCTGTGTCGACAACGCCAGAACCAGAACCATAATAGGTAACGGGATCGCCTGGCGCTCGCGCTCGAACCTCCAATCCGGGTCCTGCCCGCCGACGGGAACCGAATGGGAAAACACACGGGGAGAATTCTCTTTTAGCTCTTCAACCTTGGCCAACCCTTAGTAGCAATCATTCATTAACCATGGACCGTCGTCCCCCAGCGCGTGGTACTTATTTTGGTCCCCCCCCCCCCTGATGGAACGGCCAAGCTTTCTCCCAGGTCTTCTCCAGCAAACAAACCCACGCAGGTGGTTTCCCGGACCGGGAAATGTAACGGTCCTTTTTGACCCCGTCTCATCTCTCTCGTTGTCGGTCTGTCTCCGTACGAATCTTCCAACTTTTAGAATAGCCCCTCCCCCTCGTCCTTGCAGTAGTAGCGCCAAGGTACAGCAGGGCCTTGACATGCAGTTCCCCGGCACAAACCGTCGCTCATCTGAACGTCGGGATGCAATGCCCAGGCCCGGGCAAGGTGCAGCAGCACAGACCGAGCGAGCTTCGCGGTCGAGGGGCTTGAATGTATCAGGAGAGTGAGGAAAGTTGCATGGAGAACATTCAGGCCACTGACAGTGGGCGAAACCGACCCATTGTATGCAGCCGTTCCCGCCTCTCAAAACACCGTGCGTTATGCTCAGAGGAGAGAGATGCAGGAGACGCGGGGCTCTAGGGGTGCGTGGGGGCAAGAGTATCTCTGAAAGGTAGTAAAAATTGCACCTGACCAACTAGAAGATTGTCTTGATAATACCGACTCCGATTGAGGCTCCACGAGAGCCAGACCAAGTCTCAACTCCGAGGCTTTGAACACGGGGGGACACAACGACCAGCGGTAGGTCCGAGATATTCTACTTAGACCGGGGAGCAATTGGTCGCGTGTCCCCCAGAGATCACCTCTTCATACAATCCAATCCCTAATCCCTGAATGTTTGTTGGCGTGGTACTGAAGGAGGAAAAGAAAATAACAAATGAACCGGCTAGGAAAAGTCTTTATCATAGATATTTCTAAAGAAGAGATAGGTCTCTAGAATTCTAAAATAGAGATTCAAATAGCTATTACATCCCTCAGCCAAAAGCCTTTACGGCGAGTCGTAAGAAACTACGCAGTAAGGCCATTCAGATCTTGGAAAGTACCACGCTAACGAACATTCAGAGATTGAATTGTATGCATACGGCCGGCATGGGTCAATCGATAGCGCCACCTGTCTCATTCTTTCTCCAGAACGTTGCTCCTCGAGAATGAATTACTCGAGGATTCCCTCAAAGGAGAATTAGTATTCGTCTATATCAATTCCTTTCCTAATGTTTTAGATTCCTCTTTTCCATGTCCACTCAATATGCTCAATCCGCTAAACTCCATGACCAATATACGCAATACATTTTGGAACCAAAATAACCATGCCGTCCCCCAATTTCTTTCATGTGCTGTGGTGGAATTGGCGCCTATACAAATCCCTTCAGAATTGCGGCCTCGGCATTCAGAATGGACGAGCCTGCGGCTCCAATAACAGCTGATGAAGGCGTTAGCAACCGAACAGAAAACTACAAGCCAAGGATGTAGCTTACTGTTGTGGCTCAGAGCGACAAACTTGATGTCAAAGATGCCCGTCTCGTCCTCCCTGACGCGGCCAACACTGACGGTGTAGCCCTTGGACAAGTCACGGTCGAGACGTGGCTGCGGCCTGTCGGGCTCGTTAAAGACGAGGATGGAAGGCTGCGGCGCTGAGGGGCAGCCGAGCCGCTGCGCTTCGGACTCGTAGCTGCGCATGGCGTCCTTGACCTGCTCGGCCGAGGGCGGGGGCCGTTGCGTGAAGCGCAGCGAGACGCAGGCCACGTGGCCGTCCAGGACGGGGACGCGGTTGCAGGCCGCCGACACGCGGAGCGTCGACTGCTCCTCAAAGGCCGTGGCGTCGGCGTTGATGCTGCCCAGGATCTTCTGCGCCTCCGTCTCCAGCTTGTCCTCCTCGCCGGAAATGTAGGGCACCACGTTGTCGATAATGTCCATGCTGCTGACGCCCGGGTAGCCAGCGCCCGAGACGGCCTGCATCGTCACGACCGACACGGCGTCGATCTTGCCAAAGCGCGACTGGAGCGCGGCGAAGGGAATGACGAGCCCAATGACGGCGCAGTTGCTGTTGCACACGAGGAAGCCCTTCTCTACGCCCTGTGTCTTGCGCTGGTGGGGGATCAGATCGAGGTGGTTGAGGTTGACCGTTGGGACGACGAGCGGGACGAGCGGGTCGCGGCGGTAGTTTTTGGCATTGGAAAAGACGGCGAAGTTGGCGAGTTGGAATTCCTTCTCGATGTCGCCGGCCACGTCGCTGTCTAGGCCGCTGAAGACGATGTCGCAGTCGGCAAACTCGCTAGCCTTGCAGTCGCGCACGACCAGGTCGCCCACGGCGGGCGCAATGGGGCTGGCCTGTTTCCATCGGACGGCTTCGCGGTACTTCTTGCCTGCCGATCTCGAAGAGGCACCGACGGCTACCAGGCGAAGGGACGGGTGTTGCTGGAGCAGCAAGATGAAACGCTGTCCGACAGAGCCGGTGCAGCCGAGGACACCTGGCAGGAAGCGGTCAGCCCAGGTGCTCTATCACAAGCGCAACTCGCGAATCACTTTCTCCCCCGAGAAGAAAAGGCCATGTAGGGGGGTTCTTGTTGGCCTGCGGGGAAACATACCGCAGTTCTTGGTTGGTAGTTGAGACATTGTAGTCGACTACCGTGCTCAATAAACTGCTGTTAAGTTCAAGATGTGATGCCCGAGTGTTACCGAGAGTTTCGTAGAGGTTTGAAAATAGAAAGGTAAATTTAGTCTAGCACTCGGAAAGAAAATCTCGAGTATCTGTGAGTCAGTCTTTCTAGAGCGTGCAATTCCAATTGCCTGAACGTTTTTCCCTCGGTCGGCAACGGGTTGGTGCTGTGCCCCACCACCGGTCATCGGAGGCAGCTTGTGGGGCTGTTGGCGGGGATAAAGCTCAAAGGTTCAGAAGGCGGGATGGCCGTCCGCTGGAGTCCTGCTCCACCGAGGAAAGGCTCCACCCCCATGGAACCCCGAATTTACAAAGGATGATCCCATAGGGCTGGCTGGCCGCTGGTTGGGTGCTTCCAGGTTGGGGGGTCTCCTGGGCTCTGGTGCGACGCCGGCTCGCGCCCCTTTAGCGCTAATACTCTCCAATGTCTCCAATATTATTGAAAACTCGAGTCTCGCAAACAGCAAACACCGACGCCGCCAGAGTGGGATTTCGCTATTATCCCCGAGCGGACACAGGAAGCTTGAGTTTCATTGGCCCCGAGATCCAGCCATATATATGTAGGTCGGGAGGTATTGTCGGGACGCTGCACGGAAACTGGAGAGCAGCTGACGGTGATGAATTACAAGGTGAAAGAACGGAACAGTCCATACATTGGTGAGCCGCGTTGCACTGTCCTATACGGGAAGAATTGACCTCACTTTCAAGATACACAAGAGATCAAGACAAGGGAGGAGCCAAGGTTTGCCTTTTCCTTATGCGGTCTCTCGTTTCCTCAGCATTGCACCGATGAATAAGCTCTGGTACGTACCTGGTCGCTCTTAGCCGGCAGTCAGCAAGCAACAGAAACGTACGACGAACCAGGGAGGGGAGGCCGTAACTTTATTTTTAGAGCCTCCCTCATGCAGCGGTAAACGTGCTACAAGCGGCTTGTGGGGGGTATATTATGTCCACACAAGCCCATGTGGATGAGACTGACCTCGCAGTTGACGGCGGATGGAATACCAGGGAACCTATCTTCGAACGGCAAGTTGCTATCCCCGCGTTGCCCCCCAACATATTGCTGATGAGCTTACAAAGTACGGACAGATATGGTGTCCGTCTCTCCTTCGGTATCCGTCGTCCGTCCTTGTCCGCGCAAGCTATTGTACCAATCGGGATACTCGAGACAGGAACCCAAGGTTCGCTTTCGGGATTGTTGGGGACAGCTTGGGATGCCCCCTGAACCGACTGGACGGGATTCCCAATGAAACATAGTGGTCGGGTTTGCTGGAAGTACGTGCATCCAGGACGCGTTCAAGAGTCAGCCGCATCCCTCGGCTCGGCACCCGCCAGGCACGCATAAATCTCGAACACGGCTAGATGCCCTCTCAAGTGCTGGCTTCTTTGCTGTCGATGGGCTACTGTCGAGTGAAGCTCATCTTCCCCTACCTTACCCTGCCCTTCCCTGTCAGGCTTGGCAAATTCCCGCCTCCTACCTCCCTCTCACATGCCATCCCATCCCATTCCGACTCCGACATGCCGATGTACATGTACAAGTGTTGTGGAGGCGTTGAGCATATATCCGATACCAACACCGGGTCTCCCCGTGGTTTCGTTCTATGTAAAGGGCCTCGGGCTGACCGCTTAGTTCGTTCGATTAAAATAACAGTTGCTTTCTTTCCCCGCTCATCTATATATCGTGTCTTGCCATCTTAATCGTACTTGAGAGTGTTCCGGCTCAAGTCGACCAGCCCCCACCTTTGGTCACGAAGAACTAACAGCATTGCTGTTCTCCTCTCCTCTCCAGTAAACCCCTCCCCTGGTTACGTGGCCTTGTTCCTCACATTCATCTCTAGCAATGTCCTGATAAGCAAAGTTGTTCATATGATGTATCTACTATCTTACCAAACAAGACCCTGTTAAAGCTTCACTAGACCTGTAAACTGCACCTTCACCCGGCATTAAATGACGCGGTCACCGTGGCTCTCCTCTTCCCCGACTCCATTACTCCCCACGCCTTCTCTGAATTTAGTTTCCCAGGAAGCCGCTCTGCGGATATATTCCGAGTACCTCCTGCCTTCCTGACATCACACCCAACTGGCAGCAAGCAACATCTTTATATCACTTTTGCCCATTCCTAGCTATGGCGAGAGAACATCAACAACCTCCACAGGGACAGCATCAACCTTGTGCTAGCGCAGACCTGTCCACAGTGGCTGCAATGGCTTCCGCGACCGCATTCCCCGTCGACGACGGCGGCGCCTGGGACGTCTCCAAGACGATCAGGAAATCCGTACCCATCGACCTAGGATCTAGCTACGACACGACAAGCCTGGCCGGCAAGATGATCCTCATCACGGGCGGGGCGTCCGGATTCGGCGCGGCGTTTGCGCGCAAGTGGGCGGGGCTGGGCGCGCACATCATGATCGGCGACATCGACGACGCGGGCGGCTTGACGCTGGCCGGTGAGCTCCGCGCGCTGGCCGGGTCCTCGGGCCACCAGCACTTCCAGCACTGCGACGTGACGCGGTGGGAGGACCAGGTGGCGCTTTTCAAGGCCGCCGCGGCCGTCAGCCCGATGGGCGGCATCGACGCCGTGGTCGCGGCTGCTGGCATCATCGAGACAAACCCGCCCCTCGAGGGCCGCACCTTCGACATGCCCGGCGATCTGGCCGCCGACAGGCCGCCGCCGCCGTGGCTCAAGGTGCTCGCCGTGAACCTCACCGGCGTGTCGTACACGGCACACCTCGCTCTCTTCTGGCTACCGCGCAACAGCCCCCCCAAGGAGGAGGAGGACGGCCCGACCGAGGGCGGAGACGAGAAGTCCACCCGCGCTCAGAGCCCCGAGCCGGTCCGAGACCGCCACTTGCTCTTGATCAGCTCCATAGCCGGCCTCACGCCGCTGCCTGGGCAGACCGAGTACACGGTGTCGAAGCACGCCGTCATGGGGCTTTTCCGCGCCATGCGCGGCAACGCCTTCCGGCGCGGCATCCGGTGCAACGTCATCTGTCCCTATTTCGTCAACACTCCGCTCCTGCCGCCCATTGCCCTCGGCTTGCTCGCTGGCGGAGGCATGACTGAGATGGAGGATGTCGTCGATGCGGCCACGCGCCTGGTGGCCGACGAGTCGATTGTTGGCCGCGGCTTGGTGGTCGGCCCTAAGATGTATGTCGTCGATGGCGACGAGTACTTCAAGGGGGACTCGCCGGTGGTTCTCGGCGCTGCTAGAACGACCGCCGCCGAAGATAAGCAGGCCGCCGAGGCCCGCCAAAACGAGCAACGCGCCACCTGGGAGATCTACGCCCACGACTACGAGAAAGTGGAGGTCTTCGTTTGGCGCTATATTGCCATGGTTAATCGGATCAAAGCCATTAGGGGCTTTATCGGTACTATCAAGGACTTGTACCGCCTCTTCATCTCGAGGCGGGAGAAGAAATAGACAGGATTCGGACTTACCTCCTAGAACTACGGTTGAGAATGGGTGAGACGAGGGACGAGGGTGCAGTAGCTAGCACTGTTGTGTAATACACACTCACCTGCGTTTGGAAATTGATGGGATGGGCAGCTAGCGACTGAATTAAACAGAAATTCGGAAATTTTAGAGGATTGGCAAATATGGCCTCTTATTTTAGACCCTTTCTTTATGATAATTGCCGTGAAAAGTGTGACTGAAGAACTTGTGAAAGAAAACCCGTTTTATTTTTCGCTCTTGAAAAAAGGAATATGTACTATTCAAAATTGCTTTAAATGTCACTGTACGTGGACCTGGCTCACATAACTGGAATACCCTCGTATTCCGCATAGCCCAGGGCGAGATTCATGTTTTCTAAGCAGAAGAATGTTAGATATGCGCAACTCTCGGATGAAGGAATATCAGGAACTTACGTAGACACTGTGTAGCAGCCCCCTTCAGCAGGTTATCGATTGTCGCGCAGACAACAACTCGCTTTCCTGTCTTGTCGACCTCAAAGCCGCCAATCTCGACACCGTGTTTTCCGCTAATGTTCTTGACCAGAGGGGCCTCGCCGACCACCTTGACAAGCTTCTCACCAGCGTATCTGTCTTGGTAGATTTGGCGAACATCACGAGATGTCATGGTCTTGTTCAGGGGAATAGAGATGGTGTGGTGAATGCCGCGGAACCAGACAGCAACATGGGGGACGAAGGCAATGTTTGCGCCCAGCTGGCTGCTTACTTCGCGCTCATGGATGTGGCCCGTCAAACTGTAGGGGATGATATTGTCGGTAAGGAACCCAACGTCGTTCTTGGGGGATGGTTTGGTGCCAGCGCCCGAGTATCCCGACACGCCGAACACGTGGGGCATCCCACCAAGGTGCTCCACAAGCGGCGATATTCCCAGCTGGGCTGCCGTAGCATAGCATCCAGGATTCGCGATCTGCGTAGCCTGCGCCAGGTTGGCCCTAGGAACAAGCTCTGGAAGACCGTACGTCCATGAATTGTCAAACCGGTAGTCAGCCGAAAGATCCACAATGACGCTCTTGTGGCTGGACGACTTGCGCCCTTCGTAGACGGCATCCACAAACGGCTTGCACACGCCGTTAGGAAGGGCCATGACCCAGCAGTCAATTTCACCACGCTTCTCCATGTCTCGAACGTCGTCCGGGCTGAGGTTTTCGTACGTGACATCCGCCTTGTTGTATCCCTCGAGTTTCTTCCCTGCAAGCTCTCGGGATGAGACGTGCACCAGCTCCAGGTTCGGGTGCAGGTCCAGAAGGCGGATTAGCTCCTGGCCGGTATATCCACGGGCGCCAATGAGAGCTACCCGAGCGGGCTGCGACTTCGAAGCGTTTTTCTTGCCATACGGAGGGTTTGGGTTTGTCTGAGTCACGTATCCTCTGCCCTTGGACTGCGAGAAAACTGGAGTGGAGAGCACAGGACGGCGAGCTAAGGTCGAATAACCCCGGGCCTGTTGGAGGACAGGCTTGGACGAGTTGTTTGCAGCGCGGTGGAGCCGAGACTCGAGATTGGAATCACCAAGCATAGCTCGGCCGTGTTGTGTAAAGTCCTGCATCAGCTGAACGAGCACGGGCTTGTTCTGGATGCCGTACCAGAACATGACATCTCCGTCTTGCGTAATGCTGCCTTCGGCCTTATCGAAGAACCAGCTGAGGTTCTCGTCGTCCTCCTTGACAGTCCACACAAGCTCAGGGTGTTCCTTTTGAAGGGTGGTGAAGATGTTGTCGGCAACGTTGGTCAGCCAACCAGACTTCGTGATGGTGAGTGTCGCAAGAGTAGCCTGTCGGCCGTCACGTGCCGGGAGAACGATCGCAAGCGCGTTCATGGGCTCGTCATAGTATGCCTTGAAAGAGTTCTCCTTGAGGAAGTCGAGATATTTGTCAACGGTCGCGGCGGCATCAGGGCCCTCTCGATCCCGAACCAGAACCTGCTTAAGAGCGTCGAGATCTTTGAAATCAGAGAGGCTCGTGGCAGAAAGAAGCTTGTTGCCACGTCTAATGAGAGTTCCAGCGCCCGAGTCCGTGAACAGCTCCTTCTGAAGATCGCCGGGGTGGATGATGGCAACACTTGTCGTCCGCGGCAGCGTGTCCAAAAGTTCCTTGATCTCTTTAATCTTCAGGCGAGTGCCGTATTTGACCCACTCTTGAGACATGAGGTGGTCAAACTCCTCATCCAGATTTATGGCGGAAATCTTTTGACCCGCGGCGTCAAACAACCCCCCCTTCTCGGAAAGATACACCACCTTGAGGGGCTCGAGAGCGCGAGCCAGCTCAGCGGCAGCAACGTCGGCATTGACATTGAGAATCTGGCCATCGTCGGTCTCGGCCATCGAAGTAAGAATCGGGAGATAGCCATTGTTGATTGCCGTCTCGATCGCCTGCTTGTTAACGCCAGTGACCTTTCCGACATAACCCCACTTGTCCTTGTTGAGGTAGTCGGCCCTAAACATGCCAGTCGCCAGGGGCTGAGCATGGACACCCTTCTCCTCCAGCTTGTTGACAAGGTTAAGGTTCTCCTTGAGGAAGAGGTCTCGCGCCACGCGAAGCGTCTTAGCATCGGTAATGCGGATGCCTTCCTCGAACTGCGGCTCGATGCCGGCCTGCTCCAGGAGGGTGTTCAGCTGGGGACCGGCGCCATGCACAATGACGGGGTACAGGCCGACGGTGTAGAGGAAGGCCAAGCTAGAGCATAGCTCGTCGAGGTATTCCGTCAAGATGGCGCCGCCAACCTTGATAACGGCGAAGCGTTGCGACGAGACCGATGTGAAGAGGGAGAGGTACTGCTGAACTTCACGCTTCGACCCAACGGACGATAGTGTCTGCACTATCATAGCCCTCGTGCTGAGATCGGTAGTCCGGGCTGCAGATGACGAGAACGGCTTTTGGCGCTGAACGGAGGGGGTGACAGCGACGACGCGGGCTTTGGTCGGCAGCCGTCGAACGCTCCGGCGGGCACCCGCCCTAAAGGCAACAGAGCATGCGGACAGCATTATGGCCGTTGTATGTTTGGCGACTTGTCACCGGTGTGCGAGGTCGGCCGGGGGGAGCGGGAGAAGACGAGGGAAAGCGGTCGGTCGGTCTTGGTCGACTGAAGTCGCACAGGCGCCTTGAAAATGATTTTAGCGCTTTAGTCAACAGCGAGAATGCCTTCGACCATTGAAGGGAGAAAGACCAGGTAAACGAGGGCAGACAAGCAGTGAACTCTAGCCGGACACCAGATTACCTTCTTAAAGACCAATTGGACGAGTTTGGTCCGGGAAAGAGTCTGGGTCGGCTTTTGGAATTCGGTGATGGCAGCCCTGACCCAGGTCTTAACCGTCGATCAAGTGTGGAGGAGGGGCAAAATGACCCCAAAGAAAAAATTGCGACCGAAACCGCTCAGAGGGGTGGGCCGATATAGGTCACACGCAAAGTGGGCTGTTAAACAGGGACATCGACATCGCAAGCCCAGTGTCTGTGACAGGTTTATCAAAGGCTCTATTCGCCTTGCAAGCAATGTACAGAGACGAGTTATCGCGGAGGCATGAATTCAACCGACGGCCTGTCAATTAGGCTCTGCTCGGGTATCCAACTGACCTTTTCGGTACGGCGCAGTAGGTGACTCGTTAACCTTTACATGCCCTCAAGCTCTTCGTGTAGGAGGGGACGAGTACAGGGCGTTGACATCTTCCCCGCAAGCAGGAGTTCTTGATGGAGACAACGAGTCCACCAAGGTCAGAGGCTGGCTGGCAATACGGCACCTACCTGGTCACCATGGACGAAGGTGTTTCCTTAGCCCTGCCCTGCCCTGCCCTGCCTTGCCGATCGATATTCGTAGCTGCTTAACATCTCGCCCGGCCCAATGCAGGCCGTATGTGCACGGCAAAAAAATGCAGATGGCAGCCAACAAGTTAAGAAATTTTAACGGGTCACCTGGCTAGGGGGCGACGGTTGAATTTTTCCCGCTTGCACCGTTGTCGCATCCTTTCCCCATGACATCAACAAATAACCGACGAACGGCAGATGACACCAAAGAGAACAGCCATCTATAAATGGTTCACCGTACCTAGATGACTATAAGAAGTGCGAACAGACCAAACTCCCTTCAAGAGCACGCTTATTTCAAAAGCGCGTTCCTCGAGGCCATTGCATCTGCATCTCCTCCCACACTGCGCAATTCATAACCAATCCGCAATCCCGGCCCGGATCGGTTCCCTCGCAAGATGCTCCAACCTGCAAGTCTTAGTCAAGGAGTTAGCCCAGTGGCATGGGTAATGCGTAGCTCAGACAGCACTTCAAACATTCTCGACTTTGGTTGATACCGCACGATTCAAACATGCCATATCTACTGGCCAAGAAAGTCTGCTGAAAATACCTCGTTGATTAACCGCAATGAGGAAAATGCCTCCTCGCCTTTTATCGTAAATACAAGGTGTGATACAGTGAGGAGCCTTGTGGCTCCCGACTTGGTGTTGATATTCCGGCGCAACGCCCAGAGCGGAGCCGGCGAGGAGTCCGTAAAAAACAAAGAAACTCCCTCCAAATCAATCCCAGAGAAGCACGATTCCCATTCTCCATGAATACCAAAAGCATGCGAAACCCGGTCCGGTGCGCTTCCAGGCCGTGTTCCTGTCGTCATAGCCAAGAGAGTAGCAGTGTCGTGAACTATTTTTTGGTAGCAAGCACTAGAAAACAAGTCAGGCCCTGCGCGGCAGTACACGAACTGGAAGGGAGAAACATACCCGCTGGAAGGACGATGACGAGAATCAAAACGATGATTCCAACAATCAAGCACATACGCATTTTCATGTCCTGTTGCCATGATCAGTATTTGGGCTCCAGGGGCGGTGTTCACAGATCTCGTACCTTCCACCACATCTGCTTGCGGACCTTGTTCGCGCCGCGTCGGAACCCTTGTGCAGACACGGCCAGGTTGTCAGTCTTGTCCTGGAGAGTATTGATCTTGTCGCCGCGTTGATCCAGAGTATTGATGTTGTCTTTCATCTGCTGCATAGTATCATCGAGCGTCTGCGTGCCATGTTAGTATGCATTCTCCAAGTATCTGAACAAGACACGCATGCGCCAATCAAGATGAAGGGGTGTATCGCGATTCTCCATTGCGCAGCCTTCTTTCAGGCGTCTCGCTGTACCGTCCGGTGTTGATAGAAGCGAGTCGCAGAAGGAACAACTCGATAAGCGACGGGTTGTCCGATTGCTAACGTGGGTTCTTGTATTGTGTACGGCTCGGTGCATCGTCTTCTCGGTCGCAGCTTACCCGACATACAGTATTGCGAGTAGGCCGAGCCAATCTCGCAATGCCGGGAGCGGTAGTGATGTCGCTGCTCGTCGGTCGTGATGTCGGTCGGCTGAGACGGAAGCCGCTGACGAACGGTACAGAATCTCATTCTCCCCATCATCGTCGATTGAACGGCCATCACACCAAACCAAAAACGACTTACCGACTGCAACTGCGCTATTCTCGGATCAGAGGTGCCTTGTTGCGGCGAGCCCTGCTGCTGGAAAGGTGTTCCCTGGGGCGTGCCTTGCTGGGGCGTGCCCTGCACCGAGCCCGGCGGCCCTGGGGTGCGCTGCGGGCTGTTGGGAATATACGGATCGTACGGTTCAGACATTTTGGCGGTGGTATTGCCTCAAACTTGTATTTGGGGTTTGTATCGAGCGTGCGCGATGTGCAAGGGCGAGGTTGTTGCGCGTCGAGGTTGCGAGAGGGAGGTTGGAATGGGAGGCTGGCGGTTGAAAGAGTCGCTGAGGGTGGTGTTGTGAGACGATTTGCAGAAGCGAGCAAAGCAAGCCGAAACCAGGTTAGGGAAGAAGGCCAGGGAACGTGGTCACTAGGTCGGGTGGTCAAGCCGTGACCACCGTGGCGTGGCTAAAAATACTGGGGCGGACGGACTCAGCCACGGTTCGCTTTTAACGAAATTGCATGCTCACTTGCATGGAAGTGTGTTAAGCCTGGGGCGAGTCACAGTGCCCCATTGCCAGTTACTACACGGTATTACGAGGGAGGCTTTGAGGGAGGACCTGAACGCCTTTCAAAGTCCTGCAGTTATTTCCTGAGGCAACTATAGAACAAGGTACGAATACTTATTGAGCGTTTGTCTGGGCTTCGGATAAGAACTGAAACGAGTTCTTTGTTGCTTGGTCCCGTCCCTCGTGCTTGCGCAATCTTCGATTGGATTACAGGTAATAAGCCTCAGTTGGCGAACGGGACACTGAGTTCCCGAACGCGCCGGTGCCGTCGTCAGCATCAGGCGAAGCAAACAGCACGTGAAAGACGGCTTCCGCATCAGCCGCATTTGTTGACCTCTCTGCGCTGTGGCGAATGGAGAGCAGACAGATCGGGAGCTAACTTGTAGTGAGCGCTTTGCCGTGTGTATTTTGGATCTCCCTCGTAAGACATCGCCGACATTCACGAGCCCATTCGAGGCAGAGAATCGAACACGAGGGTTTTCGTACGCAATAGGTATCCGATCCTCTCCCAGTATCAACTGGCCCGCGTAGCATCGTTGTTTCATCACCGTCCATAATCGCCCAGCAGCCACAGCATCTGAGGTTCCCCGCATTCAGCCGTGGAATCTGCATTACGGGGAATCCAAGGGTGCTATCAATCAAGAGCCTTTATTAAGAAAGCCAAAGTTCCATTCTCACTTGAGAGCCGAGCTAAAGCAGGGCCCACAGTTGGTCCACAAGCCAAGGCCTTATGAGTGGCGCTCATTACGCAGGGGTCTACAGGCGACGAGTGCCCTAAGAAGTGACGTGCTTAAAGCAAACCAGAAGTCCACGATCCCCGCCAAGGTAACCACCGAGCAAATACCTACGTATAGCTACGAGGGCATACCTTCAATGGACAGAAATTGCCTGATGCGTAAAGTAATTAGAGAAACAGAGATGTGTCGACGGAGCAACGCAGCACAACTTAAAGCTTTCGTCACCACTGAATTAGCTCCGAGTCAGAGTGTCGCTGCTTACATAATGATTCCCCTGCCGACTTCGCATGGTTGCGCTTGGCACGGTTAGCGGCGGGAACAGAGGACGATGACCCCGAAAATCCCAGAGCGCCGGGAGCCGAATTTTGTCATCGCTCCGACCAAGTCAAGGTGAACAATCCCGGCCTCGACCACACCGCAAGACGGTTGCCGAGACAAGCAAACACCCATACAACACATAATGGTGTCCTCGGTGCCAATTCAGAGAATGCAAGGGCCGCTCCGGCGATCCCTGGCAGGCGCAGGCGTGTCGTTGCGGTCGTACGCCACCATTCCCTCTCCGCCAATCCATGCCGCCGCGCCGACATCACAGCCCTCGCAGCCCGCCTTATCCACAAAAACGACAACAACACCACAGCCGAGCAAGCCACGGCCTACATACTTCCGGGACGCGGCCGTAGCGCCCTTTTCCGACTTCTTGCCCAGCTCGTCGCCCGCCGCGCCTCTCGCCCCAAGCGATGCCTACACATTGCGCACCGCCGAGGTCGGGCCGGCTGGCCGGAAGCGAACCATCACGCGGCTGCCGGAGTGGCTCAAGACGCCGATTCCCTCGGCCGGAACAAATCCCAACTACGCCAAGATTAAAGCGGACCTGCGGGGTTTGAACCTGCACACGGTATGCGAGGAGGCACGCTGTCCCAATATTGGCGAGTGCTGGGGCGGCTCCAACAAGGCCGAGGCCACAGCCACCATAATGCTCATGGGCGACACATGCACACGTGGGTGCCGCTTCTGCAGCGTCAAGACGAACCGCGCGCCCGCTCCGCTCGATCCGCACGAGCCCGAGAACACGGCCGAGGCCCTGGCACGCTGGGGGCTCGGCTACGTGGTGCTCACGAGCGTTGACCGGGACGACCTGGCTGACGGCGGCGCCCACCACTTTGCCGAAACCATCCGCCGCATTAAGCAAAAGAAGCCAACCCTACTCGTCGAGGCCCTGACCGGCGACTTGAGGGGAGACCTCGACATGGTTCGAATCGTGGCCGAGAGCGGCCTCGACGTCTACGCCCACAACGTCGAGACTACCGAGGGTCTGACCCCGTACGTGCGCGACCGGCGCGCCACCTTCCGCCAGAGTCTCAAGGTGCTTAAGCATGTCAAAGATGTCAAGGGTAAGGACAACATCATCACCAAGACTAGCATCATGCTTGGGCTAGGCGAGCAGGAAGAGGAGCTTTGGGAGACGCTACGAGGTAACTTATTTTCTAATTTCAGCCTCCTGTGTGACAATCCACCCAAACATGCAGCTCTTGACCACCAAGCCGATATGCCCTATTCGACATGGACGCTAACGGTCATGCGTGCTTCCAGAGCTGAGAAAGGTCGACGTCGATATCGTTACCTTCGGGCAGTATATGCGTCCCACCAAGCGCCATCTCAAGGTCGAGAAGTACGTCACTCCCGACGAGTTTGATCTCTGGGGCAAGCGAGCCCTCGACATGGGCTTCATGCACTGCGCCAGCGGGCCCCTAGTCCGGTCCTCGTACAAGGCGGGCGAGGCCTTCATCGAGAACGTCTTGCGCAAGCGAGCGGGCGAGAAGGCCGGCGCGTCGACAGAGAAGCTTGTCGGCCAAGCCGTTGCTGCTGAGGAGACGGCGAGTAGGGGGTCTCTATAGTTGGGCTATTTCTTCACCTTGTTGTATATATAGTAAAGCGCTTTCAACATTCTGGCCATTGCGTGAGGTCGTGGCTTCATCGCCCCGTCCAAGCATAGCGCGGGTCAGCGGGGGATACACTGCAATTGGGTTGGGTATGGGAATCCGGCGTTTAATAGAGAAAGGGGGGGCCGTGGCAGATATTTCTTCTAATAATATATATGTAACATCAAAATTGTACATGGCCGTAGATGGAGGTTGGAAACCCTTCTTTGCATGGTTTCCATAACGCCTATTAACAACCGTAAAGGGGTTCGGGAAAGGTCTTTGGTGAGAGTCAAACATCCACAGCCCACGCGAGTTGTCCACTTTGGATCTAGCATCTGTCTCGTCAGATATCCCCTCCTAGAGCGCGCAATCCTAGCCGGTGAGTAGAATTGGCATCGACTTGATAAACTCGCATCATGGTCCTCTTCTAGCCAGTCTCCATTTTCTCGAGAAGCTTTACCAACTGGCCTTTTTAACGCCCGGTATATTGCCCGCAAGAGCTTGCAATCGGAAGTTAAACTGCGGCAAAGACGTCAACTCAGATATTCCCACGTCCAACCAAGACAAAAGCGTAGATGGATAGAGGGGAGCCGAAGAAAACGAGAAAGAACTCACTCTTGACAGCTTAAAGTCCCGCAGTATACCTCTCCCCTTGCCGCCCATGAGACAGCGGTTGCGGATCTGTGTCGACCGCGTGTAGCAGTGCGTCCCGGCGAGCTGCAGCTGGGCGATGGCGCGCGTCCGCGCCGGCAGCGTCGTGTTGCGGATGACGTACCGCAGCGCTTGTCTATTTTTGCACGGCAAGATTGTCAGCTTTATTGCTCTGTCGCTCTAGTGGAGCTTCAAGCGTATGTCTATGAAGCAGGCAGCACGCTATTTTTCTGCTGGGAACTGTGGCTGGGCTGGGCCGGGCTGGGCTAACCTCTCTGGCTCAAAGGCCTCGAATGCTTTCCGTTTGGAGTGGTCGCGGATTGTCTTGACGTTGGCGAAGCAGCCCAGGTCGAACTTCTTCGACCGGAACATGGACATCTTGGCGGATTTCCTTCTCTCGTCCTTGCTCGAATTGGTCTGGCTGGCTGGGCGCGCAGGTGGTCAACGACTCTCACGGCAGCAGCGACGGTGTCGTGGGGCACGCCCAATCCTGGAAGTCCTCGGCGTCGCTGGTCAGAATCTCCCGGAGCTTACCCGTGCCTGCCTGCGGTACCCACTTTAAAAAGTACTGCCAGGCGGTCGAATTTTTGCAGTCGTGCACGGACCAACTACACCGTTATATAAGCGTGCGCCCCCTCCCAATTTTCATAACTTTTTTTTCCTCTTTTTCTTCTTTAGCTCTCTTTGCCTTTTGGCTTAGATCAAGTGTAGTATCTGTTCTTTTCAGTTTAATCTCTGAAACTACTCTACGGAGTAGAATCTTGATTATTCTAATTTTTGTCAATCGGTGGACTTCCCGCTGGGCTTGCCTATGGATGTCTTCCACTGTGTCCCTGGTATTACACTGCCTCCAGGCGATGCGAACACTTTTTCATTGCAATCCTAGGCTCTGCTCGGGATGTGAGGAAGAATATCCATTTGTGCGTGTCGGTCAGACAGCCAGTGAAACTCGTGCTGCCTTTTTATATGGCCGTGGCTCGGCCATGTCGCCGAGGCCTCGTCGTAGGGTAACGGGAGGGTAGCCAGGGCCAGAGAAGGATCACAGCGCAAGCGATCACATGTCTCGATGCACAGGGCCAAGAAGCTCTCGTTGTGCCCCTCGGACTGTTATCAGCCTCTGAAGTCGATTTCAGTGTGTACGGAATACTTGCTCCTCTTGCCGGCGCAGTCGCTACGACGAGCTTGTTGGCGAACATTTGGCACAGAGTCACTGCCTCTCCTCCATCAGCGGAGGTGGCGTCTTCTCCAACCAGACCAGTATGGCATCATGAGCCGGGTGAGCGTTTGTATTTCGCGAAATGTGCCAGGCTCCCGCAGCGGGCGCTCTGATATCTACTAATTGCCCATATTTTCGTTTGCCTTAGACGTCAATGGGGAGTCCAGACACGGCCTGCCCGTTCCCTTTTCCTTGTTCTGGTGTCGTCATCCACCTTTCCGCTGCCTCCTTCACTTCTCAAATACGCAGCCGCAGCCCGAACAGGTCGACGTCCGTCTCAACTCTAATCAGGTGCCCCTCCTTAACTGCTCCCCTCCTCCCCTTCACCCTCCACTCTTTCAGGTCCGCGACAATAGCTCGGGGAGCATCCTTCTTCATCTCCCTTCCCAAACTTAACCACCCCTGCGAAGCACGAATCGCAGCTTAAACCCTCCAAGATTCCCCGTACAACATTTCGAGCGACCATGTTCCGCCGTCGCTGGTCTGGCCTCCCGGCCGACCCTCAGTTCGAGCCAGACCTCACCGAACTTGGGTTCGTACCACTATATTCTAGCCCCAAGGCCGACCTGGTGACCTTGTTGTGCTAACACGTCGCTGTTTCCCGGCTCGCAGCTATTTCGTCAATGATGTCGACGAGATCCGCTCGCTCGAGGATCCCGATTACTATGCCAAGTTCTTCTTTACCAAAAACGAGCGCTGGAATGAGCGCCAGCGCTTTGCCCTCAACGGTCAGTCACTCTTTGCTCAAATCTCCACCAGGCGAGCATCTTGCGGAACCCTAAACTGACAGAGATGACAGATGCCATAGGGAGGATCATCAAAGACCGCCTCGCAGCAGAGGGCTTAGAGACAGTGAAGCTGCCTCTGGGACAGACGGACCCGTCCAAGCCCCATATCCCAATCTGCGTGTCTGCGAATCTCAACATGAGCTCCCGCGTTGTCTTGATTCTCGGGGAGTCGGTACAGGAGTTTGGGGTGCTGGCCCACCGCGTGGTTGGAGGATCCGGCGGCATCAACAAGGGCTCCGTCGTCGACTTCGTCAAAGGTCTCAAGACGCAGAAGTCGTCGGCCGCCGACGCCAGCGCGCCGGGCATTATCATCGCCAACACGGGGGAGCTGTTCTGGTGGCCCGAGGGCCACCGCGGCCTGACGCCGAGAGGCCGCCACGCTATCCCCATGGCTAGCGCCGTCCACTACGGCCGCTACTTCGACCCGTCCAAGAACACCATCCCGGGCCAGCCCACTGCCGCGGAGCACGTGCGGTACATCTTTGACAAGGTTATTCCGGCGCTGGTGCCCAAGAACGCCAAAGTCGATGTGATTGCTGTCGGCGATGCTGCCGACCATGCAGAGCAATATCTCGACAACGAGGGGAAGTGGGCCGAGCTGGGCCGCCGCTTGAACTGCCTCGTGAACCTGGGCGGCTACTACGACGCTGCTCGTTTCAAGTGCGAAGGCTTCAAGGCCTTTATGAAGCACGTATGCTGCCCCTCTCTCCTTACCACTATAGCTTTCTTCCTCTGTTCCTTGCCCCTTAACCCCTCGGCCATATTTCCATTATGAAGTAACTATTTCTACTAACCATCGACGCCATTCCGACAGCGAGCTCGGGCCTATGTCATTGACGACGCGCCGCTCGACACGCCCGTCGCCAGCCCTGACAGCAACCTCGAGATAACCGGCTCGGTGGCGTACGGCTGTCCAGCCTACAGCGCCGGCCCCAAGGCCAAGCTGTCGGAGCTGCTGTTGATCGAGGCAAAGCAGGCGGTGCTGGAGTTTATCCAGGAGGTTGCGCTTGCCGGCAGCGACTACGTCAATCCGACCTTCACCATCATCAGCCGTGGAGGCGACTCGGACGACGAGGACACCTGGGCTGTGGGTGGTGGAGATGAGGGAGGAGAGGGCGGCGGCGCTGCCGGTGTCGCTCCTGGCGAGGAGGATTAGCAGCAGCAGGCAGAGGAGGCTCTGGTGGACGGGATGAAGAAGCTCGAGATCACCGAGGCAGACAAGTGATAATCCCAACTTAACTGCATCCATGGCGTGGCGCGAGGAGGGGCGGCAGCAGCTGAGGCGATCTGGCTTGTGTCTCTTCTCTGTATATCTTGGCAATCTTGGCCAGTAGATACTCGGACAAGAAAGCCATTACGAGGATTTCGCCACATAGACACCCCATAGCCACGTACAAGAGGAATGAAATTTCTCATACACTGAGCTACATATGTATTCGTTCCCCTTGATACTAGTATCTTTACAAACTGGTATGCTAACCTGTTACATCATATACAACCGGAGATTGTTCCCGGGTGTGAAACGAGCGTTCGTCCCTATGCCATTATTTCGGCCCACGTCGGTGAGAGTCTCTGTTAAATGAGCATGCGTGGGTTGTGTACATATATATACAAACAACACCATGCACTAAGCGGTGAAAAGGGAAGCCAGCCCAGCGCCAGGCGGCCGCAGCTCGTCGAGCAGATCCTTTGCTCGCCTCTCACGCTCCTGGATGACCTTTTCCTCGGCGGCCCAGCGGCTGGTGTCCTCCTTCTTGGTCTCGGTCTCGGAGCCCCACAGACTGAGCCAAGTGGAACTACTCTTCTTAGCCTTAGCGGCTTCCGTCTTGGCAGCCTCGTCGCGTGCCAGCTGTGCTACCATCGTGGACCAGTTCTGCAGGCCCGACGACAGGCAATCCCGACATGTCCTGGAAGCTGGTTTATCCGCGGCAGACGAGGTGAGCTTGTGCAGCTGCTCCTCGGTCACGTCGACAGCCTCCCTGGTCCAGCTTAGGCCCTCCTCTCTGCTAGTGCCGTTCGGCGCCGTGTACATGATCTCGCCAATGTGCAGACTCAGAGCGGCTTCCTCGCACAGCTCCTTGGCGTCTCTGATGGGCGGGGCGACGCCGTCGTCCGGAGGCGATGGGTAGGGAGGCGGCCCGAAGAAGCTGATAATGGACTTGCCAAGGCCCGATACCGCGCCGGTGGCGGTTGCTGGTGGTGTGTCCCGCCGTGGTGCCCATAGTTGGTTTGAGGCCGAGTCAGCGAGGGTGGGAAGACTTCGGCGGGCTTTCAGGATGGAGACGAAAATAGGGAGGGCCGATGAGACGTCTCCTTGTCGTGCCCTGTAGGTTGCGTATGCCGTGAGCGCCGTGAGCAAGTTTGCCGACGGCTCGCCGGCATCTTCTTTCAGAGTCCACGTCTTGCGATCTAGAGGCTCAGTTGGTGCCGATGGTAGTTCCGAGAGCGCCAACTGAACGGCATCCTCGTACATAATGCCGGCGGGCCCTGCGATGCCCTTGAATTCCAGCCAAGAAGCATACGCTAAGCTCGCATCCATTCTTTGGCGGTTGGTTAGGCCCTCGGTTGATATGATCCTCAAGTAGATATCATCAGGTGTCTCGAATGGGAACTCGCAGTTCTCCTCCTTGGGCGCTCCATGGAACCCTGCTGGAAGGGGTCTTGGCCGGAGGTTCGACGGTCCGATCATCACCCCCGGAGGGAAGATCATATTCCTCGTCTTATCTATCACCCAACCCTCGCAGTGCTCAGCTGCTTTGGCGTAGATCATCATGGTCTCGTAATAACCCCTCCTCCAAGATTCGGGCATGGCACCGATATCCTTTGTGCCATGAGGCCTGTTTGACGGGGCATCGCGCACACCCTTGCCGTCGATGCTTGGATTCTCCAGCCTCTCAACCGAGCCTTTGATCCACTGCATAACAGCAACCCAGTCGGTGGCGCGGTGCGGATTGGTCTGATCGCGCGTACAAAAGGCGCCACGGAACCGCATGCGCGTCAGGAAGCTCCATTCGTGGGGAGTGGGATACTGCCGCTCGAGCGATTCCTGGGAGATGGCAAAGCCTGCAGCGAGAACGGCGCCGGCAGCAAGCCAGAGGTACGACGTGTATTTAATTCCAAGCTTGATTTCATATCTGAGTCGGGCCTTGCGCTCCGTTGTCAGGTAGCGGAACTGATGGGGGGCGCGTGTTCTGGTAGGCACCGAAAGGAAAGGGAGCTGTGGTCGCGTTCGGTGGATCGAGGTTCCCGCAAAGCTTCGCAACGGCGGCGACTGGAGTTTCCGGGCAAGCACCCGGCGGAGAAGAGCAAGTCTGGGCCGCATCGTGACGGTGGTTAGAAGCGCAGGCTGACCTGGTCGACTCGAGAGCGTGCTGTAAAAGTCGGAGTTCCAGGGAGGAGGAGGACAATAAATCTGTGCCTCGGATTTCCTCAGACAGGAACCATTAGGCTGCTGATGGGCTGTTCATCGAAGTTCACACATGGACTCAATGCATTTTACCTCTTTTTCTATGCAGGTCCCTGTCTCGGGCTAGGGCGTGGTTGTTGAACACTGTCGAAATGTCGATGACGACGAATTCGAACTTCATGGACATGGACTCCCCAATTTGCTTCAAGAAGCGTCTGTCACATGACCATGGCCCTTGGCAACCCCGCAAGCCAAGGGCAGGGGCAGGGGCAGGGGCCCTAGAGCTCGACAATTGCGCCCGTCTTGCGACAGCTCTGATGAGTCTGGAGCTTGGGCCGCTAGGGCAACTCCACTAACGTTTATCTCTAAAAGCGATGGTATTGCGCATGAACATCTCATCTGCTGAATGTGACTCGCAATGCAAGGTAATTCTAGAGACAGCTATGTATTCCTATAGCCGCTGCTATTTTCAGAATAGGCGTAGGTGCATAGGGTCCCTCGTCCTCAATCAGGTCGTGTCTCTTGACGGGCTCCCGACCTCCTGCGTACGAACCATTTGTAAGTGCCGTGACCCATGTGAGGCCCCGGGAATGACCCGGAGCGTGGGGATGAAGTCGTCGTGCTCGATCCTCCCGCTCGCTGCCGGCATCTCCGCCGCTTCCATCAAGGGACGGGTATATATCTCAAATGCCCATCATGAGCTCCTCAGGGTCGCATCGCAACAGGAACGTTCCCAAGCAAAAAGAAGCGAAGTCCCATCACAGATGCACAAGCTTGCAGAGAACTAACGACAGGTGCCAGAAATAGCCCAATGTCGCACCAGCCCCCTCTTCACCGCACTGCTAATCCGACGAGAATACGCTCTTGCCGGTATCACGGTCGCTATGCTCCAAAGAGAAAAAGGGTGTGCAGAATCGGGCGAAAAGCGACCGTTTGTGCCTTTGACCCGCCTTCATAGTGCCATTCTTCAACAAAATCTCGAGGCCGTGATTGGGTTCCAACCTAAGGAATGGGCGCTTACGCTGTACGCTGTCGGTGCGGGAGGGGCAACGTGCCTATCCCGCCCTTTTTTTCTGATCCCAAAAAATCTAACTAAAACGATAGCTTTCACGTACGAACCTCCGGGGGTCACAGTACAGAAGCCGTGCAGCTGACGTTCTCTCCTTGTGTTACACGAGTCTCCCTATCGTCGCCTCTCAGCTCTTGATGTTCTGGCTGATCGCGAGTTCAGAGCATTCCTTAACAGTCCAACCGTTGTGTTTCCGTCATCCGAATCACGTCGTCGCGATTATCGAGTGGTCTGCAGCAGTCGTGGCTAGACTCATTCATGTACAGACTTTTTTTTACCCCGTACAGGTGTTCTTCATCAATGTGTCCACTGTCGGATCACCTCGGTCATGGTGGTATCAACCAAAGCACAGAGGGTACCAACAGCTCCAGCTCGACTGCCACCGCACCTTTGCGACGTGAGGCCGGCGCTGCCCAAAGGGCACATCGCGCCGCCGATTGGCCGTGGCGGTTGGTGATAGCTTGCAGAGGGGAGCATGAGGGCGGGCGCATATTGGTCAAGTCTCTTCCCAAATTCAAATGGCCCCAGTGCAGCGAGTCGCCCGCAGCCGAGCGGCCAGGAGCAGGCGCTTATTGGCTGCAGCGCCGGTAGCCCGACAGGGGGCGGGAGGGTCGGCATGCACCGACCTTGAGGATTTGCGCCTGGTCCAGTCTTCCTGGCCGGCTCTGACTGGCTGGCCTGCTCGACATGGTCCTGTCCCCCAAAAAGCCGCCCAGATTGGATGGGGGAAAGACTCGGGATTTTTACTACTAGGCCCTTGCGCTTTGCGCGGGGACATTCGTCCACACCACCCCAGGTCCAGGGCCGCCAATATTGGCCAGAGCCGACAAGGCCCCGGGCGGCTGGAGAGAGGACGAGAATGGCTGCATCGGCTCTGCTGCCACCAGATATTATTACCGCTCCCGCTACCCAGCTGCCCGTTCGCTCTCGATCTCCTCTTAATAAAATTTCTCCATCGAAATCAAAGACTGCTCGAGGTTGTCAGAGGCAGTGCCTTTTTTGACCGCTTTTCCATCATCGCAGTCGCAAGCGCAGTCAAGCATCTCTCGACGACGACCAAGCCGTCATCTGCCGCCCGCACGGACAGGAACACAAAGATCGACGGGGATTTGAGATCCGGACGAAAGCGGGGTCCCCAGCGCCGTTCCGCTCAGAACTCGGATTCACTGTGAAGGAGAGACAGCGCCATTTCGCCGGCTTCCTCCCGATCTAATTCATTTTTCTAGCCGACAAATAAGACGAGAGATTACACGCCCTGAGTCTCAGAGTAGCTGTGATCGCCAACTTTCCTGTCCGACAGATCTTTTTTTATACGCAAACCCAGAACACCGTCAACATGCTCAAGTCGCTTCTCGTCACCCTTGCCAGTGCCGCTTTGGTATCTGCGCACACGGTCATCACATATCCGGGCTGGAGAGGAAACAACCTGATCACAAACGAAACTTTCCCATTTGGAATGCAATGGATATATCCATGTAAGGACTCCTTCACACTTAGTCGCGCTTCGGCCTGCACCCGTGACTAACAAACTTGTAGGCGGTGGTATGGGCACATCCACAAACAGGACAAAGTGGCCAGTAACAGGCGGAACCATCGCGTTCCAGCCAGGCTGGTTCCAGGGCCATCCGACTGCCTTTATATATGTCAATCTTGGCTTCGGAACCGATGGACCTGACCACGGTCCCAAGAATATGAGCAACCCGATGTCGCCTCCTTTCCAAATTGTCGGCCCCAGCAAGAACCCATATCCCGGCACCGTCTGCCTGCCGCAAGTTCCGCTACCGGCGGGCGCGAACGTCAAGATTGGTGACAATGCCACCATTCAGATCGTCGAGTTAGCTCTTCATGGCGCAGCGCTTTATTCGGTACGTTTCCCCATTGCTGCGCCCCTCAGACCGAGTCGGGAAGGCCCGTTGCTGACATGACTGCACCAGTGTGTCGACATCACGTTTTCCGACCCCAACGACCCCGACCTCGCCGAGGTCAACGAGACAAACTGCTTCAACAGCACCGACATAGGTTCTGCTAATATTTACACCCAGATCGTCACTCCATCTGGCGGCAACGTCTCCAGCGCCGCGCAGCGCACCCTCAAGGGCAGCACCTTCACGCTGCTCGGGTGGTTGCCGCTCGCGCTGGTTGGCCTCTGGGCGTTGGTATGATGAGTCGGCAAGATGTCCGGGAAGAAGGAAAAGAGATAATTAATCTCAAAGTCTGGCGTGATGCCTGACAGCTACCTGTCGAGCCGCGGCCTCGCCACCACCGAGCCGCGTGTATATTTCGCATTTACAAAGGCGTTCTCGGAGTGTTGTTCCTGGGAGAGACTCGGGATTAACTAGTGCGGGGGTTGCTTTTTTTATCCCTATTTAATGACCTCTTTGTTGTTGTGAGCGGCGTCTCTTGGGAGGGGCGGGGGATGAATCAGCCTTATCATGAGAAACGGTTAAGGGGGCCATCACGACGAATTGTCGGATCTCTTCGGCTTGGATTGTACGAAGGCGGAATTCCGATCTGGTCTCCCCAAGACTTGGGAGAGAGAGATGCGGATGAGATGACGTTGTGTCTCTTGTGTATGTGTGTGTGTGTGTGTGTGTTAAATGAGTCGGGCGGCTTGTGTGGGCTTGACCGCACGCGCGGCAAGGGCTTATTGAGCCTTCAGGTTGAGCACCCCGATATCAACACTTGTGGGATTACCTTGCTAGGTATTTGAGAGGCGGACATGTTTCATAGTTATCCACTATAGATTCTTTTTGAAGGCAAAAGAAATCGATGAGCATGATACCAAACAGTTCGGGAACAAGCAAGCTTGGTGATAACGGTTCTTGGCACGCCCCAACCTGCTAACCACTCTGCGAATTATCACGTCGTTGAACTGAACAAGAAAATAGGAAAGGCGAGAAACCAGGGCTCATGACTTGAACAAAATATCCCCCCCTTTTGTTCTTTGTTTCGTTTGGGGTTCCGTTCTCTCCCTCTGTACTCTGTAACCCTCGATCGAGGCCGAACATCCGGCGTGTCACCAGCCGCCGACTTCGAGAGACTTAAACTTCTTACGAGAAAGAAAGAAGGGGTGGGTTTCAACGACGCCACGAGAGCACCCCTCAACACAACCGATCCAGAAACTCTGCAAAACTGCGGCAAGCGGGTCGGTGTGATGGTCCAGTCACATTTTTTCTCGTTCTTGTTTTTCCGTCTCGCCCAACGGCAACGGAGTGGAAGTGTTCCACATATGTGCCGACAGGCTCGTGCGGTCGGAGGTGCGAAGGTTCCCGGTCTAGGAGATATCTTGTGGGAACAGCTACAACTGCTCTCTCAACTGAAGAGAGATAAAGAGCAACGTTGTGCTAATCCATGATGAGTTCAGATGGGTGTGGCTCGAATTTAGAGATAATCAAGTCTTTGTCAGCATTCTCGCAGAAATGTAAAATGAAGTGATGACGGTATTCGGAAGATGTGATGTGAAGAAGGCCCAACAGGCTGAACACATAACTTTTGAACATTTGTCTCCCTATTATCAGTACCCAAGGAACTGGGGCGGACACGAGCTTGAAACTGTGCCACATTCACGCTTTCCCTGGAAATCCTCAACGTGACATATAACCTTGAGAACTTGTCCATATTATTCTACGAATATGGCCTGGGGTTTCCAATGCTATAGAAGGATTAAAGACCGGGTAACTCTGCTTTCTCGGGTGGGGACGAACGCGTTTTTAGATTCCGGTACCGTTCAAGACGGTAACCACATTGAAGTAAGCAGCTTTTTGTTCTCTTTCTTAAGAGATACATGGGAAATAGCGTATGCCCCGGCATTCACCTCTTCTATCTGCAAATCAAATATGTAACTAGCTAGACATCGACAGCCATCAATGTGAGACTGCTTTCGCAAAATTATATACAATTAATAGTCCATCGCGTGATCGCAAACCTCTCTATCACAAATAAGCTGTGCATTCCTTCGCAAGGTCGGTGACACGCGCTTCAGTCGCCTTCTTGCCTGCTTCTGAAATCCACTTTTGGACACCCAGACTTTTTGCCAGCTCTCTCGGTTGACTTCCTGCCACAAGTATCATACCGACGGCCATGAGGGACCGGAATAAAACCTCTGAGTCGCTCTGCTTGCTGACAACTCTTTCGAGAATCTTGCACAGCTGGCCAAGGGAGCTGGGATCAACAAGCGCCTTCGTTCGCTCATTGTATGCCATGCAAGCGTAGTTGAAAGCCGCCGATGTTAGAGCAATCTGGAGATTGACGTTTTCGGTGCCGATTGGGGCTTGGCCATCAAGACCAACAATTCGCCCCATAACGCGGAGGACGTCCCGTGCTTCCCCCAAGACGAGTTTCCTGCCTGGCTCGGTGCTGAAAAGATTAACCACTACACGCAGTGACATCATGACGACGTTGGGATTCAGTTGCGCCGAATCTGTCTTGTTGACGAGTTCGGCTATCGTCGTGTCTGAATCAACAGGGGCGTCCGTGTCGAGCGCGCTTCTCAACGCAACAGATATCAAGTTGCCAAGCCTGTGATGTGCGGACGAGGCAGCACTAGGGAATACCGACAGGCACCGAAGTAGGTCGAGACCCGGAAGCCTGTCGGCGTATGGCCATTGCGTTATGACGACGAAAAGAATCGTCTCGAATCCCTTGAGATTCGCAGCTGGGGACCCCAGCTTGGTCTCCGTCCCTGCCCTAGTCAGAATTTCACGGAGCGCATCTAGGCTCGCTTCGCCATCGGGATTCAAAATGATATCCTTATGTCCTGCTTTTCCGAGCCTCTCATTAACGGTTTTGAGCCTCTTCGTGGCTGGTTCTAGCCTGGCTTGGGTCAGGGCAACGTAGACGGTATGCGGCAGTGCTTTCTTTACAGTCGGAGCAGATTCACCCGGCCTGTATCGAGACTCAGTCCCCATCGGATCGTCAGACGGCGCTTCCGTGGTCTGGCCGATCGTAGCTCCTTTGGTGTTTTCTGTAATGAACCTAGCAACGCTTTCAATGTAGGTCATGGGGAGATCGTTGTCGTTGAGGAATTTGGTCGCCGCGTCGTATGGGTTTTGTGCTAGGTTGTATGGCAACTTGAGAGTCGGCTTGCCCTCTTCAATGTCAACGTCGAATACATAATCGTATTCCTTTCCGTTATATATAACCTTCACACCACTGCTGCCGGTGTTATCCACGACTGTGCCGACATGAATCCATTGTTGCTGGCCTGCGATAGCGTTAGCAATAGTTCAGCAGGTAACGAGAATGAATATAGCTCAAGGTGACTGACCTAATGACCACTGGTACGCGCCGATGCTGCCATCGTCCTCCTTGACCGTCACTACCTGTCCATCCTTTGAGCCTAAGTGAGTCACAAGCCAGCTCTTGGGGTTGAGCTTCTCCTTGTTTATTGATTCTCCGAGCTGCTGTTGCGGTATTGCGGATGCTCGGACCGATTCCTCGAAATGGGCGATGACGTCGGGGTCTGCTGTACGCTCAGAACTGCGTGAGAATATTCGAACCACGTTATCGCTAGCGCCCGAAATGATGTCCCCATTTTCTGGGCATACAGCAACAGACCACACAGAAATGGCGGGGTGGGTTATTGTTTGAATGCACTCTGAGCCTCTCCAGATTCGAAGGGTTCGGTCTTCTCCCGAGCTGACAATCTCGGCAGTCTCCGGCAAGCTGGCAAGAGAGTAGATGAAGCTCTCATGGCCATGCAAGGTGCCGACTTCTGTACCATTCAACTTCCATAGCCGAATGATATTGTCGTTACCAGCACTCGCAAAGTCAGCGCCACTGGGATGTCCTTTGAAGCCACTGGGAAGCTTGCAGAGGGCGCGCACAACAGCGTCAGTAGACAGGGTCCGTACTGGGGCAACCTCGTTGGTATTATTCGCTTTCCGTAGATCGAAGATGCGAATATTTGTGTCTGCACTAGCAGTGATGACGATGTTCTCGTCATATGCCAGGACAGCCCAGACACTCCTCGCATCACCACCCAAATGAAGGAGCTCCTTGGACGGCTGCCACGTATCGGCCATCCAGACAATGGCTCTGCCGTCCCAGCTCCCAGATACGGCCCATGTGCCTTTCGGGGATGCGTCAAGGGCGCATACATTATTCCCGTGTCCCACAAGGAGGTGCTCGGCATTTTGGGACTCGTTGGCTGTTGCTTTCTTTACGTCGATAATGGGATCTTGACCTCCGGAGATGATGAGGCCGTCGGGGTTTTTTGACGACGGCCGCATGAACGTCAGTGAGTTCATGAAGCCATGGCCACGGTTCACCACGGTAGGTTCAAATGCTGGGGGCTTGTCCGCTGTTTTACGCCAGAGGCAAACTGTGTGATCTCGAGAGGCGGAGAGGGCGACGTTGGCCGCCGGAAAGGACACGGCGCGAACCTGTGCTCCCAAGGACTCGGTTAGACATTGCATACAGGGGGGATTGAGTTTCTTCGTGGTATTTACATCACCAGAATGGCCCTTCAGCTGGGCTGAAAGCTTGAAATCGGGCATTTTGGGCCCTGGGGTTGAAATATGAGGACGAGGTGGGGGACCTAAGCGGGCTCGCGGGATGTTGCTTGAGGGATTGGGAGGTGCGTCGCAAGTTCAAATGCAAAGGGCAAATTCAAAGGGCAAATGCGTGTTTGCACTTGTGCGGTACGAATTATCGTAAAGAAAACGCAACGACTTGTTGATTGTTCCGTCGATTTGTCAAGCAGTTGGAAGGAGTAGGAATTCGTTGGAAGCTTGGGTTAGTTAGAGTAGAACGAGCCCAGCCGCAAAAGCCGCCGCGCCGCAATGGAGGGGTGTTGGAAGACGGCAAGCTGGCAGGCGGCAGGGGCAAGCTTCAGCCCACCTTTAGCCCCACTTCTCCGCAACTGGCCCCCCTAGGCCGGTTAGGTTGCCCTTGGAAACTCATTTTCGACCAAAGTTTTTGTGCCCGAGAGGCTTCAAAGTTTTAAAAAAAAACGAAGCATATAGAGCTATAGAAAATACGTTCAGGTACAGCGCGGGGAGGCCAGGGACTTTTACTAAGAACTTCCTTACTTGGATCTCTAGGTATTGACTCGCAACCCTCTTACGTAACTGCACTGATTCGTGGGCATCAACTGAAATCAACGCTTAGACCCCTGAGCGGAAGGCCGGCCAGCTGCCTGCCCGCATTCCGTGGTTTGCCCCGCAGCGCAGCCAACTTCTGCCCTGAATCAACATTGAAGAACTTGATTATTTTTGTCGCAACATCGGCTCTTTCCTTTCGGGTCTGGCTCCGACGACAGAGGATATGACGGCCTGTCTTGCCTACATTTTCTCCCTATCATCTAACGAATTCTTTTTTACGACCCGTTACGGCCTTTCGTTTTTTTTTCCCTGAATTTGCTCCCGCTGTTTTTGCCTTAAATTTTGGCATCTTGCAGCTTTGCTCCCCAGTACCAACTGAAGGCTTTTTAGCTCGCCGCCATCGCATCGCCCACATCTCTCGACTCCTCACGCCTTCGATACATTTCTCACCGAATTAATCATCGCCTAGATTTGCTATAATCGCACTCTCTTTACTCGTCACCCACCATGGCCGATCCCGCGTCGCGGCAGTACGTTCCTCTGACCTGCCACGGCCACTCACGGCCTGTGCCACACGTGAGCTTTTCGCCGTTGGAAAAGGAGGAGGTATACTACATGATCTCTGCTTGCAAAGGTGGGTCTGACTCTATTTTTCTGTTCATTCGGCGCATTGTTGACCCGCAATCGTTTTGTGCAGATGGCAACCCGATGCTTCGCGATGGCCAGACCGGCGACTGGATTGGGACATTTCTCGGCCACAAGGGTGCCGTCTGGCAGGCGAGACTGAGCCCCGACGCGTCGACTGCGGCGACTGCCTCTGCCGATTTCACCGCCAAGGTCTGGGACACTCACACCGGCGAGCTTCTCTACGTTCTCCAGCACGACCACATTGTCCGCGCTATTGCGTACCCTTATGACAACTCTGGAATGCTGGCAACTGGAGGCTTCGAGAAGAAATTGCGCATCTTTGACCTGCAAGAGCAAAAGCCATTGTACTCCCCCACGTCGTCCATTGATCCGAACCTCGTCACACCAATTACGATCGAAACATCGCAAGCCTTTGAGATCGGAGAAGGGGCCCATAAGGATGCCATCAAGTTTATTGTTTGGGCCAAGGATCCGAACATGATAATCACCGCCTCGGGCGACACTCTTCGCTGGTTCGATCTTCCTTCTAGGTCCTGCGTTCGCGAGGCGAAACTTGATGGCGAGATCAAGTCCTGCGAGCTTGTCTCCCTCGCGCCCGCTTACAGCTCGCCGGCGGATATTGGCGGCGGCCTCCCGGTTCTTGCGGTTGCTGCGGGCAAGACCGCGTACTTCTGGGGGGGTAACCGTGCTGAAGACGATATCAAGCAAATAACTTTACCGCACGGAATTGCCAGCGTAGCCCTTGATCTAAAGGGCAGGAAATACGTGGTTGGCGAGGAGCCGGGCACGTGGGCGCGCGTGTATGACTGGGAAGATGGTAGGGAGCTTGACGTGCACAAGGGTCACCACGGGCCTATTTGGTCAATCGCATTCTCGCCTGACGGTAACCTCTACGCAACTGGCTCGGAAGACGGCACAATAAAAATGTGGAAAAACTGCGAAGGGTATTATGGTCTTTGGCGAGGAGGCTTGTCTACCGGTAGCGGCACGGACTAGGAGGCGATTGAGCGCTCCGGCTATTCCTCGAATGATACCCACATCGAACTTCCCACCAGTCCTAAGCAGTGCGATGATGCTCGCTTTGTCGTGTCAGGTGCGGCTGATTTCATCGGCTTGGAAGACATGGCAATGTCTTTTTTGGACCCGAGTGCTGACCTGCTACTCAGCTATTCCCCGCCCAATCTTGACATAAAACCAATGCCCGCCTCGCCGGATTCGTTCTCGGCCTGCTCCGACCTTCTCTTGAGTTATGAGGAATCCTCAAAATCCACAAGACATCGCTGCAGTTGTCAGTCGTGCCCTTTACACGGCACGGAGGGGCGCCGGGGAAATCGGCAAGCTAATAGCGTTCGTGGGCTTGGGTTTAATAGCGTTTTGGCATTTGATTTAGTGACTTGAGTGACTCCTATGGGGGTTTTGGGCTGAGCCTGGTGGATATACAGATCATTCTAATTCGATGGTCGATCCGAGGAAATGGATTGTTCATATTCAGCAATACACGATGGCTCAGCCAGGAGACTCAAGCATTTGCTAGTTTCACCCCAATTGCCCCTTCTGAAGAATTACAGGCTTAAACTGACCTATGATGGGCGCTTCTTACCCCGATAAGGCAATTGGTACACGATCTTCAGCTTAGACGACCTTTCTGCTGGCAGTCTCGGACTGATATTTGCAAATATTCTCATCTTTCACATATTTATTCCTGAAAACACAAGTGATGACTGTGTAAGATTCTTGCTTGTATGACTTATGTGTCGAGCTAGGCCTTTGGGTGATGAAATGTTTCCTCTCTTGGTTCCTCTTCCTGCCCGTTATACTTTCCTGGTGATTTTCTTTGGTAATAGCTCCAACGGCAATATTAGCTCAACCTGCCGCAGGTCAAAAGCGACTGCTCGGCTCCCAATGTTTCTAGTGAATATCGCCAGGTTGCTCTACTGTCTGCCTCGCTTGTGCCTTCTTCGATTAGACATGGGATTTTCTAGGGTTTATTATTGATCATTGAGTGAAATATTGGAACTAGAGTCTTGGTTCTGGGGCTTATTTTGTGCGCTCAGTCGAGGAAAAGCTCCGTCTCGTTCCCATTTGGCATTTTTGCCTTTCCGTTATTTATTTTCCGGGCAGGCCAAGGCACAACCGGCGACTTGGCAGCTCATCTACTCTGATATCATCGAATTTATACTTCGAGAAGTTCAATATCTATTTTGACCTGGCCCGTCCTTCTTGAACTCTGTCGACACCGATTTAGTTCACACTTGGTATCCAACAATCTCGGTAATTGGGTAGGTGTTCCCTTTAACCCCTGAAGGACTGTTGGAGTTAACTTTATGAGGCGTGAAAGGCCCAATTATCTTGGCAACCGGCCTTGAGAGGGTTTCTCCGTGGGATGCAATTGGGACGTCTAATATAGAAGAATGCCAGAGGTTCTGGGTTAAACCTTCCATTCTAGGCGGCGCGCTACGCTCCTGTCACCTCCTGGTAAAAACTAGAAATAGACTAGGGAGGCACACAGGAGATATCCGTGGTCCAATTTAGACTCCCACCACAATTAATTTTGCTACGGGGCAGCCGACGTTCAGTCTCAGCCATTGCTCTGACTCTGGGCAATCAACATATGGTACCAAGCTACCAAGATGTCCTCTGATCGGCACGGATTTCTCAGGGAGTTTTTCATAGATTCCGACAGCATTCTGCCTGCCTACCGCAGGGACAAGTTGAAATGGATCAAGAGTGTGGCTAAAGAGACCGATCGGAAAGCTATGAGGAGTGCCTGGAGGAAAGTCTCACAAAAGGAGGAGGCTAAATTGGCACCCAACCACATCCGAGAGGCCATGTCGCCCAGGCTGAGAAGGAGGTTAAAGAGATGCGGTATGGGCTAGATCTCCATCTTTAGGCGATGGTTTTGCTTGGCTTGGCTCGCGTGCTAGATAACCAGTCTCTTGATTGCTAACCGGATCACTTAGCCGTAAAACGGGCAAAGACTGGGAAAGCAAAGTTCAACAAGCAACTGGTGGGTTCGGAAGCTTGAGTGTCAGTTCTAGACTTCCGGATCCATATTCCCAGTCCCAGGAACACATCGGGTGTGCCTCCGAGGGTACTATATAGTTGCCACCACTACATCCCTCCGAGTCTCACAAAGCAAGGCAGCCCTGCAGCGACCCAATACCCAAAAATCTTCAAGATGACTTCGCTAACGCTCAGGCTCTCCCGGAAGCCGGAAGCCGGCACTACAGACCTAGGTTACCAACTGGCTTCCTCCGCACCATTGCCATCAGTTGAGAATGTCGCGGTCTGTGAGCGGCCCTCTGAGGCTAATAAATCACCAAACATACCCGCACTACTGACTGGGGAACAAGGATATGAGCCCAAGCGCTCGGTCAGTCCGCTCACATTCCCACACCTGTCAGTAGCAGCTCATGACGCAGGGTTGGTTGAGATCAGGAAGGAGCTCAGCGCGCTCAGTTCCGTAGTGAGAAACTTGATAGACCAACAAAAGCTCCTGAAGGGGGATGTAGCCTCACTGAGAGATGAGGCTTAGACAATCCGTGACCGGGCCGGAGTGTCGAAAACGGATATCCAGATGATAAGGGAGGGCATTGATTCTTGAAAGAGGCAGTCGGAAAGCCCCAGGAGAAGGAGCTCCAAAGAGCTATGGAGACAAGAAAGATGATGACTACCCTTGGGGCAACGCTGATCGAGCTTGGCAACACCTTGGCGAGCAATTCGGGAATCTAGAGGCGACTCCCAAGCATAAGTTGCGTTCGTCGTTGATACCAGTACCGGTTTCCCGTAGCGATGTTCATCTTACGGGTCGGGTAGGGAAAGGCAGCGTCTAGTTCGTAGATTGGCCGGCAAGTGGTTCTAAATGGAAAAATTACTGCGTTTTGATCGCCGAGAGCCAGAGGCACAGTCCAATCTCATGGTAGCTTATTAGCCTGTGGGTTTCCAGCAGCAGACCTCGAAGTCAACGAATTTGTCGTCAAAATACATCGGTAGACACAATACCTGGATTACACAATGTCGACTCGATGTGGGGTTGTGGAAGACCCCGCTAGAAGAACTGCAGGGGTCGAGTTTTGGCAGCTTGGGGGGGTTGGAGTAGTGATGGCAGCCTCGCGTTGAGTTCCCGGCAAGATTTCCACAAAGCGGACCGTGTATTACCCAGAAGCGTGTTCGTAATCCGCATTGGTAACCTGCATTTGCTATACCTTCGCAGTCTATCCAATTACTGCGCAAACGTCGCCCACAGCTATCAGCCTTTTGACCGAATTTGACGATTCCAATTGACTCGCAACATGGACGACGAGTACGGCAGTTCCGAAAATGAACAGGATGAGCTTATGGACGAGGCGGACGACCTAGAGCCCGATCATGACGGAGAGGAGGAGAACGAAGAAGAGGACGACGAGCAAGACGAGCAAGACGAGCCAGAACCTGAGCCTGAGCCCGAGCCCGAGCCTGAGCCCGAACCCGAACCAGAGCCCGAACTGCCAGAGCCCGAACCAGAGCCGGAGCCAACCGAAGGCAGCGAGTCTCAAGCACAGACGGCTGGCAGCCGTCCGGATGGCGAACAAGACGCCAATACCGCCGACCAACCGGCTGCGGGCACGACGTCAACGCCCGCAAGCCCGCTGACGGCATCGCAATGGCGGCCAAGGCTACGGCACGAGTACATCACGGCTCCGCTCTACGACATCGTCCCCACAATGGCCGCGCCCCAGGCCACCAGCATCAATGCTATCGCTATCACGCCCGACCTGCGCTACTGGATGACGGGAGGATCCGACGGCTATATCCGGAAATATGACGGCATGGGCACCATCAACGGAAAGCAGCAGTTGACGGTGGCGCAAAAGCATCCGTTTGTGGACAGCGTCGTCAAAGCCGCCATTCTGATGTCCTACTGGGAAAACGAGGAACCACCTACCCCCAACGCCCGAGCCGAGGAGCGCGTTACGTCGCCCGTCTACAGTCTGGCCGTCCACAGCAGCGCGCTGTGGCTGCTGAGCGGGCTTGAGAGCGGAGGCATCAACCTGCAGAGCGTGCGGCACGACGAGGGCAAGAGGATACACTGTCTGCGCGACGGCGGACACACTAATGCCGTGAGCGTTCTGCAGCTGGCTCCGGACGAGAAGAGCGTGCTCAGCGGGAGCTGGGACAAGTCCATTCTGGACTGGGACTTGAACAATGGGCAAATCATACGCCGATTCGAAGGCATAGCGGGCCAAATATCGGCCATCGAACTGCGGCCGGCCAACGGAGCACCGATACCTGCCGAGGCAGGCGACCCCGAGATCAAGAGCGACACGTTCGAGAGCAGCAATGCCAGACCACGGCCTAACGGCTTTTTTACTGACGGGATCACAGAGGGGACCAGCACAACAGTGGTCGGAAGTGATGCCGCCAATGACGGAGCGACTGCTGTGGGGGACGGGGCCTCTCCCGAGCACGAGTCGTTGTTTGGTAGTCCGGGCGGATCCCTGTTTGGAGATAACGATACAATAGGGGGAGGCGGGAATAGAGGCGGAGGTGGAGGCGGAGCCTTTGGGAACGACGACGACGTTGACTTCTCGGGAGGTATGGATATGGGAAGTCTTCATGAGGAATCGACTCACCACGGGCTAGACAATCCTGGGGAATTCGTCATGGGGGATACCGACATGTCGAACGGGCCTGGAGATTCGGGGATGGCGCAGTCTTCCACAGAAGCCAGTGGCGGTGCCCCTGGGGATTTATCCAACGGTCTATCTAACGGAACACTGTCCGAGGGAACTGTCAATGGTGATATAATTAAGGACACGGCTATGGGGTTTGGCCAGCAGTCCTCGGAAACGCAAAATCCTTCCTTTTTGACTGAACATGCTCAGACCCAGGAGCAGCAGTCTGCCGATGCCCCGTCCCAAAACGTCTACCAACCGGCTGTTGCTCAACCCTCTATGGTGTACGGCTCTGCGCCGCCTCCCTCCCACCACGACCCTACGCAGTCCTCTTCCACCACCTTTCTCTCTACCGCAATAGACGGGACGATTCGGATCTGGGACAGAAGGACTCCAGACCCTGTAGCGCGCATCGGCAACCGACCTGGCGTGCCTCCCTGGTGCATGGGCGCGTGCTGGAGCCCAGACGGCAACTGGATCTACGCCGGACGCCGCAATGGCACCGTTGAAGAATTCAACATCCACAATGCGCGCAGCGGCTGGCGGCCGGAAAGAGTGCTCAAGTTCCCCAACGGCAGCGGCCCCGTGAGCACCGTGAGAGCCATGGTCAACGGCCGCCACCTCGTGTGCGGGTCGCACGACATTTTGCGGCTCTACGACCTGCGCGAGAACGCCGCCTTCAAGCACTCTAAGGTCCCCTTCATCATCATTCCTGGCCCCCCTCGAGCGGGCGTCATCTCTACACTCTATATCGACCCTTCCTCGCGCATAATGATCTCAGCCGCCGGCACAAGGGGCTGGGAAGGCACCTCCACCGAGTGCCTCATCGGCTACGAGATTGCCGTCGCCGCAGCCCAGTAGAGAGAGCCTTGCTGAGCTCCCCGGATTCGGCTTCCCATCATCGCGCTCTCCATCCTCCATGTCCACCGATAGGCTCCGATGCCGTGATGAACCTGACCACAGCCATGTCACCAACCTTAAGCCCTAGCCCGTAATCAATTCCAGTGGCAACCCCTCACCCTTTGCCGCTGTCGATAACATGGTCATAACTGGTATAATTGTGACCGACACACATACTGCAATGGATATTGAATCACGAGAGACGAAGCTCCACATTCCCCTTTATTTCCTCCAAGTGCATGCTCCATGCTCCACGCTCCCCTTGTTTTGGCGGTGTCTCGCCAACCCGAGGAATTATTCCAGCTTTTGCTGCCGTCCTGTCGTCAAAGCGGATACTTTTTTTTTTAACATCAACATCGAAAAGCGAATGAGCCGGTCGGCCTAGCTTGTAGCGGATCGTTTCAGGGGGAAGTTGGCGTTGAACCTTTTCCTCTTAAATTACCTATGTCAACATATTTGTTTCTTATTTATTAACCTTTGAATCAGCCAGTCTCTCCATTGTTTAGCTTGTATACGTCAGTTGGTAAATACCCGGCGGGGAAATCAAGGCGTTTTGCTTGGGAATCTTCCACACTGTCTAGTCTTGTCTTGTCTTGCTTTCTCGTTCCAAAAGACTGAAGTGAGTACCTATATTACTAGTATTTGTAGTTTCCCACCAAACTCCAGCATCGCGGCGCGGCTTAGTGAATTTAGTGTATTGCTAATCGTCAAGTAATAAACCACTGCCTGACCAAGATGGCAAGCCCATAGAGTGATTCTGTAAGTTCCCTACAATAACACCATACTCGCTAGCAACTCGCTACACGTGTCTTTGCTCATTCTTCCTCAAGTCAAATCCGTCGTACTGCGAACTACCCGAACATCTCCCTTTCTCACCACTCCAAACACACCGATTCCGTCTTCCTCCATTCATTCCCTCAGAACCATATGAGCCAGTCCTCTTTGCCATCTTCCCGCGAGTCCACGACATTCTTAACGTTTGTGGTAGAATTCTCGAGCATCGTAGACACACTCTCAACGGTTGGGGCAACATTCTCGACAATTGCTGCGCCCTCATCAAACCCCTGGCACTGAATACCGAGGCCATTGTTAGTGAAGCTGTCGCAGATATCCGATGCCTGGCAAGCGGCTTTGGTTTGATCCTCAGTGAATCCAACAGATGGGGTAGTAGCAGTATCGGCCTTGTAATACATATCGCTTTGGAAAGCGGATGAATCCGGGCTTCCCACCCCGGGGTTACCAGTACTCTCTTCAACCAAAAAGGAAATTAGGTTCTCTTCATCAGGCAGCACTGGTGAAATTTGAGATTGCGTCGAGTCAGACTTGTGCAACTCCAAAAGTTCCTCGCGGCGACCTTGGTAGTGGTGAGTCTGTCGAAACCCATCCACCAAGGAGACCGGCTGATAAATGTCCAGAATTGTTGTTGTTGGAGCCGAGCTGGCTTGGGCAGCATCACCCAAACCCTGAATGTCAAGGCCTTTGTCGAGCAGATCGGGATTATTAGCAATATCCTTCCATTGCCGGGAGATTTGATGGGCAGATGGTCCCGAAGAACAGCGCATACCGGTAGCGTTCTGGCCAGCTTTGGCAATTGGTCGGAAGTTGGGTGTGCGAGAGAAGACCCTCACCTTATCCTGTTGCCTATCCGATCGACCACGCGGATGGCTAGGCGCCAAGCTAGTTCTACGATTACTGCCTCGATGGCGCGATTTGTTGTCATGGGTGTTGTCGTTGCTGGTACGTCCCTGTTTTTGAGCCTGTTGAGGCTGCTGAGGGAGTCGGCTTGCATCGTTGTCTAATGGGATCGAGGTGGTCCTGATCGCAGCCTGGATCATGAAGCTTTCCCCTCCCACTGACTGAAGGAGTTCCTGCTCAAGTGAAAGTTCTTCAAAGGCCACAGTAGCTTTGGCCAGCCGTGCTTCTTCCGCCTCATGCCGGATACTGGTGGCGCGAAATTTTTCGCAGTCGCAAAAACACTTCTGGCTGCAGAATTTCTGGCAACCATGCCCGCAACTGAGATTATTCTTGCAAGCATGACTGCAAGGAAGGCGAGCGTGTGCAGTCTGATGACACTTCAGAGTGCACGGGTGTCCACAGGGTCGAATCTCTTTGCATTGCAGATTGCAGCCGCCTGCATTGTCGCCCCAATCGTCCACTGTTTGGATCCATATCTCGTTGTTGTGCGGCTGGCACACAAGAGGTAGACCCTTCTTACGTTGGACCCTCTGCTGCTCGGAAAACCCATTCCAGATTTTCGCCCATAGAACGAAGGACGATTGGTTGGCTCTGAGGACATTGTCGACATTTCCAAACATGAAGAACCCAAGACGGGCACGGCTGATTGCGACTACCGCACGTCGTTGGTCTTCCAAGAAGCCAACCGCAAATGGGTTACCTGGCAAGGGACTTCTAACGAGCGAGAGAAGCACTATATCGTTCTCCTCTCCTTGGTAAGAGTCAACCGTGAAAACATTGAAGTGGAGGCCAATGAGCGAGTCGTGCTTTCTCAACAAGGACAATAAGTGCTTCCGCTGTCCATTGTAGAAGGTAAGGATAGTGATTTTCGACGCATCAGTGCTATTGGCGACGAGATAGCTGAAGAAGTTGACAATCATATGTGCTTCTTGATCGTTCAATTTGCTCATGTCAACGTTCATCTCCTCTGGCCATTCATGATCAAAGAAGAAGCAGTTCCGACCACCCATTCCGGGCACGTCTGGTCGATTGGCGGCGTCCTGTACAACGGGGTGGTCCTGTAGCTCCGGGTAGAACGGCTTTAAAATGTAGCTTAGCTCGGGCTTCATCCGGCGTTGATGCTTCAGCATCACGAAAGGCATTTTGAGATTGACCATGCGCTGGAAGAGAGAGACATTGAGGTTGTAAGGCTCTTCTCCTAGCCATCGGATGTCGCAGTTAGGCGCCAGCTGCTGATGGTCCCCGACAAGAATCAGCTGCTGGAGGCTCGGGAAGAGAGCCGACGTAATGTTGGCCTCTCGTGTCTCGGCAGCCTCTTCGATCAGGAGAGAACGAGGCATCAACGCAGCTAAAAAGCCACGAAACTTGGTGAGGCCCGTCGTGGTACACCCAACAACTTCGATGCCCTCAGAGTCAATTAAATTGGTGTCTCTGGCCCACTTGCTTGCCTTGAGTTGTTTACATAGGTAAACATTCTGAGCGAGGAGGGAGGTGAGCTTTGGCGTGGTAGCTTCCAGCAATTTAGCCTGCAAGAGCTGGTATACCGCACCGCGCATGTCTGGGCCGATGCAAAACAAATCGCTGTTATCTGCCAGTGCACGCGCGGCAGCGCGCTGCCAACGCGAGACATGCGAGGGTTCTCTGCCGGACCACATGTGAGCCAACTCAATTAGCTGGCCCCTGATACGGTCCAAATCTTCCTCGTCTTCGGCGATATTGTCCAGGTCGCCGTCGAACTCAATTTCACGCTTCGCCTCGGCCTCATCCAGGTCTTGCTGGGTTGGATGCTGGTCCCGCAAGATCCGAGCTGGAATGAGGCTGTCACCAAGCCAGAGCGCAAACGGCCCCTTCTCAACATCAGTCTCCATGCTTTCGTCATACAACGATGAGAACTGATCCTGAGTGATGATCCCTGCATCCAAAAGTGCAGAAGGACTAATGAGGTTGTCGCCAAAGACGCCGCTAACCAAGTCTTGAATGGCGTCAATGTTGGCGCGATGAGAATGAACAAGGCCTCGATATCGCTTGTCTTGAACTTCTTGGCAGCGCATGCGAGTCTCATACACCGTGTGGGGTCGAATCATGGGGCTCTCGGTCCTTCTGCCAACTCGAAGAATATTGGCGCCATTGTTCAAACAGTGGATAAGAATCTGGTCCAGAGCGTGGTTCGTCTGGGCGGCAACAATAATCGGCGGACCTCCTTGCTTGCGGCGGGTGGAAAGGATCACTTTGATCGCCTCTATGGATGTAAACGTCTTTCCAGTGCCAGGGGGGCCCTGAACAATTGCGAGCTCGTTGGAGACAATTTTATGTACGCCTTCGAGTTGCGAATCGTCCAGTGTCGAAGCTCCTTGAAGGCCAGGAGGGCCACCCTCTAGAACATGAAAGGTGCTCATGGATTCTCGCAAAGTGTCGCCGTTCTCGGTGGCGCGGTGGATGAGTGAAGAGAAGTCCATCCAAGGATACTCTTCAATGAACGCGGGTGGTGTATCGTGGACATGGTTGCCAATAAGATACTTGTCCAAAGGCGAACTGATAGGTTTGTTAGTTCTGCATCATATGACGCTGCAAAGGGGTGGCCAACTTACTATGTCTGAGCGGCGTGCTGCAAGCCGACGAGTGCGTGGCGTGCTGACTCGAAATACCCGTTTCGAGACTCAACCATGACCAGTTCCAGGTTCGGATCCAAAACGGCATCTTCCGTATTCGCCCACATCAGATCAACAAGTGGCGGGTCCTGGTCAAGGCCATCTCGGTATGGCCGTTGGGCAATTGTGGCGATCTTGCAGATTGTCTTGAAGTTGTTATCCTTCGTAGAAATCGCGACGATGGTCCCCGGCCTGAGCCTCCTCGATTGCTGCCACTTGATCCTGTATGTCGACCGCTTTGTCGAGAACTCCACGCGTGCGATAGGCCCGAGGCGTGACATTAGATATGACTTGACTCGAACCTGAGAGAAATGCGATGATCAGCGTGGGTGTGTTAAAAGGCAGGAATAGATGGAACATGCCTCGGTGTAAATGCATGAGAACTCATCATCCATTGGCACCTTCTTGTTCTTGATGGCATCTTTGTAGAGTCCTACGGAGAACCGTAGACCCTCAACTCCTTCGCGACGCAGGATCTCGTATTGCGCCTCGAGATAGGCCTCTTTTGAGGCCCAGGGAGTATCGACGGGATTCTCTGGCGGATCCTTTGTGTCATTCTCAGTTGCTAGAATCTCGCGAGCTTGTGGGAGCTCCGAATTCGACTTCCAGCCCTGGGTTGCCTCAGGGCTAAAGTAGACATGCTCGTTGACAATGTCGAGAGCGCGCTGCATTGTGTCAATCTTCCCGAGCTGGGACATAATACAAGCCCCACGGCAGTGGGTAGAAGAGATCGGGACAGTAATTCTGTAGGACAAAATTGAAGAATGCGAGGGCACAAAAATGGCGGGGTACTACAGCTTAGGAGAGTGGTGTATTTGAGGAAGATGGACGGAAGGGAGGAAGGCGCGCAAGAATACAGTGTGGCTAGCAGTCAAGTACAAGGTCCGACTGCCCACTTGGCAACGCTAGGAAGAAGACGCGGTCCGCAATAATTGACGCGAGGTGACTCGACCAATGGTAGGAGCGAATTGGTGGAGTCTATCAAACAGGACGGCTATACAAGAGGTGCCAGACGGGGGTGGACGTGTGGGATGGGGCTGTCGTCCGAACAAGAGTGCTGAGGTGACTGCGGTTGCCCCGGCACCAAGGTCTTCTGTAGAAGGCCAAGGGATGACAAAGAAAGCGTATGCTCAAATTCGAATGAAATAAAGGAAGGAGCTTAGGACCACATGGGCAGAGCATGGTGAAGTCGGGTTGATGGTGCAGCCATGAGAAAGAATGGAAGTGAGCACTTACTTCGGCGTTAACCGAGGGACGGCTAGCAGCCATGTTCATCCAAATAGCCTGTAGATTTTCAGCTAACATCTATCCTGTGCAGTCGCGGAGTCGCTCGTGACGGGAGGATACTGGAGTTGGGACAAATTTCAGTTAAGCACTGGACAGAATCTGGGAGACGGACACGGCGAAGAACGCGAGGCCTCCTTGCGCGGGAACATGTAATGTATATTAGTAATTTGATAGTACTCACCAGGAAAAGATAGAAACAGTCGTCTAACAGGAATGAGCCGCAAGCTCGCAACGGTAGCCTCGAAATCTTCTCGCGCTCAAGGAGCTGTTCGCTTGCAACGATGTCGTTGTGCCGAAGAAAAGAGGGAGCTTAACAGCACTCTTCAAGTCTCAAGAGTCCTTTTCAGGTGGAGATGAGGACAGATACCCACCGGCACTCGCCCGGCAAGCGCGACTGCGTGCCTGCCTAGCCTGAGCTGGATTATCATTTCCATTGGCGTTTGCCAAACTGCGCAGCAATCTGCCTTCTGTGCCCACCCGTTCAAGCCGTCAACGGAAAGAATTTGCAGGTGCCCTGGGCGAAAACTTTGATCTTGCATGGCGGTGGAAATGCCTGTGTCAATCTTTAATGTGTACGTGGTGATGGGTATGAGCAATTTCACTTTTGTGATATATCTGACTGTGGAAGTCCCTCCTTAAGGCAGCAAGTCCTGTTGAACCAGACGAAATATAATATGTACTGTAAGTTTACAGTGCACTCAAGTCATGGCAATTAATTGCTCTGGCGATTGCTTGAAAAAGACGCAACCGCATTGCATCTGTTGTCCTGCAGGTAAGCAGTTTAAGGGGTTATTCAAACACTTAAACTTAAACTGCACTAAGTGCTTGGTTACCTTACCCAAAACACTACAATGCAAGTATGCCTTGTCGGGTTCGAGGGGTTGGTGCTTGTTGTGGTTGAATTGGAGATCCAGTGGGCTAAAATACGGGGTATATCGAATAGTACTTTCATTATGTCTGAAGATTGACACTGGTTTCTCATTGCCAGAGTCAAATGTCAATCAGCTGATAGTACGACATCTCATAGCGACTTGAAACACCGCTTTGTAGGAATGCGCTTAATCATTCAGAGCTATCATTTATCATTCAAATAATCTTGACTATTCTTGAATGCCTTGAACCAAAAGCATATATTTCTCCCCCTCAGATTGGACCAGCGGAAGAGCGCAGAAAGCCACCACTAGTTCTACCACAATTGCTGTCACCAGGAAATACAAAAAGCGCGAAGCTGCTGACACGGAAGCCGGATATGACACACAACCTAATTATGTTGAGCAAGGAAACAGCACATGATGCACCGTGAGCAGAACTCGCGGCAAGGCACAGCCATCAAGACGAATAAGCCAACCAACCAACCAACCAAACAAGCAAACAGTCACAGGAAGCCGCCAATGTCCCCGGAATGTTGCGGACTACGTCCCTTGTCCGCAACCAGTCCTGAATCATAACGAATGATGTCAAGCCCGGCCGATCTGCCATGGCAGAAGTGGCTGTCTCAGCGGGTGTCTGGAGGCTGCTAGCCGTTGTTCGGGTGAGCACTTGCTACCCATGAGGCGCTGCAAGCAATGTGTCCTGCGACTGCACTAGCTACCCTGTTGAAAAGGTCACGTAGCTACGCCGTCTCCGAAAATTGAACCCGTATCATCTTGTCCTATGTAGGAGCTGACGGGCAGAGGAAGTAACGGAGCCGTGGTGACAACAGCAGGGAAGTTCACTCGCCTCGCCGCTTAGGCACTCCGCGCGGCCTCGCTGGCGACCTTGCCGGGCTAGTTATGTCTTTCGACTTTGCCTGAGTCACCGTCTTTTGCTGGAGCGTATCCGCCAGAGTTCTGTATCTGGAGGACAGTGTGTATTTCCGATCTAACTGTGCTGCCATCACTCTGCATCTCCCTGGAAATGAGCACGTGCGCTTTTCCGGCGTATTGGAGGATGGTCTGGACTGAAAGGATTTAATTCGTCAAGGGAGGGAGTGGAACGAAGATGGCGAGTCCACCTGCGTGTTCTTTTCTTCGGTCTAGTGTAATGTTGGAGTCATCCAACCTTTGGACGCAACGTAGTCGACGATATGAGGATGATGTTCCGTTAACTCCCAAGCACCAACCAGGCAGCCAGAAGGCAAATTTGGGGAGATTATGCTCGCATGATTGAGGCCCGCAAGAACCTCCACCTCGTTCTCAAGTTGGTGCACATTTCCCTGTGCCTCTCGCATATCCAACATTTTGACTACTAGGAACCTTTCGGTGTCATAGTTGACAGCTTTACAGACCTTTCCGAACTACTCATTTCCAAGTGAATCTAAGCTTGTATCTCATCTTCAGATGCGCAGGTGTGTGGAATCTGGTCTGCATCCTTGATGGCAGTGCTGTATCGGTGGCGTCTACGGTATGGGCCAGGCCTGGGCATTCTCGTAGCCCCATCCCTGTCGGTGCTTGACATAGCATGTCCCCTTTGACCAAATCGACATGCCATCCTACAAGGAAGACTAAGAGGGCTCGTGCTACACATCCCTTGTTGATAACGGTGTTGAGCCCTTTATTCGCTACCACCATACGGAAGCGTCCAAATTCGAGCGGAAGAGCATCTTCGCCGCCCACCTGAGTGGTTTTCTAATGGACTCATCACACAGCATGACAATATCTATGCTAGGCTCTATCCTAAAAGCACACTGAAGCTTCAATATACGATAGAAACTAATCCGAACGCCGACATCGCCACGGCCAAGAGTCGCAAGCGTGGTCTCCTCAGATTTGGACAGAACATGACCGGTATCGAGACACGGGTTCCATGCAGTCTTGGTCATGGGCGGCCCGCATGTCGAGATATTCACAGGGCTCAAGACGGGTACGTTGAGTTCACTTGTAAAGTAAGGTTCCGTAACCTACAACATCAGCAAAATCGAGATGCTTCAAGCCCTCGACTTCTTCGCTGTACGCAATATCGTGACCCGGGACAGAATGCCTGATAATATACTTTATGGAAGAGGAAGGCCAGTTGCGTTTTCAGCTTGGAGACTTAGACTCCCCAACACGCCAGTATCGTCACTGCCTATGCCTACAGCACGCTATACATGGCGCCGGAGTGGTTTCGCGGCGTACAGCCCACGCAGACTCCAAAGGCCAATGTCTGGTTGCTTTTCGTCACCATAGTGTTGACAATGGAGTCGAAGGGCCATATGACCCCAAGCCTGGAGCCAGGCCCAACGTTTCCAGAGCCTACTGCGGAACCTCAGCTCTTTGCGGCCGCACCATGTTCCTCAGCCCCTCAGGCTTTTGTTGCTGCCACCGCCGCTCCCTCGAGGACGGCAAACCAGCGAGCAACGCCAATCCAAGGAAGAAACGCGAACATGCCCCTGCGTCTGTCGCAACTACGTCAGTCCTGCATTGCCAGATAACGAACACACCTCAAGGTCCTCGTGGCCCTTTAGTAAATCACGCGGCTGACGCGGCGAGAACGGAGGCCCAGATGGTAACCAAGAGTGCCAAGTAGCTCCCTAGGTAAGAACGCTGAGGCCTCGATAACTAATAGGTTAGGGCCTCATGGGAGTTGGATATTCTCGGCCACCCGCGCACCACTCCGCGGAGTCGTGAGACGACAGCTCAGGGTCTGCACCATAATTGCCAAGCTTGGAGTAGCGGGATGTTTGAGTCACGGTATGGTCATGGTCCTTGCTTTTTGCTTGGCTTTTCCTTGATCTTTCCATGCGCGTTTGGTTGTGGTTTTTGCTTCGAGTTGTTCCTGTTCCAATACTTTGGTCTTGTTGGATTGCGTTTCGTTCGTTTTGAAGGAATGATCGAGTTTGGAGTTGTGAAACAGAGGCGTCAAAGTTTACGTCGAAGGAGCAGTGGAGATAAAGTTTCTTCTCCGCTATCTCTTGGCAAGTCACTTGGAAACGGCTTCATGCGAGACTGACACGGCGTCAGCTGACAGTCTCAAGCCTGTCAAACCCTAACCCTAGATACGTAAGTTGAGAGCAAACTTCCAGTTGAGACTTGTCTCGGTCAGACTCCTAAAAATTCTGAAATCTTTTGCGAATGGTATTTTCTCACTAATATGTTTTCTTGCTGTTAAGTTGTAACCCGTCTATCGGCCATATTGTTTTCTTGAAGGCCTCCGAATTTGCCAGTCGTGGCCGCCTAGTGACTTTCGTGATGCAAACTTCATTTCGGGGACTATCGTTACCAAAACTTGAACTCTTACCCACAGAATGCAGCCTAACTTTGGAAGTCAATTTTCCGGCTACTGGCTCCCGAACCCAAAGAAATAATATATTTCACAGAATATAGTTTGGAGGAGGTCTTTTATTGTTTGCTTTCTCAGATTATGTTTTAACTACGAAAGTGCGGATAGTTCACCCAGAAGCGCCACAATTGGAGGCTATGATGGAACTGGAGAACTGGGCCATGAAATTTTAAGTCATTAACAAAGCTTTCGGCTTTATTTCCGTGGAAAGTAATTGACCGCTCACCGGTGGCATCGGCCATTTGTCGCGCTCATGCAGCATGCCGTGAGAGGGATGACGTGATGCGTATTGCGTGCACAACCGAGAATCTCGCCAGGACAACGAAGAGAGTCTGCAAGTCACTTGCAAGATCGAGATAACGCTTCGGGGAATATTTGACCGAGTTTTGTATCTGGGACTGGGTACAAGGTAGGTGTTACGAAGTACCCACCTAGGCTACCAGAAAAGCGAGAAGATGCAATGCAGTTTTTCGCATTTATCATCAAAGTCGCATCCAGTTGGTAGGCATGGAGACAGCGTCTACCGCATGAAACAGGCCCGCCGCATCCTCCACCATGACTGCTTCTTCCGAGAAACGTAATATGTAGTAATCAGGACATGGCGAACCCATCTTATTTGCCATCGGCTCTGAGTGGTTCCCACACAATACCGCAAAACACAGCAAGCTTGCCCAGATCATACAAGTTATGAGCAGACTTAAGTTTCAACTGTTTTCTTTCCATTGAAGCTTGACCCGAAGTGTGGCGGCTGCTGAATGGACAGCTCGAACAAGCTCCAACAACCCTCGTGGCGAAAAGATCGCTTTCTATAATCTGTGCTTACTTGCCGCTCGGCTGCCTGTGCCTCTCCTCTCCTGCATCCTGCTGTGCTTATGTGAGACGGGGGTGGCCCGACCTACGTGGCTGCTCTGGCAGTCTGGACGCACGCAGCTGGGTCTCAATTCAGGATTGAAGCAAGATGCGGGTTCTGGCGGGTCTGGGTGCTCAATGATCGCCCTTGAAGGCGCAGCCAAAATGCCAGCACGAGGCTGCAGCAAACCTTTCCCGGACGGGAAGCGGACTCAACAACAGGGCGAAAGAGGCCTCGCAATGGGGTCTGGCGAGGGCCCGTCGGGTGAGGACAGCAGGCAGCCGCTGGGGGCTCCGCCCGCCTGCTGCCCCGCACTTCAACTATGCCGGGTGACACAGACCGCCGCGTCTAGGATGCCCTAAATCTACTTTTCCTAACACCTAAGGTTCCGTCCGTATCGCTAACGTCCGTAGTCGGAGCCCTGGAGCCCCCCAAAGCGGTCTGCCTTGAGGGCCTCACAAACATGGGGTCTGGTGGGGGCGAGCGTTACTGGCCGGTTTTCTTGGAGGTCGGGTGGAGTGGAAATTGAGGCAGCCGCACTAGGGGTGCCCTTCCGCCTGCCGCCCCGTGGGTAGTTCCTGCCTAGCTTCCAATTGTAGGGCTGTGACTCACGGCCGGCCAATAGGTAGGCTCGTACGAACATGGGACGAACCGGGAGACAGCAAAACGCAAAATGCCCATCCTAACGGCAACGAGACTGGGGACGAATCCTGGACAAACGCCGCCCGTGCCACCGCACATATAACAGACTTCTGAGCCTCCCTCCCCAACGAAGCTCGACCAAATTTGCATTCGCACCCAGACTCTCCAGCTTAGAACTGGATTAATATCTTTCGAGATTTCTCTGGGCCCCTTCAACCGCCCTTCCTTTCACTCTTTGGGCGAGCACCTCCTTGATCGATATATTATCCCAACACCGCTACCATGCCTATCTGCTGGCCAAACGGGCTCCGGCCCCGCTCCAAAAAAGCGGTGGCAGGCTCCGACGAGGCTGCTGCGGAGAAGCTGTCAACGAGTGGTTCCAGCGCAACCGACATCAAAGAAGTGGAATCTCCGAAAGACGACTCCACCAAAACCGACTCCAAGTCTGACGACGACAAGGACAAGGCGAAGGACGAGTCCGGCGAGGACAAGGACAAGGACAAGGACGGAGAGGACAAGAAGGAAGATGACGAGAAGAAGGAGAAGAAGGTGCTTGCACCCGTCGGTTCCATCAGCTCAGCCAAGAACATCTACAAGTCGACTGTTGACGACGATGGCAACTGTAAGTTTGGTGATGGCTCTGCTTAAACGCTGTCTAAATCCTTGACACATGCTAATCCCAAGTTTAATGTAGGGACATGGGTCGACAAGTATCCTGAGGACGCCGAGGAGGCAGCCGAGAATGAGGAGACGGCAACATATGCCGTGCTGGTGCGAAACATCAAGAGCAACGACAGCCGCAAGAAGCTCGAGGCACACAGCATCATAGTGCAGAGCCCCTGGCTCAAGACTGCCCTGGGCACCGTTCTTGCTGACTACCCTGGCGTGGCCTGCGAGCTCAAGCGCCTGGAGTTTGAGGCGCCCTTCCAGCCATTCGTGCACCGGTGGCACGAGTTTGTCAAGTACATGGACAAGCCCGACCTTGAGGCCACCGCCAAGGAACACCTGGTGCTGCTGCACGACATCCTCAAGTACGAGATCGGCGAAAGCATCAAGGCCTTCGAGGACTACGTGCGAAATGGCGTCGTCACGTTTGAGCACCTGTGGATGATCTTCCAGCCTGGCGCTATCGTGCTCGCCCAGCACAAGGGCCCACTCAGCGCCTTCGAGCTCACCGAGTCGGAGTACATGGCGAATCAGTGCGGCAAGTTCCTCCAGCTGCGTGTCGACTGTGTCGACTATGGCGGCAAGACATTTGGCCGCTTCCAGGAGTCAATCAACATCAACGAGTTCATTGGCGCCAAGAAGATCACGGGCCTCAACGTCTATCCTTGGGCCTTCCACGAGGACAAGGACAAGCTGACGGCAACACTGACAAAGCGCGGCGAGATCTTTGAGAAGCTCGCAGGTCACCATTACAAGTCATACTCGGGCAAGGCTGTCACTTGGGACAGAGAAGGCAACGAAATCCAGATCCAGGTTTCTGGCCGCATTATTGTCGACATCGAGAGCTTCAACCGCTTCAGCCCTTACCGTGTGCGCTACCTGAACGACTGGAATGCCAAAGATCTCGAGCGCCTGAGCAAGTACAAGGAGCATTACGGCGGCGCTCCTGACGATGATGGCACCACACGTCTGACGCCATACCACCAGATGATTGCGCGCTGCCGCACGCGCGGCTACTCGCTCAAGATGAAGAAGTGGCTTGACTTCTTTGTCGAGGACGTTTCCGAGGTCGTTTGGAACACAGAAGCTTTTGACAAGCTGGTTTTGCCCACGGACCAGAAGGAGTTGATCATGGCCTTTTCCGAGTCACAGCTCGGTGGCAGCAATTTTGACGATGTTATCTCGGGCAAGGGCAAAGGCATCATCTGCTTGCTGTCGGGGCCTCCAGGTGTGGGCAAGACGCTCACAGCGGAAGCGGTGGCCGAGAACCTCCGTGTGCCGCTGCATACGCTAAGCTCGGGTGACTTGGGGTCCGACCCGTGGGAGGTGGAGCGAGGGCTCTCGTCGATCCTGGAGCTGGTGGCGCGGTGGAACGCTATTTTGCTGCTGGACGAGTGCGACGTCTTCCTCGAGGCTCGAAGCAACCATGATCTGGAGCGGAACAAGGTCGTGTCGATCTTTCTGCGTACCCTTGAGTACTACGAAGGCATCATGTTCATGACGACCAATCGTGTCGAAAACATTGATGCGGCATTCCAGAGCCGTATCCACGTCAGCCTCGAATACCCGGACCTCACCTCTGCTTCGCGTCGCCAGATCTGGACCAACTTCCTCAAGGGCACTTATATCAAGAGCGGCCTCACCAACCAGGACATTAACGAGCTCGGCGAGCTCAAGCTAAATGGCCGCCAGATCAAGAATGTTCTCAAGACAGCACAGCTGTTGGCTGGACACCGTAAGAGCCCGCTGCTTGAGCGCAAGTTTATCGATACGGTTCTGGATATCGAGAAGAAGCGGCCGGGTGCGCCACAGATGTTGGCGCACTACTTGTAAAGGCGGCGTTCGCATAAAGATATGCAGGCCGCCGTGATATCTTTTAAACTTACGACTTGATGAACTGGGCGTCTTTGTCGACATTGGTTTCACATAATCTACGAGTGTATATTTCTGGTTTGGGTCGGAAGGAAATGGCGCCCAACGGTCAGAATCTCTTTTATCTCTCTATCTACCTACTCTTTCTCGTTAGGTCGCATTGAGCTCATTCGATTTTTGGCGGAAAACAAACCGAGACAGTAGGCGTTGGCCCTGATACATAGCATTCGCAGCAAATTACCGCTTATATTGGACCAAATTGCCAATGTTTCCCCTGTGATGGCGGTGGAAATAAAAGGCTGAGGACTCGAGACGCACAGCTTCCATTCCCCCAGAACTGCATTTTTGCTGATTGAACCTTCTCCAGTCTTGTCGTCCGTTTTCACAAGTCAGTCTCTTCCTCGGATTTTCCCGCTCGAATTTCGTCCTTTTGGGCGTTTTTAATCTCTTTTAGGAAGCGCTCGCCATCTGCCTTGTCGTTCTGGAATAGTGTGTCTACGACCATCCTTTGAGGCGTTTCACCGAGCCATTGGAATAGCGAGAAGTCGCGAAACTCGTCAGCGCGGAAGAGCTCGAGCACCTCGAGCGGCTCGTCGCCAATGTTCTCGATGAAGTGCCCCATGTTCCGAGGCACAACGCCGACATCGCCGGCCTGGTAGTCAAATGTCCTCGCGGTGCCCTCGGCCGCGAACACGGTCACACGCGCTCGGCCTCGGATGAAGAACGACCATTCGTCAGCGTTGGGATGCCAATGCATCTCGCGAATTGCGCCGGGGTTTATGTCCAAGTGAGCGGCCGCTACCGTCTTGGAGATGGGGAAGTTGCGCGAGTCGGTCACACGCACCTTGCCGCCCGTCGTAATGCGCGGCTCTTGCTCTAGCATGCGGTGCGTGAACTGGGACTTGGACTTCTTGACGTACTTGCCGTGCGGACGCTCTTCGGCAATACTCCCCGGCTGCGACCCTTTGAAGATGTATTTCTCCGACTGCGGGATGTGGGCGAAGATCTCGGGCGGCAGGTCGAAGTTCTCCGAGATGACGGACTTTGGCGTGTGCGCTAGCCAGTCTGTCAGCAAAAAAGTCGACTCCTCCGAGAAGTTCCCGTCGTCGAAGATGAGCAGGAACTCAGTCCCGTTCTCGCCGAGCCCTTGCAGCGAGTGAGGCATGCCGGAAGGGAAATACCACAGGTCCCCCTGTCCCAAATCGTCGATGAAGTTGCCGCCCTCGTAGTCCAGCGCTGTCACCCGGACCTCGCCAGCCAGGACATATCCCCATTCGGCTTCCTTGTGCCAGTGGAGCTCGCGGATCACGTCCTTGTCGAGTCGCATGTTGACGCCTGCCAGCTCGATGCTGGCCGGCAGTTCTCTCATGGTCGTCTGCCGGGTCCATCCGCCCTCCTGCGTAAGAAGCGTGTGTCGGTCAACAACGATATCCATGTCAAAGGGCCAGAGGGGACATGCGCGCAGTGGAACAGACATACCTCAATCCTGATGTGCGAGTCCACAAAGCTCCATCGCAAGTTGGGCATGTTGCCGTGGTCTGTAGAGGGCGGGCGGACGAGATCCGGGTCCTCGCGGGCGCGCGCCTTGTTCCACGGGCCCAGCACCGACGCGCCGAGCCCATTTCGGTATGGCAGCGGGTTGAGGTGCTTGCCAGTGGCGTCTACGGCCGAGTCGTACGGGTCTCGGTAGCCTGGCGTGTACGGCGGCGCCGGCGCCGGCGCCGCCTTGCTCTTGCGGTACTTGGCCGGCAGCCCATGGCCGTCCAGCAGCCTTTGGCGGGGGCTATCCTGGATCGGGATGGCTGTCGCGAGCGGGATGGCGAGCGCGGCGCCGAGTAGGAGGGCTGCGTCGGAGAAGCGCATCGTGTCTGAAGACTTTCCGGGGCAGAAGCGCGTCGGAGTGCGGTGGGCAGTTGGGCGTGGCTCGACAAACGAGTGCTCGCGTTCAAGCAGTGGTGGGCGTGTTTTAAGGCGAATCACTAACCGGCAAAGCTTCTTCCCACCTAGGAGCAACCCGTGGACCGTTTGCGAAATGTTTGGAGTCTTGCTACCCCGTCTCGCGCGACATGTCAGGATACCGAGGGGTGGCCGAACAGGAGCCGGAGGACACCACCTTTACTAGTAACCATGCCGAACAATGCCCGCCGACTTCTTTCAGCTCATGCAGGAACTGCATCGCCATCACAGGCACCGGGTGAGGGTGCTGAGTAACGAATGTGACGAGCGATGGCTTGCGGCCTCTTTGAGCGGGCGGCTTCAGTGATGTCATCGCATTGTCTTGGGATTGGTCGCCGCAAGCGCCCCGAACGAATGCGGCTTAGCAGTTGCAGAGTGCCTAGAGACCGCATCCGTCCGTCCCCGTATGCCCAATAACCACAAGACGACTGCCTGCCTCATGACACGACGGAACACGAAATGCTACCAGACAGCTACGGAGAAGTTCCGATTCCATGTCCTGGTGTTGGCGTGGGCGGGAAGGGCCGAGGCTGCATCTGTCCCGGATAAACCCCTGTATCCCCTTGGACTTTGCTCCGGTACCGGTAAAACTACCTTGTAAATACCTACTTTTATACCAAAATAAGGTTAACTAAAGGCACTCAGGCCAATTGAAGGCATTTTCCTAACCCACAACGCCCAGGGGATGCAGTGGTATGATGCTCTTAGTGGCGCTCTAGGCGACCCGGCCCACGAACCATGTCATTTTCAGCGCCTCAGCACGAAATTCCCCAAGTAGTTGTGCCGGTTTTTTTACCATTGAAGATTTGCAATCGTCTACGACACCATCATCGCCATCATCTATCCAAAGACGAAAGCACATAGGCGCCAATATTGAAGCCAAGATCTCTCGAGACGCAGCCCTGAGACGAAGCCAAGGGTCAAGACTCCTAGTAGCAGACCGGACTCCACTTGAGTCACGCCATGAACGACACTCGTCGAGGAGAAGAAGCCGGCGAGGAACGGCCGCTGCTGAGAAAGCCCGCACGGCACTCGCTCGCCACCCAATGGAAGAGACACATGGCGGCCCATGTGAGCCGGGACTGGGCCGACGTCGTGCTCGTCTCGTGCTACCTCATCACTGGCCTGCTCGATAGCGCATCTATCTCGGTGTGGGGGTCGTTCGTGTCGATGCAAACAGGTGAGCCCCGGCAGCAGCTTACAGGCGGGGGTTCCATCTAACAGACACTTGACTAACCGCTCACCTACTAGGAAACACTGTATATCTCGGACTCGGCTTGGCCGCACCGACCGAGTCAACTCGCTGGGTCAAGTCGGGAGTGTCTCTGGCCTCCTTCTGCATCGGGTCGTTTCTCTTCAGCCGGTTCCACCGCTACTTCTCTCCCAAGCGCCGGTGGGTCTTGGTCGCCTCTTTTACCGGGCAGTTCTGCTTCACCGCCGCCGCCGCCGCCATCGTCAGCGCCGCCGGGACGCCCGCCAACAAGGAGGAGGCTGGGTGGCGTGTGCTCGTGCCCATCGCGCTCGTCGCCTTCCAGAGCTGCGGCCAGGCCGTCACGAGCCGCGCGCTCCGCTACAACGCCCTCACTAGCGTGGTGCTGACGAGCATCTACTGCGACCTGTTCTCCGACTCGGAGCTGTTTGCGCTGCTCAACGCCGAGCGGAACCGCCGCGCCGGCGCGCCGCTGTTCCTCCTGCTCGGCGCGTTCCTCGGCGGCAGGTTTGCACACAGCTCGTTTGGCGTTGCCGGGGCACTGTGGGCGGCGTCGGCGCTCAAGATGGCCGTCGTCGTGGCGTGGCTTGTCTGGCCCTCGAACCCTCCCGCTTCGCGGGGCGATGCCGACGAAGGGCGACGGCGGCAAGATAGCGATTCTCGACTGCTTCCAGCTGCGAATTAGAATGGCATTTGTTACGTGCTGGTTGCCCTGTGCCTGTGCGCAGTCAAAGGCACTCAACAGAAGCGGGGAAAAGGAAAGTGGAAAAAGGAAACGCAAGAAGGCCCAAAAAGGCTGTGCCGGGTTCAAGACAGCAACCGTTAACGGTGGCTGCGAGAGTATGCTCGTCAACCTCAACCTTGCCGCTTGGAACTTTGCAGGTGCCGGCTGGTGCGAATGCAAAGTTGCCTTTTTCTTCTATTCGGGGTAAACCAAAACCGCAACAAGACCCAACAAGAGAAGTGCCCCGCAAAGGGGCAAGGGAAAACGAAAAGCGTGCCTCGGCAACGCCTGCTTCATTACAAGTCAGAGTTATACGTTACAATTTAGAACCTAACCTTCAAATCTTCTCTTCTGCCAGTGCGAGTGCCTAGCCATCGAGCTTTGTCTTGCCACCTTCCTCCAGATCCATACCCCCTGAGAGCCCATCGGCGCTTGTCCCTCCGGCAGACCTGCACAGGTTTTCCTCTTCTTCTTCGCGAACCAACGCCACGGTCCGCAGCCGAAAGCCCGTCAGACGCCGCGGGAGATACAAGCCCGGGTAGTAGACAGCCATCACGACCAGGATGGCGGCGATGGGCAGGTAGTCAAAGGCGTAGATGGGCCATTCTTCGGTTGCCAGTAGGGGCAGGGCTCCGGCCTCTAAGGGAGGGTCGGCTTGCAGCGAGGCGGCTGCGTCGCGCTCGAGGACTTGCGTGACGCCGCGGATCTACAAAGTATTAGGAGCGGGCTACGGTCAGCGCCACACCGGTGCGAGGAAGTAGAGTAGGGACCGGCGGGGGGGCGGGCGGCGAGAACGAGATTGGCTTACCGCAAGCAGCACCGCCGAGACACTCAGCGCCAGGCTCAACCGGCGCGACCCGTCCCGCATGCTCCTCTCGATGGGCGGCCACCTCCGCCGGCTGATGACGGCGTAGCGCAGCACCACACCGGCTAGGGCCATCCACACGAGCATGTCCATGACGGCGCCGGCCGAGGCCACGTGCGGCGGGGCGGGCCGGATGAGCAGAATGCCGGACCCGATGAAGCCAATGGCGTCGGCCACGGCCTGCGGCGTGGCGAAGAACAGCGACTGGTACATGGGGGGCACCCACAGGTTCCCCAGTGTGCGGTCCTGGGCCGGCGTGATCCACCACGTCAGCCGCGTCTGCGTCATCATGAGCACCAGCCCGACGATGGACCCGGGCATGGTCAGCAGCAGCGACATGGCCGCGAACGGCCACGAGAAGACGGTGACGTTCTCGGCGGGCGTCGTGGCGAAGACGATCCGCAGGATCATGCCAATCGTCATTGCTTGATGTTTGGCTCACGCGTCAGTCCCCGCCCTGCTTCCTTCGTCTGAAAGGTAGTGTGTATTTGTGGGTGCACGTACTGAGAGCAGCCTTGGAGCTGATGCCAAAGTAGACAGTCCTGGTCTTGAAGGCGAGCCAGCCGTGGACGGCAGCGAGGCAGCCGAAGACGATGGCCCCTGTGAGCGCCAGATCAAAGGACGGTGTGTAGTATGGGAACAGTTGTATCGAGGCTGGCCGAGGCGCGGTGACACCTCGACGCCCCATCCATGTCGGCGAAGCTGGAGGTGCTGGGTCTGCGAGGAACACTAATCTGCTCGAAAGCGACGCCGTTTCTCGGATATAAGCCATTCTGAGACAGAAGGGCAGCCCCGTTGGTCGGATGGGACAAGTGGTTTGGGCTGGGGGCTATCTCCTTCACCTGTCCATGTAAGGATCTGATAATGTGGGAGAACATGGTACTCCGGCGTGCCTCTGGCGGACAAAAACAGAGACAATGTCATGGCGGGGAAGCATGGGCTCTGTTCTGTTTCTTAAGGGTTGGTCTCTGCAATGCTCCGCTAGTGGCTGCCATGCCCAAACAGCCACACGTCGTACAGCCACGGCTGCCCCGGCACATGGGTGGAAGAAGAGGAACCAAATGCTCGAGGGTGCCGGCAGTGTTGGTTGTGGCAACAGTCGAGCCTGCCAAACCGCGGCAATGGCGGATGAGCACAAACAAGAAGGTCGGTGTCACCCAAACCGCCAGTCTCAATAGCGATTGTGCAACAAGATACTTTGGACTTTGAGGTGCCATGGGTGGTTGGGCCACGGGTGTACGACACCAAGTGGCATGCAACGGGCCTCGATGCCAAGTTTGGGTAGCATCAAGTATCTCGACGGTCCAGATATTTAGACGGCCAATCGACCTGGGATCAGAGGCGGAAGAGCATGGACAATGTGGATTCTCCTCGCAGGAGATTTCCTGCACGGAAGCGTCTGTTTTCTTTCGAAGCGACGGGTGCTACGACGGCTCCCAGAACCGCGGCGTCTGCAATCATGCCGAGAACCACTCATTCCACGGCACAGGCGAGGAAGACACAGCTCCGAGAGACAAGGGTCTGCCGCGGGTACAAGCCAGGAACCGTTCTATCCACTGAGCGCCAGGAGGCGGCACAAGGACGCTCTGTCATGGGTACAAACGACAACCAGACAACGAGTGTTATTTGTATTTGTCTTTTTGCCCCAAAGGTACCGTGCAATTGCCCCTGGCATGAACAGAACACAGATGCCAAGGGATTTGGCACCCCAATTACGAAAGCTCGCCCAGCCACACATGAGCCCGCGTTTTTATCTATCTTTGCCTCTGGCCAGCAATCCCCCTTTCTGTGGTTCGACGGTACCACATTTCTTACCGCTTCCTTGACATCCTGGACTAGGAGCACGCACGACGCCGAGGGAACCGCGAGGTGACGTCCGTTGGGCTGTAAGACAAAAGCCACGTGGGCTTGTGAGAGGATGCACCAAAGGAAGAAAAGGAAACGGAAACAAGCAAACGAACGAGCTGGCGTCTCCTCCAAGTGGTACAGCCCGTGCAGAGCTCAGAATGAGAAAAAGGGAAAGTAAATGAAAACAAGAAAAGGGGAACGGATGGCCCTCCACCCTGTCTGCTATCTGTCTCTGATACTCTATCTCTCGTTCACATCGCCAACTCCTGCACCCCTATTACCGTAGTCCACTTTGACCCTCCCAGCAAAGAACACACACACACACACACACCCACATCCACACCTGCAGAGATCAGCACCGGTCCTCGTACAGCTCCACGCTAAACCGCTTCTCGGCGTCCCAGGCCAGGCCCTTGACCAGTGTATCCTTGTAGTCGTGGCGGCACGTGTTGAGCACGGCCGAGACGAGTTCGGCGGCGTCGCTGCACGGCAGGTCGATCTTGGCGCCGTGGGCGTTGTGGGCGCACAGGTAGACGGCGGCGCCCCACGAGCAGCTGATGCGCCCGCACCCTGTCTGGCCCGCGGCGATGTTGCACATGCGACCCGGCTCGCGCAGGTAGCCGAGCCCTTCCTTGAGGTACCATTTCTTGACAGCGTACCCGTCGTGGTTGGGGCTGGACACTTGGCATTGGACCTTTTTATGCGTTTCTCGTTAGCCTTTAGCTACCCCTATTTACTGGGGTTCCCAGGCTCTCCTTGCTCCTTTGTCCTTCGTAGTTCTAGAGAGGGGCATCGTTCAGGGTGGTGAGACTAACGTCGCCGACCTTGAGGTTGCTTGTAGCGGCAAATGCCGCGATAATGGCGTCGCTGGGGTCGACGACGGGGGACATGGCCGCGCCCAGAGCGGACGAGACGCAGCACGCGAGTAGAGGAAGGACTTTGGAGGGCTTCATTGTGACGATGGCTGCGCGGGGCGACTTGTTATTGCTTAATAGCTTGTCAGGAAGACGGACGGAAATTACGACGAAAGAAGAATGCAAGCCAGACAATGTCACAATCTGACGGGTGCGGGGAAGAGTCTTTATAGGTGGAGGGTGTCGGGGGAGAGAAGACAGAGTTCGTCGCGTTGTCAAAGGGAATTGCTTGCTATCTTGGTCATATGAGAGGCAGGCTTTTGCAACCTGGAAGTCTAATGTCCCCGCGGCTGTTGGTAACTTTGCGGGAACCTTGTGCCTACTAGAATCAGCGTCGTAACTCTGCGGCGAGCTTTGTGTCCCAACATGGCTCTCGATAGCTTGGGTTTTGGGAGGTCGAATCGGTTATACGGAACTCATCATGGACAACCATGGCCAAGATGCCTGGTACGTCGAGGGTCGTTGGTCGCGCGGGAAAATGGCTAGCTGGCCGTTGGAACTGGCCCGTCTCGGAACGGAATGGCAAGACTCACAAGGTTTGCAAACAGCTTTTTTACGGGTTTTGATGATGAACACGCCAGAGATTGAATTCAGAGTTACGTTTCGCCCTAATGGAGAAATCAAATACCAATACGAAGCATACCGCTGCACAAGGTTGGAAAAAGTCAACTATGTCACATTAGGTACCTACCTGTTACCGAACAACTTGATTATCTGATGCGCTCTCGTCCACTTTCAGCACGGAAGAACTCAAGTTCCGACCCTAGTACCTTACTCGGGACAATGGACAAAGGACTCTGGGTCGACCTGGTCGTAATCTTCCAGGGCCCACAGAATGGCAGACTTTGCATCGCGGAAAGCCTTGCACGGTTCGCGATGCTTTAGTTCCAGCCGAGAAGCTCTGGCTGCGGAAACCCGACCGCCACCTACGGCAAGAGTCTTCCAAGCCGGGCCGTAGCGGCGCTGCGGCGAGGACAGGTGTCGTTCCAGGCTTGGCATGTCCCGCTGGACGTTGTCAGTAACCAGGTATATGGTTTGCAAGTGGAGCAGGGTGCGCAGCGTGTGTGGGAAGCCGTGGTCCGGCAGGAGAGGGTCGTACGCGTAGCCCAGCCTGTTGACGTGGTCGAGCCTCGCTTCGAGAGACGCATACATGGACACGCCGTATTTGTCCGCGGGAGGAAACTGCCTCGCCAATGCTGTTAGTCAGCGAGATGCACCGTGTCTGGCGCGCCAGTAGTCCGCGAGCATTTTCATGAACGCAGAGTAGTTGATAGCTGGGAACTGAAAGTTTGTGGCCCGTTCAAAGTCCTCGTTGCAGACATACAAACGCGTCTCGGGGCTGGACGCCAGGATGCTCCCGACCAACTCCAGGTCGCCCGACGGATCACCAGGGGCGCTCAGAACGACGATGGCAGCAATCTGGACGGCACTGGCACCTCGAAAAGTCACGGGCGTCCAAGCCTTGCCAAAGCCGCACGCCGCCGCAAGCCTATGCACTCCCTGCGCGCCGTGGCCGCCAACCATCAGCACGTTCCTGTCGCCCAGGTGCAAGGTCTTGACGAGATACCGGAAAGGCGCGTGGCGCATGCACACCTGGTAGTCGGACACGGGGACGGCGTGGTCGAGCATGCGAGCCACCAGCGCCTCCTTCTGGCCCACGTCGCCGAAGCCGCCGTCGGCGGAGGCGTTCGTGACGTAGGCGACGGGAATGCCGCGCCGCACGAGAGAGCCGATGACGCCGGCAACCTCTGGCGGCACGTCCCCGTTGCGCATGGCGACGTTTTCAATGTTGAACACGAACCCCATGGTGCTAGCGGCCGCCGTGTTGACGGCGTCGTCTTCCTCTTCGTAATATTCTTCCGCTTCGTCTTCTTCCAGGCCGAGGAGCTGGCCGAGCCAGGACTGCGACGGGTTTGTCAGACGCTGCACATCACGAGACAGGTTTCTTGGGGGGGACATACTGAACATGACGGAGACCAAAGCTTGACAGTCGTGTCAGTGATGAGTTTTGTGGTCCGCCCGGTGGGTAGGAGATCAAACGATCTTGAAGATGGCCATGTCTTTCGGGCTGGTCTCGAATAATGCCCTTATATTATGCACATGTCAAGAACAAAGCCTCTGATTGGGCATTGTTGTGTCCTTGTGGAGTTGTTGAACACGGAAAGACGCAGAGAGGTTTCGAACAAAGGCGGACAATTTAACACCGCGGCACGAGCACCCAGGCATGGGCTGAATGATAAGATGCCAAGGCGGAGAAAGCGCTTGTCGCTAGCATGACCAAATAAACTGTCCAATTCCTTCCAGCCTGACAATTGGAGTTGCCGTGAGCCCTAGAAACTCTTTCATCTTGAAAGCCGTATTGCGTAATTGATTATGGGACGAAAGGAGGCTACAGCCGAGACAGGGTCAACGCGTCGATTGTCATACGGGCCACCCTCTGCAGGACCGTCAACGTACCGGAAGACTGTGTAACCCCAGAAGTAGGGCGGCAACAGGTTGAGTGGCCGTGAGGTCTTTGTGTGGTCTACGTGACTCACTCAGCTGAAGCAGGGCACTGGCATACAGCACAGTGCAAGAATGTATCCAACCATAGAGCATAGGCAGCCGCCCTTACCAGGCCAACTGTTGCGGGGTCTAGCCCTAGCTGGTAGGCGCATGGGCCACATGCCCGCGCACTGGTTCTTGCCCGCGCACGGGTTCTTGTCCACCCTCCTAGAGTTAGCTGGCCAATGCACATCACGCATTGTCACCCCAACACCAACAAAAGTAGGCCTTACGTACCGAGACCTGTCTTCCACTGGGCATAAATAGGCCTTACTCCCCGCAACAGAATTGCAGGGAAGTAAGGATCTTGAGGCCAAAGAAGACTATTATTGCGTACTAGCACTTCGTTCCAGCCATCTTGCCTCAGCGATCTTGCCTTATTACAGGCAGATCTCCTTGTCAATCGATCGACGATTCGACGCGTCTCCGAAATTGCGAGTGGTCCACAAATTGGCGGAGTAATTATTCCGGGATCCCCAGCACCCCGGGCGTAGTTGATTGCTGGGCAATAATTGCTTTTTGCCCGTAGCCTTGACTGGTCTTTCGATGGGCTGAGGAGGATTTCGATGAGCTGAGCAGGACACGAATAATCTTTCACACCATCACATCACATACCGATCATCACATCACATACGATCATCACATCACATACCGATCATCACATCACATACCGATCATCATGTCTCCAACAACTATCCGCCAACATCATTTCTTCACTCCGACGGCGCCGGTCGAGGAGATGAAGGAAGATCCTGACGCAGATGGCCATCCTGGGGCAGACCCGGACACAGACGATGATCAAGAATGCGCCCCGCCTCCACCGGCGTCTCAGTCGCACTTCGCCAAGTTTGAAAACTTCAAGCCCGACGACGGGGCGGCGTTTGACGACGAGTTTGCGCGCCTCGCGTCGTCACAGGACTGGGTAGCCGGCTCCCAGGAATACACGCGCGAGCGGACCATTGCCATGCGCGAGGAGATGAAGCGGCACTTCTTCTCGCAGCAGCCCGCGACCATCAAGGAAGAAGAAGGTGACGAGCCCGAGCTCACCGACGAGGACAAGCTCAGGGGCTACCAGGCTCTGTGCGCCGAGGTCGGCATATTACCCAGCGACAAGATGGACGAGTGCATAAAACAGCTCAAGAGCAAGCTCGTCAACATTGTCGATCTGATCGATATCCGGCGAACGGGCAAGAAGGTTGAGGTGTGGCCGTGGGAAAGGTTTCAGGAGTTTTGCGAATACACGCTTGAAGACGAGCACAGGATCAGTATTGATGAAGCGAAGAAGAACGGCGGATTCCTGACGGCGCTGCTGCAGAAGATTCGGACTCGCGGCGGTCCTGGCTCTCGCCGCCGCAGAAGGGGCCCCAGGAAGGATGGTTCCGGGAGCTTTGGTTCTAGGGTCGTGTCGGGGCGCGTGGCCAAGACGGAAGGTTGACGCATCATTAAAATCTCGGTCTCGAGTAATATTGCCCACTTAATCTCACGTACACCAAGGGCAGCATGCATTAATATATCCCCTGCACTTTATAGCCGAGATCTCGTCCGATAACACAAGAAAATACACTGGTCAACCAACCACATAATACGTGAGATCACCATCACGCCGCCAACTTCTCCCCCTCTCCCTCACCAAGGCGCTCGACGGTGGCCTCGACCTTCTCCGTCATCAGCTCGCCGACGCCGCGCAGACAGGCCACGGCGACGGTCGCAAGAAAAACAAACGGGATGATGGACGCCCACGCGAGGCGGTACGCCTCGTTGTACTGGACCCTGCTCTCGGCCACGGCCGCGGCCCACGCAGCCGGCGACGCGCCCGCAACACCGTCCCCATCCCCGCCCGCCGCGAGCGCCGCCAGCAGCGCGGGCACGCTGTCGGGGGGCAGGCCCGCGGCCGTGGCAGCAGCGCCGACGGCGGGCGCGTAGTGGGCGGCCAGGCGGCCGCTGATGATGGCGTCGAGCACGGCGGAGCCAAAGGCGCCCCCGATGGCGCGCGCCGAGAAGGCCAGCCCCGTCGCCGTCGACAGGAACGCGTGCGGCGCCGTGAACTGCACGCACGCCACCAGCAGCGTCAGCGGGCCCGCCTGCCCGATGCCCCCGATCACGTTGAGCCCGATCTGCACGTGGTCCCACCCGGGCTGGAACGCCGCGTAGCAGATGGCTCTGTTGCGCGGCAGGCAGGCAGGCGATCTTCTCGTCAGCGGGCTATCTCGCACCCAAGCTCACGCAGGGTTCTTAGGGCCAAGTAAACAAAGCAACTCACACGATGAGAAACAGCGCCCACGTGACGAGCAGCGGCGTCTTGAGGTCGCGGAAGCGGGTCGAGTACCAGGTGACGACGAGCGAGAAGAGCAGGCTAGTGAGGCCGTACGACAGCTGGCGGACGCTGATCTTCCAGGCGCTGGTCTCGAAGCCGAGGTTCAGCACCAGCTGCGGCGTGATGGAGTTGACGGCGCTGTAGAAGATCCAGCCCTCGACGGCGAAGGCGAAGACGGACAGCGCGAAGTTGGCGTCGCGGGCGAAGAAGACGTGCGCCACCAGCCCGTCGTCGCGGCCTTTCCATTCTGGCACAGGTCAATATAATCAATAATCATGGGCCGTGGGGGAAACGACAGGAGGGGAAGGGGGAATAGTTACCGTACAGCCCAAAGGCGACAAACAGCACGAGCCCGACGGCCAGCGGCGCCACGACGTGGGCGTCGGACCACGGGTACGCGCCGGCGGCCCAGTCGAGGGCCAGCAGCATGAGGGTGGCGCTGGCGATGAAGAGCAGCGAGCCGACGGGGTCGACGGCCCAGGCGATGTCGCGCGCCGACAGCCGGGGGCGCTCCGACACGGCGGCGGCGGGGGGCCAGTAGAACAGGAACAGGCCCAGCGACGTGGCGAGGTGGAACGCGGCCTGCATCCAGAAGATGTACCGCCAGCCGCCGGCATCGGCGTTGGTGACGGCGCCGGCGCCCATGGTGCCGACTCTGTTTCGCCCAGAGTTAGGACTAACTAGCAAAGCAAGAGAAGGACTAACTAGCAAAGCAAGAGACAGAAACTCACATGCCGCCAACGCAGCCGCCGACAAAGGCGAACCCATTGGCTAGGGCGCGGTACTTGAGCGGCAGGATCTCCGAGGGGATGGCCTGGACGATGGAGATGGTCGACAGGGTGGTTCCAATCAGTATCCCGCCGCCGATGAGCATGTGCATGTTGGTGGCGCGGGCCGACACGACGGCGCCGGCAAAGGCCACGAGCGGCGGCAGCGCGGCCACGAGCTTGCGGCCGACGGCGTCCGACAGCCGCCCCACGATCGGCGACAGCACCGACTGCATCAGCAGCGGCCCCTGGATGATCCAGCCCGCCAGCGCCGCGTCGCCCACGTCGCGCACGATGAAGGCGATCACCGACCCCGCCGCCACGACGACGAAGACCTGCGCCATGATACTGCGGACGGTCAGACTCGGCCCTGCGGGTGAGGCGGGGACCAGACTCACGCGAAGCAGGTGACGAAGACGACGAGCTAGTTGGAGTGTTATAACCTTGCAGTCCTAATAACACACAATCGCGAAAAGGGGCAAACTCACCCACGACCTCCAGCCCAGGCTGACGTGCACGGCTCCCTGCCGGGCCTCATCCTCGATCGGCACGACGGCCAGCCTGTGGTGGACGACAGCCTGCGGCTTGCTGCCCGCTCCGTCGGCGGCGTCGTGGTGGTGCGCGGTAGCGACGTCCGCCTTTTGGTCCTCGCTGGACTGTGCCGCCATGGCTGCCTTCGCCTTGGGTGAAACTGAGGTTAGAGATGATTGGGAGATGGTGCCAGGTGTAGTTACTGTACAACGCTAGGGCTGAGCGCGTTCGATGATGATACACGGCCCTGAACAGGGTGTTGGACGGCGTGGACGGGAATCCCGGCATTTTACATAGGGGGGAAGCAACGGCCGTCTCGTGTATATGAATCCGGCAGTCTGCCTGCTGCCTCGCTATTCTACTCCAATTGAGGGGAGGGGAAGTGCGTCTCCCCCGCAAGAGGTCCATCCGTGCATCTGGCGAGAGTCGGGGTAAAGCAACGTCGTTCGCGGCAGTCGAACCGCAAGGTCGGCATTCCCCTCATCGCGTGCCGGAAAGCGGTACGCAATCAACTCTGCCCCTCACTCGCCGCTTGCCGTGCCGGCGATCTCACTAATCTTGACGAACCCCTGACAGCCACCGAGCAGAGACGTCATGCATCATGGCTAGTTAACGCGACAGTTTTGTTCAGAGTTGATCTTACCTCTTGGCTGCGATGATTCCCGCAAAGAGGTTTCATGCTAAGCTTGGTCAGTTGAGATGTGTAAAATGACGGATAAGCAGAACCGGGAACGATGTCCTAGCGAGTTGATGGATGTGTGAGGCAGTTGTGGAATGTCAGGGCCGAGCGCGCGTGCTTGTGCAGTGCAGTCTAAACGAAATAAAAAAAATAATAAAAAATAATAAAAAAAACAGAAAAAAAATATTAGCGTATCTAGACAGTTCGAAAGATTCACGGCCGTAAAGGCGGTTTAAATGGGAGTCTGTCCAGGTGCGCCAACTTTACTTTGTCTTTTGTGCAAGCCGGCATTGTGCACAACGGGCCTTGAATGTGGGTCGGGCCTAGATACTGCAACAGCAAGGGATACTTGATGGCGGACATAGAAGTCTAGCTGAATGCTAGCCTTCCTTTTCATTTTTCAGTGTTATTGTTGATAGCTATCATACTTGATTTTGGGAGCAACCCGAAAAAGCAACCACATCAACAGCCTCCGACAGTGATCCCGCCTTGGGAAATCAAACCTTGGTCTGCAGCTTGGGGTAGTCACCCGCCTGGGCCTGCAGGTCGGCAAAGACGCGGCTCGCGTCGTCGCCATCCAGGCCCGCCGCCATGCGCTCCTCGTCCTCCGCCTCGAGTTTCTCCAGCTCGTCTGCCGGCTTCTCAGCGCCCGCTTCCCCGTCGTCGCCCTGCGGCTCGAGCGCCTTGTCGGTCACCGACGACTTGCCGAGGAGCAGGAACTGCGTGTTGGCGTAGTCGAGGTGCTTAGGCTGCGTCGGCATCCAGCGCAGCGACCGGAATTCTTCCTGCACCCTGTGTGCCCGTGTTAATAACTAGTCTTTGGGGGGGGGGGGGGGGGGGGGGGTCCTGCCAAAGGGAACTTACTCCTTGGGAAAGTTGGGGGTCTCGGGCAGCCGTGTGTTGGCCGGGACGGGGTATTCGGGGTTTTTGGTGCTGAGGAGGAAGCTGTCTTGGCTCTTGAGGCCCATCGTGGTCTGGGCCTCGCCGAGCTTGTCGGGCAGCGTCAGCACGTAGGCCAGGATGCTCTCGCGGCCCGTGGTGGTGATGACGTAGACGCCCTCGCCGATGGGGGCCGCGGCGGGCGTGTGCCGGGTGCCTGCCGTCTTGGTGTCGTAGTCGGACGACGCGAGGAAGTCTTCCTTGAGCTGCTTGAAGGAGACGCCCGACTTCTCGACAAAGGCGATCCAACGGTCCCGGCCGTTCTGGGGCAGCACCTTTCTGTAAATGGCCACCAGGCGGCTGTCGGCGGCGTCGCCAATGATGACGCTGCCGAGGTTGGCGTCTTTGGCGAAGGGCTGCAGGATTATGTAGCTCCGCGCGACGTCGTCGACGCTGGACGGCTCGTCGATGCCTACGGGTCCGCGGAAGAAGAAGTGGATGACGCCCTTCTCGAGAATTCCGGGCAGCACTGCAGAGTCGAAGCCCTCTCGGCCGTGGCGCTCAACGGCCGTGCCGGACTCGGCTTCAGGGCCAGAGCCCGAGTCGCCGGCAGAAGGCTCGGCGCCATTCCCGTCCCCATTCCCATTCCAATCCCCATTCCCATCCCCATCCCCATCCCCATTCTCATTCTCATTCTCAGTCTCCTTCTCAGTCTCCTTCTCAATCTCCTCATTCACACTCTCGATTTCTCTCTCACTCTTCTCAATCTCTTCGGCCTGTTCCTTCGCCGCCTCGGACTTTTTGGCACGCTTGGCCTGGGGCGAATCATCGCCTTCAGGTTCAGGCTTGTGCTTGGATCCAGGCTGTGCATGGGACTCCACGGGCGCACTCTCGCCCTCGGGGCGATTGTCGTGCTTGGCCTCGGCCCTCGTGGCGGTTGTCATGGTGACTGGCAAGATGCAACAAATCACCCTGCCAGCAGGTTTCGGATCTGTCCTTTTTGACAGAAAAGAAACGCGCGCCGGTCATGTGTTATATATAAGACTGGGAGTGGGGTGCGCCCGTGTCTGATGAGACGAGAATGTGCGGCCCAAGGGAAGAGGCCGTGATGTCATAGATGTTGGCTGGCCCGGTCGTCTCGAGACATTCCCGACAAACTAAGCAGCCCTGCAACCGCACAAAGCTGCATCACAAGCCGGTCAGTTATTTAAAAAAAAAAAAAAAAAAAAAAAAAAGGGGGGGGGGGGGGGGGGGGCTGTGATGGCCATGACACTTGGATCCTACAATGCTCCGCTCACTTTCGTCAACAGCCAACCGGGCCCGAGGTTGGCGCGGAAGGGGGAGAAAATGAGATAAATTGCGTCTTGGTTAGCGACACTGTCTCCCCGTGAGCCTTAACGCCATGCTCAAGGAACCAGAAGACACATGAAGGGATCCCGTGCAGTGACTTCTTACTCTCCACACCCTCTGAACTAAGTTTCCAGAGTCGTCTGGAGACACTGATGAGGAGACTAGTCTGATGTGGCTTGAATTTTAATCGTCTCCGTTTGCTTGTGCACTTTGAAACTGGCGCCTGCTGCTAGAGATTCAACCTGGCATTCGCCAGGTTTTCCCGATTATTGCTCAATGCCGGTGCCGAATTTCTCCATCAGACATGTGACCTCTCTTGAACATGTGGGGTTTGCTGGGCGAGATAGTCCTTGCGATCGCCTCGGTCCTTTCAGTACGCTCAAATGGGGCATAAGAGTCGTCAGGCTATAATTAGTCATGATCCAAAAGCGCTTCCAAACACACACAGTTGCCGGCGCTGACCAACCTGGGTAGTCAGCATGCAGCACACTTTCTTTCTCTTTGTGGTTTCGTATTACTGAGGTGAACAGGCCCGTGGTTCGGTTACTCTTGCATGATGCAGGCTACAAAGGAGCAGTTGGACGAAAATACATCATCGCTAATCACGGTTTGTGGAATCCTCGCAAATGATGGATGGAACGGGAACTGAAACGAGACGGCGTTGTTTGTCCAGGTTTCCAAACATGGGAACAAGCCCAACAGACTATCCATCACTGCAGCGTCCAGCAGAGAGACAGCAAGACGGCTACTTTATCTAAATATATATAACTATATATATATATATATATATATTATCCCCGAAACAGGCTATGTGGCTACCTATGGACACGGCACCCCCTATCTTTGTACCGCGCGGGTTTTGTGCGACGCCAGCACGGGGTCTCGCCTGCAGTCATCATCGTGTTCCCCGAGCCGACGACACACCACACCATTACCTAGGTACTCGCTCGGGGCGGGCCACTGCTGCTGCTGTCCACTGGGCGGCAATCTTGTCTTCAAAGGCGACATACGTGGCCCTCGGAACCTGCAGGTCCTGCATCAGCTCGCGGAATGCGAGAGCCCGCCCTCCTCCTGACCTAGCCCCCCACGCTCTGTCACCCTCCTCCTCAGCAGCCATCGGCTCAACGCCCTCACCCGGCCGCGCTCCATCCTCATCCTCGTCCTCATCCACGAGCTGCAGCAGCAAGCGGCTGACTGCACAGTGGAACCGCTCGTCTGACCTCAGCGCCGCCGCCTCAGCAACAGCACCACAAACGGCCAGCCAGCCGAGGACTAGGTCGGCGCGCGGCGTGCCCTCCATGATGCGGAACTCGACGGTGCGCGGGTTCGTGCGCGCGCGCGCGTCCTCGCGCCCGAACGCGCTGAAGTTGAACCCCAGCCGCCGGAACTGCTTGCCCGGCCCCGACAGCAGCCGCCCCAGCTCGCCGTGCGTCGCCGCGTCCCAGATCAGCTCTAGCGCGTGCACGTCCCGCCGAGACGCCTCTGCCGTGCTGCTGCTGCTGCTCGCGGCAAGGATCGAGTCGACTTGCGCGTCCCCCGTTCTTCTTCTCGACGGGGTGCCGCCGCTGGCCAGGACGGCCCGCGCGAGGCGGCTCCGGCGCCGCAGCTCGGCGCCCCAGGTGAAGACGTTGTGGTAGTTAGGCGAGGCCGGGTCGCGGATGCTGCGCAGCGTCGGCTCGGCCAGCCACAGCAGCGTGGCCAGCCGCTGCAGCGTCGGCAGCGCGAACGGCCGCCCGTCCATGCGGCCCACGTGCACGTGCACCTCGCACGTGTAGTTGGCCACGAGTGTGTACTCGGCATTGAGCGCTGCCAGCGCCTGCGCGATGCGCGTGTGCGTGCTCGGGTCTCGCAGCTGCATCCGCGGCGAGCACAGCTCGACCGGTATCCATGTGTAGTAGTAGTAGTAAGAGTAGTAGTAGTGGCAGTAGTGGCTGCTATCTCCTGATGGCAGTGCTGCCTGCTCTGCCTGCTCTGCCTCTTGTGGCGAGGCCGAGTTGGCCCGCTTGACTATCCAGTGCGACGCCCAAACTTGCCGCTCCTCGAGCCCGTCCCCCTTGATGGCCTCGACCGTGGCCGCCGCCTGCCCCGTCGCCCGGATGGTGGCCGCGACGCTCTCGCGCGTCTGCTCCTCCAGCAGGGCCTGCCGCCCGTCTTCTGTTCGGCTCTGGTCTGCTTCTGGCTCTCGGGGGAGGGTGAGGCGGAGCAGGAATTTCATTTCCGTGGCGACGGAGAGGTCTTCGACAGAGTCAACATCCGCCGCCTCTGGTTCTGTGTGCTTGTCCATGCTCGTGTCGTCGGTCCCTGCCGCCGGCACCTCCACCATGCCGGATATGTGAGGCGTCGCATGATGATGATTATAGTGGTGGGCATCGCGGGCCAGGCGGCTCCCCGGGCGTATGCTGTCGGCGAATGTCAGTAGTTCCCTCTCCCGGGGCAGGATGACGTGCTGGACGGCCGAGCAGAAGCCGCAGAATGCCATCCAGACGCGCCGCGCTTCTATGCTGGCAAACACGACGAGCGATGACGCCGAGTCTAGAGTGTGGCGCCACCCGTATCGTACTAGGTCTGCGAGTGCCGGCCGCATCTTGAAAGGAAAAAAAGTCTGACTGAAGCGGCGTCTGCCTGGAGACGTGCGGTGTGTGTGTGTGTGTGTGCGTGTCTCTCTCTCTCTCTCTCTGTGTGTGTGTGTGTGTCTCTGTGTGTGTCTATGTATGTGCAGCACGGACCTGGCAGCCCTGGGTCAGATTTGCGTTTGGCCTACGTGGTTTGAGACTTTTCTTTTCCCGTGGAGACATACATGCCTTGTGTAACGGGCAGATAGCTGTTTCACACCACCCCTGCTGCAGAGGGCCGGCGCAGCTGGACTTGTCAAGGCCCACTTTGGGGGTTGTTTGTTTGAAAAAGCCGACGCTTGACAGTCGCGTGAGAGAGAGAGCTAAGCCCCGGACTGCGGGCTGCTCGGGGTGCGAGCGAGGTGGGAAAATGGCGGGCGAGATCGTCCTGAACAGACGGCAGGACAACGGGTGACGACAGGAGATTGCAGGGCGGCGTCTTTAAGTCATTAGCTGTTAGCGAGCAAACGAATCCGCTAACGAGAACCCCGTCCCGGAAGCAGGGCTTCTGTTTACCTAGCCCGGCGGACGCTCTGAGCAAATCAAAAAAGCCAGGCACACGGGACATTGGGGTCTGGCCGTCGGGTTTCGTTCAGAATCGGCACTTTTTCAGGCCGGGTGCCGTGGCGGCTTATAAGCGACTCGATGCGGCGTGTCCGGGGCAGGGCCGCAAACGTGGGATTTGCAGAGCCGGCGACAGGTCAGACAGGTCAGCCAGGACAGGACAGGTCAGAGTCGGTCGGGTGTGCGTGCCACTGCCATGCTCCATTAATCATACATTCACCATCCATTGCCCGTGGTACCCGACGAGAACGAAGCCCAGCCCAGCCCAGCCCAGCCGGTCGGTCGGTCGGTCAGTCGGTCGGTCGGTTGGTCGGTCGAGCAGTCTCGCCTCGTCCTCGCCGCTCTCCCAGGAAAAGCAGAGCCATGGTTTTAGTTGTGGCTTATATCTGCTCCTGCTCACCCACGCCCGTGCGGTGTGACACCAGGGCGGATTCGGAAGGATGCGTGCGGCCTACCTTACCTTAGGTATCTACCGTAGGTAAGGTAGGTAAGGTAGGTGACTCTGACTGGCTCCCTGCCTTAGCTGACCTTCTTGGTACATGTACATGGTAGCAAGGTAAGTCGAAGCTGTCAGGTAAGGGACGTATGAGCGAATTTGGCCCCTCTCCTCTCCCCCCCCTTCGCCAACCCCCACCCCATAGCCTCTCGGAAAAGAGAGGTGTTGGGTGGCAGACGCCCCTCCGAGTCCAGGGCGAGCTGGGCTCTTGTGAGTGGGCAATAAGCGCAGCTGGCCAGCATGCATGCATGGACCCTTCTGCATATGGCCGCCCCTCGCATGCATACGCACCTCATCACTAGACTCGCCCTTCTTGGTATCCAAACCACCAAATCACAATCACCCGGCCTCGCCCCGAAGTTGAATAATCGGCTCTTCGCCCTTCGCCCTTGGCCCTTGCCGACGCTGGCCGCTAATCAAGTCAAGCTGTGTGCGGTGCTAACCTTGGGTGGGTTAACCATGAGCCATAATCACTCAAGCTTGATTACTTGATGCTCCGCTCCTGAGATGCCTCGTGCTTGCTCACCGCAGATCTGCACTCCGTCTCTTGCAGGTCTTGGGACAGAAGCCGCTTATCTGTTACGAGTAATCGTTGCCGAGTTGCACCGTCTGCGCTGCGATTGCATGCATGCCTGCCATCCACCGGCGCTGCTGGGATTGATTGCTTGCTCAAGTTGGATATTTCGCGGACGCCAAGAATTGTCGAGCTCATATTCCGAAAAAGAAAGAAAAAGAAAAAAAAGGAACTTGCACTTCAGTGGGAGACTTTTGGGACAGAAAAAAAGAACCGTGTTGGCGGAACATGCAGAATTTTGTCCACCGTCCAGGGCAGGGCAGGGCAGGGAGTGTTTGGTCCGCTGGCTGCGAAGGGGGCGTAGACACATGTTGGCTGGAGGCTGCCAAGGCTATGTGCGGCGGCTATCCATAATTCGCGTGTGAATGCTTTTGGCCTGCCAGCGGCCGCCCTAACCTAGTTGTGCGAAAGCGAGCGGAGGGATTGGGGAACTGGAAAGAGAGGGCGAAAGAGGATTGGACAGAAAGGCCTTGCGCCTTTGAATCACGACGGACGGCCTATTTAGGCTTTCCGCATGCATAAGGCACAAGTGCCCAAGGTAGGTAGAGATACAAGGACAGCCGGTGTTGCCGGGCTCTGGGCAGGGATCAGGCGGCTCCGACAGACGGGAACACTCAATTAAGCGACGACATACCACGGCGCTAGGAGGCCCGCTTCGAGAGCGAGGCGACACGTGTGGAGGTACGGTAGGTATATAATTAACTCCCTTTCCTGTCCTGGGGGCAGACATTGGCCAGTCACAGCTTGCGGCGGCGGGACGGGCAGCATGGGATGGATGGGATGGGATGAGATGGGATGGGATGGGATGGGATGGGATGGGATGGGATGGGATGAGATGGGATGGGATGAGATGGGATGGGATGGGGGCTAGAAAGGAACACACATCCATCCTTCCTCTGCTCCGGACCAGGGAACCTCAAAACGAATGCGGCCTCACCTCACCTCACTCACGCGGCGGAGGAAGTGGGTTACGCGTCAGTTTCGATTGGGCCCATGCCACCCATGCTGCACACGAGCGGCTGAAAGACAATGCCATGCCTGCGGCTTGGCAAAACAAAAACACAACCGAGATAATTGCGGCCGAACGCGCCCAAGCTAAACTTGACCGCAACTGTGGCCCGTCCGTTCTCAGGGTCGACTGCCCGTCCGTTCTCGGGTTCGACTGCCATGTTCCGTGGTGAAATGTGCTGGGGGGTTGGAAATAGAATGACAAACAATAGCCTGACTCACTCACCGCTCATGTCCATGCCCAGGTTGAATTGACATGGAAGAATTCAGATTTCGAATGATTAAATCTAGGTAAGTAATTATCGAAAACAACAAAGGTAAATCAAGGCAGTTATCCCATTTGACGAGACCATGACAAGCTTTCGGCACTAGAGATGATACTTTTGCGGTAGATTTAAGAGTCTATCAGACCGCGGATGACAGGCGTCTCACACATAAGGTAAGTTGACACCTGGACAAGGCGGGTAGATAGACACCGGGGCCAAGAGCTCGATGTTAAATGTAAATGTATCTCATTTCCCTTCCCGGCCCAGTCACCTAGTCCCCTCAGGGCATACATGCCCTGCTAACCGTAACTAAAAACCTAACAAAGCTACCTTACCGTACATTTACATGCGTGCCTCGTCAGGGACGTCGACTGTGGTATCGACTGCGGCATTATACCCAGGAATATATCCCCCAACCTGAGCCAAGAACAGACATAATCTAGAAAAAAAAAGCATGCCAGCTCGGGAAACTAACAGATACAATAGAAATTAGAACGAACCCCCATCCCGGAGATCATCGACGACAGCCGACGACGACAATGATGATGATGATGATGATGATGGTGATGATGATGATGATGATGATGATGGTGATGATGATGATGATGATGATGATGGTGATGATGATGATGATGATGATGATGGTGATGATGATGATGATGATGATGGTGATGATGATGAAGATGATGATGACAGAGAAAACCCCCAGTCCCAGCCCCCTTTCCGCCAATCCGCCCAAGTTTCTTGCCCGTTTTTGCCATGAAGAGAGAGATAATGAAGAAAGCCAAACTTGAACGACGCAACCATGCCGTGTCGGCCAGACAAGACAAACAACTCAAGGAGCCATGAGACGTGAATCATGAACATACCATGACCGCCAACTGCGTCTGTTCAGCATCTTTTTTCCTCTATTTCTTCCCCCCAACCCCTCATCCTTCTTTTAGTAATTAATAACTCAGAAGACGGTTCGAGATGTTACCGGCCGCTCAGTCGACCGTCTTGCCGCCGCAGTCAGGCACCTTGACGCCGCTCTTGAGGTTGCGGTCGACGTCCATGAGGCCCCAGTGGTCCTCCCACTGCTGGTCGGCCGTGTTGAACTGTATCTTCCAGGGCTCGTCAAAGGCCTCGAACCAAAAGTACTGGGTGCCGTTGGCGAGGGCCTGGCAGACCCAGTCGTCCATGAACTGGTTCATCTCGTCGATGCCGGCGACGGCCTTGTCCGGGCAGACCGTCTCGGTCACGGTGCCGCAGCTGGTGCCGCCCTGCGACGGCCAACCCGTCTCGCTGATGATGTTCTTGTCCTTGTCCGACTTGAAGAAGGGCCCGTTGTTCACCTGCCAGAAGTTGTTGGTCCACGCCGCCGCCTCCGCCACCTTGGTGCCCGAGAAGAAGGGGTGGATGTTGGCCATGACGTAGTCGCTCTGCGCTGCCAGCTGCGCCGTCCACTTGTCGCCCAGGTCGCTAGTAGCGACGGGCAGCGACATGCCGCGGGCCGTGACGTTCTGCCGCACGTTGGAGAGGAGGAGGGTCAGGTTTTCGACCGTCATCTGCTCCCGGAAGAGGATCTCGTTGGCCACGATGAGGCCCTTGAAGGGCTTCTCGCCGTACTGGTCCAAAATGTCCCACATCTGGGTGAGCTGGCGCGCGTTTGTCGTGTCGTTGTTGTCCTGCCAGACGCCCAACCACACCTTGATGGTGTCTTGCATCTTGAGCTGGTTCAGCGCGTGGATGACCATCTGGGTTTGGTTGCAGTCCGTGCCGTACAGCCGGATGGTGTTGGTTAGTTGCGAGAGAACGGCAACATCGCGGGTTATGTTGTTTTGCGATGGCGGGTTGTGGATGCAGTCGGGGTATTGCGTGTTAACTGGGGTGTAGTCGACGCCCGGGAATACCTTGTGCAGGTTCGGGTTGTTCAAGAGCGCCTTGATCTCCCCCGAGTTGACGCCAAGGTCTCCGTTGGCGGCGGTGTCATCCGCCGCGCTCCCGCTCGAGCCGTTGCTGCTGCTGCTCCCGCCGCCCCCGTTCCTTTTGAGGACGACGCCAAAGACGACGCCGAGCGCGATGCCTGCAATGGCGAGCACGATAACCCCGAGGATAATGATCAGCCGCCACCTCCTCGATTTCTTCTTTGCATCTTCAGCAGACGGCCACCCCGACTTTTCGCCCGGGAGGCCAGAGGGACCCGCGCTCAGCCCGTTGTGCACTGGCGCGTAGTACCCAGACAAGTTTCTGGTGCCGTTGCGTCCCGCTAGTCCACCCAAGACACCTCCGGCCGCCGCGCCAGCTGCCGCACCGCCCGCGGCTGCAGCAGCATCCCGGCCTCTGTGGCTTGACCCACCGAGACTGAGCATGCTTGTCCGGGGTCCTTTTCGGACGCCATACGTCAAGCCGTCATCACCGTCATCTTCAATGGCGAGTGGGTCGACGGCACCTAGCCGGGGGTCTTGAGGCCGAGAGTAGATCTGATAGGGATCGTCAGTGTAGATGTCATTAACGACGCTGTGAGGGCTCCTCGACGGAGTCCTGTGTCCTGGTGTGACATTTCCTGCGCTCAGGTTGTTGGAGCTGCTGGGCAAGCTAGACACTGAATCTGCATCCGCCGGGTTGTCGAGGTGGCCATACGGGACACCAGACGCCGCTTGTCGTTGTTGCTGGCCGCCCATTTGACCTCCTCTCCCGTCGCTGTACTCACGACCATTGTTCCGCCATTGTTCTTGCGGTTGGCCTGACTGCGGGTATCCCGCACTCTGGATAGCGTTAAGGCCGCTCTCCCGCGCGTTGTGCTCCGCCACACTCAAAGCTATCCCGGCCATGCCCCCAGCAGCAGCGTCGCTGAAGTTATCTGCCCCCGGCGTGATGTTGCTTTGCGGTGGGAATGCGCGATTTCGTGGCGGGTATTCCGTTCGTGGGGGGTAGTTTGTTCGCGGGGGGTAGTAGTCCGCGTCTCTGCTCCGGTTCCGTCCTTCAACGCCGCGATGAGGTGGCGGCTGGGACGGAGAGACGGGCGATGCCAGGTCTTCCTCTCTGAAGCCGTTTGGTGCGACGCTGGCAGCTGCTTGAGGGCCAGCAGCCCATCCGCTACTGCTCGCACCGCTGGCTGGCGGTTCTCTACTGTACCGTCGTTGCGCCCGAAGTCTGTCGAATGCCGAGTCCGGATGAGCTGATGGTCCTGGCCGGCTCCGAGGCGGCGTCGCGAATGGGTCTTCCGGGTGCTGCGGCAGAGTAGGATACTGTTCAGGTGGTTGGTCGTAGGGCTGCTGGTACGGCTGCTGCTGCTGTGGGTATTGTTGTCGATGTCGGGGAGGAGAGGGGTTCGGGATGTCAAGGGGCTCGCGTTCGCCCATGTCGTGCTCGTAGGGATAGTATCGTTGCGCCATGTTCGGCCGTGCCGTGCCGTGCCGTGCCGGGACACAGCGATGGGGTATTAGAAGTCGGTGTCGGTAGCCTGTCGTCGTCAATCGGCGGCAAGCAGGATTTCGTGGACTGTAGGTATCGGGTAGTCGGTTGGTTGCGCGTCGTCACTTGGCCCCGGCTAATCTGTCATGAATGCCCCGATGCCGCCATGCACAATCCGAGTTCGGGAGGGTGAACGAAGGATGTACGGCGCAGAATCGAAGGAAACCGTTGCCTCTTGGTGGAACACTCCTTTTGGATTCTCGTGCCGGTTTTCAGCCAGTGCGGCGTCACGACGTGTTTCAAATCGTCCAGGGCCCCGAATGTTTTCCCAGTTGGGGTGACCTTGGCCACTTTGGCATTGCCCTACCAGAGAAACGCACTGAACCTGGATATCGCTTCCTTTTGCGCGATTGAGTTTCCGAACGATAGTGTCTTCTGCCAGCTGTCGATTTCTCGTATTGTGGTCGTCCCGTGGACAGCGCCTCCTCGTATCTGGGCGGAGTCGTCGCCCGCTCGCCGGATTTGACACGGCTGTAATTGTTGGCTCCGAAGGCTGCGTGTGGAAGGCTCCCGAGTCCTTTCGCTTAGAGGTCCAGCGCTCCTGCACAGAACCAAAAGACAAATGGAAGAAAGGGAAGCCAAAATCCAAATCTCTCTTGGGGCTTCTGCAATCGAGGGATGAGAGAGCTTTAGACCAACTCAGGTCGTGGAATCAAGGGGAGCATGAAGTTTGCCAAGGCATTTTAATCAAGCCTCGCACTACGTTGCGACAGGACCTGGGACAGGTTGGGGGGGACAGCTGCCAGGGACCACAAGTTGCCGGGAGTGGTTGCTGGGCAGCGGGGCTGCTGCCCAGCCCCGCTCTTAATCCAACCTGCGCCCCGCAGCTGGACGATCCGCCTTATTATTATAGGGCCTCGCCCCCGAATCGCAGCATGCGCGTTGCCCAAAATCATGGAACGGAGTAATCCGTAGGGTCCATTTTACATTCCCCAGACAACCCGCATGCTAACTACTTTTGACATGGGAATAGAAATGGCTTCCCCGCGAAAATTCACGACTGATGCATGCGCCATTGACGTTTAAAATTTCACTTCGACCACGCAACGCGGAAACACGGCACTGCAGTCACTGTTTGACTCAGCCGAGCATGGCTTCGGAGGCTCCCGTCGGCTTGCTCGCCCTCTGCTTTAGTGGGCATACCTAATCAGCCGCTGCCTTGAATTGACAGGCACTCCACTTTCATGCTCTGAGCTTGCCAGTGCGTCGCCCCGCTATTACATCATGCCGTGGTTGGGAAGTGGCGTTTTGTTCCCAGTCTGCCTCAAGCTTGAGGTACTCCAGAGGTACTCCAGAGGTACTTGGCAGACAAGCAACATAGAACCAGACTTGGAATCAATGATCCCATCATTGTCCGCAAAGTTTAAAATACACAAGGAGCGGCGGCGCCGGTGGCTCTTAGCTCTCGTAGCTCTCCTTTTTGCTGTGACACTAACGGTCAAGGTTTATGCGGGACGATGCACACTCGGTACCTAGCCCCTGAGGAGACGGGATCACTTTCGGATATGCCTTTGTGACAGCCGTCCGTGTGTACAGTACCTTACAGTTGGCTGCATCCTATTAATTAGGTGACTAGTATTAATCCGGATACCACGATCCGCGGGTACCAATTGATGCTTTATCCCGCCCGCCAACCCAGACTTTGCTGCCCACGGCTTTTTTGTTGTTGGTATTCTGTCTAGGGGGCTGATAAGACGACAGCCTCGTCATAGCCGTCGCCTTCTTGGTGCCAGCCCTTCCCAAGCCCTTCTGTGAACCAGCCCTGTCGGCCCCTCGCCAGCCCTCCGCAGGAAGTATATGTATAACGTGCATAAGGTACGTAAGCAAATCGCAGTGCTTTGGTGCGAGCAGCCCAGTATTTTATATTTGGCTAAATGGCGATACCTGCCCCTTCTCCTCTGGGCACGTTGGCAAAATTCGTTCAAAAGTCACAAATATCGGTTCATATGTGCTGTGAGTGAAACTCTCCCCTTTTTCATGGCTGGGTACGGACATAACAACATGGAGGAGATCGGTGTCAGGAACATGTGAAACACAAATCGCGACAAGCTCAAGCGGCAGGAACTATTGTGGCGGGTTTTTTCTGAAGGTGAGTTGATAATGAGAATATCCAAGGTAAGTATAAGATAACTTAAACTCAGCTCCTAGCGCTACTCTACATTCGGTTCAACTTTGACTTATCATCCAGTTCATAAGCTCCCTTTACTAAAGTCCCGCTTATTCTCCCAAGTTTTACATACAGCTCTTGGGGTGCTTGCCAAGCAGGTAATGAGCCGCCGGGTTTCTGGTATGGAGACCGCGCGACATTTTCATACTAAGAGGAGGAATCCTGGCGTCTTTTCGTCTTCCAAGATGATATTAGAAGTGATGTGGCTCAGGGAGCGTACTGACAGCCCCAGCAGGATATAACTACCACAATCTTCGAAGATTATTACCCCAAAAAATCACAAATGTTAAAAACTTAGTGTAGCTTCAGTCATAGTAAATTCATCACTGGCTCGAAGGAATCACGCGAAGATTAAGCAGGTAATTAATTAAATAACTAGATGCTGAGTGACAAGTAATACCACGCCAACCTTGCCCACGGAAATAGGAACAAGAAGAAGCACAAGGCAAAAGGCTATGTGCAAAAAGAAAAGGAAGAGCTATGCAAGCCGAGGCCCAGTAGTGGCCGCTTCTCCTACTAACTTAATTGACCCCACCGGGCGGGAATCAGTTCTTATTCTCGTCTTTCGATGACTCGCCAACCGTAGCATCTTCACGTTTGAGAGGAAGCTTGGACGTATGGCTCCCGACTCGCCGCCTCTTAGCAGGGCGGCATTCTGGACGGTCGGCTACATAATTCGGGGAATTATTATCAGATTGCGTCGTTTTGGGGATATTGGGGACATTGGGGGATGACCGGCCAGATGTCTGTGTCGACATATCAGGCATGATGTGGGATATTTCTTCCTTCAGCGCGAGAGTGTAAATTGTCGGGACTTTGATGGTAAGATGCGGCTTTATGAAAGCTTAAATGCTGGCGTAGTGTCTCGGCACGCAACGGACTGGCAATAAAGATGATAGTTAATGTTGAGATCGTTGTAGTGAACAAAGAGCTTGAGACTGATATGCTTTGTTCTGGGAAGAATTCACGATTTATTTTCTTTGTCGAAAACATCTCCAGCTATTTATCCTAGAAATTGTTTGAGCTTCCTAGAGTTATTAGACAATCAGTGTCTACGCGGGAAGTGGTCATCGTCTTATTGGTTCATACAACGAAGGTGGCAATTCCCCTGACGACTTGTGGTGGCGTCAGGTCTGGCTGCCTGGTGACTGGAATTTGTGTTTCACCACCCCAAAACTGACAAACTCCAACTTCTAAAACCGGCTAGCTCCGCTTTCTTGACCACGTGATCCCTCGCCACTTTTGCTCAGCCCAAATCAGCCCTTGGCTTAGCTTCGGCTAATAGCTGCTCAACTGGCCCGGCGCGGTTTCCCAAAAAGTACAACTCTTACCGGAGCCCCAAAAACGGCCCTCGTATAAGAGCTGGGGTTTAGAATTGGGACACCTAATTCCGGTATCTTCGCCTTGGGCCGATCCGGCTTTACTACTACTACTGCTAGATTCGTCCTTAGGTATCAGATAGTTTAGCGCCTTCTAATTATACGTCTAATCAGATAACGTCTTCCTTAAGTGTAATCTGGAGGCTTCAAGGACACCAGACCCAAGAAACTGGAGGCTCAGGGATACCAGACCCAAGAAGCTGGAGGCTTCAACTAACACATATCCCATAAGAAACTGGCCCGGCTTCAGGGGATATCTACCATGGCCAGAGAAACTAGAGGCTTCAGGTAACACGACCAAGAAACTGGAGGCTTCAACTAACACATGTCCCATGAGAAACTGGCCCGGCTTCAGGGAATCACATCTCCCATAGTTAGAGGAACTAGACCTAGCTTCAGGGAAATACCGCCACGACCAAAGCAACTAGACCGGCTCTGGTTAACACGTCTACCACGACCCAAGAAACTGGACCCGGCTTCAAGGACACATGCACCTGATCAACTGGACCCGGTTCTGGTACACATCTACCATGGCCAAAGAAACTGGAGGCTTCAGGGAACACATACCATGATGGACCTGGCTCTGGTAAACACATCTACTATGGCTAAAGAATAGAGTCTTCAGGGGATACATGTACCATGATTAAAGAACTGGGCCCGGCTTCAGGGGACACATCAACTGGACCCGGCTCTAGTAAATACATCTCCCACGACGTAAGAAGCTGGACCCGGCTTCAAGGACATATGCACCTGATTAACTGGACCCGGTTCTGGCACACATCTACCCTAGCTAAAGAAACTGGAGGCTTCAGAGAACACATACCATGATGGACCCGGCTCTGGTAAACACATCTACTATGGCCAAAGAATAGAGGCTTCAGGGGATACATGCACCATGATCAAAGAACTGGGCCCAGCTTCAGGGGACACATCAACTGGACCCGGCTCTGGTAAACTGTTCTATGACTAAAGAATGGAGGCTTCAGGGGACATATTTACCATGATTACAGAACTGGGCCGCTTTAGGGGATCTCATATAGCTAAAGAAACTGAGGCTTTAGGGAAACACATCTGTATGGCCAGAGAAGCTAGACCCGGCTTTAGGTGGCCACATCTGCTATGGCCCGAGAAACTGGAGGCTCCATGAAGGGTGATCGTCACCTAGATCACGGAATGCGTGTGCAATACGTAAAAGGTAGGTAAAAAGATGATGAAGAAAGTGTAAGGAAAAGGACACTCACCTCGCCAACCACCTGTCAACGCGCACTCCATTACACGTGTTGACCGTCTGGCACCAACGGGCCAGATCACTGCCGGCTGGCATGAGCCACTAAGCCCATACCAGGCGCCTTGTGTCACATGCACATTCGGGACCGAGCCCCGGAGCATGTATATAAACAATGGCCCTCGACCTCTCCTTTGCGAGGGCCAGGTTGAAGTCTTACGCCAATACCAGTCATTGCTCACCCTCTGTTGTCTTCATTGTGACCACCTTGATCAGGCGTACCTGCCCTCTCTTACACATAACTCTGGCCCGTGATCAAAGTTGACAGTGGCTTGAAGGGTCTTGAATTGTCAGTCTAGAAAAAGGTCTAGAGATGCAGGAAAAGAAGCTACTATTTATACCCAAAAAGTAAAACAAAGGAAATCTTGTGATACTAGGAAGTGAGCGTCATAGAGGGCCTTTTTAGGTTCAACTCGGTTATGGCTCGGATGTGGCTCAATTATCAGGTGGCACGTAACTAGGTTATCGTATTTATAGCGAGAGCACGATCGCGTTGCAGGGTGCTCCGGGCACTGGAAAGGCGGTCATGGCCATTTATCTAATCAAATTACTCGTTGATATCCAAACGTTCGCTTCCCTCGAGGACCTGGAAACGACTCGCGCTTCGCTAATTTCTTCACTCGAAACAACCAAGCCCTGCTCAGGCCCGTTAGTATCGGCCTAGTCGTGCCGTAGATGTCATTGCGAGTGTCGATCGAAAAGGTTTTCAAGAAGACGCCAGGGCTCGAGAAAATAGAGATCATGAGCCCACTAGGCCTGGGAGGTGGTAATGGGACTTTTGGCCTACTCTTAGTTGACGAGACTCATCGGCTCAATCAACGGGCCAACCAGTCATCACCATGGGACAACACCAAGTTCAGAGACATTAAGATGAACTTCTTTGATAGCGATGATTTCAGCAAGACCCAGCTTGACTAGGTGCGCCGCAAGAGCCAGCATCAAATTTTCCTCTTAGAACCCGCGCAGGGTGTCCTTCCGGCCGACTTACCCCCCGAGCTGCTGTCAAAATTGGCCAACAATGCTCGCGCGCTGAGACATCACCAGCTTCAGACTCAGATGCGCGTACAGGCAGTATCGGATTTCGTGCGCTATGTCCGCTGGATTCCCGAACTAGATCCTCTCTCAACGCCTCCGGTGCCTCGCCTTGACGGATACGGCTTTCGCATCTTCGACGACTTCGACCGCATGCGAAAGGAGATTTTTCAACATGATTCGGAGTGCTGCCTCTCGCGCATGGCCGCCGGCTACGCTCGGGACTGGGTGACTAAGCTAGACAAGAAGACCAAGCTACCCCGGGGTGAGTTCGGCATCGACATCGGCGAGACGCGGCTCAGATGGAACAGTGAGGTTAAAGACTAGGTTTCTTCCCACAGGGCGCTCGAAGAGGTGGGCTCGATCCACACAGTCCAGGGCTACGACCTAAACTATGCCGGCGTCATCATCGGTCTCGACCTGCGATACGACCCGCAGACACGACGCCTCCACATCGATGGCAAGTCGTATTTTGAAAAGAGGGGCAGGCAGAACAACAATACCCTTGGCAAGGCCTATTCGGACGGTGACCTGCTGCGATATATCACGCAGGAGGCACTGAGCAGAAAAGGATGAGAGAGGCGGAGAATGAGGAAGCGGAGAAGGGAGGAGCAGTAAAGGGGTAGACAGAGAAGAGAGGAGCAAGGGGCAGCAGTGGAGGGCGGCAGAGGGGGTGGCAGAGAAGAGATCATATCGCTGTGAAGTGTGCACTCAAGGGTGAAACAAAACAGCACAAGTCACTTATAATGACCACAAAGACCATGTCACCGACGCAAAGAAGCTGGGGGAATGTTCCACCGCGGCCATACTCCTACCATTGATCTGCCTGTCCGTCAGACACTATGGGCAGCCGACAATTCCTGCAAGGCAGAATGAAGTCGAGGAAGGTAGACTGTTCCCCTGCCGTGGAGACGTCTGTGGGCAATTATAGGGTGGAGGGAGGCCTCTGCCCAAAGTGGGTGATGACAAGTGGGTTACGCTACGCGCGTTCAAGAACCAGACATTTGACTCTTCTGAATGAGTCACCGGAGTTTCGTTGGCGAAGCTTTAGATCTGGAACTGCATGGTTCTAAGCCTCTTCTGCCTGCCGTGCTGTGTGTGGCCGAGGTGTTTTGATCACCGAGAGGAACTTCCTCCATCCAAGCCCCTTTCCACCGCCGGCTGGCCTGATTCCTGGAATGCCACCAGCCACTTCGTAATGACCTTCTCGGAGGGGTAATAGCTGTGTACGAAAGAGCTGTACTCAGCCCCCTCTTTGCGTGGCCACTGGGCCCTGCCTCCTCTCATCAAGCGGAACCCTGTCACACCAGTGGAAGCCTCTAGGCCCATAATCGACGTCAAGACACAAGTCCACCATCTCTGCTCTTTGGCATCGCTGGTTATTTTCCGCGCATGAGCGAGGCACACTCAAGAATAGGTAGGCTCAGGTACCGGAGTCCCCTGAGCGAGTGATGAAACGCCCCCTGACCCGAGGATGGAAGTGCAGAAGAGGCGAAGGGGGATGATCGGGAATGGCCCTTGGTTTCTTCAGTTCTTCACGGGAGGAGGGCGGAGCTATCAGGAAGGTCAGTCGTATAAGGGCCAAAAACTTGATGCCACAACCCTGGGCTTCCAGTTTCGACCCATATCCTAACGCCTCCGTATCCAGCTGAGTTCACGGCCTTATCCGCAATGCCCCTTAATGCAGTGTAGATCCACGCCATCTTCTTCCCTTACTTAGCTTCGCCAGCTTCATCCAAGCATACTGCCCAGGCAGTGTTCATTGATGTCGGTAAATCCACAGTCAGGCAGTCTCCTGCTGCACTCCTGCGCCCCTTCAATAACACCAACTTCCTGTATCCTAGTCGCGAGCTTGTATTATGGCGACAGCGTGTAACCGATGATCAACCCATGACTAGGGTGGGCAGTTGCGACTCCATAGAGTGAGCTTGCATTGTAGCAACATTGATCGAAGCATTAACAGCCCAGGACTAGAACAGACAACATTCGACTGCGCCGCCTCCTCGTTCGTGAGCTTTGACTCGCGGCCAATTAGCTGCTGAAGTCATGCTGGCTCAGTATTCTGCCTTGTCGTCGTTACGTCATTTTACTATCAAGGGATTAGCCAAGTGACCATCGGCTCTGGCAGATACAGTGTCAAGTCATCTATCTGCCTATTACATATCTTGATCTGCGCAATTGGTCTATCCGGCGTTCGTACTGAATCTCCGCCTGATGCCATTCACTTCTCAGCGTCTAGTTGCTCTAATCCGAAGTCTGTCCTTGCTATAAGTCAGGTGGTCTGCTTATGGAACACCCCTGGATTTGGAACAAGGTTTGTCATCAAGGACTTGCCGCTCGCCACCCAACTCGCCTATTTCAATCGCTTGCAACTTGACCAATTCTGCTTCAATACTTATCTTCTTTTCTCCATTCAATTGAGAAATGAAAGATGAAGCGATATACTCAGTTGGATTTGCAGAATGCGCTGGCAGAGTATGCAGAAACCGGCTTACTCCGTAGCTCTGCTGAAAATCACGGCATCCCCCCTACTACTCTCTTTAATCGGGTTCGTGGTTCCGAGCCAGCCTCCAAGGCCCAAATTCTTAATCAAAAGCTTTCTCCGGCTATGGAAGAACGCTTAACCGAATGGATTCTATTCCAAGGGTCGCTCGGTCACCCTCCAACCCACGCCCAAATTCGGAAACTAGCTAGAAGAATGCTCGAAGATAACGAGACCCTCGGAAAACGCTGGACTAGCCGGTTTTTGGCTAGAAATCCATCTATTTCTACAATTAGGCCTCGGAGAATCCATGCAAACCGTGCTGATCGAGCCTGTGAGGCCGTTATCCGGCCTTGGTTTGACTATTTGAAGCCTCCAGGCGTGGAGGCTATTCCAGCCAAGCATAGGTATAATATGGATGAAACTGGCATTGCTTCTGGCATTGGAGATAACGGCCTGGTTGTTAGATCTAAGGAAAGAAAGAAATTCCAGAAAAAGAAGAAAGGAGACCGAATTTGGACCTCGATTATCGAATGTATTTCCGCTGACGGCCGGTATTTGAACCCAGTCGTCATTTTCAAAGGTGGAAGCCTTCAACAACAATGGTATCCACGCGATTTACAGCCATTTAAGGGCTGGAAGTGGAAACCCACTGAAAACGGCTGGTCTGACGATGATACTGCCGTCGCATGGCTCCGCAATATCTTTCTTCCAGAGACTCGGCCAGCTACCCCCTCGGAGAAGCGCTTCCTTATTTTAGATGGCCACGGTAGTCATACCACCGAAGAATTCATGTGGCTAGCCTTTTCTAATAACGTACAATTGTTATTTCTACCAGCCCACACCTCCCACGTTCTCCAGCCCCTGGATTTATCGGTTTTCGGCCCTCTAAAAGCCCGGTACAGAGCCAAGCATAACGAGGTTGTTTCCGGCTTCGACGAAGGCACTGTTGCTGAAAAGAGGGCCTTCCTAGAATGCTACCGGCATGCCAGGGTCTATGGAATGACTGAATCTAATATCAAAGCCGGCTGGAAAGCTACAGGCCTCTGGCCGGTCAGCCTCAGGAAGCCCCTAAGCAACGGCCTTGTTATTAAGAATTCTAACGGCGACGTTGGTCAACTGACCTCTACGGTTTCTATAGACCTTCAAGAGGTCCATAGCCCCATTCTAAATAAGAATTCGGAGGGCCGGCCTATATGGTTTACCCCTAAAAAGCCGAAGGATTTCCGTATTCAGGGGCAGGTTTTTCTAGCCGGCCAGAAACGGACTGCCAACGACCGACTTTTCATACGCAAGGCCGCAAAAGCCTTCGATTACGTGGTTTTCCAACTAGCCAATACGGCGCATCAATTGGAGGCTGCAGAAAAAAGCCTAGAACGCACAAGAGGCCGAAAGAGAAGGAAGGTCCAAGTCGACCCTAATACGCAGTTCGCTGGAATTGAGGAGGTTCGTGCCTCACAGAGAGAGGCTGGCAGAGAGGACCTTGGTTATTCTGAAAGAGAAGAATCAGGAGAATCCGATACTGAAGACTTCATCATTGTAGCTAATTAATTGACAAAGTTGTTGGCAATTGAAGTTTGTGGTGTTGTGCGGGGTCCGATTCAGGGGCTGTTCCATAGGCAGGGGTGTTCCAAAAGTCCCCCACCTGACTTACGGCTTCTTCGTGGTGATTATGATAAGTTCGCTCTTCTCGCGACTAAGCACTCGTAGGTGTTACGACTCCTATAGATATATATCCCACTAGCAGTAGATAGATTAGAATCACAAGCCTCTATAGCGGATGAGTGTGGAGGGAATTGAGAAAATACCCCTGCAGGGCTTGCTTCTATTTTTTGGTATTGGCAATTTTAGCCGGGGTGGCCAAAAACGGGTCTCCTGGGCTGTGCCGAAGGCACACACACCAGGCTCACCACGACTCAGGTTGAAGCAGCAGTAGCTCAGGACCATTGACCTCAATAGCAATTGCTGAGGGCAACTCTCGGGAAACGCGTAGGGCTGTGTCGCACACCCCGAAGCCGACGAACAAAAATATACGAATGACATGGAAGGCATACATTTCCCCAGTGAAAGTAACAATTGCCGAGTATCCAAGGTCTTGAAGCGCATTTTAACGGCTAAGACTATGGTGCGCCTCGTCACTCCTCGTCCAACAAACTGGGTTAAGGCATGGTAGATAGACCCGGCAGTTTGGCTAGAACATTGTGATTACTTGCTCATCTACGAACAATTTCTGGCTATGACCACTATTAACAGACATATCACGCAAAGCAAACCGACGCGTTGTGCAGAATTGGTGTAGCAGCTAAGAGCTAGTTGTGAAACAGATGGATTGATGGAATTTCCAGATGCACTCGCGTTCCCTCGTAATTAGTATTTCTAGGGCACCTTCCTAATCAAGTTTGTGGATTTCAGACCCAGAAGAAATGGCAAACAGAAGGAGAAAATTTTTTTTATTGGCAGATTCTATTTCACAAGGCTGACAGCTGCTGCTATTTCTCATTGGCTTTATTCTTTCTGTACGTTAACACCGAGCGTGGAAGAATTTCCAAGACATACCATGATCCTTCTGAGAAGGTGTAAGCCATTTTCGTATAGGGGTTAAAATATCTTTCACTTTGACGTAGCACCTGCTCAACCATGCTTCTATCTGCACGGTAAATTTTGGGCGGTTGTCATTAGATCCCCCCTGGACGCGGTAAGAGAAAGAATCGGCATCTAGGTAAGCTACAAGCGGTACCGCTGCTTTTTAGTGCAGTTGCTGTGTCTCATATAGGAGCACAGATATGGCAATCAATGTTTGGGGATCGACAAAGCTCAACAAACCTCTTCTGTGCAAAGACTATCACCTAGTCATGGTCTCTGGGAATGGCATCTCCGTTACCACCGTCATGGGTGACACAGACTCTTCTGGTTAAGCCTATATTGTAATGACCCCGAAGCAGAAGAAAGTGATCGATGACTAGGTTATATATAGATGCAAGCCTATTTGACCTAGTTACTTACCTCGAGAATACCCTCTTTTTTGCCCATGACACAAACCAAAGTGTCCGAATCAAAGCTAGGTTGTGTTTGGAACTATCCGTAGGTGGGTTACATATTGGGAAACCACATACAATCAAGAGCTGTTTGGGTAGTGGCGAAGAACAAGCTCATAATTACTGTTTGGACGAATTAAATGTTTCCCAAGTCCGTCTCATATCCGAATTCAGAGATTTATCGGACTTGGCTATTTGTTTATCTATGGCCAGATATCTTCGCTGATACGATAAAGTGAGCAAGAGGTGCAAAGTTAGTCATCCGTCTTTCAAATTCTGGTGTGGTCGCAGTGCTGTCTTATTCGGGGAAGTAACCTTGGAGATTAGGACGCGCGTCAGTCAGCCCCTTTTCATCTTTCAAAATTTTACCTGAACCCTAACCCTGCACCATAATTTCCTTCCGCCGAAATGGGACTAGAGTAATTCGCCGAGTGCAGGAAAAACTCTGGCAGTGTGCATAAGCTCGAGTAAAATTACAATAGGCTCGAGATGCGAGAGGCTCGCTTTTATTCGGGTTGTACAGGCGATAGTCTATCATAACGCTGCTCCCTAGAGGTCTGGGCTGGAGAGTGATAGTACGGATTCGGGATTCGGGAATTGGAGCGATCGGGAATTTCACTGGAGTCTCCACCCCCGACACGGGGCACGCGACCAACAGCCTGGAAGTTCCCGGTTGGCCGTTCGGGCTGGCCAGGAAACTTGAAAGCCGCCAACCTGGAAAGTCGAGGCATTGAGCCTCCACAGCCCACACCCAGGAGTGCCCTGCCCGTCCCGACTTCCAGGTTCCCGACTCTCAGCGTATTTACCCGCGGGAGCAATAACTTAAATTCAGCCTCTGGAGACCCAGCCGCGAGACTTCAACGTCTCCTCTCAGCCGGGCGGATGACCTGTTCTTGAGTGCAGAATAAAACGCAGGGGGATCCTTTTCAGCTCCAGCGATGGAATCGGGTCGGACGGCAATGCGGCACCACGGCACATCCTTGACTGATAGGGGAGCTCCATCGACGTGTCGCGATGCACCCAATTACAGGCCTGTTCCACAGGCGGCGGGGGGGGAAGAGGGGCCCCTAAATGGTTGGCGATAGGCCAAGTGGTGCGGGAACACGAAAAGGCCCAAGGAGTGGCCCACGCCGCTGACGAGAACAGCCCAGGATAAGCTTGAACGGGATTCGCGCATGCGATCTCCCGCCAAGACCTACGACAGACAAATTCTGGTTGACAAGGTGCACGCGGCCATCGACGCCCGGCCATGGGATTTCCTTCCCCCCCACCTCTCCCGCCGCCAACCGCCGTTCTTTTCCTATCCAGCCTTGTTCTTCGCATGCCTTTTTGAGGCTCCGACCTCCTCTTCCGACGCTATGATCCGAGTTGCGTGCGACGTGCTTCCGTTATGACCGCCATAATGTTCCATCGCCAGCGGCCGGCCAGAGTTGCCTTGGTGCTGGCCGTGCTTTTTATACTCTGGTATGGGCTCGCCAACTTTTCCGCCGCCCGCATCGCCGACGACTCGTTTCCCGGCGGTCCTTGGAAGCCTCTGAAGGGCACCACTTCCAAATCGCGGCGGTCGTCCATTGGCAAGATTACCGTGGCTGCAAACTCGCTCAACTCGGATGTCATACACCGCGCCATGCTGACACACGAGCGACACAACAATGTTCACGGCTATGTGCACCACATTGCCTACAACGAGGCCGTCAGCAGCCTCATCGAGAATGACCGTTTGCACCGTCCCAAGGGCGCCTGGACAAAGCCTGCCTATATCATGTCCATTCTGGTTGCCGAGCTTCAGAAGCCTGACGAGGAGAGACTGAAATGGGTTTTGTAGGTTTCCTGCGCTTGCTTCTACGTTGCGCCAACGAGGCTAACATTCCCCTGCAGTTGGTTCGATGCCGATACCGCCATCATGAACTTCCAAACTCCGCTCCACACCTTCCTTCCGCCAGGCGATCTAAACGGCATCGAGAATGTCGACCTCCTTATCGCGTCCAACTGGGACGGACTCAACTCGGGCGTCTTCGCCCTGCGCGTCAGCCCCTGGTCCGTGTCGTTCATGTCGGCCGTCCTAGCATACCCGATATACGAACCCGCCAAACTTGCCAAGAATAAATTCCGCGACCAGAGCGCCATCCAGTACATCCTGGAGGATAAGGCCTCTCCACTTGCCGCAACACCGATGAAGAGCAAGGACCACTGGGTTCAGGTACCCATGCGATGGTTCAATGCGTTACCCGTCAACAACGCCTTTTACAAAAACGGCACTTGGTTGTTTGGCAAGAACATGACCAAGGAACAATTTGATGACGGCACCGAAAATGTGTTCGACGACGGCCACGGCGGCAAGCTCAACGCCTGGAAGATCATGCAAGGCGACCTGGCGGTGCACTTTGCCGGGTCATCCAACGTGAGAGACAGCTGGATGACTCCCTGGCTTGACAGGGCCGAAGCCGGGCTTCCCGCATGGAATAATGCCACCGCCTGGATCGCGATGAGCGACTCCATCCGCGACTTTTGGGTCAAGACGGACGACGAGATGGCGGCGCTCAGGACGAAGTCTGCCGACGAGGAGACTAAGAAGGAGAAGGAGAAAAAGGAAAAAGAGAAGCTAGAGAAGGAGAAGGCTAGGAAAGACAAGGAAGCAAAGGAACAGAAGGACAAGGATGACAAGGCACGGAAAGAAAAGGAGAAGCTTGACAAGGCGGCACAGGAGAAGGACAAGCAGCAAAAAGAGCTACAGCAGCAGGAGCTACGAGAACAGCAACGTAAGCAAAAGGCCGAAGATGAACTTTTGGCGACAGACGACAAACCAAAACACTCGGCCGGCAAGGTGCTGCTCGTGGACACGACAAAGTTTGACAAGGGCGGCCAAGCACCGACGCTAGCCCCAACAACGTCTGTGGCGCTTGGGCAAGCACCGAGCGTCTCGTTGCCAACAGCGGCGGCAGCAACAACGGGCGGCAAAGACGGCGGAAACAATCTTTAAACTGATATAATATGTGCCTCTTTTGTATATGTATATATCCTAGAATCATAGATACAGGCGTTTTGTTTTGCCATTTTGTCTAATCTGATCGCCAGTCGTACTGACCAGGAAAATATGTGGACACTCCATTAATTGCCCACATTGGCCTCAATTGCCCACATTGGCCTCTCGCTTGTCCGCACATACACTAAATCTATTTCGCGTTAAATTGATCGACCCGGGAAGAGGCATTGGATGGTAGTCTGACGATCACTGCGACCGCATTGCAAGTGCACTGCTATTTCTGTCCCGCTCACTCAACCAGATCTGACATTCGACGTCCATGGAAACTCCGTGGATGCTCCATACGCAGGGGGGCGGTGGGGAGGCGGTGGGGGAGAGGCTGTTGGACAGTTGTGTGACACTGCGACGGTTCCACCAAGGAGGGACATTCAGCTTCTTTTCACTCCCCCAAGACTCCCTGGGGAATTATTGGCGATACGCAGCGAGATGCCCCACCGAAAAAAGGAGGCCATCCCGTAGATGGCGAAGCAAGCCTGGCTGCTGTGCTGTGTGCACAGGCATGCATCCAATCTCAATTTACAGCCGCCCCCCGGGCGCCCCTTCCCTCATTCCCCCCTGCCCCCTGTGGCTGCCGTCCTTCCCGGGATCTCGACGCCCCTTCCGCCAAGGTACTACTAATAATGCTAGTTAGGAGAGCTGAAAACATGCTGCTGCAGTGCTACGGCTGCACTTTTGGGTGAAGCTTTCCACACTTCCCCCCCCTCCATATTCTTTTATTAACTTGTCCTGATTGTCTGACGATCGCATCCGTCTCTCTCCCTTCAGCCACGACTTTGCCCTTGCATTACCAAACCCGCCGCTACGGTCTCGAATGGCGGGGTAGACGCGTACTAATTAGTTTGCGGAAACGCTAGCCTCACCTGGGAGAAGCAGAGAACGGCGGGAATTGGAAAGCAGCAGAATCGGATCAGATGCATTTCCTCGTTTGACATTTTGCGCGCTTTCCCTTCCCCTCACTCGTTTCTTGGGGGCGCCGCAACCATATCTATTCCCCGTATTCCGCCATCGCTCTACAAGTCGTTTTTGGTTATCTAGGCTCTGTGATGACAGTGGTCGGCCTGCCTGCCCCCTTTGCTGGTGCGGTAGCTGCTAGCCCAGAGTCGGTCGACGCCTAACGACCTAGCGGTGAGAGCGTTGAAACCGGGGCGAGATCGACGACACGTCGGCTTCGCCAGACACAAACACGGCCCGAACTATCATGGCTCCCCCGGGGATAATGAAGGAAAAGCACGGCGACGTCGAGGCCCAACGCCCGTCGCATCACCAACACATTGGCTTGTCTCCGACCAGGACGTCGCAGCTCGACTCCGAGTACCGCACTTCTGGCTGGACCAAGTTGTCGTATCTGGCCGTCTACTTCTTGTGCAACATCTCGCTTACCATATACAACAAGAAGATTTTGGGCAAGGTGAGGTTTTTCTCGAGTCCTGAGTCCTTCCTCGCACCACGGTTGCACATGCCTTCGTCGGCCGGGGCACGGCATCCGGGGCCTGGCCGGCTGCGTTATCTGGGCCGGCTGCGTCCTGAAGCCAGCCGCCGCCGCCGAAGTTGAGCAAGTTCCTAACACCTATTGTGCTAGTTTGGATATCCGTGGCTTCTCACAGCCCTACACGCCGGCTCGGCCTCAATCGGATGCTATATCCTGTTACTGAGAGGGCATTTCTCTCTCACGAAACTGTCGTTTCAGCAAAGCACGGTCCTTGCCTTGTTCTCCATTCTGTTCACCGTCAACATCGCCACATCCAACGTGTCTCTGTGAGTAAACATGCGCCGCCTCACTCACCAACCGCCATTTGAGATGACGTGATATCACCATCTGAGTTTCATCAGCTGAGATTCATCTGGGTCAACTAACCGAAGACGCCTTCAGAGCACTGGTTTCCATACCGTTCCACCAGATTATGCGCTCGACCTGTCCCGTCTTCGCCGTCATCGTTTACCGCGTCCGCTATAAGCGCACCTACTCTACCGAGACATACCTGTCTCTTATTCCCGTCGTCCTCGGGGTCGGCCTCGCCACGTATGGCGACTACTACTTTACCACGGCCGGGTTCTTTCTCACGTTCCTTGGCGTTCTTCTTGCAGTGGTCAAGGTGCGTTTCTTTCGCTCCTTCTCTCCCTCTATGCTTCTCTCCGTGCCCTCATTTCCGTAGCCCCTATCTCTGTGCTTCAGACTGACGGGATAACTATGGAGCAGACGGTTGCAACAAACCGTATCATGACCGGGGCGCTCGCGCTGTCCCCACTTGAGACACTCCTACGCATGTCCCCACTGGCCTTCATCCAGGCGGTTATCTGCGCGACCCTGAGCGGCGAGTTCGCCAGGTTCCGTGCTGCGAACCCGGATGGCCCGTCGCGGATGATGATGCTCGCGCTGGCCGGCAACGGACTGCTCGCCTTCCTGCTCAACGTGAGCTCCTTCTCCACCAACAAGGTTGCGGGCGCCCTCACCATGACGGTCTGCGGCAACATTAAGCAGTGCTTGACGGTGGTGCTCGGAATAGCCCTCTTCAACGTCCAAGTCGGCTTCCTTAACGGCCTCGGCATGATGATTGCTCTGTCTGGCGCCGCTTGGTACAGTCTGGTCGAGCTGAGGTCCAAGGGCGCCTCCGCAGCTTCTAGGGCGGCTGCTGCCACTCTTTCGAAGGGCTAGACTCGGTCGAAATGCCGCTTCGAAGTGTTTGTAAATATGTATTTTTACATGCTGTCATATGACCCCAATATTTTGTTTTGTTTTGTTCAATCTCGTTGGATATATATAAAACTTGGGATAAATGGATTTATATACCTGTCTGTCTCTGCGGGGGTTCTGGGCTGGAAGTTCTTGTCCTGCCATTGATCGCCAGGTCGCTGCTGTTCGACAGCTGTGAATAACACTGTGCTGGCATTGCCCGGCTTTAACAGGTTCTCACTCGGATGCTGTGAAACAAGCAAATGCAGAGCGGGCCATTTATCTATCCGAGTCCCAGAAACAAACGGTGTTCTAGACTTCGAGCTGAACTTGTTGACGAAATACTAATACCTCGAATACTTCGTTTATGGGCTTAAGGGGGTCAAACCAGTCTGGGGGGCATTATCTGAATTGTTTACTCATTAAGCCCCTCCAAAACCCACGGTAAACCCTAATAAATTAGAGAAAAGGGGAGAAAGGGGCGTAAGACGGAGAGGTGGTTTGGTGATGGCGTGCACACGACCTCCCGGCTAGTTCCAGGCAGGTTAAGGCGAGCCTATCGGCTAGTCCCGGCGTGCATGCACATCATGGGCCGAAGCCAAGTCTTGCCAAGATTGCAAAGGGGGAAGCTACGGTGAACGGCACATACAGGTAGGGTGGGCAATTAATTAATGAGAAGCGGGTGGCACATGGAAACTTTGACGAGAAGACGGGACCGGGGACGGGAATTTCGTAGGCAATTTACAGGTCTGGTTGGTGCTGAACACAACTCACTGTATTACATAATTACGCACTTTGTGCCTGAGGTTTAAGGTTGACAATCGCCTTCCCCGCCCTCCCCGCCCAACACAGCAGTCAGGGGTCCCGATCCCAGCAAACCTGCGACAGCGCCGGAGCCGCCCAAAAAGGGCACAGCCAGGACAAGGCCAATGGCGAGCGGCCATGGGATCTGTCAATCGACCTGTTGGCGGCGCGCTCAAACACGGCCGATTACCAACGGGAATAGATGCAGCCCGCACAGTTGCGCGCCACAGCGAGCCAGTGCAGATGCAGCCCAGCGCGGAGCAGCACATGCAGCGCCCGCAGCAGCGCCCGCAGCGCCCGCAGCGCCCGCAGCGCAACCAACGCCAGCACCGCAACCAACGCCGGCAACGACATTACCTACAGGGCCCAACCCAGGAATGAAATGCACCTTGATATGTATTGGACAATACGTACGGAACACCTCCCTACAAAACTCCTCGCATACCTACCTCGAGGTATTGTAAACACGACGTGCATCTTCGGCTGGGCAAGACACGAAGCCTGGAGGCAGAAAACATGTTGCTCGTCTGATCGATCCGATGGCGCCCTATGACCTCGGACCGGCGATGGCTGCTGCGGCGAAGCCAAGGCCCCCCCACCCAAAAAGATGTCATATCGTCGACGGTGAGAGAGGCCCAGCAAGGCTTAGCATGAGGCCCAGCAGTGGTCAGCGGCACTTCAACCGCCTTAAGACTGCTGTTAGCCCGCCTCGCACAAGGCCGGGGGGCCAGCCCGGAGAAAGCTGGACTTGGAAGGATAAACCGATCGAGACCGAAAGACAGCACAATGGTGCGGTAGTCGAGCGTGTCTGGACAGAAAACACCGACCGGACAGCGCTGCATCGCCAAACATGTCAGCCGCCGACAAACTGACCACGTCCGAGTGCCTCTCGGCTCCGCACGACAACCTGGTGCACTTCAGCCGCTGCGTCAAGTTCGGCGCACGCCAAAAGTACCTCGAGAACGCCCCCGCCGAGGTTCGCGGCCAGATCGACCATCTGCTCTCCCGTGTCGAAGACGTCCGCTTCCACATCGAGGCCCGTTCCGACGGCGAGTTCTGGACTGGCCGCCTCGCCGACCACCTCTCAGACCTCCGTGCCAAGCCACAGCCGCGCAAACACGACCGATCTCTGGCCGAGGCTACCCTGTCGGTCCTACACCTCGGAAGCCACTCTAGCCACACGGGCCCCGAAGAGACTCGCCCCCCGCTCCCCGGTACCGGTGCCGCCGCTGCCGCCGCTGCCGCAGGCCCCGGCGCCAGCCTCGACGGAGCTCTCTCCGTCCCGAACGGCCAGCCCAACGGCAGCCCCCAGAACGGCCATGTCCATGGCAACAACGCCCAAAACCACGCACACAGCCACCTTCACATACACGGCGCTCACACCCACGGTGCCAACGGGCACGCCAACGGGCACGCCAACGGTAAGTCGAAGAACTCGGCCAAGGACTCGGACAGCCACTACAAGGGGCTGCATGCGGGAGCCGTCTTCTTCAAGGATGGCTTCCCGCATTCACACTCCAAGCTCGAGGGCACCTTCCCCCACCAGAACATGCCCCTGGTTGATCTGCTCTCCAAGGATAAGGATAGGAACGTGCTCATGGAGGAGTGCGACGAGGGCATCATTCGTTGGTTCCACATCCCCGCCAACAACATGGCCTGGGTCGAGGAAGTGATTGCTCGCCACTACAACGAAGACCGCCCGCCCAGGAACGAGCTCTTCGAGAGGGCCAAGGGGGGGTCCAAAACCCAGGAGATCCTGCGCCGCGTCAACTGGCGCGGCCACAGTCGCGAAGCCATCAATCCGCACATCGCGCCCCACAACCGCCAGCTTGAGCCCTCTTGTGAAATCGTCAAGACGGGCACTACCACGGCCATGGCTCTCTTCGCCCCCTTTCTCCACTGGGACACGGAGCAGGGATGGCAGAGACAGCAGAAGGCGATACTCGACGCCACCCGCGTCGCCAACATGCAGACGGCCGCCTCTGCCCCCAAGGACCGCGTCCAGGACAATTTTAACAGTGAGCTGCGCGGCCACCACGTGCAGAGCACGACGCTGTCGTCGCTCGCCCACGAGGCAATCTCCAGCTCGTCGAGCCACCTCAGATCCATGACGACACGCGCCGTCAGCCGCCGCGGCGTCGTCGGGAGGGTCCTGTTCTGCGCCGCGCGCATCTTTAAGCTGATGGCGTCGTTTGAAGACGACGAGCTCGTCCGCGAATATCTGTTTGCGAACCCGCCCCTGCACCCGAGGCGGAGCCTGCACCAGACCTTCACCAAGTACTCTAGCTTCTTGCTCGAGACGGAGAGCCTCGACCGCGAGCAGATTGTATACAAGGCGACGGCGCCCGTCACGACCCCCGCGTCGCGCCCCAACTGCAACAAGTGGTGCCAGTGTTCCGACTGCAAGAAGGAGAGGGCTGCCGTCCCGAGGCTGCTGATGGTCGACCAGCTATGGCTGTTTGTGCTGGACGAGAACACCATAATCACCAGCTTCCCGCAGCGGTGGGGGTCGTGGTTCTCCGACGACCCGTCGGGCGTGCACAAGCGCGTCTGCGAGCGGCTGCAGTGCAACGGGAACCAGGACGTCTCGACGCCGTACGAGCTGGCCCTGACCATCTACGACGTGTGCTGCCGCGTGTTTTACGAGAGCACCACCTATCTTGACCGGCAGCCGCAGATGAACTTCATCTTTGCCGATTCGCTCAACTTTGTGGTAAGTTCTGACTTGACAGCGAGCGGCGTGACGGGCAGCATGATGCTAACTAACCGCGTGGGCAGACAACGAGAGAGCTGGCCGCACGCCAGCAGCTGTCCAACCTGGCCCAGGACATCTGGACCGCCTACGGATCGCCCGACAAGGCGGGCATTGCCGAGGCACACCGGGAGATGCTCAACATCAACCCCGAAGCCGGCCTAATGCGCCAGGTCGACAACATCCTCAGCGACCTCAAGGTCATCCGCCAGATCAAGGTGGTGCAGCAGGAGGTGCTCGAGCAGTACCACGTGAACGTTGCCCGGCAGCTGCTGCCGCAGTTCTCCCACGCCGGCCACGAGCTGCACACGCCGCGTCTGCGCGACGTGCGAAGGATGCGCGACGCCCTCGTCGACGACGAGACAATCCCCGTGCTGAAGAGATCGGCGGCGACGTGGACGCTGGCGCAGGCCGACGACTTTGAGGATCTGTTTGCCGACCAGTTCCGCCAGATCGACAAGCTCTACGGCGCCGCCGAGTACTGCGCCAAAAGGGTACGCAACTTGTCTTTCTAGACTTGTGCTCGTGTTTTTTTTTGCCCCTCCGTTGAGCTTGGTTGCTAACCCTTGTCGTGCCTGCAGCTAGAGGAGCTGCTCGAGACTAAGAGCCGCTATGCCGGCATCATTTCGGCGTGGGAGGCGGTGGCCAGCAATGTCGAAATCACCAACCAGGGAAGATCCATCATGCTGTTCTCGGTCCTATCTATTATCTTTGTGAGTAAATTCCGTCTCTGACGACTTGTTTGCGGTGCTAATTCCACGCCACAGCTCCCTCTCTCGTTTATTGCCAGCCTCTTTGGAATGAACAGCATGGACTATGAGAATGGTCTGGCCTCGTTCGCGTCGGAGCTGGGCTACATCTGTAAGCTGATTTCGCTTTGCCGTGCATGAGAGACATGAACTAACGCAGCATTTACTCCAGTCGGCATTTCCATCCTGGTAATCTTCCTCGCGCTGCTGCTCGCTTTCGACAAGTTCTCGCTGGCGCTGCTGCTGTACGGCCTCAAGGTGCCGAGCAAGTGGCTCAGCACGCGCGTGGCCATCTACGAGCCGCCCGTGCTGCAGCGCTCGCGCAACTACCGCAAGCTCAACGAGAAGCGCGTCCGCAAGATCCGCGCCATGGAGGAGGAGATTGAGCGCGCCCGCGCCGTCCGCGACACCAAGCTGTTCTGGAAGTCGGTCGAGGACGAGCAGGCCCGCCGCCGCGAGACCATGCGCAACAAGAACAACGGGCGGCAGCACCGCGTGCCGAGCGGCAACTTTGACAGTTTTGCCGCTGTGTAACATTTTGTAGTGTGAGTAACATTTTGTAGTGTGATGTATAGTAATTGGCTTTCTTTTCGCAATTTTTTGGTGTGTGTGTGTGTGATGCACCGCGTCGCATCGCACTTGTATCTGTATCACGGTGTTGGAACATCCGGACTGGGCGTATTCATAACATGACAGGGTCTGGCCCGTGGAAAAAAGAGCGGCAAAAAATGCGTGAGCGGGCAGGGAAAAGTGTATCTTTATTTGGCTTGTCAACAACAACACGCCCTGCATCTAGCTTCAAGGGCCAACTAAAAATTAAAAATTAAAAAGTAATTACTTCCTTGTGCCATGCGCAGTGGCATGCTCCAGTAGTGCCGCACCGAGTAGATAGACCTACCTGCACCATCAACACGCGCTTGCAGGGCGCGCAAGCACCCGGCCCGTCATGCACACCACCCCGTCCCTCTCAACTCGCAGCTCGTACGCCCGCTGCTGCACCCGCTCCCCCGTGCCGTCGGCTACGTCCTGCACGGACGCAGTAACGATCCGGTACGCCTCGCCCGCGTACAGCGGCGCCACCGCCCGGTAGCTGACCTCGCTCGCACACATCATCCCGTCGTTCCCGTGGCTGTGGATGTCCCTCCAGTAGTCCATCATGCACACTAGGTTCAGCGGCCCGTGCACTACGACGCCCTTTCCCGCGTGTCCCTCGACGTCGCGCGCCCACGAGCCGCTGTGGTGGATCTTGTGCGCGTTGAAAGTTAGTGCTGAGAAGCGGAATAGGCCTGTGTCGGACCAGACTAGGTGCCGGGATGGGAATTTGTTGGCGTTGGTGGTGGCGGTGGTGGTGGTGGTGGTGGTGGTGGTGGTGGTGTTATCAGGGGCAGCGGCTACGTCGTGTGATGAGGATTTGGTGGTTAGGAGTGGTGATATGTGTGTGTGTGAAGGGAGGGGTCTGGGTGGTGGTGGTGGTGGTGGTGAAGATGGAGATGTGGGTTCTGGTGGGATCTCCCTGCGGAATATCCAGGACCTGGGGGCTTGTCAACATCATTTGTGTTGACGTTGGCTTTGGCCAATAAAAGGGGTCAACAAACCTCTGGTCAACCACAGCCAGCCCCCGCTCAGTCCAAAACTCCTTCTCCACGTCGACCAGCACCATGTCGCTGCCGTCGGCGCGGCGGCTCCGCTTGGCCGTCGCGCCCAGCAGCCGTGTGCGCTCCTCGACCAGATCACCCACGCGCAGACGCCCGTCAAGCGACGGCCACCGCATGCGGCCGCCGGCCCACATGCGCCGCGTGAAGGGCGCGGGCGCGTTGAAGGCGCGGTCGGACCCGTCACGGCCCAGCGCGGCCTCGGGCTCCGACGGCGTGAAGTACACGAGGTGGTATCCCGGCGGCAGCTGCGGGTTGAGACCGGGAGGGGGGGGCCGCCCCAGCGTCACGCACAGCTTCTCCAGCTGGTTGCCGTCCAGCACCTGCCGGCGTGTTAGTGTCTTGCCGCCGCCCGAGCTGCGCAGCATCTGCTCGGCTGCCTCGCTGGCGCTGGGACTGGCGCTGGCGCTGGGACTGGCGCTGGCACTGGCGCTGGCGCTGGAATTTATAATTGCGGATGTGCCTAGCCATCGCCGTCGCCGTCGCTGTTGTGTCAGTGCTTGTGCTGCCAGGCTCAGCCGGCAGGCCAGAACCAGAGGCCGTGTTGCCGGCGTCAGGGCCATGTTTGGTGGGAGGTGGTGGAAAAGGCGGTGCAAGCTTATTTGTCTGCATCCGATTTCTTGTAGTCGCTCTCTGTACATGTACATGTGCTCGATCAAAATCGGATGGATATCGACTTCTGTCAGTTGGCCAAAAGTAGTAGTTCGTCTCGTCGTCATTTGGGGACCCGGATGGGTGCAGGCATTGAGGGGGAGCCCGGGTAGTGTACCGAGCGTGACCCCGCACTCAGGCCCTAAAATGCGCTAAACAAGTGGGGGAAGTCCGTTCAAGCTAGTTGGATTTCTGTAACCGCACTAAATTGCCTTCAAACTTTTTTTAAATTTTTTTTTTAGGGCAGACGTGTTTCGCGTTCTAGGCCTTGCACAGCACCAGCCCTCGGTTTGTTTTCGTCACCATGATGCCATTGAAAATGGCCAGACTCGTCCCACGCTCGCTGCTGCCCAACTTGGCAAAAGTGAGACCGGCAGGGCACCGGCTCAGCAGGGCGGCCAACATGAACAAGCACGGCGGCGGCCATGGCTTCGCGTCATCGGCGCCGCGGTGTCTCGTGGCCATGACAGGCTTCAGCGACGAGCAGCTCACTGTGCGCAGGGCCGTGGCCGCCCTGTGCTCCCGCAGCCCCAGCACGTACTGGCAGGAGCGCGGCAAGGCCGTCCACAGCGACCCGCGCAAGTTCCACGCCGCCCTGGCCAAGGATGGATCTAATAGACGGCAACTTAGCTAGTAAACTAACAGGCAAAGGAGCTAGGCTCCCTACTAAATATCTTCGTGCCTACCTTGTATTGGCAAAATCTCCTCGGCGGGGCTGTCTTTGTCGCCTGCGAATACCCTCCTCCCCATCCCTATTTTTGAGGCAGGCTACTTCACGTCTTCCGTGTGCAGGCCCATCAGCTTTGCCAGCGCCTCAGCCATGTCTAGCGCAAAGCCGGCGTCGTTGACGTCCCTTTGGTCCTGCACAACCTCGACGCCGCTGCCCGCGAGCCCCTGCCCGACGGCCTCGAACAGCGCCGCGTCGGCCTCCTTGTCCTCGAACGGGCCGCCCGGGGTCGAGATCATGCTGACGCCGCCCCGCGGGATCCAGACCTGCACCATGCGCGGGTCCCTGGCGCGCCGCAGCTTCTCGCACACCATGTCGCCGACGCGCCTCGCCTCGTCGCGCGACGTGCGCATCAGCGTCACGGCCGCGTTGTGCTCGTGCAGCCGCCGCCCGCCGTACCGCTCGGGCACCGTCGCGCGCGGCCCGAAGTTGGCCATGTCGGTCGCGCCGAGCGACACCAGGCACGGGATCCCCGCCTCAGCCGCTGCCGACAGCCGGTCCGGCCCCGCGCTCATCACTCCGCCCGCCACGTGGTCACACAGCTCCGTCGTCGTCAGGTCCGCCACCGCGTCCAGCGCCCCCTCCCGCACCAGCCGCTCCATCGCCCGCCCCCCTGCCCCCGTCGCGTGGAACACTAGCGTCTCGACCCCGTAGCGCGCCGTCAAATGCCGCCGGATCGCGTCGGCGCCCGGCGTCGTCACGCCGAACATGGTGATGCCCACCCGCTGCTGCTTTCTTTTCTGCCCCGTCGCCGCCGCCGCCGCCGCCGCAGCAGCAGCAGCAGCCGCTTGGGCTTTCTGCCGGCAACGCGCAGCGTATCCCAGCGCAGTAGCAGCAATAGCAGCAGCGGCGTTGCTGAGGATGTCGCGCAGCACGCCGTTGAGCCCGGCGACGTCGACGACCGAGTACATCATGGTCAGGTCCGTCTCGCCGACGTAGGGCGCCGTGTCGCCGCTCGCGACCGTCGACACCATCAGCTTGGGGCAGCCGATGGGCAGCGCGGCGCGCATCGCGGGCGTCGCCAGCGCCGTCGCCCCCGACCCGCCCGCCGACACCATGCCGTGCACCGCCCCGGCGCCGTGCAGCGCTGCGACGGCCCGCGTCGCGCACCCCGCCATGAACGCGATCAGTTGCCCGCGCGCAAGGTCTGTTGGTTGCGTGTGCCCGCCGTCCCCGTGCTGTGCTACGAGGTCGGCTTGGCTGATCGTGATGGCGTCGTGCTGAACATTGTGTCGGCCGGCGTCGATCACGGTGACTGAGACGCCAGGCGTCGCGAGGATCTGCTCGCGCAGGAACAGCAGCTCATCGAGTTTGGTGTCGAACGTGCCGAGCAAGACCACGGTGGCCATGGCCATGTTTGCGTTGTGGTGTTAGTGCTGAATGCCTAGTAGTCTGGTCCGATATGGTTTGGGTGGTCCGAGACGCTCCATACCGCCCCTGGGGCATCGGCCCATCGGCCTACCCCTTGCAGCATCTCCGCTCGCCGTAATGACGGAATAGCAGTACTAACAGCGGACCTACCCCTATAAGACACACGTGACGTAACTTTGCATGCATGAGGCAAGCAGCTAACTCCCCATCCTCTCCTGCAAACCGCAACCGCCACAGCACACTTCCCACCTGGAACCGCACGCTAGCTGCCCCGAGATTCGTTTGAACCCAGGGCCACCACAGACGAGCAGATGACACCCCCCAAGAGCCGGAGCGAGATCCTCCAGGACCTCCGGCGCCAGATCGCCAACGCAGTCCCCATCGTCGGCGCTGGCGCCGGCATCGGCCTGTCGGCCAAATCCGTCGAGGCCGGCGGCGGCGACCTGATCATCATCTACAACAGCGGCCGCTTCCGCATGGCCGGCCGCGGCTCGCTGGCCGGGCTCATGCCGTACGGGAACGCCAACGACGTCGTCTTGGACATGGTACCCTCCCCCTAGTCCTACATCTAACCCGCCCCGGAAACCTAACCCCGCCGCAGGCCAAAGAAGTGCTGCCCGTGGTCCAGCACACGCCGGTGCTCGCCGGCGTGTGCGCGACGGACCCGTTCCGCGACATGGGCCAGTTCCTGCAGCAGCTGCAGGCGCTGGGCTTCGCGGGCGTGCAGAACTTCCCAACCGTCGGGCTCATCGACGGCCAGTTCCGCGCCCACCTCGAGGAGACGGGCATGTCGTACGACGCCGAGGTGGCCATGGTGCGCGCCGCGCACGGCCTGGGTCTGCTGACGACGCCGTACGTCTTCAGCGCGGCTGACGCCGCCAAGATGGTTGCTGCCGGTGCCGACGTTGTGGTTGCGCATATGGGTCTGACTACGAGCGGCTCCATCGGCGCGGCGTCGGGAAAGACGCTCGACGAGTGTGTTGATCTTGTGCAGATGATCGCTCATGCGGCTGCGGCTGTGCGCGATGATATCATCGTGCTGTGCCACGGCGGGCCCATCGCCACCCCGGACGACGCTAGATATGTGCTGGCCAACACGCGCGGCGTGCACGGCTTCTACGGCGCCAGCTCCATGGAGCGCTTGCCTGTCGAGCAGGCCATTGCCGACACTACCAAGAGCTTCAAGGCGATTCCTATGGGGAAGTGATCCAGGGGAGAGGAAGGCAGAATTTGTTTTCGTTTATCTTCTCTTTTTATCTACAGTCTAGTTTACCTAGGGATATGTTTCACGAAACAGACATGTGTAGGTAAATTATCAGAAGAGAGAAAGAGAAAGCCAATGCACCCAGACCCTGTCATGATGGTGAAAATCTCCTCGAGCGACTTGTGCCTGGAGGCAGAAAAGGAAACGAGAATAGAGAGAAGATGAAAATGGAAATGCAAATGGAAATGAAAATGAAAATGAAAATGAAAAAAAAAATTTGAAACTCCCCCCCCGGAAAAAAAGGAGATGGAATAAAATCGTAAACGCCACCCGCGCTCGCCATCTTTTCTCTCTCATACGCACACATACCGTGCTACCGACAGCGGCTGCTCCGCGGCAGCCGCCTATCGCAGCCGGGGGACCCACCCTCATGACTGCCGAGACCGAGACCGAGACCAATGCCTTCGCTTGCGGTGGCTTGCTCCCGCCTCCGCCGTCGCCGTTTCTGCTCTTCAGCCAAGGGTTGGTGTTCTTGTTTCTGGCCCCATTCCTGGTTCTGCTCCTGTCCCTGTTTCTGTCCCTGTTTCTGTCCTTGTCCTTGTCCTTGTCCCTGTTCTTGTCCCTGATCTTGTCCTTGTCCTTGTCCTTGTTCTTGTCCCACATGCCGAGGCTGATCGCCCACGGGTTGCCGTGCCGGGAGTGGCGAGCCGGGGAGAGACGCAGACCTGGACGGAGATAGAGTCGGAGTCGGAGACGGAGACGGCGGCAGCGGTGGCAGCGCTTCGTGCCAGTACAGCCAGCACGCGCGGGTTGAACGGGAACGGTTTTTTCTTGGGGCTGTTCGGCTTACTGCTGCCTTTCGCAGCGGGGGCGGCTGCTGCTTGATGGTGCATGGGAGGCTCCTGCACCGCCGGTGGAGGTGGAGCTGCTGCCGCGGAGGAGACGAACACGTCGAAATCCGGAACCCCGTCCAGCGTGGCCGCGAGATGGTACGGCGACGGCGGCGACGGCGTGCGGCTGCTGCTGGTGTGCCGGTACGGCGGCGGCTGGTACGGGTAGTAGCCGGCGTTGTTGCTGCGTCCGCCGCTGCCGCTGCTTCTCGGGGGCGTGAGTGCCGTTGCTGCTGCTGCCGCCGCTGGCGGTGGCGTCCCTGGTGGTCTTTCGTATGAGTGCAAGGGAAGCAGAGGGCTCGAGGCCGAGCCGTGGCTGCCGCCAAAGGTGGACACGCTGCTGAGGTACGGGGACTCTGTTGTGTCTTGTTTGTCAGCGAGCGGGATGCTTTGAAAGTTGATAGGGGCAGGGCAGTGGCTGACCCGGATACGTGCTGAACCTGGCGCTGCCCTCTTCCATGCTCGGCAGCACGGGGTCCTTGCCAAAGACTAGCAGCGGGTTCACCGCCGTGCCCTGCTCTCGGTACTGCTGTCTCCTGCGCGCCCGCCACCCGCACCGGAACATGACGGCAGCAATAAACACAACCAGCAGCGCGGCCGCCCCGCCAACGACACCCGCCGCGGCGGAGCGAGAGAGCCCGATTATGTTGTTGCCGCCGTCGCTGCTGTTGCCATTGCTGTTGCTGTCGGTGGTGCTACTTAGTGTTGTTGTCGTCGAGCCAGCGGCCCCAGCGGCTGCCGCGGGTGCTATCGTTGCCGTGATGGTGACGGCTCTGGGGGAAAGAGAAGAATCCCGAAGCGCCCGGTCAATGCTCGGCTTGGCCGGACGGAGGTTGCTCTGAGTCTGCAGGCACTTGCCGCCGCTGGCCGCCACACACGGGTCCGTGGTGCAGCAGCCAACGAACCCGGTGGCGGCTCCCCCGCAGACGTAGAAGCTGCCGCCCCCGGGACAGGAGTGCCAGGAGTTCTTGTCGTCCGGGTCGGACATGGTTTCGCTGGCTGCAGCTCCGATGCAATTTCAGCACGAATAATTAATTCGCGACGCCCTCTGCTGTCGGTTTCAATGCCCAAGCTGGAGCTTCCTAGCTAAAGTTGCAGTCAAGGTCGGGCCGCCGTGGCCCATTAATGCCCATGACGGATATCGCATTCTGACCTTGTCACTTTCCAGGCTTCTAATATTATCCAGCATCATGTCGACGCAGCAGACGGAAGCATAGCCACTGCTTGGATTCCGCGGATCCTCGTCTCTCTGGTTACCGCTGCGCCGGCGAACAGGATAGGTTGGACACGTTATAGCCATGCAGCGGATGTCGCTGACAAGCTCCAACGAGATGGCTGTGGGCTGGCCGCGGCCATGGCCGTCACCGCGGCGGCCACACGGTCGTCGGCTTGGTCTCCGCGTACCGGCCGTGCGTGGATGTGCAATGCAATCCTGGAACGAATGATCAGGTGACCAAGCCCGAGGGGCCGAGTCTAGAATTCCGCGATCCGGGTACTCCATGTTGGAATTACCTAGCGCAGGAATGAAGATATAACAATTAATTGCACAAAGCTTCGTCGTTGTCTTACGTGGCCAATTATTACCTAGCCAAACACTGCAATTAGAGTTTACGAGATAGGCGGACTAGATCTGCAGAGTCCTAGGCAGCAGCTTTGGACACTTGAAGATCTCTCTCAGCTGCGTCAAATTCTTTAAGAGTCCAAGCTCCGTCAGGTTTTAGCTTCCTAGTCATCATGATGTTTCATTTTTCATTTTTCGTGCGGCATATTTCCGCCCACTGGAATCGACTCAACTCGACTCGACTCGATTCGGTTCGGGCTGTCCCGGGCCCCGAAATAGCTCACCTACAGCCCGGCCGTCGTAGGTGGTCCTCGTATCCTGGGCTGGAGGTGGCTGCTGAGTGAGCGACTCAGGGACTCAGGGACTCAGGGGGCGGCTCGTCCACACCGCCAAGCCCGCCCGCTCTGCCCGTATTACCTACATGCACAGCGGCTTGACGGCAGCGAATCGTTGGTGGCAGATGGCCTGCTGCCGAAACTTGAAACAAACCCGCCCACGCCCAATCTGCAGCCCAGCGAAGGCAGCTTCGGCTGGCCTCAGCCGCCTTTCCAGTGCAGCAAAACCACCAGCAGCCCCCCAGCTCTCGCCTCGCGTTACACACGCACCCCTTCCTCGGGACATTTTGTCCACAGCCCCCCCCCCCCCCCCGGCGCAGCTGCATTGGCACATTTATGCTTTTTTTTTCTTTTCTAGACCGCATTATGCAAGGCTCAGGCATCAAGCTATTCGGATCGCTGCTGCCGAGGCTGTGAGCTTTCGAGAAGACTGTGTGTAAGCAGCGAGGCAATTAACTGCCTCCCAATTTCTCTCTCTCTCAACTGCACTGCACCGCACCGCACCGCACCTGAGCCAGTTCGTTCACCCATCCAGTCAAAAGTTAAACTCTTAGCGCCGGCGCCGGCGGGTTTGGTCTTGGTCTATATTTTTTCTTCTCTTCCCCATTTCCGCCTAGCCGTATGTTCCTGACCGCGTGTTTGGTGCCATATAATTAGCTAGATGAGCCGTGACATCTGGTTCACATGCCAGCCCCTGAATGCGTCGGCTTCAGGGGCTTGCCACCTGAAATTTCGCAATAGAGTCGAATTCCACCTGTCGTAGCCAGGTCATCATGTTTTTTTGCGCGTTAACATGGAGTAAGCCTCACTCATCATGCATGCAAGCTCCGCATCATATTCTTTGAGCGAGAGCTCATGCATATGAGCTTTAGTGCGGGTATGACTAAGGGTGTGAGTGTGAGTGCGGGCGTGAGTGAGTGTAAGTGGCAACGTGAGTATGAGCATGGGTGTGAGTCTGAGTGCAAGGTGTGGGCATGGTTGAAGAAGCCCCATCAGGAATCCAACCCAATGTTAATATCCACAGCGAAGAGACACACAGCGGCAAGCCCGTACTCCGTAACCGGACACCAGTAAACGGCGGAGACATCAGCTTAATTCGTTCTATTTTATGATATTGGGGATTGGGGGATTTGCTTAGGTTGTGTTTGCTCGTCTTAAACTACAGACAATCAATTCCCCGTAAATGCCTGTAAATAACAAAGAAATCAACGCAGTTAGCTTTGAAATGGCCCCGAGTTAGTAGGTCCACATCTAGGATGAGCCTATTGCGGGAGTCAATACTCAGCTAGGTCTTCTGCTTCATTAGTGCATTACCTTTAAGGTGTGTTTACTGCCTAATTCCTCAATTATTGTTTGACTGATGCTCGATATGGCTAGTAATCACCCGCGGGAGGAATCTGGTAAATGGAATTGGTTCAGAACAGCGATACTGGGCCATTCGCAGATGGAGATGGTCTCTGATATTCTCTGCCGGAGACTGATTCAGCTGATACCTCTCTCGGAGCAAACCTTTAAAGCGAGCCGCGAGGCAGTCAGGCTGTTCGCATCTCAGAAATTTCTGCTAACACGCATTCAAGGATTGAACTGTAGAGGCAGCATATTTGACAAACACATTCTGTAACCGGCAATGTACACACAAGAAGAGCTGTGAGGGTAGTGGTGCATAGACTCGGGAAATTTCATTGGAGTTCATTGCCAGTTGGCAGTCACGGGTGTGAGACGAATGGAGCGTATATATTTGGAAACGCGCTTCGCTTTAAGCGAAGCAGATGTAAGGAATGTTGAAAGGATATTTGAACGGATTCACGGCATGTGCTGCTTTGGGAATGGGGATGCGGGGGTGGAATTTGGCCAGCTACGAGATGGAGTGAGAGAGCAACCTTAGATAGCCTGTCGAACGTGTGAAATTGTAATTATCCCGCTCCCTACTGCGTCGTTCCAAATAGTCCTTGACCCAGAGGTGCCTCTATTAGTACTTGTGATGCGTGACCCCGCATAATTATGCGCAAACTGCGTATTGCAGACAAATAGTAAGATCCCGGAGAGGTCTGTGTGATCCGCCGTGTTTAGATAGATGAACCAGGCACAATCACACACACGCACACGCTGCAGCTTAATTAAGCGATTGGCGTCCAAGTGGTGTGCAGACGAGGAGGGGCACATCATGGCGCCACAACCACCACTCGTCCCTACCTATGACGACGCGCAAAGGGGGGACGGCGGACTGCCGGGACGGGTATACCCGCGCGTCAGTGCTGGGGAGCAGAATTGAGTATCTCCTTGGCAGCCGAATCAATGAAAGCATGCTCAATCATGCCGTCGACGAGCTGGTGGAGCCATGTCTGGCAGTTTCGTATGGCAACCCGAGCTCGCCTCTTGCACACGCACACACACGCCAGCAATCCGTCAGCTGCAGTTAATCATTCGATATGCATACCACGGCTGATACTGCTGGATGATTCCACGGGGAGCCCCTACCGGGTTTGATCCGGCCGGCGTCAAGCTTGGGGACGGGGGAGGAATGGAGAGGGCCAGATGCTCCACGTCATTTGACGCGGCGATATCGATGCTGGGGACTGTTGGCCCGTCGGGGACTACGGCGCCATGGTCGGTGATGGTGCCTAGCTCCAGCAGCAGAGGCCGGCTTTCGCAACTCCGGGGACGAAAGCCCCTCTCGAATTCGTGCGCAAAGCCGTTCCGAGGATCCCCACGGACGTTGATAAGGGTGCCAGCTTGCTGGTCTGTGGCGCTGGGGATCCATAGTGCCCAGTGCGCAGGGAACATGGGGGACGGGAGAAATGCGACCAGATACGCCTTACGATCCAGGCGGGTTGTGTCGGGGTCGAGGTCGGGAGGGGAAGCCATGGGCACGCACGAGCTGCGGGTCGGTTTGGCCACTTGGAGTGGGATGGGGAATGGGGGGATGGTGATACGGTACGGACGGAAAAAAAGGCAAGGTACGGAGTAGGGCGCCTTACCTCATGTTTTGGTGTGGAGTGGAGTGGGGTGCGGTTTCGCCTTCCTATCTTGGTTGCGGGCACAGGCGGCAAAGGCGCTTGGGGGTAGCGACGCTGCGAGCCTGCGACGGAATGGCAACGCGACTGCGTGGTGGTGATAGGCTGCGAGGGCCGAGGCAAGGGCTTATGGGGTATCCCACCCCAATCCATAATCCATTTGCCCCTCACTCGCTGAACGCGCGATAAGATGTCGCGCGAGGGGGAGGCGCGAAGCTTTCTCTGTCCAAGGTTTGGTCGATGGTTTCTGCGGCACGGTTATGGCGAAATTGCAAGCAACGACACCAGCGAGATAAGAGCTGCCTCTCTCTCTCGGCCGACGGCATCTGGTTCCGGGCGGCGAGAACTTGCTGGAAACGACGTTGATATGTGATTGTGCGTGCATTGATGCACTGCGTAGCGTCACGTCGCCCAGTGCCAATTCTGGTAATTGCCTCCCAGTCGCATACAGTAGCGGTCGCGGTGCAGTCGCAGTCGCAGTCGCACTGGCAGTCGCGGTCGCGGTTGCAGTCGCAGTAGGAGTCCCAGCCCCAACTCTTGTTCCCGCATAATTAGTGCAGAGTGGGAAATGGAAGAACGGACGGAGAGAGCCAACCTGCAGACGGGAGCGTGGAAAGCGCACGGATGGTGCTCCATAAGTGCCGACCGGATTGATGGACTCGTTCGGCCGACAATCGTTGCCCGTTCCTTGTCCTAAACCTTGTGGTGCCAAGCCCGATCCCGTCAGGTCCCGTAGGGCCCGTGAAGACGAGCGCGCACATGATTGGACCATTTGCCCACCGTGGACCATTCGCAACGGCCAACCTGCATCGAGAGACTTGGACCCATGGGGCCGAAGTGCGACGTTGTGACGCACCCTCGTGTTGGTTGGTGGCGTTTTATGCTCGGCCATCAAATATCAACTTAAGGTACGGACTTATCCCGGGACGTTGGTTCCAACTTGAGGGTTTTGAAAGTTGATTATTACCCAGGATTACCTACGGAGTAGATTAAGGCGGATTAACTTGGAAGGTATGAATGAACCATCGATTAAGGGATGATTAAGCACTTGCCAAGCATACCAGGCTGCACTTCATTTTCTACTCCGACTTTGCCAATTGAATGCTTGCCCGCCGTCCTTTGGCCATCTGGCTAAAGGTGGGCTACAAGTCCTGATCTGGGGTCCGAAACACCAGGATTCAAGTTCCCCGTCCCGACGTTATTCAGCACCTCGATGTCCACGGTGTGCTCGGGAAAGTCACGGCGCACGCTGGTCACGGATGTGATGATAAGAATTATTATTAGATACTCCGTAAGGCGCGGAAACCAGAGCAGCCGATCCCGCCTCTACATGCCATGCCCCGGGGACCTAGGAACAGAATCCTGCAGAAGGAAAACCGCAGCCGTCGTCTTTCCCCGATCCCTCTTGGTTCGATGCGGGGAAGGTGAGTTGGGGCATATCAGTTCTGACATCTTGCCTCGAGCGCGAGTCGAGCCGCAATGTATGTGATAGCCTGGGGTCACCGCGCATGTGCCTGGGGCTTGGGAGGGTGGGGAGCATTGAACGGAACCAGGAAAGGCAAAGTTCCAGGTGAGAACACCAAAGAGCAGTCAGTAATTGATTAACCCGGGTCAAGTATGGCTAGCGCATAATTGCGGAATTCTTGCCATATTTGTCCGAATGCTTCGAAGACAGAGTCAGGAAAGGTTATGTTGGCGAATGTTGGATCAAAAGCTGTCGTGATTAGGTGAGAGGGCAAGTGGAAGAAGTCATGGAGAGCGGTCGAGCGGATGCGTCACCTTGTCTCACGTCATACACCTCGTGATAAATAATAATCCGCACCCGAAGCGTATCATATCAGCGTGAGCGCCGAGGCCCCCGGGCGGGCGAAACCGAGCGACAGCGAGGAATCCGTACCCTTGGTCTGACTCCATCCAATCTGATACCCTAGCGACCCGGCAGGGCCCCTTGTTGCAGTGATTGCCGTCAGGAACGACAAATCGATGCAGAGAACTTATGAAATCAAGCCTCAACCCCACAAACCACCCGTGACGGGTCGGGCGGCCTGAAAACGAAAGCTAGTAACAAGTAGCTTAGTTTTATCATCTTCGTCGACACATACCAAATTTCGGCATGCGCCGGAGCGGTGCGAAAGCCCATGGCGCAAGCTGGAGATCCTGCTTTCTTCTACCCCTTTTTTGTCGCTTAAAAAAAGAGAGAGAAACCAAGCTAATTGGTGAGATCGGCGAAAGGGGAGAGACGAATCCGGATCACGGAAGAAAATGACGGAGAACGTGGGAGCCGGATCGGAGAAGGAGGAACTTGCCGACGCTAACCCAAGCCACAGATCCGCCCATGCACCTCGAACTTTGAGCACAGATCCTCTTTACGAGCGAGCACGAAGGCTGGTCTCACCCTGAGAGACATTGGATGACGTTGGACTGGTTCTGCCCCGCAGCCCCAGGCAATCTGGAAACGCCCAGAATAAGGGATGGCTTTCTCTCCACGGGCGGCCAGCAAATGCCTTGCGTTTCCCGACCTTCCTTACGGCATGAGTGATATTGTTGCCACGTGCTGCGGCAAGCCGAAGGCGTTTTGGGCTATGAGTGAGCTCAACTTAGGCTCCCGATTTCGCTTTTTTCTGCGGCCTTGTTTACTGCATGCAGCTTGGCAGCCACAAGCTGGCTTCCCTTTCGTCTTCTCGAACGGCCTCGGCCGAACGGAAGGCACACCCCTTCCAAATGCCTGAGCAAGAAGGTGGGCAGCCTAGAATTCCTTGGAACTAAGGCAAGTACGGAGCATGCACCTGAGCTAGCGAAAGGAAGAGGCGACAGAAGGAACCTAGAAGGGCTTGCGCTGTGCTGCAGGTAGCCGTGAGGAGCCTTGAGTCCGAGGAGCGAGCTCTGGAATGTACGTAGCGCAGGTCGGCCAAAGCCTGAAAGGTAGTGGGTGGGTGCCTACAGGTCTGCAAAGACGAGCAAACAACAGAATATAGGGACGCAGTGCGACCATCCCAAAAGTGACAAATATCGCTGCAACCTATCACATTGCATACCCTGGCTATGGAAAGAAGCGGGCGTCGCCTGCACGGGAGGTGGGCTCGATCCTTGCGCTCCTCACCCGTCCCGCTGTGAGGTGGTTCCATTGTGTTGCGCGTGGTTCTGCGTGGTGCTTCGTGCGCTTGTGTGCGCGCAAGCCGTCAACAGCAAGATGGACGGAAGCACATGAGGGCTAATTAGCCAAACACGTGGTGAGCCACAGCTCCCAAGAGTCCAAGAGTCCAAATTTAGACGCCCGCAACCGGCAAGTGTTACGCTAGTATGATGGATCCTGTCTGTCTTCGCCCGCGCGCAACCTCGCCTGTCGCCTTATCTTGGGGGTAGCGTAGGCTACCCCACCTGCCGTGATGGGAATCGCGCAAGTTTCCCTTTCCCAACAGGGAAGTAATAAGAGGGGAAACAACCTGGAAACGCAGGCGCAGGGCAACCTGCCTGCCTTAGCAGCAAGCTAGCGAGCAAACGCAAAAGCCCGCCGGGAAGTCACCGTCTGCGCTTCCACCACGTTAGCACGACGAGAGCCAAGAGACGCTACAACACTCCATGTCCGTGGAATCACCGCAACGCAACGCAACTACCATCGCCCGTTCGGTTGTTGCCTATCCCCGCGCTTTCTCCTCTGAGCGGACGGCTGCGACGCTGCTCTTCCGCGCAGCTCGGGCGTGTTTTCATGTAGGTTGCCGCCCATCCATTCCCATGAGGTGAGGTGGGCGGCGGCCGTCATGGGCCATGCCATGCGCTGCGCTGTGTCGTGGCCCCACAGAACCAGATCGTTTCCATCTCAGGCACTTCCACCTGGGTGCGCCTCGAGCGCCACTGCTTCCCTCCCAAGCAAGCCCCAAGCCGTCCTTTCTTGCGCGAGCGTCCCTCACGAGCGGGCTGACCAGGCACCGGTTTAACGTGAGCGCCTCTCTGCGACTCTGACCACACCACCCTCACTCGCGCGTCATTCCAGTCCCAGGCGGCATTTCTGATTGGGCTCTAATCGCAATGGCAATGACGAACTCGCTCGGAACCTTACTCAGCTTTTCGCACGCCATTGTCGGCCCCCAATGGCCCCCGAGCAAGCCAAAATGGTACCTCACCTCACGCACTTCTGCACCCGAGCAACAAGCGACGAACCCACCCAGGCAAGGCAGGGCACTTCGTTAGTGAGGTGAGGCCGAGAGCCGCCATAGGTCAGCTACCTACCGCAGGACCAGGTACCGTACATGGCGTGGGTCCTTGGCCAGGTGCGCTCGCTCGCTCGCTGCAAGACACCGGGATATCCTGCCTGACTGCGCGCCTATCGCTGCTCTTCCCTGTGCTGTGTCGTGCCTTGCCTTGCCCGCTAGGTCCAACTCCAAGGTCGCAAGTGCCGCCCCTCCCCCCCGCCCCCAAAGGCCCCCCAGGGCAAGTCCCGCATCTCCCGAGCACAGTCCCGACTCGCCCGGAGCTCCAAATCCTGGCCAAAATCCTAAATCCTCCCTCGGAATCTGGGACCTCTCGACTGCTGCCTCTTCCATTCTCCGGCCGAGAGTCCAGGCCGGATCTACAACGGGGGGCGCGGGACGCGGGAGGCGTAGACCAGGAACCGGTCAAGGCCTCAAGAGTTGCAATCAGGGGGAGGAGCAGTTAGCGGGGAGGGCAATTGCACCCTTCGATTGGCCAGTTCGCCACGTTTGCGAGGGAGCGCAATGTTTCCAAGACCGGGCTGCGTCCAACACACAGGGTACGGTACGGTACAAAGACCTGACAAAGAGCGTGGCCTTCTGCAACTCCCCACCCCAAGGTAACTCGACTTTTTCTGCAGCATCGCACTGCGGGACGGACAGACAGACAGCCCAGCCCAGCCCAGAGTTGTAAGGGGGTTCTGACGGTGGAGAAGATGTTGTGCACGAGAAGGTTAGCGTACATGCACCGCGGGGGCGCGCTATGATTACTGACTTTTACCTTGTGCGTACTCGGGTGGGCGTCTCACGCACCGCACAGTGGAATCTTGGACCCGGCCAAGCCCAGACAGGCCGACAGAGCACCTAACGACATGGACGACATGGATGTGGATGCCACACTCCTCACCTGCTTCTCGATTGAGACCAACGCCACCATGGTGCAGGCTGGCAGCCGGGTTCCTTGTTTCACTGCAGGCCAAGGATTCTCAGCTAAGACCATCGCATCTTCCTACTCCCTAAAAGGGCCTCGACTAGCTCTGAGCTTTTGCGAGGGGTCCTCACAGACGTTTTGTTGCTCTCTGTCTGCTCCGCTCCCCTGACTCCTGAGCTGGGACCACACTACATAACTGGAGCTTCGGAACACGGCTGCTGCCCCTTCACAGATCTCGATTCCCGGGATCCAAGCACAGACGACCCAAGGGAGGTCGGCCCTAATACAAAACACCTCCCCGATAAGTATCACGCCCGGCCCAGCACAACACAACACAGCACAGCACAGCACATAGACACACACACACACCACACTCACACAACATAGCGCACACAACGGCCCGCCATGTCTGTTGCAGCACCTCCGCCGCGGATCCGGTCCATCGCACCGCTCGCACCCCAAATGCCTCGAAGGCAGTCATGTGACCGTTGCCACGAGCAAAAGGTTCGATGCTTCACCGACCCCAACGACAGTATGTTCGGCCCTAGGGGCTCTGTCGACAGCGATGCCGGCTTGGGTGGCCAGCATGCTCCTTCATCTCCCTGTGTGAGGTGCAAGAAGGCCGGTGCCATGTGCATATACAGCCGTACGTGTCTCAGCATTGCACATGACGACGCCACCACTCCTCGCGGGTGGTGGCCGTTATCGGCCGTAATATTAGTCCAGCGAGTTTCATTGACACAGGTGCAGCTCAATTGCGATCGGGTCGCCCCAGACTGCCCCGGGACCCGTCTTCCCTCCCACCACGCAAGCGGGCGCGGAGAACGTCGAGAAGCTCGTGCGGCTCATCCAGGTCACCAACACTTCCGCTCTCCCCGTCGCCGCCCTTGACCGGCGTGCCGTATTCTTCCAACAACAACATAAATATGTGCAAGTTGGAGCAGATCCCACACAGCGGCGAGTATGCCGCACCACAGATGACTCCTCTTCTTTCGCCCGTTGCCATTACGCCGCACGGTGACCACAACAGCCACAACAACACAAACGGGCTTGAGCGACAACATCACCACCCAGTCTCTGAGCAATGGCTGATGTCGTCGTTTGGGGTGGACGGAGCCACCTTCTCGAACAACATGGGCCAGCTGTCGCCGTATTCACAGCCCACATCGACCCCAGCCGTTCCCTTCTTTTCGACACCAACCACTGCTCCCGCAGCAGATAATGTAATGCCGGAGTATTCATGGATGTACTCGGACCCCAGTGACACGTATCCAGAAGAGCTGGCCGAGATAAACCTCCGCATCCATCGCGCTGCGCGCACTCTACCCCCTATGAACAGGTCTCTGCCATCTCTTTCGTCGCCCTCGGTCAATGAGATATTCGATGCCGCCTGCTCCTTGATCAACGTGGTTGGCAGGTACACCACCACGAGGTCCATGTCGCTGCAGAAGCGACCGGAAAACGCCCTCGGCATACACGTACACCCCAACCAAGAGGGTGCTAACTTTGAACAACCCCCGATGGCCATGTCGATTGCAGTCCACAGCGCCATGGACACCTCTGTCTGCCTCGTGGTTCTTGCCTGCTACCAGGGCCTACTAGGCGTGTTTGAGGAGATATGCACCTCGTTCCTCCACTACACCGAGGACTCGCACAACCCCACGTCTCCCAGGACAGCATCGGCTTCGACCTTTGCTTCGTCGTCGACGACCCAGGTCGTCGTCATGGTGAACCTGATCAGCCATCTGCTCAACCAATTGCATCGAGCAGTCGGCTCGCTCGCCGGGAGTCTTGCTCTCCCGACGGCTCGGAGACTGGAACAGGCGGCCATGTCAATGCCGGCGCTGTCGCCAACCTCGTCTTGGTCCGACCATTCGGAAATTGGGGACGACGTGTTGAACCTTCCCGGCGAGTACGAGGCGCCGAGTTTCCACTTCAACGGGCACGATAGGCAGTCCGACAAACGCCAGAAGACGACTGCCATCCTGTTCGACCAAATGGAGCAGAGGCAGCTCACGGTGCGAGCCCAAGTAAAGCTCATCAAGCGGCTCATCAGACAGTCGAATGTATTATGATGTCTTGTACTATTTTTCTTTATTTGTGTATTATTAGCTGCATCTGCATTATTACCCCGGTTGGGAGGCCTTGTCTTTGTCCTTTCTCTTATTTGTCACTTTTTTTTTAACAACTGTATTTTATTTTCCTTTCTCTCATTCTTCTTCTGTATTCATAATTAACATTGTATGTTTTTACCCATCAAGACAGGGTCTGTGGCGTGCGTCCGCCACGATCCAGAAGCCGTTCCCGATGTGTTCGTTGGCAATTGCAAGCATGCAAGACATGATGTAGTACCAATTGGGTACCCCTGGCCGATTTTGTCGACAGCCGCGCGCCAAATTCTTGGATTGCGGGATCTCGGTCTCTCTCGCCAATTTTAGGCCCCACAAGATCCGAACCAGAGATCTAGATTTCAAACAGTCTCTCCTTCGACACTCGGCCGGATGGATCCGATTCTCGGACGACAGATCGAGGGGCAAACAAGAAGACCCCGGCCCCCAACGTCGCCAAAGGATTTCCCATATTCCTTGGCACTGGCGCGAAGGAAGGAGGATGCCAGGGGTTCAGGGCCGCCCCCATGCCGTACTACCCTTTGGCCTGGGGCAAGGCCACCCTTTACCTTGTGCAGCTAGTTCGCCGCTCCATCTCGGCTTCTTCGACCACCAAGTGTCGCACTCGCATGCAAAGACATGCCAAAGTGGACGATGGGGGCGGGGGGTGGAGATTCTAGTTGGTGATATCTCCGCCTGTATTATTTTGCACGTGCATCTGCGATGTGGAGGCTTTTTTCTTCGTCTCTTGCCTGCTGGAGTCTGCGGGAACGCGAGTCTCTCATTTCGCGGCTGTGTCGGGTTGCCAGAATAGGTATGCCCTTGCGCTTGCGCGCCTAGCCACACTGCCTCGTTTGGGAAACGGGTGGGCAGAGGCTTCCTGACCAAGCGCGAGGTAAGCGTGCCGGCGAGTGCAGATGCAGAAGGGGGGGTAGGAGTCCCAAGAGAGAATCCGAATGCATCACACCCGCGGACATTCACCAAGAAAGACCTCGACCCCAGGACACCTAGATCTTTCTTTCTCTTGGAGACTGCGGAGTATCGAATCGAGCCTACGGGGACCTGCAAGGAGCTCTCACATGCACATCGCCCCAACCGATGGGCATACTCTGGGCCGCTCTGTTCTGTTGGCAAGCAAACGCAGGCAGGTGGGGCTTGGCAGGAACCAGGCCGTGTATGACCTTGGTTCCTAGCATGTCGTCGCACGGCGAGATGATATGATGATGACAGGAGACGGAAGGCCCTAATTCCGGCGAAGCCCGCTCCGCTCCCCGTCTCTCGCCCATTCCCCCTAAAAAGAAGCTTGAAGTTACAGAGGTACGTACAGTGCAGTGCAGCACACACTGAACCAAAGCCGAATCTGGACGCCGCAGGGCACTCGTCGACCAAATCAAGAAATGTTAATCCAGCAGTGTCGCACACTGCACGGTTTTTCATGGCCTGTACAATCCATTTGTCGGGTGAGTAATTGCCTTACAGTACGCAGTGCGGGTTAGTGTTTTTGACGTGGTTCCTAGTCCCGGCAGTGGTGATTTGCAGTGCAGTTACAGCTAGCGACCTGGGAATGCCCAGTGTGCAGACAGCAGAGTACAGCGTGCGCGCACTAGCTACTGCAAGACAAAGTTAAAGCGCAGCTACGGGTCCGAGCGCACGGAGCATAATGTGATCCCACTCGCTCACTGGGGCGTAAGACGCAAGACACGTAGTGGTCCGCGCACTTCTGCGCGCGCGAACCTGTAAGATGGATTCGATAACCCTTCCCGGGAAACTTGTTGGTGAAATGGTGTCCAACTGTCATGATTGTCAACCCGAAAGGGTCCAGGGCTCTTAGCCGGCTGATGAAAAGGCTTTTTTTTCGCCTCTCGCGTAAACTTCAGTCATCCATCCCCAACAGATCCCGTCACGTCCAAATGGGAGACAAATCGTCAGGCCAGGCCAGGTACTGCCTTAGCTCTTATCAACCCCTCTTTCGCCATGTGTGTGTGTCTGTCTCCCACCATCTTCCAATTATCTTGGCGTGAGGACGTGAGGATGTGACGTGCTGAGCTCAGCCTCAGCCCACGCAAGATCCAAATCTGCGCTCCACCGTTTGCGGGGACTGTCATGGATCCCACAATTGCCTGCTCTGCTGTGCTGTGGCTAGTGGTTGGCTGGATCTGGGCGTTATTGTCACTTTTTTGCGCTGTCACTTTTTTGCGCTCTCTCGATTCGGCCCATCTCGATACCAACAGCCCCAATCAAATGCTGTTGGCTTTTGGCCCCTAGTAAGCTATTGACGCAATTACATAAGAGACTGCCCTGGACAGGCGCGGGCGGTCAGGACAGGGGGCACGACGACGGTACGAACTACAGACGTGACCCCGCTCGTTTGCCGCTCCAATCACGACCGCATTCGCGCCTAGACGAGGAGCACGCGCGGGGCAAATAGCGCAGAGAAGATGGGCAAGAACTGGCGTTAAAAAGATAAGGTAAAGGTGGCTTAATAAAATGCTCGATGGTGGAGAAATATGCGCCTATGTGTACTCCATACCCATGATTCATTCCCATGCTATGGGATCACCACCAGCCATCCTAACAAGCCCCAACAACAAACTGCCAACCGCGTCAAACCAACCAACTGCCCTGACGTCTCGACCCGCGGATGTGGGCGAGGGGGACCACAATGACGGCTTCCGTCTTCCTTGGCAGGCTAAAGCGGCCCTAGCCAAAACCCCAATGCCGTTCATAACCCGCGTGTGGTCCCTTTGTTAGTTTGAAGTTTGTTCGCGTTTTACGTCCGCATTTTGTTTTTTTAGCTTCAGGATTAGCGCACTTTGCTGCGCACGCTACTGCTAGCTGCCTCACTAGGGAGGGTTTGTCACCACTGCGATCGAGCTGTCTGTCTATTTGTAGCTCTCAGGCAGGCAGGCATCAAGTTCGCGCTACACTGCCCTGCCCTGCCTCTATGCCCGCCCTGCATTCGCTAACGCCAATGGCAGAGGTCAATGGCAATGGCATGGAAAGAGAAGTGACGCTAACAACGGGCCGGTTAGGGCGGGGACGGCGAGAGAGCTTGCTCGGAATGGCTCCAACACCCATCATTGGTTCCCAGCGCAGCATCCCGATCAAGCAAATTCCCTACACTAGCTCGAGAAACGGCTTTTTCGGGCCTAGGCTCAAAGAGGCGAACCATGACCATGACCAGACCCCGGGCCCGCGGGAGGAGGTCAGTGTCATGTCTCCCATTGGCTTCCTCACCTTGCCATGTTCCAGGGATGGATGGATCTAACCTTTTTGTGTCCAGATCTGGAGTTTTGCCACACGCTTCCAGTCCGCTAGCAGATTGCTAAAGGTGAGCTTTCGATGTTGCTTGTTTCCCCACGCTTGCGCGCAAGAGTGCAAAATGCTTCATCATTTTCATGCCTTTTGGCCAGAATTGGTTCCCACCTAGGAAGGTAGTATGGTACACCGTACAGTAGGTAGGCGACTGAAGCGCGGCAATGTGGAAACGAGATGTGGGGAATTATTGACCTGAATTATTGAGGTGGCTGTAATTATTGCCCAGAACATGCGAAGTATCCCGTATCGAGTACGGAGGGCGCCACCTTACCATCAAACCACCCACTCACCCACCACTGTGCTCGTCCCATTTCGCTCCCCTCCAATTTTTTGCCTTCTCACGGAATCCCAATTGGGCGGATGTGATTCACCTGCACCAAAGCCGACGTATTCCGTTCGTTTTGCTTTTACGCATGTGCAGTCATGATGATCACTTACCCACCCACCCAGCAGGCCGGGATTCTCGGGTCCAAATAGCGTAATTACGCCCAAAATCCCATTCCTGGCGCCCCTCACTCCCTTTGCCCCTCACTCAAGGCTCACGCCTCACGCCTCAGATCAAACAAGGTGGGTGGTCAGAAACTTACGCTTTTCAGGGGTGACAGGGCTGGGGGAAGGCGGCGCGGCTCTCTTATGGTGGGCGCGAATGCCTGGCTTTGGGGCACTATGCGGAAAGCCAAGGAGATTGTCAGAGTTGCGCGCCCTCCCGCCAACAATTGCTCACGTGAGGTACGATCGAAATTTATTTGCTTACCCCCCCTCTCCCTCCCCTTTTACCGAGTAAGCGTTGCCTGAGATGATAAGCACTGGCAGAGGGGGAGAGGGTGGGAGCAGGAAAATCGTTTAATTAATTAAATATCCAATTAGTATTACGGCCCCGTAAGGCGACGGACGTCTGCCCGCATGGTTTCCCGCGCTGCAGGCACAACCGAACCGAAACAGACTCTCGGTACTATTCTGTACTTTAACCGCGCGCACGCACAGGCGGGAAGGCAATGTACATGTACAGTCATACGCGGCTTCTTATTAGAGGGTTCCCTGATTTGTAATTTATGGGAAGCAGCAGCAGCTTGCAGCGTTCTTTCGGTCCCCTACCCGAGACCATGGTTACGGGATCAGCGGGAGGGACTCCTCGCCAGTTGTCAGAACCACTCGCCTCAGTTCCGACCCGGTGTGTTCCAGAACGTCCCGATGAGTAATTAATTGGAATTGAATTACTTTCCCATGCCTTCCTCACCTTAGGCATCAGGATGCAGCCGGGCAATTGGCGGCTTTGCATCAGACAGGAATTTGTAGCCACCCGCTAACATCGTCTTTCTCCGCATTAACTAATAACAGAGGACAAAACCCCGAAACCCGGGTTCTTCTGACTTGAGATGTCAGCCGGGGCCAGCGCTTCGCCACTCTCACTAACCAAAATCCCAATTTCTGCCCGCCTGCCTATGTGCACAGGGTCCACTGGCGGCTACAAGACGGCTTGGGGCTGCGAGGTGAGAAGGGGGGCGGAGGTGGAGGTGGGATGATGCTCACCTTACGGGTGAGACAGACGGGTGAGGCAGCCGGCCGCCTTAGCGCACGCACGCCGAAAAGCCGAAAATCCGGATATCCGCACCTCGTTTACCGCCGGCGGACTTGAATGCCGGGCGGACATTTGCACACCCCCCTCTCTCCCTACCCAGAATGACAGCACCCAATCACTCTACCCCCCCAAACCCCAAGCGACGGAGACAGACGGATACTACAAGCACTGGATCAGTGGCTATGTACTGTACCCACTAACCCAGAGCCGAAGGATTGGAATGGAGATGTGCCAGGACTCGGGGGTGTGGATCCGCCAGCTGCTGCTTCCCAGACCAACAAGCTTTTTCTTTTTTTCTTTCTCTTCGTTCCCCACCGCCGACCCCAGCACCCGCTCATGGAGTCAAAAAGGAAAGCAAAAAAAAAACGAAGAAAACAGGTCCTACCCGGAATCAAACCGGGGTCCCGGAAAGACGTCCCCCATTCTCGGAAGAGAGGAGGGAGGAAAAGTCAGAATCCGAAGTGCTGACCGCTACACCATGGAATCGGCTGTTTTTGTTGTTTTTGGGATGGAGGCTGGGGCTGAAATCATTTGGTTTGGTGTTTGTGTTTTTGCTAGACCCCCGCCTCCCCCCTCCCTTTGCCTCCTTTCTTTTGTCTCTCTTTCTCTCTCTCTCTCTTTCTCTCTCTCTCTCTCTCTCTCTCTCTCTCTCTCTCTCTCTCTCTCTCTCTCTCTGTCTCTCTCTGTGTGTGTATGTGTATGTGTGAGTATGTGTGTGCGTGTGTGTGTATGTGTGTATGTGTATGTGTATGTTGACAACGACAGGTTGGAGCTGCATGTAACCTGTCGCGTCTTTATTGAAGTTTGTGACTTAGGTACTTAGGATGGCAGCTGGGGAACCCAAGTCGGCTTGATATTTCGATTCGCCTTTCAGAGGCCTCCGCATTACCAAGTGCAAAGACATGGTAAACCTCACGGCTGCCCTCCCAAGTCTATTTACTTTATAAGATGTGGAATGTAATATTGTACAAAGAAGACTCGTAGAGATGCCATCCCGCCCGTCGTGCGTTGGGTATGGTACGTCTAACTATGTACGTACGATGCAATGCCCCCAATGCCGCGCATCAACATCCTTTAATTCTTCTATAGTATTAATTATGTACTACATCTCGCCCCGCCTCAGCTGGTTGACCCTGGTCCGCTCCAGCGCGACCCAGTCCGCCACGGCGCGGAGCCGTTTCCTCTGCGGCCCGTCGTCGTCCTCTGTCTCGCCGGCGCCGGCGGGATCCGCTGGGTCTCGCTCCACACCGTTGCGTATGTTATTGTTGGTGGTGTTGGGGTTGGCGGATTCCGGAAACCGGCGGCGGACCAACCCAGTGAGCGACTCGGCCATGTCCCGCGGGAACACGGCGCGGATGGTGCTCTGCAGTTCGTCAACCACCGCCGCCGACACGCGGCTGGAAGTTTTTTTTGTGCCTGCAGTCCCTGTGCCTGCTATTGAGGCCGCTGCGTGCTTGACAAACACCTCGATTATCTTGGCTAAGAGCTCAAAGCGCTGGTCACTAGGCGGACGCAACGCGCCCTTCTTGGCGAGGTGCCGCAACCTGGCCGAGATCAGGCCGAGCACAGCCTGCCGCGCCGTGACTTTCACCTCGGCGTTGCGCAGCGGTGGTAGGATGGCCGGGGTAGGCTCGTTCATGAGCCAGAGATCCGCCTGGTCGTCGAAGCGCGCCCGGGCCAGCATCTTCTCCGCAGCCCGGATGTACGCGTCCTTGCAGCCGACGAGCACGGTGGCGGACTCGCGGCTCTCCATGCAGGCGAGGATTAGCCCGGCCCATACCGGCGGGCCCCGCAGGCCCCCGGGGGTCAACTGCGCGTTGACGTCGGCGTTGTAGTCGACCAGCAGAGAAACGATGCCCGCTTCTATCATCTGCGCGGCGAAGTTCGGGGTGGCCGCGGGCTCCTTCAGGTTTTCCGCCATCAGCTGCTCCAGGGTTTCCGACATTATATCCTGCCACAGCGTGCATGCTCCGCGGCCGCCGCCGGTCCATGTGTACTGCTGGTTGGGGTCGTGGTCGCGCCGGAGCAGCTCGCGCAAGAGGGGCGCTTTCGCGGCCCAGTTCTCGTCGGGCACCGGGACGCTCCGCTCGAGGCCGAGCACCACGGCTAGCGGCGGCGTAAGCTGGTTGTCGAGGTAAGCGCTGTCGGCGCCGAGCTTGGCGGTCACGTAGCCGGCCAGGTTTCCCCGGAGGATCCGCTGCCGGAACACGGCTGAGGCTCGGCTGGGGCTGCCTTGTTCGGGTTTCGCCTCGTCCTGGGGTTGTGGTGGGAAATGGGTGTTGAGGGATAGCTCGACCTCGTCGAGGACTTCGTGAATACGCGCACTACTATCGGCGCGTTCGGCGCGGACGTGCTTGAACATCTCGTCCAGCGCGTAATGCATGTGCTCTGGAGGAAGGAGTGGGCCCGAACCGTCCTGAACGGGGTATTTGCCGCCGTGGAATCTCTTGTGCTTGATCAAAGCGGCGTAGGCCGTGGCGATGGCCAGCGAGCTGTCAAAAGCCGCTGGTGCCTTTTTGACGAGGAACCCTGTCATGTCTGCCGACAGGAAAAAGTCGCGCACGGTTGGATGGAGAAACTCGACCTTGTGTAGCCGGAGTTGGAGGAATCGGCTGCACCGAGACTTGAGCTGCTGAGTGAAGGAGAGGTTGAAGTCTTTTAGCTCATCCTGGCTCCACGGCTTCGTTTCTTCTTTAAAGACATAGCCTGGGCGCTGGTAACCGACCTCGTGAAAACTGTAGACCGTCACAGGGAGAGGCTGCCCCGAGGCTGCCAAGGCTATCAGCATTGTCCCGGCCAATTTGCTCTGGCAGGACGGCTTGGAAGACTCCAATATGGTGCGGATAGACGCCCCTAGGTTCTCGGGGATCACCGGGATCTCGTTTACCATTTGGCGCAGCTCCGAGACCGACAGTTTGTCGTTGTTGGCGATTTCTACGCGAACCAGGTTCATCACGATAAGAACCCACAGAAACACGCCCCGAGACCGAGAACAGATGTCATTGACAAATGTCATTGCGGGCTCGCGGCCGTTGTGAAGCATGAACCAATCCCAGTTTATGTCTTCGGTCACATAGCGCTTAGCAAAGGCGCGAATGTCATTCCTAGTCAACTCGTCGACGAGAAGTTTCGTGTCGGGGTTCTTCCCCAACATGTCTTCAATGTGACCGCCGGGCTGGCTGGACACGACGAGCTTGATATCGGGGCAGCGAGACAGCTCTCCGAGCTGTTTGCAGAGCTGCGCCGTGTCTCCGCCGTATTCGTCTAGGCCATCGACGAAGAGGCAGATCTTGAATGGAAGCCTGGTCTGCGAGGCAATGCGGCGTATCATGGACTGCAGTTCGGGCAGCGACCACGCTGCCGCCTCCGTCTTCGCCAGCGCCGCGACCGATGTCTCCGCCGACGCCTTGGAGTCTTGGATGGCGTTTGTCGGTGTGCCTTCCTCCATCCGCTTCCGTCTCCCGGCGCACGCGGCGCGGATCAGGTCCGAGTTTTGACAGAGAATGTCGTGCAAGATAGACCGGAGCAGGTCATTCCGCGAACCCTGTGCCTGCGGGCCTTCCTCTGAAGTCTGTTGGTCTCCCGGCAACATCTGTGGCTCCTCCGGCGGCGGCTTCGTGTTGGCGACGCTCCGGGGGTGGTGGCTGGTGGCGACGATGGGCTGAGAGCCCGCCCATCTTGACAGGAGCGCCTTTGTGCGCTTATGGCCGGCGATAAACTTGACCAGCGTCGACTTGCCCGCTCCAGGGTGTCCAGAGATCCAGAATATGCCTTTTCCGCGAGCCAGCCACGTCTCCAGCCGCTTTCCCGTCGCCAACTCGGTCTTTGCCTCTTTGTCCTTAAAAAGGCGGCCAAAGACCGGTTTGGGGGAAGGCGCGATTTCCTCGAGGCTTTCGGGACGCTGTTTGCAATTGGGGTTGAGGGACCTCAGCAACTCCTGTTCCATCGCCAGCTCTTTCACGATCGCGGAGAGCTGAGAGACCTGGGTTGTTGAGGAGTAGATCTCGTCGGCAGTCAATGACGTTTTAGTCTCATCTGCCGTGATATCGTTTATTCGGACCCGGGCAGCGTAGATTGCCAGCGATACCTGGTCCAGATCCTTTGACCTCTGGTTGTGTTGCGACCGCATTTCGAAGCTGAGGACTTCTGCGCCTGCCTCAGTGCAATCGACGACTTCCCTGCATTCAAGTGTGTTTAGATGCTGATCTCTTTTTTCATCCTGAGACGTGGGGGCTTTTTGAGTGGATTGTATCCGGGGCCATCTCACCTCGAGACGGTACACAGTTTCAGGATCATCAGCTTCCGGTAGCTCTCAAAGTGCTGCTGCATCTGCTGTATCTCTTCCTCGGTCATGATTTCGGACATGGCGATGCGGAAGCTGGGCCAGACGCATTTCGTGCCCAAGCGGCGCCGGACCTTCTGCTCGATGTCTTGCACGACGACCAGCAGCTGGCAGCAGTCCTCGTCGAATCTAACGGCGATCTCGACCAGAGTCTGGTCCGCCTGCTGGGTGGGTGGGTAAGTGTAGGCTTGGGGCCGCGACCGTCTGAGACTGTGCTGCCTTGTCGAGGACTGGAACGGGCTATAGGCGCGGAGCTGGGAGCAGAGGAGAGTGAGGCGTTGGTGGATGGCCTCGAGCCTCTGGCCGCGGCGCGATGTCGTGGTCGGCGACGAGTAGACCGTCTTGGTCTCGCTCTCATCGAGAAGCGAGGCGGCGAATTGCACAAACTGCACGGCGGCCTTTGCGAGGCTGAGGGCCGAGACGGGATCCATTGGCTGCGCCATGTAACTCCCACACTGAACGTGTGACGTTTGCAGTCGTGGGAAGGGCAGTGGCCGTGTGTCGTATTCCGGGATGTGCGACGTGGACCCGAATGTGGTGATGAATGGATGTTCTTGGTTGGGTCAATGAACTTAATTAGCTCCCAGTCTCGACTGACAGAGGTAGGAGGTAATTAGCTGCAATGGTCTTGAGAGGTTTGGGCATAAACCAAGGCATCTGTGCAGTACTGGCCGGCCAATACGATGCCTACCTACCTTACTCTCGTACCTGTGGAAAGTGGTGTGTACGGTACAGGAACCCCGCATCGCATCGGATGTCAGACGATAGACCTGTCTTGACTCTTGAAAACTCAATCACCCATGGCAAAATCTGACGTGACAAGAAATCCGTAATTACCGTTCAATAATTGCCTTGCCTGCACCCACTCAAGGCACCAGCCAAAGGCGCTTCCGGTTGGGGGGGGGGGTTGGTGGCTGATTACCTGAGGTAAATGATGAAGACACACTTGGAGCCTTCGTGCCTGCCTGCCTTGGGGCATTTGTGCTGTGATTAAGGTACCTGCCTATTTTACACTGACGGCTCCTCCCAACTCTGCAAGTGGCCACTCTTCATGCCTTCCATGGCGGTTATGGCTACCTACATGATCCTTGCTTGGACCAATGACGTGCTTCTCGCCGCCTCGCCTGACCCCTTAGCTTAGTTTTAGCAGTCAACCTTCTCGCCGTAATTGTTGAAGCCAATGGTGTATGTGTTGCCTTCGTCATAGTAGTAACCGGCCAGGTAACTGCCCGAGGGCGTCTTGCCGCAGGCCTGGATGACTGCGGCCCGCGCGCTGTTGATCATGTCGCCCGAGCAGAGAATCGGCGTGTCCAGGAGGTTGCAGATGTGCACCTGCGCCGTGTTGGTAACATCCTTTAACGTCTGTTTACCCCCAATCTTGTGGCCCTTGTCGCCTGGTGTCTTTTGCTTAGTTTCGACGATCGGGGTGTTGACACGGGAGAAGTACTCACAGTAGATCGACAAATCACTCATGGCAGCCTCGACGTCGGCAATGCTGCGCAGCCAGTTCCCGGGGCACCACGTGCGCCCCTCTGCCTTGCTGTTGTGGACGGCCTTGCCTGATTTCTCCGGGGTCGGCCCTCCAAAGACCGTGGCAGCAAAAAAGACCGAGACAGAGAGGACCCGGGACAGGTGCATGTTGCCGGTGGTTTGAACGATTAGGCTACAAGGTTATGTTTCTTTTGAGCCGTAATTACCGATAATTGCTAATAATTGAAGAGGCTATGAGGTTGATGGTTAAAGCGAGAAAGGCAACCTGCCTAGAGAAGAGAAGCCGGCGATGTGTTTGATATAGATGTGCACATCACATCGGTATGTTTGACCACAGACACCACCCAGAATACTAAATAAGGGGGATTGGAAAAAATACTCGGTGGGTCGAGGTAACTTAACGGAAGGCAAACCATGGACGGGTGGAGTTGAGAAAGAGACTATGAGTTTGCTGAAAACACCATTTCTGGTCGAGCCGTCAGCTACGCGGCAAACAAACATCGGACCATAATTAGTTGCCCACCCGCCCGTCAAGCCACTCTACCCAAGGACATAGGCAGACTTTTGTTTGCAGTTGGCTATATGAGCGATATAAAATTCTGTACAGCTATGAGCATCCCGAACAGTTTGGGCAAACAGCAAAATTCTTTAGCAGTCATGACCCCTTTCAGCCTTTGTAGGTGCCATTAGATCCATTGAAATTGAGTCCCGTGGTTTCAGTCTAGACATCACTTGCAGCCTGCAAAAAGAAATTAAGGGGGATTTCAAAGACCATTACCACCCTGGTTGGTTCATGTGTCTAGCCGCGTTGGTCGTCCATAGAGACGGCTCCTGCGCCAGTCTTTGTGGAGGAAAAGGGGGACGCCGTCTAAGCCGGCGCTCCAGCCCCTCTCTCCCGGATCCGTCTCGGGCCCTGCAATCAACCATCTGCCGTGGCACTCTCGCACGTCACCTGGCCACTGAAACGAGCCCGATCTCGGGAATTGCAGTTACATTGCGCACTGTCGGATCCCGAGCCCAGGGCTCCGATCCCGGGAGAGGCGTTCGAGCTTTTTTACAGTAGGCAGTTAGAGCGCTTTCGCTTCAGTGCTTCGTTAGCCCGTATCCGCCACGACTTTCCCCTGGCAGCGCGACGCACGCTCTTTCGTCCAATCCCAACCGTCGCGGCACCGTTAACGGCATGGGTCAAGTGTCGGTGTCTCACAACACGACGCCATGGCTGGCTCTAGGCCCAACCACTCCGTGATACCCCGCCCTTGGCCTCCCATACCCGGCAATTCGCCCCCTAGGAAGCAAACACGGAAGCAAACACCTTCCGTCTTTCCCCCTCTTGTTGCGTGTTTGCTAGAGTTTGATGAGTAGTAGCTTCCACGGTACCACCACCAACCCTCCCATAGACCCGGCACTTTGTTGTGCAACATTTTGTGGAATGTCGTCGTCTCTTTCTGTTGAAGGTCAGCCGGACCGGCACCCTCACCCGCACCCGCACCCGCACCCGCACCCGCGCCGGCGCCAGCGCCAGCGCCAGCGCCGGCATGCCAACACTGCCCGGACCACCCCTCATCCGCCGCCGTCGGTTGCCAACTTGTCCCAGGACTCGAGCATTGACGTGTCCACGGAAGACGAGCCGTACGGCTTGGTTGTAGAGAAGAGTTTCTGGAGGGCGAGTGCAGCCCAACGTCCATCCCCGACACGGTAGTAGTTAACAGCTGAACCGGGGGCAGATCTTCCACGGCTCGCAGGAGCTCCTCCGGCTGGCGGGGCTGTACAAGGAGTACCGGGACTCGCTGCCGGCTGGGCAGCTGCCGCGCGCCGTCACCATGCCGCGCAGCATCGACATGGTGGCGGCCACGCAGGCCGCGTGGAGCGTGCTGCAGGCCGTCGGCAACATCAACGACCACAACCAGCGCGTCGCCGAGGACGACGCGTGGCTGCGCAGGGAGCAGCAGCTCGAGAAGGACTCATCGCCGCCCGGGAAGCGGCGGCACGGCGCGCCGAAGCGCAAACGGGTGAGAAGGGCACCCGCCCCCCCAAAAACCAGCAGACTTCTGCAGGTCGACTGAGCTAACACTTTCTGTCCCGCGGCGGAGGAGAAGGAAAACGACGCCGACTTTCTCCGGTGCGCCGACTGCGGCGTCCTGGATAGCCCGCAGTGGCGGCACGGCCCCGCCGGTCCAGCGACCTTGTGTAACGTCTGCGGCCTGCTCCTTGCCAAGCGATGCCAGAACCAGAAAATGCCCCGGGGGCTCCCATCTCCGCGCCGGCACTCGCAGGCTTGACTTTCTCTCACTCACCCAGCAATTGATGGACGACTTTCTCTCACCCACCTAGCAATTGATGGACGAATGGTAGATTGCGGGCCGACTTGGATAGGTGATTGTTCGCCCCTTTTGGATCTGGATCGATGCACGTTTATATAATCAGCGGCTTTGATCAGGAGAGCTCGGAACCTAATTGCTAGCGTGGCAGTTGGGCTACTTTGGTATGACGAACTCATGAACTTTAATAGCATTTTGGGGTTTGAATTGCTGAAGCAGCCGCAAATCTTTAGTGAATAATCCTTAACTTGGCAGATTACGCTCTTTTTTCTTTCCTCTTTTGTTCCCTCTTTTGTTCTTGGCAATGTGCTCATTGTCATGGCAGGAGGCCTCCCTCTATGTTGTTGGTTCTGGGCCGCTTCGTTGGGTTTCCAATTGGGGAGCTCGGGTTACACGGCGTCTCATTCATTTCATGTCGACTTTCTTCGTCACTAGAGTCTGGTGCCAGACATTATCACCACAATTGTGAGATTGCAACGCGAAAACGGAAGAAATGAAACAAAGAAAGAAAGGAGAGACAGAGAGAGAGAAATAAAAGAAAGGGGCTTCTCTTCAACAGCCGAGTTGTGGGCCTTATTTTGACGTGAAGCCCGTGAGGGAAAACAGCTATCGCCAGTTCCTGACCGGGAGAATCGGAAACTTTTTGCCTTGGCACGGTAATCGCTGCTGATTAAGTGCTGCCTATCGCCGTGGAGTTTGGCACTTGTTTCTGTTCCATTCTCGGCTCCTCATTCCTCCTCCTCGCACTTGGCTTATCTCGGCGGTACTCGTCTTGGCGACTACTTCTTTGGGCTCGGGTTTGCTTTGGCCTCAATCCTGTTTTTTTCTCTTTGTCTCACATCATTGATCCGCAAAAACAGGAATTCACGCCGGTTTCGTTTTTCGGTTTTGGCAAGTGATGGGTGGTCACAGAATTGGATGCAATGTTGTGGTGCTGGCCCCTGGGTTTATGACTTGGTGGTGGTGACTAGCTGGTGATGAACTACATGCACCTTCTGAGTGCGTTGGCTGCTTTGTGGCGGGTGCACCGGGTGATCCGGCCAACATGCAAATCAAAGGCGGGTGTCTGAGAAGGATCAGGTGTTTCGGGACAATGGGTTGATGGAAGATGCGATGCGGCGGCGGCGGAAGTCGGCGACCTGCCCGGTTCCCACAAAGAACGGGCCGCGTAATACCCGCGGGCCGTGACCCATGCCGACACTGCCGGACAGCTACCTGGTAATTACCTTGGGCACCACTGCACCAGAGGACGAGGTAGACTTTGCTGCAGACCAATCGGGGCCAAGCATTAGCTACCTAGGCGCTCCAACACAGACATGCAGCCCCCAACTCTCGATATTCGGAAATACTCAGGTCCCCGTCTCGCCCCCCAATCTCCGACAGGAACCATCCTCGGAAGAGACGGCGCTGCAAAGTTGTGCACCCCCTAAACAAATACGTGTATCCGTATCTGCCCCAACAATGCAATTATCTACGAAGACAATGTTCGCAGACAACAAGTCAAGACTAGGTGCTCAGGTCTCGAGTCTCCAAGTCCAGTTCCAGGAATTGGATTAAAGTTTACCTTTATGCCATGTCATGCTGCCTGGGTACTTTATCCGGGAGCCGGCGTCATCGTTGTACTCACCTAGCGTCGACTTATCTGTGGGGCCGAGGTCTCATGTTGGTGGCGCCGTCATTCGGCATTCGGACTCGGGGCAGGAGGACACGCAATTGGTCTTCGACTGTTGAACCGCAACACGGCTCTAGCAGGGCGGAGGATCGGCAGTTCAGACTTCCGCCCGAGGCACACGACCAGCTTGAAAATCTTCATTATATCCCCCCCCCCGCGGTCCACTACAAAGACTCCCGATCGTTCCGGCTTGCCCATGTCTTGGCCCGCGGAGTTTAAACGCTTGGCAGCCAGCATCGCCCTCCTTCGGACTCGATCGCAAACCCGCATGGCAAGGAGAAGGCGGCGGCAAGAGGCACGGCGGGTGGGCCTCAAACGACAACGGCCGCCTTGGAGAACCACCAAGTGGAGCCACACGTAATCCCCTAAACCTTGACCAGGGATGGCCTGAGTTGCTCTAACTCGGGACGCTGCTATTAGTAGAGACATCCTCGTCAGGCCAAGCAGGTTACTAGTAATGCAAAGTTGCTGGCTCCAGTTTGCGTGCCGTCAGTTCCTTTTGTCTGCGTCTGCAGTTCTTTCTATCTCTTTATTTTTTCCCACCGTGAATCAGACTTCGTTGCGGATCGACTTCAGATCGGACCTCCTGCTAGTGTAGCCTGCAAGCTAAGGTGCTTTTGCTCTCAGGGGTAACCGGCCGGCAAACGTGCCTGTCATCTCATAAAGTGCACAACCGTGCTTCATCTTCTTGCAAATACTTGCAATGGGTGTCGGCGCTTTCCTGGAGCCGCTGATAGTCGTCAGCTTGCTAACAGGTGGGACAATCCTCAACCGCAACAAATCGCCACCCTCGTCCTCGTCCTCGTCCTCGTCCTCCTCGCCTGTTTCCTCGAGGCCGAACTCATGGCGGGACTTCGACTACCCGGGAGCCCTCGAGGCCGGAGGTCCTAGCTATTCGCCAAAGACCAAGTCTAGGAGCAGCTCCGTCTCGTCGTCCTCGTTTGACATGGCGCGGGAAAAGTATGACCCTCGATATCGGCAACGAACGCTGCGCTTCTTCAACTGGGAGCGCGAGATAACAACACCCAACAACGAGATCTTCAAAGACCGCCTTCTCAGTCGACTTCTCAGAGCTCTACCGTTCCTGGTCGAAGTCTGGTACTGGGCTCTTGTATATTGGGTGAGTTCTCGGCCAACAGCTCCAGATATCCCAGTCCGGTTCCTACCATCCCCGTCCATGTTTCTACTGAAATGCATCTTGTGCGACATCATACGTGGTATTAAGATGGACCAACGCTGACCGTGCACACAAAGGTCTACCAACTCGGGCGCGCCTTCTCGGCTGTCACGCTCAAGGATTCGACCGTCGACACGGCGCGCAAGCACGCGCTGCAGGTCGTGGCTGTCGAGGAGTACCTGCAGATCTTCATCGAGGCCGACATCCAGAAATGGTTCCGCGGCCACCCCGTGCTGATGCAGTGGACCAACCGGACGTACTCGTTCATCCACATCCCGGGGACCATCCTGTTCCTCATCGTGCTCTACTACATCACGACGGCGCGACCAAAACGCACCCTGCTCAAGCCGTACGAGGACGACGTGGACGGCAGGCTGTCGCCGCGCCAGTGGAGGCAGCCGGTCACGCGCATGGGCCCCGACGTCTACCAGAAGCGGAGGCGCACCATGGTCATGTGCAACCTGCTCGCCTTTGTCGTCTTCTCCTTCTGGCCCTGCATGCCCCCGCGCCTGCTTAGCGATCTGACGTACAACGGCCTCGACGCCGCCCCGGCCAAGAGCTACGGCTTCGTCGACACGGTGCACGGCGTCGACGGCGACAGCAGCGTCTGGACCACGAACCGGTTCTGCAACCAATATGGCGAGTCTCAGCCCCCTCCCCTATCAACACTAACCGCTTCAACCGCCAAGTCAACGACACGAAGCTAACCATGTGCCCAAACACCACAGCCGCCATGCCGTCGCTGCACTTTGGCTACTCGTTCCTCATCGGACTGACCATCGCGACGGCACCCATGGCGAAGCGGGGGCGGATGGCGTGGAGGCGGCTGGCGCTGGTCAGCGTGGGCATGGTGTATCCGGGGATCATCCTGGCGGCCATCGTGGCGACGGCGAACCACTTCATCCTGGACGCCGTGGCCGGCGCGTGCGCGTGCCTCCTCGCCTGGAAGTTCAACGGCTTGCTGCTCAACCTGCTCCCGCTCGAAGACTATTTCCTGAGCGTGCTGAGAATCCACAAGCCGTGAGGGGCTAGACTAGGTCACTAGGTGTGGCATCGCCTTCTGTCAGTTCGTTTGTGAGGGGGTGGTTAGATGGTGGCTCACGCATGTATCATAATGCACTGTGAAGGATGTGGGCGGGCACACGGTAGATGAAAGGATTTTGGGGTTATAAATAGGGCAACAATGGGGGGTCAAGGGCGAAATTCTCGAGGTCAATGGGAATTTCAATGCCAGCCAGGCTTGGACTGTGTTATTGGAGTTGGCCACGGAGCGTTTACAATCCAATCCCTGAATATTTGGTAGCGGGGGGCTTTCCAAGACTCGAAAGGCCTCGATAACTTCCGGTTCTCTCTAAAGACTTTTCGCCGAGGGAGGTAAAATCCATTAGAAGCCCATTTTAGAAGCCCATTTTAGAATCCTAGAGGCCTATTTATTCTCTGAAAACACCTTCCTACCTCAATAGTCACCCCCGACACCGTTTTTTTAGCCAAATCCGTATTAGGGTTGAAATATGAGCAGGGGCTGAGGTGCACCGGGCATCACCTTGAGCCCAGCTGAATCCCAGGGATGTCCCGGCTATACTTGCCGTATCCAAACTCACATGCGGCTACAGGTTCCATGGGATGTTGTAAGCTTTTTTGACAAAGCACCCTGAGCTACACAACGAATACAGTTGTAGTTGTAGTTCATTGACAATTTTTTCATAGTCCAGTTCACTTTTGTATCCACCTCCTAAACGTTGATTGAATTGGCTAGGCCCGCTGCCAGAACATTTTAGATTTCAGGTGAGAGACGAAAATTTTTTTATCTGGCAACAGTCGCGATGCCTTTCAGCCTAAAGCTTTTCGGTCGCCCCTTTTCGACGAGTAAATCTAGATTGTCATGTTACTGGGTTAGCCATTGCCTAGTTTGCATCCCTGTGACTAAGAACAAGCGCGAGGCTTGGGATAAGGCTAATAAGTATTATGGTGATCTCAGTGAGAATGTTTGGGGCAAGTGGCACTTAACACCTATCAGTAATGCCTTCCTAAGGCAGCCGTGCATTTTAGATATCAAGAAGAGATGTTTTTTCTGCTTATTCCCTCCCAACCTCATCCTCATCTCTCCCTTATAACATCCTTCTGAATCCAAACACATCAAATGTATCACATGACACCCCTCAAATCGTCCTGACCGACAAGACATTGCCCCTAACCTTATCAAAGGGCAACTCAAGGGTTACATGGCCATTGCTCGGCTCGCTCACATAGTCGACATAGCCGCCCGCCTGCCGGAAGCCGTTCTTTGCGATGACTAGCGCGCCCTTCTTCAGCCACGGCTCAAGCAGCTTAATTAGGTCCAGGTACAGAATAAATACCCCGTCCAACAAGCCCGTGTCGATCTCCTCCTCTCCTTCCAAACTGGTTAAGTAAGCCTGGAGGATGTCTGGCGTGCATCACCGAGACGAATCTCGGCCCACGCTGCCAGGCCCGCAGCATCGAGATTCGCCCTCGTGCGCGCGGCATTGGCCTCCACCAGCTCGGTGCCAATCACCTTTCCATTGCCATCACTATCCGCTCGGAGCCCGGACTGGCGCCAAGACCGAGCCCGACAAGAGGCTCGTATCCTGGGATGGCTCTGCAGCAGTCAGTCACGTGACCCAGTGTCGACCAGCACGACCGCGTCTTTTTTGTTTCCTTGCATGTGGTCACCTGCGCCGAGTCGGCTAGGTACCTACCTGCAGGCAGGCAGCCCGCATGGCATAAGTTGCCATTAATGCGCTCTTTACGCTCAAGTGTGCGCCCAGCCTACAATCAGTGGCTTGCACCGTTGTGAAGCTGGGCGAGGATGGGAAGGAGCAAATGTGGCGGCGGCTGAAGCTCGGGAAAGAGTGGACAAACCCAAGGCCACCGCGCTTCAGCCCAATGGCCGCCACAAACTCAACAAATTCTTGCAGCAGGAGGCAGCACCGCAGCAGCACCACAGCAGTACCTTCCGCTCGACCACCTTCTACGCAACACAACACGGCGACGAGACGGTAGAGAGGGCGTAAAGCGCAAAAACGGAAAGCGTGCACAATGCGCCTTCTATAGCAGCTACATTTTATTGAAATTCCAAGGCCGGCTCCGAATGCTTTCAATGAATCCACCTTTCGGGTTTCCAAGGCTATTGTGCGGCACCCATGCGGGCAGAGAGCCAATCCCCCCCTCAAAGGCAGTACCGAAGTAGAATCCCTACTCTACAGCCCGCAACACCTGGCAGCCCACCCATCATGAATTATCATGAGCCAATATACTCGGGCAATGTGCCCAAGCCCTTTTTCGTTGTCCCACCAAGGACCTCGCAGGCCGTTGTTATTATCGACCCAGACCAGCAGCAGGCCGGGCGAAGACAGGAGCTACGACAGAATGCACACCATGGTCCAGGTTCAAGCGCTGCACCCGTGGCGGATTTGGGCGGCAGAGACGGGTTGCTGAGCCAGGGGCAGGATCACATGCAAGCTCAGGCCAGGCTCGCCCCCGGTAGGGCCGAAACCGTCCTCGTCCATACGGCCCTTGGCCAGATGCGGCTCGGCCGCGGCGCTACCGGCAGCAGCAGCAGCAGCAGCAACAGTGGCAGCAAGAGAAACAGCTTGTCGCTGCCAGAGACCACCGACCACAGCGACAGCGACCGGCTCAGCCATGGTTTCGACGTCTATGCCACTCCCTTCGTGCCCGAGGCGCTCCGAATTGTCAACTCGCTGCCCAGCAAGAGTCTCTGGAGAACACCGCCGGCCAAGTTCGTCCACTTCAGCCAATATGCTGCCAACGCCCTCCGTCTCGTCCATCTCTTGCCTGCCATTACTGATCCAGATATCGCCCACTTGCTCTCGCTCGAGACACTCGAACAGGAGCCGCCTCGTCTCACGCAGCACCACTACGAGCGCTTTTTTGCCTTCCACCTTGGACGAGAGATTCTCAGCCAGCACAAAGAGAACGCTACCTACGCCTTGTTTGGTCACGCCGCCAAGGTCGATTTTGCGACTAGCACCACTGCACACGTGACCTTGTCAGTGCCCGGCCTGCGCGAGAACAGCCCGTATGTCGAGGAGGACGACGAGGTATATCTGCGCCAGCTCCGCCTCGATCTTCGGGGCTACCTGCCGCCGGGCTTTTGTCCTTGGACCGAGGTCATTTACCATGCCCGCGTGCTTGCTGTGATGCGGGCCAGGGAAGAGTTGGTCCTCGCCGTCCTAGGCCTTACTCCGGTGTCGAGTGAAGTCAGGCAGCCTCTCCTGCACTTCAACGTCGAGTTCCCCGTGCCGCAGTTTCGCTATTCTCCCATGCTCCATGCTCTCTCCCAGGTGCAAGCCTCGCTACTTAAGGCGAGCCGGACGACAGGCGAGTACCAAAATTGGCCTGCGGTCACGATTCCTCGCTCCGATACCAACCAATACTGGATGCAGAGCATGCTGTTCCCTACCGAAGCTGACTGCGAAGTTCAAGCCAACGCGCAGTGGGGCATCCAGGTAAAGGACCGTTACACGCCGCTTCTCAACGCCGAGCAGCGCGTCGCCGTCGAGAACGTGTGCCTCCAGAATTACGGCGTCGTGCCGTACCTCATCTCAGGCCCACCGGGCACTGGCAAGACGACTACCATGATCGAGATCGCGCTGCAGCTCGTCAACTGCGTCGCCAACCTCTCGCACATCCTCGTCTGCGCGCCTTCGGAACAGGCTACAGACGCCCTGGCCGAGCGCCTACGCTGCTACTTTACAAACAGCGAAATGCTACGCCTCAACCGACCTACGCGCACATTTGCCGAAGTATCGGATACGCTCCTGCCTTATTGCTGCGTAACTCCAGAGAATGGCTACGACGTGTTTACTCTGCCACCCTTTGAGCGCCTCATGCGCTACAAGGTGGTGGTGACGAGCTGCCGCGACGCATCCATGCTGCTTCACGCCCGCATGACCAACTTGGACCTATATACCGTGGAGGAGGGTCTGCACAGCCTCGCCCGTACCATGCATCCCGCCGTTGATGCCCCCGCCGTCGTGCCCCAGGTACACTGGGGCGCCCTGCTGATCGACTAGGCCGCCCAGGCCACCGAGCCCGAGACCTTGGTCCCGATTAGCGTCGTAGCGCCCCCGAATGACGCTCCGGATCTTGTCTTCACGCCCTTGCTCGTCATGGCCGGCGACGAGCACCAACTGAACCCGCGCACCTCGCTGCAGCAAAGCTCACCGCTGCAGCACTCCCTATTCGCCCGCCTGTTCTCGCGGCCCGTCTACGCCAACCACCCCCTGGCACGGCGATTCGTTTATCCCCTCGAACCCGCTCCGCCTGTACGACTCCCGATGCTGCGGCCCGCCTTCGCTAACCTCGTGCGCAATTACCGCTCGCACCCGGCCATTTTGGCTATTCCCTCCCAACTCTTCTATGCCGACACTCTTATCCCCGAAGCCAAAATGGAAGACACAGACCGGCTAGTGAAGTGGTCTGGCTGGCCGCGCCAGCACTCTCGGCAGCAACTAGGGCCAGCAGCAGAATCCACTATTGGGGGTTTCCTCACCGTGAACAGCCTCTCCGTGGCCAAACAAGACAAGGCTCTTTCCGCATGGCCCGTGTTGCTGCATGACAACCTGTCTCCCGACGAACTCGAGCGCGACGGTGGCGGCTGGTACAACCTCGGCGAAGCTCAGCTGGCCGTGAACTATGCCCAACGCCTCGTTGCTTCGGGTCTGGTCAGGCCAGAGGAAGTGTGCATCATGAGTCCATTCAAGGCTCAAGTGCGCCGGCTGCGCAAATTGATGAAAGAGATCCCCTTGACCAAGAACGGGCAAAGCACGTGGGGCGTCAACATCGGACCGACAGAGGCGTTCCAGGGCCTCGAGTTTGGCGTCGTAATCCTGTGTACGACGCGCTCACGGAGGCGCTTTGTTGCCAAGGATAAAACGTTGGGATGGGGCATCATCGGCATGCCAAACAAGCTCAATGTTGCGCTCACTAGGGCCAAGTTTGGTCTTATTGCGATAGGTGACCGCAAGTTGCTGGCGGCCGAGGATCCAGAGGTTTGGGACCCGTTTGTAGGGTTTTGCGAGAGGAATGGGTTGCTTCAGGGGCTGAATGGCAGATGCCAGGCTAGCGTCGGAAATGGCACCGTGACAAGGATCGAGCAAGTGTTGCTTGCTTCTGACGGGAAGGCGGCGGATTGGTCGTCCATGTTGGCGGGGACGGTGCTCCACTGATAGTTTTGACTACGTTTCCCACCTGGAATAGCCCCTCGCTGTTGGATGAGGTCCAGAATCTGGTTTTGGGGATTCCATTGTACGCTACGAGCAGATCTAATGTACAGTACTAGAAGCAGCCCGACTTCATCCCAGGTGTTAAATCAGCTCAAACGAAGAAGAGTAGGGATATCTAAACTAGCTCCACAAGAGCGGGGGGGACCTCCATCGCGAATTATCAAACAGACTCCATCCCATACCCAAAGGCGCCACAGCTACAAATCGAAACCAGCGCTTAGGCTTTATACAATCCTCGTACGACACGGGCGTTCCACTCACACCATCTCAATGACCAACGATGTGGCTTTTAAATCTCATACAACCAGGTTCGTTACGCAGCTGTCGACAGCAGTCCCGAAGTTCCCTTCCCACGTACGTAGTCTCATAATATGGGTTGGATGTGTGTGGGATCGAAACATTACCAAATTTCTCTGTAAAGCCCCGTGGGCCGGGCGGGTTATTAGCGCGCTGCTGTCCGAAACGGGTGCGGTGTTTGCGCAGGAGAGAAGCGAAAAGTCGCCCGGAGAAAGTTGGTCTAAAGGATGACGATATCTCTACGGACGGAGACGTGTTTTATTTCCTTCACTGGCTTGAGAGGAAGGTAACAACAAGTCTACTTCCCCGGTTTAGTACAGTGGTAAGGCGCGTCGCCATTACATTTGTACTCAAATTGGACTACTCATACAACGGCCGACCCGAATTGCGGTCGACCAGGCCCGCTCTTGTGAACCCGTTATGTTGCATTAGTAACCCCATGATGGCGCTTTGGGTGTCACGCTGATTCATGCGATTCCGTACGAGAGTACTTGCTGCTGTAGCTAACAGACTTCTCTTCCAGCCCTGTCTTGAGGGCGACGAATGAGAGCCAGGTCCTGGGTAGGATATAGAAGTCAATTTTCCGTCTATTGCGGGTGGAAGAACAGCGCGGTTTCTCGCGGCTCGCAAGATTGCAGGGGTTGGAAACTTCGGAGAAGAGAGAAGAGGGTGCGTTCGCTCTTTGGATTTCTTCTCCTTCTTTTGGTTGTGCACGCCCTGGCTTCATGGCGAGCTCTGCCTCTTAACTCAGACTCCGACGTCACCTAAAGAGCCACCATGGAGACTTGTGGAGATGCAGTGAAGGGCATTTAAGGACATGGCTGGAGGGGGAAAGAGAGAATGCAAATCGACGAGTGACCACGATGCTATGGGATCGGGGACCACAGCGACCGAGCTCCCGGGATTGGGTAGCGCGTCGGCCGGGGAGAGCTCGTCGCTCATGTTCTCGGGCTCAAGTGGCGGCTCATGTTCTCGGGCTCGAGTGGCGAGACAGACGACCAGAGCTTCATCCCTCACGCCCTTTGGGGATTCCAGCACTTTAGCCCTTGGAGCACGTGTTCTCGGTGCGCGCCGCCGGGTTCGTTATTTCTGCGTGTTAGGTGAGCTGTCGAGGTTAATATCTATATGTATACAGGCAAGATTGCGACGTCTCTACTTTTTCCAATCGAAACCCCTAAGCTCGCATCGACGACATTTTTCAGGCCATTCACGACCCTGGGGCTCACATTGGGGGCGATGGGGCATTGTAGGCAAGTGCACTGGGGTTATTTAGGGCCCTGTGATTGGCTACGCATAATTTTGCTTGTCCCTGCGGCAAAAATCATGTTCCAGCTGATCCAGCTGGAGAGGGAAAAGGATGGTTGTGAGATAGGAAGGTGCCACCCCTCCCCCCCTCCCCCCCTAACCCACAGGTGCTACTGCGCTGTACAGACAAGCGACCCACACAGTTGAAGCGGTTTGTAACACAGTAGTGCCTGTGGCTTTGCGCCTAAGTGGTTCGGCAGTTTCCTTGCATAATATTGGTCTCGAGAGCGGCAAATGGGCATTCACCATATGGCGCAGTGCAGCTGACAGCTGAGCGGACGGGCTCGAAGGGCCAATGCAATATTGCCAGAGGCGTCTGATCCGACGCCACAAATATCTTCGTGATATGTCAGCTGCAAGTCGAGAGCAAATCAGGACAAGTGAGGAGCAATGAGGCCCAAGCCGAAGGACCTGGACTGCGGCCGAATTTGCAGTGCAGCTGGCATTGCATTGAAAAAGTACCCTCGGGCCAGGAAGAGAGAAAAAGAGAAACAACTCGGTTCTCTCGTTCTGAACGAAACTTGCAGAATAGCGTTAAGCCTGTCCCCGTCACTCGCCGCCCAACAGCTCCACCGCCACGAGCCTACCTGGTTGGGTTAGGAGTTCTAGAAACCTCGAAACACGGAAGCCCATCATCCAGCGACCCGAAGTGCTTGTAGGGAGAACTTAGCTGTGTGCGAGATGCGAGCTCAAGAGACGTTATTGCTCCGCGCCATCGGGAGTTGGGGCGTGTGGTGTCACCTCATTCTCTGCATCGCCACCTCAATCTTGATGCTATCCAAACTGGATGGGTACGACGCAGCCGACGACTCCCGGGTCCCGTTTTTGAGATGGAGGAACGGTCTGCGTGTCAGTGACGTTGCAACACTGATTTCCGTCGCCAACACCCTCATTCGAATCTGCTCGACGAGCGTCGTCGCCATTAGTTCTGCCCGAGTCATTTTCATGCTCCTGGAGAAGGCGAGCCTAAGCCTAGGCGAGGTCCAGAGCATTGCGAGCTGGAAAGCCATCATCCGACTTCCCTTTCGGCGCCGCCGATACGAGGTCGCAGGCGAGGACAAGACGAACCAATCAAGCCTAAATCGATCGGGGCTTTTGTCGACAGATTCTCAGGTAGCCGGGAACTACAATCACCGACGCTGGGTGTGGTCGCTGGCCTTGATTCTTCTCCTGATGACCCCGCAGCAGTTTTCAGCCCCGATTCTCTCCGGATCTGTGGACTGGAATGTCTTCAGCACGTGGGGACAGCCTGTCAAGACGTTCTCCGGCTCCCAGGGCGAAATCGAGCTGGACTGGGCCTCGTATGCCGACGACGGGCGGCTCCGAGAGTGGCACGCCAGACGGGCCTCGGGTTATGCCGGCATCACTTGGGGGAGCAGCAATGGGGCCGACGCCCCGCCCGGCCCTGAAGTATGCCGCCATATTATAGACAACAGAGGGCTTCCGGAGCAGTCAAAACTGTTGGGCGCGACGCTGCCGCATATCAAGGTGCACTCCATCAACTGGGACCCCCCGAACGTGACGAGGAGCTCCCTTCCCTTGGGACCAAACATCAGCTCCTTCGGCGACGATGTTCTGCGGTACTACCAGACCGGAAACGCGGTGCTCTACGACCCCCAGAACAGCTGGGCCATCCCGACGGCTGAACGCGTTTGCGTAGCTCGGCCTCAGGGGATCGCGGCGGTGGATGCAGCGCAAGCTAAATCCCAAGCGGCTAGTTACGGTCAAGGACTGGGCAGCGCCATAGTCCGGGCTCTTGCTGCAGATTCGGGGTCGGCCCAGGCGAACAGTGGACGGCCAGCCGCTCAAGATGGCACGAGTCTCACCACCGGTAGTACCCAACAGTGCTCGGAACAGCTCCCTGCGCCCAAGGAGCCGCTCCGTTTTGTCGGCGAGGCCATGATCGCTGTTTTGATCTCCAGGCAGAACATTACGGAGTGCCAGACCATCCGAAACAACTCGTTTGGCGACACATCCCGGGTGCGCAAGTTTGCCAACGTCACGCTAGGCGTGCAGGAAAGCTGCTACGCCCTGGGGACGGTCAACTTCACCGCCGGCGTCGTCACGCTGCCGGAGACGAGATACATTAGTAGCCAGGTTGTCGAGGGCAACTGCACAGACGCCATACTAGACGAGGGGACATGGGTACGGGAGGCACTGCTTATGATGCCCGACGTCATGACCATGGTGTCCCTCATGAACGCCACGAGCATGCCGACATGGGACGCCCTCGACGAATATGTCGGCACCCTGCTCCAGCAGTCCTTCACCGCGAGCTGGGACGCCCTGTACTCGGCCTCGAACCTGACCGTCTTCCTCGACGCGCAGCCGTACCAGCCAAGGATCCGCGCGTCCGTCTCCAGGTTGCGCGTTGCGGTTTGGCTGGCCCTGAACCTCCTCCTGACCGTATCTACCTTGTTCTTACTCTTCGCCGAGTCGTTCTGCGAGCGGGGCACGGCGTACGACGCGACAGCGGCATTCTTAATGACCGACGTGGACGCTTCACTGTTGGGGAACGAGAGGGACAACCTGTCCATGGTAACGGGGGTCGACTCCAATGTACGGGTCAAACTGTTGCGCAACTCGAGCGGGCGATTCCGCTTGTCTCCCCATGAATGGAAAAGGTAATTAAGTCCAGTCCGTTTACACGTCTTTGGTTATAGTATGGAGACTGTTTTGGTGAAAAGATAATGAGGCAAGGGACAAGCAAGCTACGGATAGAGGTATTCACACAGTGAAATTCAGCAGTGATTCCGACCAAATTGAGGATGATACCTTAGTAGCAAGGGAGTAGTGATATCTTAGTAGTGTCACGGCTAATAGGATTATAAAGGACCATGCCAATAAGATACCGTATTTATTTGGTGTAAAACTAATCTAAAGAAGAAAAGAAAGAAAGAAGGATCGCAGGAGCTGCGATCGGTGGTTTGTGGGCGGAGTTTGCACGTGACCCACACGCTAACCTAATTGGGCTTTTTCCATGAAAGGGTTTGCGGGCGAAGTTTACACGTGACCCACAACTAAGCCTAATTGGGTTTCTTGGAAGATGACGTAACACGGCCAGCGACAATGAACTCACAATGCGCTGTGCCGTGACAAGTAGCAAAGGAGTAGTGATAAGCGGATAAGGGGCCGAGCAACTAGGAGTTTATTTACCCCCCCGACTGAGAGAAAGGACTAGGGATAAACTCCGAGATCCGCTGCGTATTGAATGCCACCGCAACCCTTGACTATCGTAGTTCTCACGAAGATAACAATAGGTTTTCTATGTAGGTCATCAGCGTGGGTGTCATGTAATGTTATTTATGCCGGAAACTGCAGCGGGGTACCTTGAGGGAAGAAAATGATATGTGTGGCGAACAAAAGGCATTGACACAGCGGGTGGGTGATGAGCTGAAGCAAGCATACACTCGTTATCAAAATCCAGCTCCAACGAGTAGAGCTGTGCTAATCTACAATAGCAACAGCAATAGTGCGCGAATTTAGACATAGCTAAGAGAAATCTTTAGCTGAAACAAGAAGAGAGAGCAACAGCAGTTTGTTCATCGGGCAATCCGCCACGCCAGCCCTCCAGCATTGAAATTCCAGACGAGGATGTGATAATACTCTAATGATTGAGCGGATTGTGCTGAACAGCAGGTTGGCTGGACTCACTTAATCATCGTGTACTCCGGAAGCGGCCCCACGTCCGCCGCCTCGCCGTTCATACATCCGTCAACGTAGCACTCACTGATAACCCGAAACGCGGTCCCCGTGCCCGGCCGCAGCACAAACGGCGTCGCCCCTTGATGCAGGAGGTATATAGTGTCACCGGGCAGGACATCTCTGGCGCCAAGGCTAAGCCGCCCCGAAGTGGTCAAGAAGAGGCCGTTGCCCAAAGACATCTTATGTACCTACCCGACCCACAGCCGCAACAAGTCAAACACCTTGGCCTCATCATCGCTCTTTGCGGCACCACGCTCCCAATACGGCAACATATGGCCCGCGAGTTCCGATAACGATCTGCTCGCTTTGCCAACCGTTGCTTCGACTTGCTTCTCGCCCGCTAATTCGGCTCTGGCACACAGCTTCACCCACCAGGGCCTCACTGTGACCATCTCCCAATCAGGCCCCCCAAGTGGCTTATCCTGAAGCATGTTGGCGGAGAGGGTTCTGAGTACGGCAAGCCGATAGTCCTTCGTGAAGGGGCGGCAGTCCAGCCACTCAGTCACAAAGGTCCAGACACCGGGTCCGTCAGCGAAGTCGATCACGCCCTCGACAGTGTCGATTTGAATGCCTGACACGCCGAGTCTAGTACCCGAGATTGACGGCGGGGCGGTGCCGCGCATGCCCTTGGAGGCGTTGAAAGCCCGCGGGACAGTAAGCCGCGTGGGAGGGTCGACGTCGCCCTCCCGTAGAGTCGACCCGCCCGCTGCAGCATCAATCTGGAGCCACGGAGCATCGCCCGGTGGCAGAGTCTTGAGGCCCCGGGTCCTGTGGTTGTCAAGACGAGGGTAACTTGTCCAGTCGACGACCCACGAGGGAAGATTAGGGTACTTGTTCTTTTCACGGCTGAACCGAAGCGGTGCAAGAGGCTCGAAACCGCTTCCCCCGCTGGAGGTCAGGACATGATCTGCCGAGACCTGAATGAACACGTCCCTCGTATCCTGTCCATAGTCAATCTCCATTGGGAGCTGCATGCCCAGAAACGCCATGAAGGATATGATGGCGAACACCTTATCGAGCGGCACCGTCGCCTCCGAGTCGCGGAACTCTACGCACTCGTCAAAAAGAGTGCGCTTGCGCCTCTCAGCGAGAGCTTTGGTCTGCATTGACATGATGAGCCACACGAAATCCCTCCAGCTAGGCGCCATCTGTGCGACGATCACGTCGCGTAGCAGAGCATGCGAGTAGAAAAGGTGGGCATAGACCTAGCGGACTCGCAAAAATAACCCCAAATTATGATTGCTACAGTCGTCCCTGTCTCTGCTGAGCTCCTTGACGTGTGCAAATCCCTCGCGGGCTACCGCCGCCGTCCCGAAACAGAGTGTGACGTTCGGCGAGGTTGCGAACTCCTGGAGCGTCTACAGCTGCGTTGCCCACGGAGATTCGCCGAGGTACCGAGCGATGTAGTACATGCGGTTTGCGTAGACTTTCCTGAATTCCTCCGACGTGGCAGGGATGCCGTATCGGGCGAGAGCTTTGCTGTCGTCCACACCCCAGAATGGCGGAAGTGCGTACTTGGCGAGATTTACCTTTTTCCCCGCGTCTTTGAGTAGGTAGAAGAAGCAGGCGAGATTGAATGCGTAGTCGAGATCCTCTGGGTTCTTGGTGAAGTCGGCTGCATATTCCTCGAGCGCCTTTGCATCGTCTCCGCGGCCGAGAAGGCGGACTGGTTGATGTCGGTCCGTGTAGCAGTTCCATAGCTAGACAAGGACTTGGTCACAGAGCGAGTATATCGTTGCCATCATCTGCACCTGCGCAGACCGCTCGGCGATGGCGGCGGGATCATGGTGTTGATTAATGCAGATGGCATCGATCCAGATGACCATTGGCGAGCTCCCTTCAGGCTGACGCAATCGCTGCAGGATGGTGTGCAGGTTCCTTTGTACTCGGAATTCGTTGTCGTTGATGGTGATGTCAACCTCAACCTTGTCCGTCCCCCAGCTATAAGAAAGAGAATTGTAGTGCGGTCGGTCCGCTAGGCGCGCGCAAGAGAGACGGCGAGTCCACGCATTCATCGTGACAAGTGGGCAGCTGAGGCAGCCAAGTCTGGGCCGTGTTTGTGCCAAGCAAGGTAGGCGGACTGGTTGCGGTGAGCGGCTGGCGTTTCTGGTCGAGGAAGGAAGGAACAGACCAGCCGAGAATATTCCGACGACGCCTCCAGCTCATTTCTTCAAGCCACAACGCCCGATGGCGGGTAATTCGCCAGCGCGCATCCCATTCAATTGCAAGGTCGTTATGTCTTTCCTTCGCTTTGGTTTCTTTCTTTGCATGCCCCGAGGAGAGTGTGTTAGCTTTTTCCAGCTCTCTAGATGCAATTGTAGCTTCTGATCACTCATTCCTAAAATTACATATGTGACAATCGCTAGCTTTGGGGGTCAAATATTCTAGTTTATAATTTTATTATAATTCTAGATGATAAAATTATATTAGAATTAAGATAACATTATTTTTATTTTATTTCTGCTATTCATTGCCTATGGCCTTCGGTCATTTTGGATGATGAACCACAAGGAAATCGGGCGATTGGATTGACAGAATGGACGTAGTTGATAAAATAGGCCGCCAGATGCTCGCGAATGCTGCTGTGTTGAACATGGGCCGGCTTCAACTGAGGCGTGGACTGGAAAGCGTCCCCGGCTGGAGCCAAGGCATCCAAATCTACAATGAACTGAGCTGCACTGTGGCATACGCTGGCACAGCCAGCCCATTCATTCCAGAACCGGTACAGACAGTTATTAGGTAACAACTTGTGAAATCAAGGACAAAAAATGGGACCGTCATTCTGACTGGCCGCGCCGGTGCTCCAACCCAATGTCTTGCCCGCGTAGAGCCTCAAAAGTGAGTTGTGGAAGCAGAGGTTCAGGTTCCTCACCGGCTGATCTCAGGTCACCAGGCCGAGACCCCCGGGCGCGTAAAAGCAGGGTCAACATCGTTGCGCCTTATGGCTTCCACAATCTATCCACCGCATATTTTTGTTCCAGTTGGCTTTGCACTTCTTTGCGCTCTCCCCTTGGCATTAGCACAGGCAGGCCACTTTTAAATGGTTTTTGAGAAAGGCGGGGCAGATTGCACAGCATCTGAAATTGTAGAGGGGCATGCACGCCAAGCGCCTTCTCGATTGCCTGATCAGACCCGGGCTTGATCAACTCAATGCAGTGGGGCACACCTACAGCAACCCACCACTCCAAGGCGGATAGACATTCTCAAAGTCGTAATATTTTCCGCACTTCACCTAAGCAACACCATACCCGAGCGGTGCAGCACCGCACACACCCAAGGCAGGAAGAGTCCTAAAACAGACATTCCCAACCACCCCAGCACTACTAGCCTGCCTTGATCTCAAGGCGCCAAGCGCCGCGCCCAAGGCCAGTGGGACCGCAAGGCAGACATCCACAAGAACATGTAAGGACGCCGCGAAATGAAGATCTCCCTCTCTGGGGCTATATCAACATATGTCCAAGGTATGAAAAGGACTCTATGCTGTCCACGATAGTCGACGATGGCAAGGCTCGCTGTCTCGTGATGAAAACGGAAGATGGGTGGTTATATGGCCTTAGGGTAACACATTATCTTCTCCCGCGGTGATTTGTCGCATGACTACGCCACTGCGGATGGTCCCGCCGACCTAAAGCGAAGAGATTTGAGCGCCGCTACTCTAATACTGATGATACCATGAGCATGTCGAGGTGTTATATGGTCATATTGATCCAACGCTGCCTCGCGGCGGTCTCCGCACGTACAGGGTGGAGGGCTGTCTTATTAAAACGACTTCAGTGCCACTCACAGTATCAGAGGCTGTCTTGCTACCCAGGGCATCGAAGAAGGGAGACTTTATTGTGCAACATTATTCCACTACAACAGATCACTATGATATAGGCCAACTACACAAAATAACGGCAAGGAGAATCTGTCCCCAACTGCCAACCGGCGTGACAGAAAGGCCAATCAAACTGCGGGAGTAAACTGCGGTGTGGCTTCTCCGAGCCTCCGGTTTACGCCCTCGCTATAGGCGGTGAATCTCTCGTCCATGGTCTGAGTGCTTAGATTTTTCGACTGCTGGTGGGTCAAAATGGCGATAACCCCGCCAAGGAGCTCGAGGGCGAGCTGGACGAGCGCGAATGCCCAAGACGCATACTATATAAGCAGATAAAAGATTAGCCCAGACCTCGGCAAGCAGAAGGAAGGGGAAGCTCGCCTGCGAGTTGCAGTTAGACTCTGCCTGGATCATCGTGACGCCAGCGGCCTGGTCGGTGCAGGTATAGCTCCACAAATCGGCGTTCTGGCCCGACGCGTTACCAAAGTCGAAGCTCGTCTTGCTGATGACGGCCGAGAGGCCGTAGCTGACCGCCTTGGCTGAGGCGACGACATGGTGGGCTGCGCTGCCGATCCGGACGGCCCACGGCGCGAACTTGCTGCTCGGCTGCAGGTATGCGACAATCATGCAACCGTCGAAGACGAGGGCCGCAATGGCGACACTGAAGAGCAGGATCGTGGGGACCACATCGGGGACGACCGGCCAGGCTCCAGGCGTGTTTTTAGTGTTTTGGTACGTCCAGTACACCCGGCCCTGGAAGACGGCGATGACGATCGAGAGAAGTGCCGACAGCATGCTCTGGATTATACGCAGCACCTTGATGCGCTTATCGCGGCGAGCGTACTTGACCTCGTCGAATCCCTCGTGGGCGTCGGGGGCAGGCTCGACCGCGGCATAGCCCGCGCTCATGGTTTTGCTCTCGCTCATGATCCAAGGTGGTAGCTAGGGGTAAGTTGAGAGGGGGGAAGGTGCGGTCGAAGAGTCAGTACAGTCGGTCCGATGGAGAGAAAGGCGAGTTGCATGGCAAGAGCGAGTTGCATGGCAAGAGCGAGCGAGTTGCATGGCAAGAGCGAGCGAGACGCAGGCTCCGGCCTCTCTCTTATCCAAGTTTGCCCAGCCTACCCTACTTCTACTAGGCAGGCCGCACAGTAACCTCCGCCGCTTGGGTAGCAAATGCCGCCGATTTGATGTTTGGCTGTGCAATTGGCGCACCGTGCATGGTGATAAAGCGGCTGGGCGTCTGCTGGCCGGCGCCACATTGGGTGACGGGCAAGCTGAATCTGCAAGCCGAAGCTTGTTTGCACCACTCATGGGGCGACACCAAGCCGGCGTAAGCAACGACGAGCCATCACCATACTACCAAGGGTTAGCGTCTCATGCAGCCAAATGTTTTCGCCGTTGGCATCGACGCTCAAAATGTCACGTGACTAGGCCCAACTGGGCTACATGTTTTCCAAGCGAGGATCTACGCCTACACAGGCCTAGTGCTTACCGGTCAAAGGGCAGGGTCTTTCCTACGCGAAAAAAGGCCTTGCGCACTGCTTTCTTCCTTCCACATCTTCAATGGAATACTATAGTACACCTATTTGACTGGTTTTGTGCAACACCAAAGTCGGAGAAGGGCCGACGCCCCGCACCGATTTCAACTGCAAAGCCGCTGTCTTGCTTCAGATTGGTCAAAGCGCAAACGGAGGAGCGGGGCATTTCACAAGGGCTGCACAACAAATATCTCCATCTGTTCTAGGATCCGACCAAATTGTTAAGTAACAATAAATCCGGGACTGACCACCAACTGTCTTTCATGGCGCCAACGGCGGGAAGGCCCTGACTTCAATTCAGGCCGCGAACCCGATTTTTCAGTTTTATGAAAGAACGCCCGTTGCGACGCCTCTTTGAGACAAGAATTACAGATTAGGTACAGAACTTGCTGTTGTGACTGCCGAATTTGGCAGGGCAGTGCCGCCATTTTCGGGGGCCTCGACAGTGCGGGATGCTGGGTCACAGCTAGGTACATGGTACTTCACTGCGGGCTAGCGCCCTCTAATCAATTCATCCTGTGTAGCCGCGACCCGGCACCCCCTGGCGGGTGGTTGGTCTTGAAAAGCCGCGATCCAGGAAACCGTTTTACTTCTCCCTGGCATCCATTTTTGGCTCCCAGGCGCAGCAAGACATAAAATGACGCCCCTCGTGCTTTCCGTCGTCCCCGGCTCGTCAGCTGTTCTCGTCAGAGTCGGCGACCCTGCCCTCAAGCCTCAACGCCATCGCCATGCCAGCACGTCGCCCCCCGCTGCCGCTCGGTTACAATGCGGATTTCATCCGGCGCTTCACGTGGCGAGAGCCGCGACGCGGGCAGCGAGACGGCCAGCGGCCCTGACAGCCGAGCAGCGTGTAGCTCTCCGCAAGCAGCTCGAGGACACTCGGTTTCTTAAGCCCGACTATGCCAACAAGACCAGGTCAATATTGCCGGTATACTACGAAAATGGAAGAGGTAAACAGGTCGCCTCCAGCCTCCCTCCTGTTCTATCGGCACTTTCGCTAACGAATCTAGAGATACTGCGAATCCGCCAAGTTAGAGGGAACCTGGCGAGACGTAGTCCAGAACGCAAACCGAGCGATGGCAATGGATTTCCTCGAATATTTGTGTCAAACTTGCCGAATTAAATCATGGGGCTCGTCGTGGGAGTATTTCCGCCAGTACAAGCAGCTGTACGCTAGTGCCACGGGTGGCTACATAGACAGGAACGATAGTCGAGAAGTTCAGAAGGTGCGTTCCCAAACTCCCGCCCACCGACATAGCACCTAACGCGACTCGTAAGTGGCACGACGCCGTCTTGGTCGACAGGTACGGCCTACAAGCGCCATGCATCCGTGGAAAGGACGTCGCGAACGCGGACACTTTGCTGGTCCTCTTGACCTTTAATATCAAGTTCGATACAGGCATCTTCTCTTGCGAGGGGCACCGGGCCCAGCTGCCGGGGTGCTACCTCGGCCTTGCCTTCACGGGGGCAAGACTGGCCATAATGTACGAACCTGTGTTAGTTTGGGAGTGTCACGGTCGCCACAGGGCTCATGTGACAGGATTGATTCTATTGGCTGCATTGTGCTTAGGGTGTGGCCTGTGCGCACTGAGCACCACTACCTATTTCTCCGCGCCCTGCGCGGACCCCGCGATAGATTCCTTTCTCTTCCTTAGCTTTAAATCCACATTCGTTGCTGCCTTCAACCATTCACATCCCTACTGCGTAAGGCGGGCCGTCACAGGGAGACCTTTGAAGATGAGGATTTTGAGTAGTTTTAATTGATTGAGCGTGGTGGTTTTGTGATGGCCGTTACAAAAAGTAATGGCGGTGGATCATGCGCGCTTTGCAATGCAAGTACGTTATTAAAAATATGTAAGTATAAACGGCGTATAAGTTGGATTATGAGAGGTTATATTATGGCGGGATATACCGCTTAATATTTGAGTTAGAAGGTCCGGAGGCACCGAAAACGGTACCTCAGCCTGGCTGCGCCTCTGTAAAATCTTGTTGGGAGACTTGTACCTCCCTGTTTCCGGCTCCCAAGTTTTGCCATTTTCTGCTTCCTGGAGTCTTCTCAATAATCTTTGTGACCGCTCTATCATTTACGGGAGTGTACTAACCGCCTTATCTATTGGAAGGGACCGCGTAATTCTTCCCTAGCCCTATTTTTATAGTATTTATTTTCTTTACTGCAGCTATATTTTAAAGATACTAACGTGCGTGAGAAGCGAGCGGTGAGGATAAGCGAGCGGTGACTTTTCTACTACCTAACCATAATAATCCTGAATTACACAACCACAACACTAGGAAATAACAATAACTGAATCAGAAACAGATGAATCAGACGATTCTGCAGCCTCCTTGCAAGTGCGCGCACTATGGCCAGGCTTGCCACACACACCACAACACCGAATCTTCGTACGAGACCCCCCTGTACCACCACCACTTTGTCGTATTTCCTAGGCCACCTGCTCACCCACAGCCTTCTGATCCAGTAGATCCTGTGCCTCTTGTACAGTAAGTGAGCCTCCAAGCCGTACACGTGTTTTTTTAACCCTCCGTCGCTTACTGAGCCCCTCATTGGCCTTTCGTAATGCCGAGACCTCAGTACGTAGAAGAGCCACCTCGTGCATCACAGCCATTGTACCTTTGGCTAGTCGATCCACAGCAGTAAGCATTGAGGTTGGAGAGCTGCCCTGATGGTTGGAAATTCGCGTTTTAATAAGTGTTGACTGTGAGGTGGCCTCTCGAGGGTTATGTGGCGTTTGGGAGACCCAAGGTAGTGTGGTTGGGCTTGGAGCTGGTGGGGGTGTTGGGGTCTGAATACGTATATCCAGCTTAGATATTACCCTCTCTGGGTCGTACGGCACAAGGCCAGCTCAGGCAAAGCCCCCCTGGATGTTTTTTTCTGTAATCGAAGTAAAAAAGGCTTCTATAAACGCACAGAGAAATTCCAGCTTGCTGATGTGTGTAATGCTCATCCGCATCAACTGCTCGATCTGGTGGCCATATGCCTTCTTTAATGGCGAAAAACAGCCAACATCTAATGGCTGAAGTAGGTGTGAAGAGTGTGGAGGCATATAGAGCGTAATAATGTTGTGTTCCTAGCAGTAAGCCTCGAATTCTTCGGAGTGGTGGCTATCGTGGCCGTCAAGGATTAGAAGCCGATATTTGCCCTTTGTACGAGACGCTGTGTGCAGATCGAAATGCCGAATCTAATCTATGCCTTTCTCATTCGTAGTCCAGCCATTTTCAGTTGTTGCAATACGCCAGGTGGCCGGAAGGTTGCATTCTTGATACCAGTTGGCAAGGTGATATTGCCCAGCCAAGATGATAAATGGTGGGATGGCCCAGCCAAGAGAATTCACCCCCTGGATGACTGTAGCCCACTCTCGATTGCCAGGCTGGGCCTGTTTAGCCCTGCCACGGCTATTTGAGGTAGTAACTACCATAGTGGGGGTGATAATGCCAATCATAAAGCCAGTCTCATCGAAATTATACGTATCTTCGTCAAGGATGCCGTACTTGCCCTTAGTGTTATACACAAGGGCAAACCACTCGCGAATAATCTTTGGATCTTCGCATTTAGCCCTCTAGTAGTCGTATTTACGCGAAAAACGCGTCTAGAGCTCTAGCTAGCGTTTGACGAAGTTGTGAGCCCAGCGTTTGCCGACAGGGGACGCGTCACGTTCGCGTAACAGTCGGTTGGCCATATCTTCCACGTAACAAAGCCGAGGGTGGAATGCGCGTGCACATAGCTCAGTAATGTACTAAATAATCGTATTCTCTTCTAAATCCGTAAGCTTGCGTGAGTTGGCTAGAATATCGCGTCGTGCAGGCCGGCCGTCGCGTCGGGCGGTAAGGGTTGTTGGTGGTATGTTGTAGATTTTAGCTACGCGTTGAAGTTTGAGCTTTGGGTTGTCTTTGATAGCTTTGAGGGCTAGAATAATTCTAGATTCGGTCGGAAGCGAATCCATGGCGAATTGGTGGTAGAATTGGTGAAAGAGGGTGGAAGGTCGCGTCACGCTAGAAAAGTCACCGCTCGCTTATCCCCACCGCTCGCTTATCACGCACGTTAGGGAAGGTATGGTTAATTCTATTATTGCTAATAATAATAATTGAATAATATAATATTGTTAACAAAGTCTGTTCATCACCCCTTTTTCGCCAGGTGCTGACAGCTGTGCGCTAATCTGTTTTCGTGAAAAGGGGCTTGCAGGGCAAAGTAAATAAACCAGTAATATTATCGGATTACAGTGACTGACCAGGACTGGTGACGTGATTCTTCTGCAGCCTGCCGATTTGAACGTGAACGTGACCGTGACCGTGATGTCAGCGGCCTGTGCTGCTCGCTGGCGGTGGAGACTGAGGCTTTCAACCCCGAGGTCGTCTGCAAGCTCTCCGCTTTTCTTTTATTTCCTGCCTCTGCGGATGCCAAATGTGGCAACCCCAAATGCGCGACAGCTTCAGACTCGTCTGTGGCTCCCAAGCACTGCACTCAGAGTCTTAAGGTCTCGTACTGCTCGCGGGAGTGTCAGACGGCAGGCAAACGGCCCAACTACATCACCAAATTCCACCTCACACCTGATGACATCCGCGACCCGCCGGTAGCGCGCACGCCCTCATCAACAAAAGGGGTAATTAACCCTAACCCTTTACCTTTCTGTCACTTTATCCCAGGACTATCCGTGTAACACTATTTGTAATATTCGATCCATTTTCATCGCATTCAAGAAGCATAAGGCCTCGAGTGCCTCTTTGAATTCGATTTGTTTATGTGAAGCCAAACTCTTCTGCATTGCCCCCGCGGAATACATACTTTCTTTGCGGCACAAGCGATTCCTTGCTTTGGTTATTCAATACGTAAAGACCGAGCCGTCGCTATACTCAGTGCAAGTATGGCAGTCTAAGCCCTGGAAAGGGCATTCCAGGCTCTGGAAAGAACGTCTTTGCTGTAACTCTTGCGAATGAACTCACCGAGGACGGCCACCCGGTACTCTTCTTCTTCTTTCGCCAAATCATCGACGCCAATCACCAGGCAGCCAACCTACTACGAGACTGCCTAGACCAGATCATCGAGTACAGTCCTCCGCTTCAGAGAGATTTGAAACGAGTACGTGGACAGAGCCGGCGACAAGGAGTGCTCCTTGGAGAGTCTCGGCATGGACAGTCTGTGGAGGCATTTGAAGACAGCTCTTGCTCACCTTCTCCGAGTCTACCTCGTGGCCGATGCATTGAACGAGATGGACAAGGGAAACGACGAGTTTCTAAACGCATTGGCAAAGCTCGGATTGTGGAAACCAGCCACAGTCAAAGTTCTCATCACGAGTCGGCCCGTCACTACCGTCGAAGCCCCGCTTAGAGAGTTCGCGTCGCTCCAAATCCGGCTTGAGGAGCGCCTTGTGGACATCGACTGCAGTGGCTAAAATCAGCTAGATCCGCAGCAGTGTCACCCACCCTCCACGCTTTGGATTCGAGAGAATTTACTCAGCACTGGCCGCAAACCGAAGTTATCGGATCAAGCTGCATACGCTAGCGTCTAGCGGTGAACACAAATGCTACAACAGCTTGAGAATAAAATGACCGTGATTTTAGGTAAGTTAATGACCTTCCCCCCTTGCTGTGGGACTGATGCCCCTGGAGTCCGCCGATTCCTTGCATACGACGGCAGCCATCGTACGATGGATCATCAATGGGGGATTAATTAACCCCGGAATCTCGCGGATCTGATCGCGCATCTCGATCGCGCATCTGTAACGTAGTACCACAATTTTCGTGTTGTAATTGTGTCAGATACTAAGACGGTGTGCCTCTCCAAGGGGTACATCCCGCAGGTGTCTAAGACAGTCAAGGTCAGAGCGACAAAGTGTCTCGGGGGGACGTTGGTCATGTATTTATAAGAATGAGCAGTAGGCCCTGCCTAGCTTGACTCGGTAAGAGAAAGCGAAAATATTATCCGACATAATCAAGAATCGCACTCAAAGTTCGAGCAAAATAAGACGTCATCATGGCGTCTGCTGAGGATACCACGCACCAGGCCATCAGCTCGTACTTTATTGGCCCTCGGGCAGAGAACCTCAGCCAGTTCCGTGATAACGTCACGGTTCTCCTCAACGAACTTAAACGCGTTAGGAAGCAGTACTTTGAACAAGACAAGGCAAGTCTCATTCCCCAACATGGTTTTTTCTTTCTCCCTATTCATCTCATTGGACCTTCTCACATCTAACACAACGCCCTGACTAACGACAGGACAATGGCTACGAATTCATCCCCCCGGATGTGCAATCATCAGCCGAATTCAAGCGTGTCACGGAAAAGGTGGCCATAGCCGTCAAGGAGACGCAATCATGCTGGGCCAGCACTCTGTCCCTTTCTGGTCCCCGCGGTATCAAGCACATATGTGCACTGACCTGTCCATGCCGGCGCTGCTGGGCTATTTCATGACCATGGTCTACAACCCCAACAATGTGACGCTGGAGGCGAGCCCCATCAGCACTGTCGCCGAGATCGAGGTCGGCGAGCAGCTTTGTGAACTTTTCGGGTTCAAAGTCAAGGCTACTCGTGCAAACGAGCTAATTGCGTGAGCGCATATCACCTGCGACGGGACCGTTGCGAATCTGGAGTCCATGTGGGTTGGTAAGTGCACATTGACCTCTCAGTTCCTCTCTGGCATGATGAATATTGCTAATTAACACCACTCTCAATCAGCTCGCAACTTGAAGTACTACCCCCTCTCGCTGAGAAAAGCAATGGACGATATCGACGGCCCACTGCGCTTTGTGCCCGACACTTTCAGCGTGCGAACATGCACGAACCGCTTGAAGAGTTTCAGGGCGCTAACGCCTTGGGAACTTCTCAACCTGAAGCTGAAGACCATACTCGACATTCCTGCGCAGCTGTATAGGGACTATGGCATCACACCAACTTGGCTTCAGGGGGCTATCAACAGCTACAACATACAGACTGTTGGGAAGGGGGTTCTTGACAATCATTTCGATATTGGCGACAAGGACTCGCCGCAATACTTTGTTGCAGCCACGCGACATTACTCGTGGCCAAAGGCAGGAGGTAAGTACCTCACCTGTCATCATCTTCTAACTGTGGCTAATTAACCGACTATTTCAGCTATAATGGGCCTTGGCTCTGAGAACGTTGTCAGCGTCGACGTCGACCTCGCCGGCAGACTCAACATCGATCAACTCAAAGCCAAGCTAGACCACAGTCTGAAAAATGAGCGACCGGTCCTCGCCGTCGTAGCCGTTGTCGGCACGACCGAAGAAGGGGCAGTTGACCCGCTCTGCAAGATTCTTGCTCTCCGCCAGCGCTTCCAAGCCCAAGGGCTCTCTTTCATAGTCCACGCCGACTCAGCTTGGAGTGGCTACTTTGCCACCATGTTGCCTCGTGATGAATCCTGGGCCGCACTGCCGGGACGGGATGGCGGCGGAGTAGACGGGCTCGTTCCGGATCTGAGCCTAAGAGCTGAGACGCAGGAGGACCTATGCGCGCTGCGTTACTGTGATTCCGTCACCGTTGATCCTCACAAGGCGGGTTATATCCCGTATCCGGCGGGGGCTTTGGCATATCGTGATGGCAGGATCAAGAGTCTTGTTATTTGGACTGCGCCGTACTTGTCACAGGGTGCGGAGACGAGCATGGGGATTAATGGTGTCGAAGGGAGGTAAGTGGTTATAGTTTGACACGGGTACGGGGTTGAGACTGACAGCTCGGACGTAACTTGTAGCAAGCCGGGTGCGTCGGCGGTGTCGACTTGGCTCTCGCATCAATGCATCGGCCTGGATCAAAAGGGGTATGGGGCACGATTGAGTGAAGCCTGCTTCACCTCCTCTCGAGTGCGTTGCCCCTTTATCTCACACAGAGTACAAACGAGGCTAACTTGAACCATCTCTAGTTCTCGGCTCTGTGGGCGGCTTTGTCGACACCCAAATACAGCTTTCTCTGTGTGCCATTCAACATGCTGCCATCTGAGGCAACAGGCAGCGAGAAAGAGATCGAAGAAGAAAAGCAGCGCATCCGAGATGACATCTTGTCCAAAACAAATGCCCAGATTGTGAAGAACAACACGGGCAAGGACTCCGCTGACAAAACCATGACTCTCCTCCGCGCTCTTGGCTCAGATATCAACATCAATCTCTTCGCGGTCAACTGGCGCTACCCAGGGCCAGAGGGGAAGCTCAACACTGACGTCGAAGAAGCAAACTACTTCATGACCCGAATTATCAAGAAGCTCTCAGTTGACTCCCCCGATGATGCCACGACAACGATCCCGTTGTATCTCACCCCAGCACTTCTCGAACCTGACGTGTACGGAGAATGCGTCGAGAACTACAAGAAACGACTCGGTCTTGAACCCGATACTGGCGAGAGCTTGATGGTCTTCCGTAATGTGGTCATGAGCCCACTCGCATCATTTTCGACCAACGATAACTTCATCAACATGCTCGGCAACTCGTTCAAATGCATCGTGGAGAAGGAAGTAAAGGCAAGTGACCCCGGCCCCGTGAAGCTAGAGAAGTAGAGACAAACACGACAACAGATCTGCTAGAAACGCAACGAAGACGCGCCAGACTACCACAGCTTCTGGATCCACGGGGCGGAGCAGGTCTTTCTCTCCTACAGATCCATGTTCAACATCGCCAAGCATCGGCAGCAAGTTATCCTCGGCGTTGAGCTCGACGAAGCAGGCAAGACAGCATACGACGAGCTGGTGGGGAACACCGACGGCGAAATTGTTCTCAAGACGTCCCACAAACTCAATCTAGAGTCTCATCTGAAGAAGTTCGCCCCAGGCAAAAGCGTCGTGTTTCTAGGGAACCTGACTACCAAATCCAAGTAAGTCTCCGCTCACATATTATATTTGAACGAAAATGGGGTAAAAAAAAACGTAATGCTAACTTTGTCTTGCAGCGGCGTCGTAGCATCGGACATCACAGTCAAAATCGCAAGCGTGATCAAAAACCGCCCGCTAAACCGCCACGCACAAGACGACAGCTACCCCACAGGCTTCATGCCCTTCTACCTCTACGGGACAGCCACAGAGCAACACATCGACCACGTGCTGCTGCAGGCGCCAAATATTTCACTGACGGCAGGGAATGTGACACTTGGCTTGCAAGATGGCGTCGATATCAGCACTGCCGTTGTCGAAAAGCGCGGCGTAATCGTCACATTGGAGGGGATTCAAGAGGCGGCGATGCAGCCGTTCCCGGACACGAACGATGCCTTGCCGGCCGAGTTTTTCTTTCAGCCCGGGTGTGAGTTTGAGGTCAAGGTGTGGGATGATCCAAGGAGTCCGACGGAGAGTACGAGGAATATGTTGGCGGAAATGCGCGATAAGCAGCAGCCCTTGGCTAAGGGGACGCTGAGGCTGGGAAACGATGTCGTGGTGGACGTTGACAAGATTAATCGTGATCCGTACGGCGAAGTTGCCGAGTCCGACGAGACGTGTGTGAGCAGATGGAGAGAGCGGTTTTCGAGGATTGGGAAGGAGTTGTCGGCTTTCGATGACAGCTGTTAAAGGGGTTTAGAAAGATAGATGTCAGCGGGTTCCATTTTTGTTGCTTGGCTTTAGGTAGTTTTAATATGCCTCTTTGGATCCTAGAAAGATGTAAGCAGAGTTCCATTTTTGCCTTACTTTGTGAGATTGATGCTTCGTCGTTGCGCAAAGCGGCACTCGTTATGTTACCAATTGACAGCGATTTGAGACTCGCATTCGTTTAATACGAGAAGCTTTTCACTTGGGTTTGGCCCCCTCGGTGACGTAACGAACAAAGATGTAGTCCTGATGAGAAGAGATACCAAAAATGATATGCTGCTGGCGCCTGGGGGGAAGTCTGCCAGCCTTCTGGTTCTGCGCGTATTCTCCCTTCCGTATACTAGCCACTGATTACCTGGTACGTATCCCTGGGGGAATCAGAGTTCGTTCTGGTGGCGAGAATAAGACTCGCCAGTTCTTATTTATGAGGTTGTCATCTTCACAAGGTCACAGCATGGCTGGCAGTCTCCTTTGTGTCATAGGAAGAACATGTGCACTGGATATTCATTGTGGTTTATAAGTTCGCGGAACTCCAATTTGCGTCCCATGTATTTCTGCTCCAATGCAGCGGTCCGCGTTGCCTTCTTGCCTGAGATTCTTTTCAGGAACCCGTGCCTACCTCAGGTTTGCTAGTTGGCGCAGTTCAGCCGTGAGGATTAATCTAATTTACTTTTTGTACTACTCGATTTACTTTTTCTACTACTCGAACCCGCTGTTGAACGGTAAGAGCATTCACTCTTGTAGCCTCACGCCAGACTTTGTTGCTCTTGCACCGGGCGTTGTAGAGCCTGGGGATGTCATCTACTGGGTTCAGGGGTGTTTTTCACTAGTCCTTTTGCGTCCAACAGGAAATGGTTCTTACATCATTATCGGCAACGTATTTGCGGGGAGCGATAGATACGGCGAGGATAGACTTACTGGAGGGCTTAGATTCGACGAGCGGGAGGCTTACATTCGACGAGCGGGATCTCCAAACAATAACAGTAGTGTAGACTGCGTGAGGGTTTGCATATTCAACGTAGCTTTGAGCATTTGGCTTCACGTCATGGCCCACGCATTGCGAGATTCGGGACACAAGTACCGCTTTTACTAGGATTTCCCATACGATTTCAGTGACGTGGATTAACATCAGCTCAGAATCCTATCGACTGAGCAAAATCGGCACCTCGTAAACATCATATTCCGACTTCGTCACAGCAAATAAAAGGCAACCGGTAGGGCCGACTCAGGGGTCTTCCAAACGGGGTTTAGTCTCTGGGGTAATCTGTGCTCAAATGTCGTTATATTACCCGGAGTTATGGGTCGGATAGTTATGTCGGGTCTGACTGTATCTTATCTTAGTTACCAACAGCATGGCTATTGGATCCAAGTCAACCAACTGCTTTTGACTCAACTCGACATCACCCTGACTCATATAGAAGCTCAGGCTAACAATGTTTAGGTATTTAACACTGTTTCCCCTAGCATCAACTCCTGCCTCCAATTTCCACTTTATCTCCAACCGTGAAGCAGTGTAAAATAAAAAGCCATGTCGCCGTCGGATGTTGATCGATACTGGGCCATCAGGTTGTCTCCCGTCCTTCACATTGGTGCCCGCCCTCTGCATGAGCTGCATATGTTTTCGGTGGCAGCAGTTTGGCGTTGTTAGATAGTCAAACATTCGCCTCACCTTTTCGGTCCGGGTGAGACAATCAGCACCGATTCTAAACGGTAACGATAAGCGATTCTGACGGGAGAGGATTTGACAGTAGGGAGCGTGAGAAAGAGGTTATGGTATATCCGAGTAAATGTATAAACGGGATATTTCATCTGGTAAGATGACGCTCATTAAAAGACGGCCTCAACCGCCAGCGAGCCCGAGCGATCCACGCAAAGTCAATATCTGCTGCAATGTCGTTTCCAACCGAGCCTGCCTTCATCATTGACAGCATTGGGTGGAACGAAAAAAATCGCCAGCACCAGAGATTCGAGCGGCTATACCAACACGAGCTTCTCCTAGAGAACAAGGAATTCGAAGCCTGCGAGGCGGTCCTCAATGAATGACTGGCTGCATGCCTTGGGCGATTCACATCCGTGTACATGCGAATATCACCATGGAGGTTGATTGCTGGATACACCTTGGGCCTGCTATTGGTATGTACCAACCGAGTCATTGCCACAACTCTTCAACATTGGGCTGAAACTAGAGGCTAGTCCACCATATTATCTCTTCCATCTTTTAGCTAGATGCGTCACTCCAACTTCTCTCATACCAAACCAATCCCCCCCCAGCAATGCCCTTCCAAGTGCTCCGGTGTGCCTAATCCACCATCTCACCACCCGTTCCCCCTCGGGTGCCTAGCAAGTCTGCACCCGCATATAGATGCCCAACGAATTCGTCACGTTGCTGGGCTGAATATCTTGCGGCCAGTACACCCACATGGATTCGCCGATCCATTCCGGGACTTCGACGAACAATTCCCCACCGATCTGGTTGCATGGCTCGGCGTGAATGGTCTGGATGCCGGGCTGGATGGCATTGACACCGAACGGGCCTGGCTTAATCTCGAGCTCGGAAAGCTTGTCGCCAGGGTTGTAACCGCCAGGTGGGACACCAAAGAACGAGAGCAGTACAGGCCCCCAGACTGGCCTGCCCCACATTGCCTCGTTTTCGAGTCGGTCGGCAGGGAGGCTCATGACCCATGCGCAGCTCCCTGTTGTGGGAGGGGAAAAGCGTACAATCATCTTGTACCCTGACTTGTCGTTGTTGAGTGCCGCTTCGAAAGAGGGGGCACTGGACCACCCGGGCTCGTTAGGCTGTGCGAGATCAAAGATGATGAGATCGGTGGGGGCGAGGATGGTGGTCGTGCATTGTCTTGCTTCGAGGGGGTCGCTGGGCGCGGCGGTAGCCCCAATGACAAAGGAGAGAAGACTCAGCACACCCGTGACAGAGGACAAGAGTTTAGTCATGATGAAAGAAGAGGGTGACTTGGTAGACAATAAATGATAAATGTGCCAACGAAGAGACACCAATTAGCTTTTTCCAATTGCGACAAGATGTTAGCTTTATAGGAGCAACAAACAAGGACATGAAGTGGGATGGCAATTTATACATACTGCCTTGTTCCTGAGACTGCTTGGCAATGTCACTGTAAATCTGCCATGTGTCACACTCTCTGGTCTTCGAGGATGGTGAAAGGGCAACATCGCGTGGTCAAGTGACCCCTGCTTTTAGGAATACGAGGACCTGCCTCGCACTATTGGTAAATTTGTGGTCAGAACCCGGGTCAGAGTGGGGGATTACAACGCTGCTGCAGCGGGTGACTGGGGTTCAGCCTTATTCGGGGACCGCGACCCAAGCGCGGAGCCTACAACTCCTTCTAACGGGCGCAAAGAGGCGAGGTTCCCGCTGAGATAGCAACCAAAATGGAGACGAGCTTCAAACACAAACTTATCCAACTACACCCATTATTTGTGTCGGTCAGGACAAAAGACGGTGAACGCGTGGTGAGTAAAGTAAGGCAGGATTCCTAGGTACTTCGGTAGAGTTTGAAGAGGGCAACACGGGCTTACTATCTACACAACCCGGCTATTACTTGGATAGGATATTAAAAATTGCAAAAGAGTTCTTCGTCAAATTCAGGCTCAGCTTGAAGCTTTTGTCAGTGAAATTATCATCGATTCAATTTCGCCCGCCTTAGCGTTTCGTCACTGTCTCACCAACGTGTACAGGCTGAAGGCACTAGCTGTGAAGCGCGATTCTAGGTATGGGGTATACCCTAACCCTGAGGATAATCCTGTGGTGGAGCTTTCAGGAGTTGAGCCTGCGCCTAGCGTGGGGTTCAGCCCCGCACTAGTCCGCATCTATCTAGCTATCTGCACGTGCTGGATCACATAAAATGTCACGTGACCCATCTTCCATTCCGGCATCAACCTTCCCTTTAGAATAAAGTTCTGCACCTTTCTCGCTCCGAGCATCTTCTAGACAAGCTGAAAAACTGCATTGACCGTCGCAGCCCGCCATATTTTCAACTCGCACGCCCTACATACTCACCATAACGCCAACACCCACAAAGGCACACGTAACAATAGACGATCTCATAGTCAAGAAGAGGAGGTCAATGGCACAGTCAGAGGGATCAAATGCTCCGTTAGAGGGGTCGAATGCCCGTAATAGCGCACACACAGCTATCGAGGAGACGACCACATTCATCGAAAACCTATTGGAGCTACGGGACAAGGATGGCCGAAGGGTTATGAGCACTTCGACGATGAACCGAGTCTCGGACCTGCTTAAGTTTTGCAAGGATACGACAAAGACACCAGAGGAGAAGCAAGCCGCTGTCCACTGTCGCGGCGAGTTAGAGAGGCGACTCGGGCTTGACGCCAAGTACGCCTCTGCAATGCGAAAGCTCGAGGCGATGCAACACGACCAATTCTTTTTACGATATGGCGACTACTATGCTGCAGTATTGGGAAGAGTTAGAAGGCAGGCGAAGCAGACCGGAAAGACGCAGCAACCCAGCAAGAAGACCATTCCCCCAGCAGAGTTGTCAGGCGATGTAGACGAGGACACATCCGCGAATCCAGACACACCTATCGTAAATAAGGAGTCCGCCCCAAAGATCTTATTCACGCCATGGGCCCATATTAACGGGATTCTTTCCGCCGAGGAAGACAGGATGAAGGACTGGGAGATAGAAACACAAGGCGAGGATGCGGACAGCAAGCCCGAAACACCAATGACGGACTATGTCCAGGAAGTCACAAGACGAACGACAGACTACGATTTTGAGTTGGTCAGGAAGTCGATACACGCAAATGCTATACGAAACAAGCTGGCACACAGTCACCTCACCCAATTGGCCGAAGAGAACAAGTGGTTTAAGTTAGCACACGCCTTGCCAACGACATTGAGGACTTGGCTACCGCACCAGCGTCATGTAAACAATTCGTTGATACCACGCGTCGAGGCATATTGAAGGTGGCAAAGAATTGGTTTTTGACTTTTGATTGGAACGAGTAGCAAAACGAGCTCATCCACTACGTACCCCGGCCTATCGGAGATATTTTCTCGACTACTACCGTCCCGTCGGGGAAGGAAGAGCGGGCGGACGATATGCCCGCGAAGAAAAGGAAGAAGCGGACCGGCGTGCCCAAGTTCCAGCGAGGTGCGAAGTCGGAGATGGAGTGGGATGATGAGGAGGATAAGATAACTCATTGGGATGTCTTGGGATGGAAGAGGATGGATGAGCGAGCCGTGGTTCCGCCAAGGCAGAGCCTAGGCCACGCCTTGGCGCTGTGGATGCGGTTACAAGTCACCACCCGTGCCATAAATGCAGTCTACCAGTCAACATCAGCGCTATCGATGCAGTTACTAGTTACTAGCTACCAGTAGTGCGAGAATGCGCCTGGCGATTACTCTAGTGCCTGTAGCGAGGAGGTAAAGAAGAGGCCACCTCGCGTCGATGGGGCTAAATATCACCATCATGCTTTAGCAGCTTGAACACGCACGTTTCAGTGAAACTTGGAGATATGAGCGATTTGCATAAGTCAGCACACGTCTAATCAATCAGGCTTCATGACGATTCAAGAATCTCGATAACCGTCACGCAGCAATGTCCGGCGGGGACTGTCGACACTCCGTCCCAAGTCGACCGCGCCGTCCACTTCTCATCACCGCCTAGCCAGTATCTCCAGTCCTCATTGACCACCGTATCTGCCTAGGCATCTAGCTTGCTGGAGGCTAGTCCGCGCGTACTCGGCGAGATGCCGAGGCCTTTTTCTTCGGCTTGCATTATTGCTTCGCCAGCAATAGCGGCACCCCTGCTAGTCCATACGCCTTTTTGCCTGTGAGTGCGTCGAAGAAGGTCGATGCCGCTTCTGCGTATAGTGGGGTGCCGGCACTGCGATGCTACAAAATATAATGGGATGATGACTCCAGGCTCAAGGGACACAAAGATCGGCGGCCTCCTAGGCTGAGGAGTTAGATATTAACAGGCCGAGACTGGATACCGTTGATGACTCGGTTATGGTGAAACTCAGCGGCTCTATCAGCGGCGGCGGCGGCGGCGGCGGTGGTGGCGATATGGGCCATAGCACTAACGTCTGGAGTTCTGCTGTGAACGACGTGCTTGATAGTTGGCATGCTGGACTGCATGGTCTGGGGATGCTGCTTGCTGCTGTTCTGGTCAGAGTGTGATGGGAATGGCAATGTCAAACAAAGTCTGGATATCGTTATATGTCACAAGCACACGTAGCATCAAGCCGCTCGTTACTCATTACCGCTCACCGTAAAATGCACCAGCTATCCAGTACAGGCAGTTGTATCTCCTAGCTACCAGGTAGTTAACGAGGTCCGCAACCCATTGCACTAGAAGACGAGGGAGGGTAGGAAAATTGGCATGAGGTAGTGGAAAGAAGCAGTGAGCAGATTTGTACCAACGACGAACTGTTGTGTTGTGCCGCGAGCCGCAACACGGAGCAGCATAATGTCTCGTGTAACAACGGGAAGGTCAGAAGAGCCAGTATTGCGGAGGGCTGCGAAGTCATGCCAGTGCAACCGTCGATCTTGGATGTTTGCTTCGCGGCCTTGTTGAGATCAAGGAGGACTGGAGGAAATGAGAATTTGGAGCTGGAGTTTGGTCAGGCCATGTCGAGATACCTATGATAATGACATCCTTTTCTTCGCAGTTATTGAATACTTCGCGGGAAGCTCGCGTGTCAGGACGGCATAACTCGGTGCAATAAACACTTACTTTATGCTTTTACTCGTACCTTCAGAAAGCCATAAATATTACACTGGTCTACTAGCGATCACTAGAATGAAAGTGCAGCAACTACTACTTGGTGGCAGGGCGGCAGTACATTTTATTTATTTTAGATCTCGACTGCGGTTCCTACGACGATACCAATATTTAGCGAAAAAAAAAGCCTTTCAACCCAATCTCCTGTGCTGGCCACAGTCTTAACTGGTTCATAATTCCAATTGCTGTACTCAACCCCCTATTGTCACGTAGTGATCATCTTTCGACCGCGTTTAGGACTCTTCATCGTCCATCGATCCGAGTCAACTCGCGCTTCAATCCATCCACGCAAAGTTGAGTCGCCGCCTCTTCCTTCCCAGCGCAAACGCTCATTATGTTGCATTGATCACGACTTTGCGGTGTTGTAATCTCTCCAAGCCAGGCCATTCGCCAACCACATCTCACATAGTACCCCCCCCCTTCCCCCAACCAGACGTTACGCTGAGTGGTAATGTTACCACCTTGTCACTTATTACACGAACCGACTTGTTGGCAAAATCAACATTCCGTGGCCGCGGCTCACAGCCTTGTTCGTGGGAAGAGCTAACCCCGGGAGTCGGTGCAGGTGGGACGTAACCTATGAATTTTGAGCCGGACGGGATTTTTGCCCTGAGTTCTCCGACATTCGTGATCGTCCCCCAAACCACCAAGAGCCAGGCCAGAGATAACGACGCTGCTGCCCGGGCCGTTGCGCTGTGTAACCTTCATGCAGTTGGACGCAGGCTGGCGGGGAACACAGGGGACGAAGGGGTCTAGGCTTCGCCAAGGAATCCATTTCCGATCGGCAGATATAAATAGCGTCGAATTCATCTTTGCGATGGGGATGATGGGAATGTTTTTCGGCGGCTTGGATATCGTGGCTGGACGCCCTCTTAATCCACGGCTTCTCGAACAAGAGCTGCAGGCATACACGTAGCCCTCACAAAGGCCTTACGGCCACTCACTCTTCTGCCGCCCTGTTATTGGGGTTACACAGCCCTCTGGTTGGTTGGCCAACCTGGAAAGGGGGTGTGACGAGCGGTCTAGACTCTGGAGAAGAGAGGGAGAGTTGCCGTTGCCCGCCGACATGCAGTTCCGTGTAGTTAGTTGGAATGCGTTGCATGAGCACATGTGATAAGTTCCGTCAATCCCACTCTGTTATCGGACAGCGCATTTTGCTCCATCTATCCCTCTTCATACTAACCAAAGAGTACGGTTGCCCGAATTCGACATCTCTTGCCATTCATTCACCACAACCGAGACGCCGGCTCGACGTGCAGCTGTACTAAAATGGCATCGACAGATGCTCAAGACGTTCAAGCCCAGTCCGCCGCACCGGGATTGCCGGACTATGTTCTCGATGCCGACGCAGTGTTGAAAGACACCGATGTCAAGTGGCGCTATGGCCAGGCACCTGACTACAGCAAGACTCGGAAGATGTGGGACGAAAGTGAGCTCCAACTCGGTGGATGCCCAAGAAAGTGAATCTTACTGATGTTGCCTCCCTTTCAAAGCCAAGAAGTCAAACCACACAGCGGGTAGCCTCCCCGACCTGGTGGAGAAGCTGGTCAAGAACTGGGAAGTCGAGGCGTCTCACAAAACGGACTTGGCGGACTGGCGCACCATCGACAAAGCGAAATATGTCTTTTCGGTCAATGGCGGCCCAGACCAGACCGGTGAGCACATGCTAAAGGTCGGCACATACAACGCCATCCTGGAGCCCAGCGAGTTCTACTGCCCGCGCCACTCCACTTTTGACGACAGCCACAAGACGTTCAAGCACATGATGCCGGCATTTGCGTGGGAGGTTCTCGAGGTATACAGTGGCCCGCCACAGGTCGCGTTCCGATGGCGCCATTGGGGCGTGATGAAGGAGGATTATGTTGGCTCCAACAAGTTCGTCCCTCTTCTAGCTTCTTGCTATTTTGCCGCTTTGATAGCTCGAGTGCTAACTCACTGCTTTACGTCCGCAGAAATGGAGATAGGGTGACCATCAAAGCACATGGCAGGCCTATTGATATCGAGGGCGTCGCCGTCGCCGTCGTGAATGACAAACTGCAGCTACAAAAGGTGGAAGTGTTTTTCGATCCGATGGCCATGTTTCGGCAGATGGTCGGTGCAGAAGACATAGACTAACAGACGAGTGGTATGGTAGCAGTACAATAGTTCGTAAATTGAAAAAAGTTGCTGTGCACAAGAACAGGGCAAATTATTTTATTTATAGCAACTCTAGACCATGGTCCACCATGGAACCTCGGTCAATTGTTTTCAGTAATATGGCTCGGAACCTGCCAGAAACGTTGGCAACATCAAGCTCAAGATCGTCCCTTCCTCCTTCGTCTTGGCCACAAGATACGCCCGCGCAAAGGTTGTGCTCAAAAACGGCGTCACGCTCACAATATCTAGCGGGCTATGCAGCACCTGGCCGCTGGTCTTGTTGTTGTTAGCGACAGAGGTGTTGAGGGCGAAGGGCGTGGCGTACGTATGGAGCGATGCTCAGGATACTGCATTGATGGCTCGGGGAGAAAGGAACAATCACCCTCGAGCGCTACGCTAGGTCGGCGCTATTAATTGCCGAGTTGCCACTATTCCCAACCAGCGAGGCTATCAGATAAGCAAAGCGCAGATAAGCAAAGCGCAGATTACCTAGTCAGTCCATAACAACGTAGACACAGGCTTCAAATACGAAACCACCACGGAAAACGCGTTTTCAGCGAATTTGGCGCTTTCAACGGCTTCAGGTCCTAGTGTAGTGTCCTAGTGTAGTGTAGATAAAACAGGTTACCTGACTAATCAGGAAGGAGTCAGCTGAACGGAGCCTCTTTTTTTCTTGTTTTTGCCTCCGGCGGCGCCTGCGCCGGGCTGCCCTCGCTTCGCTCGAAGGAATGGGTGGCTGAGGCATTTTAGGAGCCCTCATAAAGTGCTGGTTATCAGGAGGAATCCGGTCGTTCGGGGTCTCTTTAGGTAGGATCGGGCGGTCGGGAGGCTGGCCACGGCCGCCTGGATTTGGCGCATCGGGCCGTGGTTGAGGGGCCCCACCATAGCCATCGCGGCGGCTCGGAAAACGCGCGTTCCTGGTAATAGATTAGTAGAAATTAATAGGGTAATAATCGTCAAGTATTCGGCGTATCTGTTCGTGGTACTCAAACTACGTAGGGATCCTACAGGTCGAAGGGTTGGTAGATCTACCGGGGGTAATGTTGTGTCTATTCTCCCTCCCTCTCTGCGGAACTAAGGTAGGTTCTGCGTGCGACCGGGGTTTTTTTGTGTGTGTGTGAGGTCCGCGCGCCGCACGTGCCTACTTGCACGTGCGTACTCGCGCGATTTCTGCTTCCTCCCTGCTAGTGTGCGGTCACCAGTATCGCTATTCCAACAGTATCTGTTTATAGCTAGAAAGCGATAAATCGTACGTGCGATTGAGTGAAGTTGGTTGTATTACGAGGTTGAAGAGGAAAGTGGCTTATTTTAGCTGGCTAGAAAGTTGAAAGTACCGCACGGACCACCCACAACGGATTGACAGCTATCCTACCACCAAAACAAATTCTCGTGATAATTCTATATTTCGATGTTCATGGTCTAATTGTTGGATTTCTAGCGGGCAAGCCCCGTAGGACCCCCGGTGCCTGCGGCGCTCCTTCTTGACACAACCACGACATAGCAAAGCGGCATTTCACAGTATTACAAAATATGGATTAATAACAAAGGAAGAACCTGGAAGCTACCACAACCTAATTGATCAGCTCCCGCCACCTACTTTACCACTCAATCTTACCACCATTCAAAACTATAAAAGAGAGGCCTTTGACCCTACTAAAAGAGGCAGAAGACAAGACAATTTTAGACACTTTAAATCTCCCAGTACCAGATGCCCTGCCCTGTGAATGCGCGTGACAATATAGCTTCGCGCCCGTCCGCCGGCCCCGGCTGATAGATCTACCAGAAAGATGGCCGTTCAGCATGCTGTCGGTTATCTTCTCGGGCGGGTCAGCATCCCTTACGGTCTTCTGCCGCCGCTGGGCGAGGTATCGTGGGTCGAGCTTCGTGGCTAGTGGTAGCTCATTTCGCGCACCTCGTCCTCCAGCCAGCAAAGCGTCTCGAGGAGTGATTGCGCTCTGTGCATCGCCAAAATCGCGCGCCGCGTGGTAATTAGCCGCGCATATGCATGTAATACGGTATGCTTTGTCCTAGAAAGGAGGCCATAGATCCCGTGCTAGAGCTCTGTCAATGCCGACTTCGGCCTTAGAGCCTTGTCTACCTCACACCCACCTTTCAATCCGAGGTGTATACTTTATAAATGATATTTCCGCCTCTTCATTATACATACGGCCATAGATGGTGGAGAACTCGGGATCCCGTCCGCTCTCCCATAGATAAGCCACTAATCGCCATCTTAGTTGTCGGATTGAGCGACTTTTTTGTTTACCGGAGTCGTAGACCCACTATTAATCGAATACACCCAATCAAGTCACTATTACCCATCCACAGCAACCTACCTATCCACAACTCACAACTCACGTATACTAGGTAGGTAGGTAGATAAATGAATAACATCTCTCTCTATTTTGAAATATATATTGTCTACTCTATATTTTGTAATTAAGTATGGAACAACCTTCGATAAGAGTTGACTAGGTGATCGCTGAGGGCCCGAAAATGGGCTCTAGAAGTGCACCGAATAAGAGTGTGGCGTCTCACGGCGCATCCGTTTCTGTCACAATATTGGGATTAGTGAACAAGAAAGATCTAGAAGCTGCTATGTGATTCTTCGCCACCAGCTTTTGCCACTATTCATAACTATAAAAAAGAGACTTTTGGCCCTGCCAAAGGAAACAAGAGATTAGACCTTTTCAGACAATTAAAGCCTTACCTCCCTGCATCAAATGCTTCATTTCCGTTGCCCTGTGAATGCGCGTGACAGTTTCGTAACCTTCAAACCAACGACGACCGTTCACAAGACCAAACAAAAAAAGGAGCATGAAACGGACAAAAATCTCATATCATCCCTCCCCTTCTTCCCCCGTTTTGCTCTCAATCCCCCTCTTCGCTCGCTATGCCCTCAATTCCCTAAAACTTACTAACTTCGTCGCTATCCCTTAACTTGTATTATCGTCGCCCTAAATAAACTCATATTATCTCTATCTTCGCTAGGCCCCTGCGATAGCAAAAAAGCGAATCAGGCGTCCAGGTCAAAAGCCTACAGGCGGCCTACCAGCACAGCAAACCCGTCGTTTCGCGAATGACCTCAATTCGCAGAGACAGCGGGATAAAGAGAACGAAGAGACAGTCCGACAACAACCGCTAAGTGATAGAGTTATTATCTCCCACAAAACAGAACTAAGTCGGCACAGTTCTAGGATTGAATGGACCCAGTATGGGATGCTCGGATTTCTATTTTTTTTTAAATTACTGATGAGAGCGCGTCGCTCGACTTGATCCGAATGAGGTCATTCTGGACCTTTGCAGAGACCCCGATAGCCAAGCAAGGGGCGTACTTCAGTTCAACAAATTTCTCCAGCACTACATCGAGAAATCTGAAACAGAACGCCTCTCCCTTGGCCCGAGCGAGACGGAATTTGCTCTAACAGTCACACACGTTAAGACCGTGCTAGACAAGCTAAAGAGTAGTACGCGGACCGTCATAATTTGCAGGAGAAGAGGAAAAATGATCCTACCAATGCGGGTCAGTGGACCTTAGCCGCGCCCTACTTCAACTTCAAAAACCCGACTGGGATGAGTGGCCCGATATCTAATATATACTTGGTATGTTCAACGATCTTGAGCCGAGTAGGATGTTAATGGGTACCGTGATAATTATAGTGGACGATGCAATACTTGACACCCAAATTCAAGCTTTCCCGCGAACAACAATTCGACAAGCTCGAAGCAACTAGCGGTGATATACGACATATTCTGGCCATGGCCTGGACGAATGCCGTTCAAACTGACCACGATACTCGGCTTGACTTCTGCATGACTCTTATATTATGTGTGTCACGGTAAGCGCCAAGACATTCGGTTGAGCGGTCCCTGCAAGGAATCCCAATTGGGCTCCACTAGACAAACTTTACTTTCCAGAGCCCCGCACAGGACTTGGAATCTTCTTTCCCTTTTCCTTTCCTAAGGTTTAGATTCTACGAATACAGCGACCATAATGCAGCCTTGCCTCATCTAGTTGACTGTGCGGTGACAGCACTCGTATTAACTAGTATTTATCGACGAGTCTGGCTATAATAAACGGAGCGGGCATCGACGTAGGGCTGGGCGCTGAGCGGAGTAACGCCCGTGTAAGTTAACGAGTTCAACCACGAACAACGGTTTCAGATTCTTGCTGCGTATACACAGAGTGGCGTTAGACTAAGACTAGCACGTATCTACCCTAGATCCACTAGTGCCGTTATATTTGAAGATTTTATCGGACAGCTATTGCTCTGTTGTGGCAAATGGCCAGAGACAAGTTTAGTCCATGTTACGGATAATGCCTCTATCCAGCGCTTAGAGAGACTTAAGTAGATACGTATCGACGCTTGAGTAAGACTATTAAACTAGAGCCCCACTCGCCAGATATGAACCCGATCGAGGAGCTCTTTATAGAGATCAAGACATACATCAGATAGCAGCGGTATAACTACGCCGATTTCTTTGAGAAAGACTTCGAGACGTTCTTGAAAATGTGTGTTGATTTTGTGGGTTCTCGGGCGGCGAGTGCTGAAGGTCATTTTCGTCACTCTAGCATTTCCATTGAGTACCCTCCCAAACTTTCCGAATAGTAGTATAGAATTATCACAGAAATAGGCTACCTATTACCGACTTAATACGCCTACGCCTTACCTAGTCAAGCCTTGATCTTGCTAATAAACTGGATGGCGATTCCTCACTTGACCCCCTTCTTAGAAAGTTACCTTGCTTCAAAATTCTGGGCGGAGTAGAGCCGCTCTGTAAGCTTCAACAGTCTTCCTTTCTTTAATAGCATTTTCCACTCAATGGAGTAGTGGATGCATGTGGGCGGGGATTCGTTAGATGGCAGGCTGGGGTTCCAGTTGACTAGTTGGAGCCGTGGCAGCCCCGGTCTGCTTCTCTGCGGTTGTGTAAGAGAAGGCAGGTACGCCTGATCAAGGTGGTCACGATGGAGGGAACAATAGGGCGAGCAATGACTGGCATTCGTAAAAGACTTCAACCTGGCCCTCGCAAAGGAAGGTGGGCGAGGGCCACTATTTATATACATAGTTGGGTGGCTCAATCTGGGGAGTGCCTGGGCCGGGTGTTTGGGGCCAGCTGGTCGCCTGGGCCGGGCCAGCTGTTTGGGGCTAGCTGGTGGCGCCTGGGCCGGACCGGGCGTTTGGGGTGCTCTTTCCTTACAGGCTGATCATGCGGGGCCGGACTCGGGCCGCGGCTGCTATAGGTAGGTTCCAGAGTTCGGTAATCAAGATCATTCTCGTTATACCACTGGCTTATATCGAAACTTGGGTTAGCCCTGGTGGCGACTCTCTACTGCTATCTGGTTGATGCACGAAAAGTGTAAATAGCTTCATTACGTGAAGCGCTGGTGGGAGCCCCACTAATAGCGTTCGGCGCTAGCACGTGACATAGCGGGGTCTGGGGATTTCCTACCTTAGGGAAATCCGCCGCGCCCACCTAGCCTTAGAAAAAGCATGACCTTTTACACTTTTTTGCTTCCTTCTCGGTTTTACCGCTTCACTGGTGCTGGTGATGACTCGAGACAACCCATGCGGCATGTCAGCACTCCAAAACATTAGCTTGACTGGCAAACTGGTTACCCATCGATTTTAGCCGAAGATCAGCCGCCCCGACCTGCCTTGCAACCATGCAGCCGCAAGAGTTGTGTTGGAAAAAAGCCTCTATTTTGATACAGCCAATTGCGCCCAGGCAGGCTTAGGTCAATGCAGGCTAACGGAATGGGCCTAGCCCAAAGCAACCCCTTTTTTGGGGGTAAAATGGGGTCCCCTGCTGGCATGTCCCCAGGGCCTACCTTTTAGACACTACACACAATCAGTGCATTGCATCTGCCCAAAAACTTTGGTCCACTTTTGTGCCGTGTTTTCCAACAAGTTGGCGTATTCCTGCTTCGTCACCATCGAGAATCGACTCTTCAGCAATCGTCGTTATTATATATCAACTCTTCAGCAATCGTCGCCATCGAGAATCGACTCTTAAGCAACCGTCCAACGGCCATGATGCAATCCACGTCTTTCGGAGCCGGAAACCGGGGCCAGCAGGTGGGGCTGAACTACGGGACGGTCAACGCGGAGTTCCATCTCCCGCCAGGTAACGCTAGCGCCGTCCGTGCCTGCGCCCAGCCCACGCTGACGCTTCTATAGAACGAGCCGAAACTCCACCAGCCCCCTCCGCGACTATCCCCTTCTCCCGCGACCCCGATTTTGTCAACCGTGGAGATATTCTCGACCAAATCGACCAGCGATATTCTAAGCCCGCCGCTCGTATGGCCCTTGTGGGCCTGGGTGGCGTTGGCAAATCGCAGCTTGCCATCGAGTTCGCTCACCGAATCGCCACGGGGCAGCCCGACACATGGATATTCTGGGTCTACGCTAGTACGCAGGCGCGTATCGAGGAGGGGTTCAGGACGATTGCCGACGCCGTCAAGCTACCCGGCTGCAACCAAACCAAAGCCGACATCCCACAACTTGTGTACGGCTGGTTGTCTAACGAACGGAACGGCAAATGGATCATCATCCTTGATAGCGCCGACGACCGAGACGTGTTCTACGCGGCAAACGGCGGCCGCGAAGGAAAACCGTTAGCGAGCTACCTTCCACAGAGCCGGAACGGGTCTATCCTTATCACGACGCGTAGCAAAGACCTGGCATTTAGGCTTACCGGGAGCCACAAGAACATCGAGGTTGGGCCGATGGCGTTGGGTGATGCACTTCTTCTCCTAGAGAAAAAACTAGACCCGCTCTCAGATATGGACGCAGCCAAAGATCTAGTACAAGCGCTCGATCTTATTCCTCTTGCCATCAGCCAAGCGGCGGCATACATCCAGGCAAGGTTACCGATGAGCTCGGTCACCAAGTACCTGGCCGAGTTCCGCAAGTGCGAGCGCAAGCGGGCTCAGCTTCTCAAATACGACGCGGGTGATCTACGGCGGGATGGTGGGGCATCAAATGCTATCTCCACCACCTGGGAGATCTCCTTTAAATACATCCGCTCGCGGAGACCTTCTACAGCCGACCTTCTCTCGCTTATGAGCTTCTTCGATCGACAAGGCATCTCTCCGTCACTTCTTAGGCCTGTCGATGTCAAAACTATTCAGCAAGTAACGCACCTTGCCGCATCAGAGGATTCAGGATCTGAGTCTGGTAGTGGGAGCAGTAGTGACGAAGGTGGGAGGTTTGAGGACGATGTGGCCATGCTAAGAGACTTCTGTCTTATAACCGTCGACGAGGACGGTAGTGCATTTGAGATACACGGGCTCGTACAGCTATCCACGCGGAGGTGGCTGGAGTCGGACGGGCTACAAGACAAGTTTAGGCAGCAATTTATTAAGCGGATAGCTACGGCGTTTCCTACGGGAGACTACGATAATTGGGCGACGTGCCGGCAGCTCTTTGCTCATGTTGAAGCGGCTATAGATCAGCGACCAGCCGAAGAGAGCATAGAGGAGTGGGCAAGTCTTATGTATAACGGAGGGTGGTATGCGTGGTCGCAAGGCAGGTATAAGGTGGCAGAACGGATGATAGGCAAGGCCCAAAGGAACCGTGAGAAGACGTTAGGAAAAGACGATAAGAAGACTTTAGATAGTATGTTATTATTTGCAACGGTCCTGTTGGACCAAGGCCGGTGGGAGGAGGCCAAGAAGCTGTTTATGCAGGTGATGGAGACTCGCAAGACCAAGCTCGGGGCCGATCACCCAGATACGCTGACGAGCATGGCCAACCTAGCGTCGACATACAGGAACCAGGGCCGGTGGGAGGAGGCCGAGAAGCTAGAGGTGCAGGTGATGGAGACTCGCAAGACCAAGCTCGGGGTCGATCACCCTTCTACGCTGACGAGCATGGCCAACCTAGCGTCGACATTTTGGAACCAGGGCCGGTGGGAGGAGGCCGAGACGCTAGACGTGCAGGTGATGGAGACTCGCAAGACCAAGCTCAGGGCCGATCACCCAGATACGCTGACGATCATGGCCAACCTAGCGTCGACATACAGGAACCAGGGCCGGTGGGAGGAGGCCGAGAAGCTAGAGGTGCAGGTGATGGAGACGAGCAAGACCAAGCTCGGGGCCGATCACCCTTCTACGCTGACGAGCATGGCCAACCTAGCGTCGACATTTTGGAACCAGGGCCGGTGGGAGGAGGCCGAGAAGCTGTTTATGCAGGTGATGGAGACTCGCAAGACCAAGCTCGGGGCCGATCACCCAGATACGCTGACGAGCATGGCCAACCTAGCGTCGACATTTTGGAACCAGGGCCGGTGGGAGGAGGCCGAGAAGCTGTTTGTGCAGGTGATGGAGACTCGCAAGACCAAGCTCGGGGCCGATCACCCAGATACGCTGACGAGCATGGCCAACCTAGCGTCGACATACAGGAACCAGGGCCGGTGGGAGGAGGCCGAGAAGCTGTTTGTGCAGGTGATGGAGACTCGCAAGACCAAGCTCGGGGCCGATCACCCTTCTACGCTGACGAGCATGGCCAACCTAGCGTCGACATACAGGAACCAGGGCCGGTGGGAGGAGGCCGAGAAGCTAGACGTGCAGGTGATGGAGACGAGCAAGACCAAGCTCGGGGCCGATCACCCAGATACGCTGACGAGCATGGCCAACCTAGCGTCGACATTTTGGAACCAGGGCCGGTGGGAGGAGGCCGAGAAGCTAGAGGTGCAGGTGATGGAGACGAGCAAGACCAAGCTCGGGGCCGATCACCCTTCTACGCTGACGATCATGGCCAACCTAGCGTCGACATACAGGAACCAGGGCCGGTGGGAGGAGGCCGAGAAGCTAGAGGTGCAGGTGATGGAGACTCGCAAGACCAAGCTCGGGACCGATCACCCAGATACGCTGACGAGCATGGCCAACCTAGCGTCGACATACAGGAACCAGGGCCGGTGGGAGGAGGCCGAGAAGCTGTTTGTGCAGGTGATGGAGACTCGCAAGACCAAACTCGGGGCCGATCACCCTTCTACGCTGACGAGCATGGCCAACCTAGCGTCGACATACTGGAACCAGGGCCGGTGGGAGGAGGCCGAGAAGCTAGAGGTGCAGGTGATGGAGACGAGCAAGACCAAACTCGGGGCCGATCACCCAGATACGCTGGCGAGCATGGCCAACCTAGCGTCGACATACAGGAACCAGGGCCGGTGGGAGGAGGCCGAGAAGCTAGAGGTGCAGGTGATGGAGACGAGCAAGACCAAGCTCAGGGCCGATCACCCAGATACGCTGACGAGCATGGCCAACCTAGCGTCGACATTTTGGAACCAGAGCCAGTGAGAAGAGGCCGAGAAGCTAGAGGTGCAAGTGATAGAGACTCGCAAGACCAAGCTCAAAGCCGATCACCCTTCTACGCTGACGAGCATGGCCAACCTACGTCGACATACAGGAACCAGGGCCGGTGGGAGGAGGCCGAGAAGCTAGAGGTGCAGGTGATGGAGACTCGCAAGACCAAGCTCGGGGCCGATCACCCAGATACGCTGTCGAGCATGGCCGACCTCGCTTTTACTTGGAAAAGTCAAGGTCGACACGCTAATGCTTTAGCTCTGATGGAGGATTGTACCCAGGCTCAGTGGCGGATTCTTGGCCAAAAGCATCCCGAAACGCTATCTTCTTTGGCCACCGTTGCAAAGTGGAGTAGCTAGGGTGGGCTTTATTATTACTTTGTACGTATCTGGAGGATTCTTCTAACTTGTTCTTATGAGACGAGTGATACGTATAGTATGTACTAGACAGTATTGTAGATTAGGTATGCAATTAGTGAGTTAATTTGCGCCTTGTGACCTTATATTCGATTAGTCGGTCGTTACAGGACTTGTCCGCACGTGGTGGCGCGCGAGCCAAGCGCCGAATATTCCGTAGCGTTTTAATTGGCATTCCATTATACGTGCCTATGCGAGACGGAGTAGTGGGCGTTTCTAAAAACGGCATTCTACCAGCTAAACTCGACACGGAACCCGTTTTAATCAAGATAAGAGATAAGACGCCGCATTTTTATTCGGTGCACTTCTACAGCCCCATTTTCCACTCCTGTATACCCTCATTTTCGGCCACTTTGAGTCTCAGAGACAAGGCTTCCGACCGCCATCTTAGTTATCGGAGTGAGCGACTTTTTTTTTCTCCTGGAGCCACAGACCCACTATTAATCGGATACACCCAATCAAGTCACTATTACCCATCCACAACAACCTACCTATCCATAACTCACAACTCATATATACTAGGTAGATAGGTAGATAAATGAATAACATGTCTCTCTATTTTGAAATATATATTGTCTACTCTATATTTCGTAATTAAGTATAGAATAACCTCCGATAAAAGTGGACTAGGTGATCGCTGGGGCCCGAAAGCGGGCTCCAGAAGTGCACCGAATAAGAGTGTGGCGTCTCACGGCGCATCCGTTTCGTAATCTTCAAACCAACGACGACCGTTCACAAGACCAAACAAAAAAAGGAGCATGAAACGGACAAAAATCTCATATAATCCCTCCCCTTCTTCCCCCGTTTTGCTCTCAATCCCCCTCTTCGCTCGCTATGCCCTCAATTCCCTACAACTTACCAATTTCGTCGCCATCCCTTAATTTATATTATCGTCGCTCTAAAGAAAGTCATATTATCTCTATCTTCGCTGGGCCCTGCGATGGCAAAAAAGCGAATTAGGCGTCCAGGTCAAAAGCCTACAAGCGGCCTACCAGCACAGCAAACCCGTCGTTTCGCGAATGACCTCGATTCGCTGAGACAGCGGGATAAAGAGAACGAAGAGACAATCCGACAACAACCGCTAAGTGATAGAGTTATTATCTCCAACAAAACAGAACTAGGTCGGCATAATTCTTGGATTGAATGGACCCAGTATGGGATGCTCGGATTTCTATTTTTTATTAAATTACTGATAATATCTGATTAGATACTTTGAGCGCGTCGCTCGACTTGATCCGAATGAGGTCATTCTTGACCTTTGCAGAGACCCCGATAACCAAGCAAGAGGCGTACTTCAGTTCAACAAATTTCTCCAGCACTACATCGAGAAATCTGAAACAGAACGCCCCTCCCTTGGCCCGAGCGAGACGGAATTTGCTATAACAGTCACACACGTCAAGACCGTGCTGGACAAGCTAAAGAGTATAACTGCGTACACGGACCGTCATATTTTGCATGAGAAGAGGAAAAATGACCCTGCCAATGCGGGTCAGTGGACCTTAGCCGCGCCCTACTTCAACTTCAAAAACCCGACTCGGATGAGTGGCCCGATATCTGATATATACTTGGTATGTTTAACGATCTTGAGCCGAGTAGGATGTTAATGGGTACCGTGATAATCATAGTGGACGATGCAATACTTGACACCCAAATTCAAGCTTTCCCGCGAACAACAATTCGACAAGCTCGAAGCAACTAGCGGTGATATACGACATATTCTGGCCATGGCCTGGACGGATGCTGTTCAAACTGACCCCGATACTCGGCTCGACTTCTGCATGACTCTTATATTATGTGGTATTACCGGTTTTAGGCCCGGTGCCCTTGTTGAGATATTCTACAAGCAGATAGAGCTGGCAGCTGTCCGCGATCCAGATAATCTCCAGAACACCAAAATCATTGCCCATATTACGCTATTTCACAACAAACAAAACACTGGTTCACTGCGTACGGAGCAGGATGACATGTAAGCAAAGCCGCCAACCCTCTCTGGATGACTTGTTGAATAACTTTCGTAGTATCGAGTTCTGTGTTGCCTTTGTGCCAGACCAGTCCATTCATTTACTGAGTCATATCGTGGCGCGGGCATTGAGCGAGGATGCATTTGAAGCAGGATATAAATCTGTGGATGAACTCTTTCGACGTCCTAACCTGGAGCACGTCAACCAAATTCCCCTGAAGTGGAAGGACGAGCTGATCACAGAAGACCGGCTTTTCGTATCTATTGGTTATAACCAATACTGGAAGATATGGCGTCGAGCAACCTGGGCGTTAGGCCTTCGAGACACATTGCGTCCCTATTCAACCCGGGTAGGCGCTGGAGCAACTCTCAACGGTAAACTGAGCTCTCCCTTCCATAGTTTGCTTCAACTAACTTCTTTCTGATAGGTCGCCTTACACCTGTAATCCGCAACTGGATTTTGGGTCACAGTGGAGAAATATTTCGCAAACATTACCAACCAAACTTTTCATCCGAAGACCTTTTGAACTTTGCTTTCGGGCAGAGAGCAGGGGACAACGAAGCCATATTCCAGCTGCAACGCAATGTATCCGGGAGACGAGACGAATTCGCCCCAATTGATGCAACACCGGAGGATCATGAATCGATCAGAGAGCGTCTGGATGTGGGTCGGCTCCGTTCAAGCGTTCAAGATACAATTCGAAGTGGTGCCAGTCAAAGACAAGTGAATAGGGTCAGGGCAAAGCTACAAGGTCGAGTGAAAAAACTGGCCACTATGAAAGCTACTCAGAGAAGGGCTAAGTACGAGAAAGAGAGTGACAGTTTGAGAGCAAGGGGGCTGAAAACAACCGCGTTACGCCCTATACCCACTGCTCCTTCTCCGGCGACAAGCTCTCTTGGAGCTAAAGCAATCGGCATATTCCTGAAGAGGGTAGAGCTAGGAGATATCCATCGCTCGGCGCGCTTTATTACAATTTTAATCGCCTACCTACGACACCGGCCATCATCAGTGGCAGTATTGGTAACACGAGAAACAGGCTCATCGTTGGACCTCAGCATGCATGGAATTGCTCCCATTGGGATATCCCAGTGTCTACTTGGTTGTCCGTCCTTTGCTAACCCTAGGAACCTAACAAGACACGTTATCAAGTGCCACTTCAAGAAGGGGACGTTTGATGCACCGTTTGAATGCCCCGAATGCCTCTGGCTCGGGGAACATATCACTATCACAGGTCCGTCGGCATGGAGTGCTCACATCGCAAGAGAACACCACTGCCCCGAACCCAACCCAAATGTACCCTATTTACCAAAAACTGGGGCTCAGCCAACAAAAAGAGAACCTCTGGTCTGGATCGAGAGGGCGGAAACTTTTCCTTGTTGGCTTTGTAAGCTGTCGTTTTCCAACACGAAAGGCCGCAGTCAACACGTTACGGCAACTCACTTTCGCAGAGGTACATTCAACGATCCTCAGGACTGTCTAGAATGTGAACGTCAAGGGGTAACTACGATCGTGGCAGGCCTTGATGCTTGGCGGCACCATGAGGAGGAGGCTCATAATGATGACGCTCATAATGATGCGGATGAGCTTAATGATGGGTGGAACGGCGACTCAGTCGAGCATCTTTGCATCGATAGGGAGCAGCACGGCGAAGAGAACGACCTGGGATTTCCTTGTCGTTTATGCGGCAAGCCATTTGCGTCTCCAAAAGGTCGCACGCTACACACGACAAACTTCCACTTTCGTCAAGATCAAGGCAACACTGGCCCATGTCTTGAGTGTTCCCGCAATGGCTTGGAGACCACAATGATTGAGGACCTTACCGAATGGCAGTACCACGAGAAAACAGTTCACGCTGAGAAGAATATTAAGTATCACTGCCGGCTTTGCGACAAACGACTTGCCTCCAATTGAGGACGTACGATACATACTCAGCGCTATCATTTCAAAAAAAGCGAATGGCAAACCGTTAAGTGTTATGAATGTTGCCGCCGGGGCAAAGAAGGTGTAATATTGAAGGGTTTGGATGCTTGGAAGTGCCATGAGGAATTGTTTCATAGTTCAGATGATGGCGTGTACATTGAACCAATTCCAATTGCCCCCTCACCCTCGACGTTCGAGACTGAGGAGCTCGTTTATGAGGGGGTTGTGGAAGCGGTTGAGGAGATGGTTGAGGAGATGTTTGAAGGGGCGGTTGAGGGAGCGGTTGAAGACAACGATGCCAAGTCATTCTGCGGCAGCGAAATTGTGTGTCTGGCTGGCAAGACCAAGGAGATATGGAACCTAGAAACACGTTCAGTAAGTAAAATCCAGTCAAGCCAGTACCTAGATTTACTAACCTTCCTAGACCTATCCAACCTTCTCCGCCGAAGCATATACGGCTTTTACTGAGACCATCGGTCATAAACGTAAGACTTCGGTTTCCGAACAGGTTACCATTCCCACAAGTAATAAACGAGTCCGAAATGGCGATGCTGGAGCGAACACAGAGGCTCTGTACGAATTGGGCTTTAACGAACTGTTCGGTAATCCCTAGTCCGCTAGTTAGGGTGATCAGTTGTGGGTTGGTCGTGGGGTTCAACTAGTTTCAGATGTGTGGGTTCTTCATATGTATAGGCATAAGTAATTAAATTCGAATTTTCCATCGGCATGGCCAGCCTCAACGATATTGTATAGCTATTCAGACGGTGAGCACTTAGGCACGGAGCGCCGGTATGAGGACCTCAACCTATAGTGAAACGACGTCATTTCTGGACAAGGAGTAGAATAAGAGGTTATAACTAGTGCCGGACCCTAGATGAGAGGTGAGAGAATAAAAAAGAAGAATGAATCGTACTGGTTGCTAAGACGGTAAAAGGCGCCATAACAAAATAACCACAAAAACAACATTGAGGCGAGCGGTAGCCGAGCTACAGAGTACAAGCGCAAAGCTCCATAGCCGGGGGGTCAAAAACATAGAAAAAGGCACCACGTTCACTGCTCTAGATATCATGGTTTGTAGTGAAGGACGTGATTTCTAAGAAATAACTATAAAATAAAGAAAGAAACGACGCCCCCTATTACTAGACCCGACCCCTGAAACCTTAATAAATATATGACGATGATAAGAAGTAACTACCGCCTCTCTAAACATAGAAAATAATGCTAGAGGGGCGGTATTGATAAAGAACCAGTGTCCTTAACGTCGGTAGCGTCCTCGTAGATTATAAAAGGTCTTTCAATACCTAAGTTCCCACCATTATTCTGGTAAATAATCTTTTCACCTGGACGATAACGATACTCAACCAAAACCTCAATTTTCTTAGCATGTAGAAGTTTCTCCCGCACAATCTTTTTCCCTATCAATATCGAGGGAGAGCGCTCCATAGTATCGTATATTAGATAAACGGAATCAAGATAGCCTGCGGGCACTGGCAGAAACCGTAGATCGAGCGATTTTATTTTCGTGTTCTGTGTCTTGCGAACCCATGACGAAAGATTTAGCGTAATTCTTTTTTCTGGAAACCACGCCTCGCAGGTATCTAGGTCCCAGAAGTGGCGGTTGTAACGCAGAGCGTGCACCTAAACCGCTGCGCCAATAACCCTAAAAGATCAAGCAGTCCCCGCGCCTCATGCGGGGGCCGGTGCACTCCAAGGCATATATACGCAATGTCCTTACACGGTTTAGAGAAGAGAGAAGGGCATCGATATGGTCCTCAAATTTCTGGTGTAATCCCCCGGTCGAATCCAGGGGGCCCCACATAAGATAATGCAGGCCCTGAGGAGAATTGGAAAAAGAGAGAGAGTTTAGTAAGAGAGGTAGCGTTGTACTAATAAAAACGCCGATAGTACCATATTGTCTTGTGACTTCGCGGAAACTAGGATTTTTAAACATTAGGCCTAAAAACTTGGCGTGGAGAGCCCGATCAAAGTTTGGAAGAAGGCTCTCTGGGACTTCGAGTAGCTGGCCTCTCTGGTCTAGTTGTAACGGCGGATGGAGGCGATGACTAGATATCGAGTTCCGTGGTGCCCAATATGTTTTGGAGTGCCTGTGACGCCTGTTGAGACTGTACGTGAACTTGCGACGGTAGTATAAGTTGAGGTGGTAGTATAAGTTGAGGTTGAAGCGCCGGTTGACGTGTCGGTTGACCCGTCGGCATATATTGAGGATGAGGCGGCGGTAGATATCGAGCTTGTGACCTGCTATTTTGTCCCGGGGTGTTACTATCGGCTCTTTCCAAGAGTCCGCTAGTAAAAGTTGCTGGATTTGTTATTATATTGACGTTATGATTATTGCCCTGGGTAGACTGGTTCGTGCCGAGGTTAGTTCGAGGCTGCTGGAAAGTATTTGGCACTGGGAACCTCAGCTGTGGCACTGAGACCTGGAAGTTTATTGGCTTTCTTGGAGTGATTGGTGATCTCAGTTCTTCATCCATGTCCAAAAAAGTTGTTTCCGAGTCGTGAGAGGAATTAATGAGGTGGTTGTTAAGATATATATCATCGCCTTGGATATTGGCGTGGCGGAAGATAACGGGGCTAGGATTTCCGTGAGTGTTGGCGATGTTATTCGCTGGGGAAACCTTATTCTTATTGATAGATGGGTTGGACATTGTGTTATACCCTCCGTGGGTAATAAACTGGGAGTTCATAGGGATGCCCGTCTGGTGTCCATAGATGCGTGTGAGGTAAGAGCTAGCTTGTCTTGGGTGGTGATAGCTAGCTGGGTGTCTATAGTTGCTGCGTGTGAGGTAAGAGCTGGCTTGGCCTTCGTGGTGATAGCTGGCTGGGTGTCCATAGCTGCGTGCGAGGTAAGAACTGGCATAGCTTTTGTGGTAGTAGCCGACTGGGCGTTCCTGGCAATTGTTGGATGGGTGTTCGTGGTGATAGCTGTCTGGGTGTCCATAGCTGCGTGCGAGGTAAGAACTGGCATGGCTTTCGTGGTAGTAGCTGACTGGGCGTTCCTGGCAATGGTTGGATGGGTGTTCGTGGAAGTGGTTGCTAGGGCGTTCGTGGCAGTGGTTGCTTGGGTGCTAGCATGCATTGTATTTACTTGATTCTCTATGCTGTGGTTCTTAATGTTCTGACCGTTGGGGTTCTTGGTGTTTTCGGCGCTGGAGCTCATGTTCTTTAGTACTTTAGGCGTTGGCTGAATATTGAATCCTGTTGAGTACTGGCTTAGACGTTGACTTTGAGCTTGTCGTTCACGTTTAGTTTGTTTTAACTTGGGTATTAAAGATTCGGTGTGAAATTTGGCGTTGGCGTCAACGCTGTCCTGGATCTTGACTTTCGCTCACTTGCCGAGTGCCCCAGAAGCACGAACAGATATCCCAGTCTCTACGAGCTATAACGCTGTTACACATTCCCGTCCATGTGGGGATAGTTTGAATATGGTGCTCAATTTATGTTATCAAGGCTATTATCATCGAACCTGTTCTGTGTTCCAAACTGTATCTCTGCTGAACCTTCGTTCGTAAGCCGATTAACTCAAGTATTAGACTGTGTTCAGATACGCTAGTCCTTGTTCTTCGAAAGATGGAATAGAAACAGGGATTTATAGGAGGCTCGGAGCGACTTCCTCACTGCTCGTGGCGCTGGTTTCCATTGGAACTGCTGGCCCAAGTCGCTGCTTCAGCCTTTCCGACCTTTCTACATTACGTCGTCTTCGCTGCTCCTCGCGAACGTGTCGGAAATCTGTGACAAATTTAGTTCTATGCCCTCTCCATCCCCGTTGGCTCGTTGCATCCAGGTTGCGTCCCTGACAGTTTCTGAGGCCTTAACATTGCCCCTTTGTTTAAAAGCCTATGCGAAGTACGAATCATAACAACCTAGACACGTACAGATATTCAGGCACGGATATTCACATACAAATATTCACGGCTTCCCCGTCCAGTGCTTCTCGAGAAACTCGCCCACGCTGGTGAAGCGGTAGTCCGGGAGCAGCCGGTTCCACTCGTCCGAGACGAGGAACCCGCCGAGAGCGGTGCTCCGGAACATGAACGGGTTGACGGTCTTGGCGTACGCCACCTCGGCGTCGCGCGTCTTGAACTGTGGGTGCTCGAAGACGGGCATTCACGACGCCTTGATCTCGCCCGCCTCGAGATCCGCGAGCTGCACCTTTTCAATCGAGAACGGACCTGCTACCCGATGAGTATGTACTGGCTAATCGGTAGTTAGGTCGAGACTGCTGCCCGCCTCTGATCTCCTCGGCCATGGCCACCAGCTGCACCGCCGTGACGGTGTCGCCGCGGATGCCGCCCACGACGGGCCACTCGCCCTCGTACTCGACCGCCCACGCGACCACGTTGGTAAAGTCGCTGACCGTGGTGAAAGACATCTGGCCGCCCTCGCCGCCGTCGACTAGGATGGCGCGGCGGCGCGCGAGGTCGAACTGCAGGTTGCTGGTGTGCACGTGCGTGGTCGACGGGTACGGCGCGCCGAGGTAGTTGGTGAAGACGCCGCACGAGAAGAGGCAGTACTCGAGGACCTTTCCGTCCTTGTTCAGCTCGGCCAGGTACTCGCGGATGGCGACCTTGGACCCGTACCACGGCAGCGTGTCCGTGGTGAGACTGACATTGTAGGTCCAAATTTCAGCAGAAACGCAAGGAATCAATCATGGGGAGAGCAAAGGAAAGACGCACGTCGCCCACTCCGACGGGGCAAAGCGTCCGACGCCCGCCTTCACAACGGCGTCGATCAGCGTCCTCTGCGCCGCGTTGTCGCTGTCCCTGTACACCGGGACGAAGTTGAGCACCGTGTGGACGCCCTTGAGGCCGGCACGATGCTGTCTTTGTTGGTGAAGTCGACTGTCGCCCAGCTCGTGCCCTCAATCGTGTCTCCGGGCCCTGGCTCCTAGAGGCATTGGCTTAGTTTGGCGTCGGTGTTGAGCAAGGTAGCTGGCGTGCTTACTTGGCGCGAAAGGACGATAATGTCATGCTTCTTTGTGGCGACGAGTGCGTCAATCACCTCGCGGGCCACCTCTGTCGGGTATGCAGTGCTCGGTTAGCTCAGCCCAGCCACCGTGGCACTTGCTGCCGGCATGGCTTTAGACTTGCAAATGGTTTTGCGTACCCCCTGATCCTCCAGCGATTGCGATCTTGACCATAATGGTTACGGGCGGGATGTTCTGTTGTGTTTTGGAGAAAGCTGGCAGTTGCGTTGCTAGGATACGAAGATGACCTGGTTGCGAGAATGGGAAACAGCCAGTATATTGTTAGATTCGGTGGTTATGCAATGCCTTAGCAGTGGTTGTCATGTGCGTGTCGGATTTCTTAGACGTCCGAGGAGTCACTTGGCATCGTTGGGCGCAGCCAATGAGGCGTTTCCCTACTTCGTCTGGCGACGGCGGGTCAACGACTCTCACGCCTTGGCCCGGCCCGCGGCGGTGGGTCCTGTAGTCTTTTGTGGGGTTTGGCTCCGCGCGTGCCGAGCGACGGACGCAACAGCGTTTTGGTCATTTGGGGTTAGAACGAGCAGCGGGTAGCGAGCCCTTCCTTCACCTATGACGACATCCGCCAGGCGGGAGCGTATTCCGACAGCAGGCCGGCAACCACGATAGGATAGTGCACTCTAATCTCTAAATATTTGTTAACGTAGTACTTTCTAAGATCCGAATGGCCTCAGATCTTGCTACTCGCTGTAAAGGCTATTCGCTAGGGAAGGTAATAATTAGCTATTTGAATCCCTAATTTAGAGTTTAGAGGCCTCTCCCCCAACAGATCACCCTAGCAGTGGATCACCCTTTTACACCAAAACTGTTCGTGGTATTCCAACCACGTAGGTGTTCCAACGGGTCAAAAAGTGGTAGTACTACCGGGGGGGGGGGGGTGTAAAGTTGTTCTGATTCATGTTCTGTTCTAGAAATCTATGGTGGGGGTTCTTGGCTTTGTACGTGGCCGTGCGAGGGCCGTGCGGCGCACCTGCTTGCAAGCACGTGCGCTAGCACGTGCATCGCACCGCCTCCCTTCCAGCGCAGAGTACGGTCACCAACATCGCTATTCCAACAAAAACACTACATCTTTGAACAACAACAGCGCACTCAATTGTGAAGCTATTTACAAGCCAAAGATGGCAAAATGTAGCTAGTTGACTGTTTAATCCATATATTGTGCTGGCATACGAAGTGCACGACCAGATCTTGTCATTCTTGCAGGCAACTCTTCTTCAGCCTCTGCTTCAGCCTCATCTCCATCATCCACCTCTTCAATTTGGGCTCTGCTTAAGGCTCTGCGGAAACCTCGCCGCCCAGTAGTATAGTCCCTAGGTCCATGAACCGCTTGTTAGAATTGGAAATTTTCCTTCGTTTTTGGGGCCTAATACGCTCCAGTTGAGCCTCCAGGGCTTCAATACGGTGCTGCTTGAGTACCAATTCGGTCTGAGGCTTCTCAACGGCCGCTGCAGCTTTCTGGAACTTTCATCTAGTCCGGGGACTACTTTCTTCGCTAAAATCTCTAATCTGACGCCCTGTAGTTGGTGTACTAGGGACTTCAGAGAGGACAGGGGGTTTAGGGGTCTTTGCCCTGTCTTGCTGAATCTCTGGGTGGTTTAGGCCTTTTTACCTATTAACAGACTAATTTCCGGTCGTCCGGAATGATGATTTGATGGTTCTTCCTGTCAATGCTTCCTCCCTGGCTACCTTGTAGCAGCGAATGAAGTTGATCTTGTCAACAGGTGCTGCGTCGGTTAGACTACCCAACTTGGCTAGCTCACGTCTATAGAGAGCTTTGATAGAGCTGAAAGGCCCGTTATCAAGTGGCTGTAAGCCGTGAGAGGTGTGGGCCGGCAGGAGGCAAAGATATATATTTGTTGGAATCACCAGGTACCGGTACTGGAAACAACAGGGCGTGCTGCACGCCGAAAGCTGGCGGTTTAAGTGATGGTTATTGTTGTCTATGTCGGCTGTTCAACACCGCCGCAGCTAGGCTCTGTCCTACACGGCAACGAACAATACTCCAGGCGACGACCCGCAATTGACGCTCTCCAACAACCTGCTGAGGATGTCATGCCAAAAGCTGGAGAGGGCACGAACTCAAAAGAGACCGTATATGGTCAACCTTGCCAGGGCTCGTACCAAAATACCTTGTAACCATTGAGTTCCGAAATTATATACACCACTTCCTCCCTCTTGGCGCAACCACATCGCCCTACCTAGTTCCCGGAGGCGGATGGAGCCCACAGCTATGGCACTGCTTGCCTCAAGCCCCCGTGGCTACCGTGGCGAGTCGCTTAAGATTGTAAACATACCCCCCCCCCCCCCCCTTTTCCGACGAGTGGGCGTTCTTCAAGAGACGGGTGATCGTAAGGTGCAGGGCCCAAAAATCACGTTTTGTTACCAACCAACCAGCTTGGTTTAGGGAAGGTCGACAGTGAAAACCCAGTTCGCTAGACAGATCCCAGTTCGCTGGACAGATGGCCACACACCTCAACTAGGATGCAATTGCCGTGTGGTCGAGTGCACTGTTGATTTGTGCGGTAGTTGAGCTCGAAGCAAGTCAACAATAGTTTGACAAGTCGGCGGGGAGACTGCGGGCAAGATCCATGCCTGGGGACATGGCAGAATACTCGAGGCCCAATAACGTCGGGGGCCCGAATACGACAAAGGCGGCATCGGATGTTATTTTTTAGGGTGAGGCTTTGTGGGTTTTGCACCGTTGGTGTTTACGTTCGCCAAGGCAGTGATGCAGGCGAGTGTAGGAGCGAATAGTGTAAGTAAATGTCCAGCCCAGCTCCCAATCAAACGCCAAACGTCGAACGCCATACTCCGTTGGTGTTTGTATCGTCCGAGAGAGATCAGACTAGCGAGTATAAAGGCGAATGGCGTAGACAAATATCCAACCCGGGTCCCACTCAAACGCCAAACGCCAAACGCCAAAACTCCGGAAAAAAAGGACGCTGAAAAATCAACGCTTAAAAAAAACCAAAAAAAACGACCGCTATGGTTCGGAGGGCGGCCGAACGCGGCAAAGACATACCAAAATGCGTTTTTAGTGATCTGGCAGGGAGTTTAAGTTATTTCTCTCATCTCGAATGTGGGAGGCTCTTTTGGTTAGGTACCTTGGGTCAAGTACATCTAACTTGGTGTATTCCATATTAGGAGGCACTCGATTGATGCATCTGCCATCGGTGTCATTTTATCTTTTGCCCAACCATACCATCAGATTATCCTGTCCTCCGGCGCTCAAATCGCCCCGCTCCCTTTCCGGGGTGAACGGTAAGTGCATAGTCGGCACCCGCTGGTGTTTACCACCGTACCCGCTCTCCTTGGGTACGTGAACCGTCTCCCAAACCATAGCTTGCATATCCTTGACCTCTAGTACCCATATCCCGCGCCAGTTGCTTTCCTCTTCGACGACCTGCTTGAGGCGCCAGGGAAATTCGGCCGCCTTGTCAAATTGCCATCCTCGTTCGGGCGAAGGCCGTGCCGACCGAGGGCTTGCCGGCCGAGGCCGAGGTTCGCTTGCTTTGCTTTCTGGATATTCCGCTTCCTTTTGATCTGTCGCGTTCTTGCGCATCGAGCGGCCGGCTCTGTAGTCTTTCCACGCCTAGTGGAGAGCAGAGAATGGCTACATCATGGCTTTGCCCATGCTTGGGGTACGTGATTAGACCCATGTAGCTAAGTGAATATAACATTACAGACACTTACTTGATCTACCGGGGCGATATCGGTACCCTCCAAATGTTATAGGTGGTGTGGTGGGCGTTGCGTTTAGGTAGCTTCTGAGCGTGCGGAAGCCGTGAAGGAGGCTTACGTGATAAAGTTAAGAGGAGTTGAACTTTGGGATCACGTGAAATTGCAGATTCAAATGGTGTTTAATAAGTTTTTGGTCGTGGCAGTTGGAATTTTAGTACAGTAAGGAGGAGAGAGAGACGTGATTTTATAGACGAGCGGCTTCTGAAAATAATTGTTGGGAGTCGAACCCCAAAGCCAAAACTAATAAGCTCCCGCCGACCTGGCAGTCGTAGATGCAAAAGAAGAAGTTTAACTGTAACGAAATTTACGTTAGTAAATGGAAAGGTTAGCTACGACGAAACCGGAGAGCTCAAATACTCGGCAGCGTCGTTCCCTGCAGGCATACTCGTTGTCAAAGTCAAGGACTAGCTTATGGGAGCCCGTATGCCGGTTTACTGGGGGGCATTTTTCGACTGAGACGTCGGAACAGGGGGATTTGTGGGTTGGGCATCCTCATATCCAGCTGGAAATCATCTAAGTAAGCCATTGCGGTTACTAAAGGTTTTAAGGATAGGTTCTGGGGGTCCGGGGTGAAATGAACCTGTTTTCCGTATAATAGGAGCCTGCCGCAGGCGAGGTTCTTCTGAAAGCGAGTAAACGCCGTTCTCAGCCGAAGACGCCCTTAGACGCCGGGTCCGGATTGCCTTCGCTGCCAAACATGTAGATTTTAGTGCCAATCATGCCAGTAGCGAAGCCCCTCCTCGGCGCGGGCATCCTAGCGCGGGCCGTGACCCAGCCGGCCCAGCTGGCGCCCGTCATGCCGCCGAGCACGAAGATCTTGCCGTCGACCGCGGCCGCGTTGGCGTGGTTGATGGCGACAGGCAGCGGCGCGAGCTTCTTCCACGCGTTCTTGGGGATGTCGTAGAGGTACACGCTGTCAAGCACGGCCCCCGTCTGCAGCACCCCGTCTATGATGACCAGCTGCGTCGACGACAGCGCAATTGTCGAGTGCTCGTGGATTGCGCCGGCGGGGACCGGCACCAGCGTCTTCCATGCCGACTGCTGCTATCCTGGGACTGCTGGTAGAAACGCGTGGTGGCCGTGGCTGGACGCGGCGCCTGCGGAAAGGATGCAGCAGAGGGCGGTGCTGATCGATAACCCCGTTCTCGCTTTCGAGATTTCCATATTTGACAGTCTGGTGGGCTGTTATCTACCTTACTTCATCAGGTGGAGTTGGCTGGGCGGCATGAGATGGCTTAGGGCGCGTCGATTCTAGGTTCAGGGGGGAAAACCCTGCTGTGCTCAGGAGATAGTTAAATACAGGAGGTAAATACAAGACAGAGCTGATATCCCGCGCCACGTTGAAACGAAGGGCACAAGATGCAGGATTAATTGACCTTGTACGGAACTACGGGGACCCACATTTGTCCAGATCAGAGTCCAAGAAAAACCATTGTATATAAATTGTTTCCCGGTTAATATTGAGGAGATCTCCCTCCCGTTCCGAACATAATTAATGGTCCCCAGCTCGTGTCCAAAAATCTCGAGACTCATTCATGCTAAAAATGACCGTGCCCGCCTTGGCCGACTTGAAAGCAGCAAGGCTCAGATTTACTTCCTACCTTTCACTCGGGTCTCTAACTCTCGGCATTCATGGCCCTGGGGTCATGCGTACTGGCAAGGCAAATCGAGAAGGAGATCCCTGGGGACAAGAGCTTGAACTGTGAAGCAATTCACACTGTGAATCCTGCACCACAGGGATTTCATTGATCATTCTTGCCGTTAGATTAGTTATCCCTTTCAGAAACGAAAGGCAAGGTAAACCACAGTCTTCTCGCCCCTTTTATAAGCGGACCGCAGGACATGATGAACCGTTATTCATGCTAAGTATCATCATTTCCGGTCGTTGCAACTCCCACTTGGTTAATGTTGGATTCACCAGGGTACCGGTACTGGAATTAATAGGGCGCGCTGCGCGCCGTAAGCTGGCGGTTCAAGTGTTGGGTTTCGTTATGTCTGTGTATCTAGAAGAAAGGGTTCAGTGGTGGCCGCAGGCCGCCTAAATAGGCCCTGTGGCCCTGCGCCTCCACCACCACCTCTGTGGCTGACTAGCGCGTTATTCTAACACCCACATTCCAACAGCAATAGAGCCTATGTCAATGGTTAGCGGCCTCGCCCTTTATTAGCGCCCTTAGTAGCATACATTAGCGCCATTAGCGGCGGCATACCATCAGCGCCTTAGTTCCATTAGTGGCACCCGACATCATTAGCGCTATTACGGCGGCATACCATCAGCGCCCTTAGTGGCACATCATCAGCGCCATTAGCGGCGAGGTGGCGACGGTAGGGCTAGGAGGTGGAGGCTTCAGGCCGTGTGCGGGCTGCTCCTTCGCTCCCTGCCCTTGCCGTGCCCTCAGTTGATGCACCCGATAGCCTATCTGGCGCCTTCCGTTCAGGGCCAAGTTCTTCTGCTAGGACACCCATGGATTTGTGAAGGCGCAGCCGACTACGCGAGTTCCGAGTTGAAAAGATAAGAATTGGCCTTTACACTTAGACGCACTGATGCATTCGGGCAGTTTTCACTCACTCGTACCAGATCCATTTGTCTTGGCAAAGAACTTGCTTGTTCATCTAAGACTGACACCTCGATATTGTGATGCCCACCCTCTTCTCTTTATAGAGTCTTTTACATAACGCATTTGACATACGAGGAGCCCAACTACAGGTAGTGGCCCAAGTCTTGCAATTCCCCATCAGCCATAGCACCTCGACGGGTCTATCTCCAACCTTCCATCCCTTGGCTGTCCATGGGGCATAGGCATGAGACTTAGGCGGCTGAGCGTATCTCCCTTGTTCTCGATCGTGTAGCCGACAAGCCTTTCCCTCCCAAGCGCTTCCCTCAACTCTCGATCGGTGTACCAGCAAGTGCTGCTCCCTAGCTCTCGGTTGATGGCTTCACATATATCGAGAATGTTCCGCACAGTGCCGGTGGCCGACCTGCCGTACCGATTGAGTTCGCTCTGCCTCAGCCATGTTACCCAGAGGCTAATACAGACGCCGCACCACAAGACCTCGAGGAGGAGCCCGATAAAGACAAGATTGCGCGCGAAGCCCCAGATATAGCGACCGCCGCCGGCGCAGAATCTGTGCTCGTGCAAGCTCTGCCTGAAGTCTTCGGTCAAAGGCTTCCCCTTGTAGCATATACACTCACCCAGATCCAAGTTGGACCACGAACTGAACATAAACAGCGTTAGCCCGCTGATATAAGCGCTTTCAAAAATACACACAATGTGGCCAGAAAGTTACCAGTTACGGCCCAAGTCCAGAAACGGCGCCGGCAAACGGATTTTTGTTCCGTTGAACCAAAAAGAAGAGTTAAACGGGATTAGGGTGGGTGGTCGCTCAGCCTGGGGAATAACCGACACGTTTAGTTGAAAGGTTGAACGGATGACCTGTGTAGAAAAGACCTGATTATTAGTGTCGTATTAGTTTATCCGAAAGATGTCTTTGCTATCAGCGGTTAAGTTTTCGCGGACTCCAAGGGATTGCCATCCCTTGATGATGGCGGGAGTTGCTATACGTCTTCCGTATGCCTTGCTTAAAGGCTGCTCTTCGTCCCATACCCAGATAGTGCTGTTTGTGGTATCCTGAATAGTGGTATTTTCCAAAAGTTCTCGCAAAGTGAAACGTGATTTCGCATCTAGGGCAAGACCGGGTTCAGTGGCTGCTCAGTTGAAAACATGAAGACTTGGATGCTTTCTCACATGAGTAGATATTATAGAAATCTTCTGATACGGCCTCTGTAGAGTAGGTTTGCAACCAGCGCATTGGGTCTTTGTAAGTCAGATCAAAGGACTGGAAGACCAATCCGAATGTAGGCCCCAGAAAGACACTTCTGGTTGGATCAACAAGGCCCGGAAGCCGCTGTGGGTCTAAATTCCAGCACATTATAAGTGTATCGCTGTCCTTGATGACCCAACTCTGGTCCGCCATTGTATAAGCGGAAGCAATAACTCCTACGCTCTGGTAGCCAGTGGCGGCACTCCAGAGTGCACCAAAGAACATGGCGTGTCCAATACCATAGGAAAGCGAAATCGTAGCGAGGGCGACTTTGGGCATTGGCAACCTGCGACGAGCCACCACAGATCTGATCGAAGACCATAGAGACCCCATTGAATCGGGCTCTCATAACAGGTCGAGTAGCAAGGGTAACGGTAGGGCGGAACACTCCAGGATCCAGGTGACGGTTCTGCATGCTATATGATAGATGATCCAGCCGTGCAGCAGACGGCCTCCTTGCGCTATGCCTATGTCCCAGACGAGGTCGACAATTTTGGCCTGTGCGAATGATAGACCATGTAGAATCTGGAGGTTGATTTGAAACTGAGCCTCAGTCGTCGACATCGCTTCCTGGCTGTCACATTCATTTTTGACTGTGTTGTAAGGGGTGGATAGCCATGTTTCAGCCGCACAACCGGCCAAAAATATTGTTAGGAAGACTGTTATTGCAGCGACATTGACGCGAGACTCGTGGAGGTCTATCTGCCTCCGGATTCTAGCCGCTGGCAAGGGCCTTAGCGCAGCTTTAGCCATTGATGCTGATATGGTTTGGTCCTCCTTATTTCCTATCGTTACTCGTAGCGACGTGGGGGTCGGATATATGCTGTCAAGTAACATCATGATTGCTGCTCTGGGAGCCGAACGACTTGGAAGGGAGAGGGTGAATATCACCGAACACTAAGAATTGATCGTCTCAAGGATCTTTAAGACCGTGCTTTAGGGCCTCTCTTCCGATACGGGTTTGAGCGAGGCGTCTGGTGGGTGAGGAGGGAGGAGTGACAATCTTGACCTATTTGTTCGTACCTACCTGCCTCAGTACTTAGTAATGCCTGGTAACCCGGATATATGTTCAGGTTATTTGCAATCTGCGAGAGGCAGACTGCTAAGGCGCAGTCACCCCAACACACTATCACGAGCTGCCGCTCAGTCTGGTCTGCCCTTGCATTGTATAGAGAAAGACCGGGTAAATCACAATTAATATCGGCATGTTTCTCCGAGCTCGCCATGCAGGTGCCATTGTTGGCAGAATTCGCCACCCTTTCTTGGCTGTGCAGGTACAATATATTATATAAATATTCGTCACATTTGCTAGACTCAACCCTACCAACACAACAATGAGGGAAGTTTCATTTAAACCTCTTATCGCCCGAAACTGTGATCACCAGTCATTAATGCTGTCCTCCTACATTGATACCCCCCGCGGTAATGGAACGCGGTGTCACCACCACACCCAGGCCGTTTGACAGCAGTTGCTAGTATGTTAATAAGAAAGAATACCAAAAAGTGCAACAAGGAAATCCATCACCTGACAATGCACGCACAAAGCGTGAATTTATGCTCATTTTCGTTGCGAATAGCTGCGCGGCCGACGATCGAGAGCTTCCGTGTGTCACGGCAGGTGCCAGACGGCTTAGTGCCGCAGGCGCCAGGCTTGGCAGGGCCAAACGGCTAGGTGGGGCACGCTGAGCCCGCCCTACCACGTGACCCACACTTTGCCCAAAACCCCGCGCCCTGCGCGAGCTTTCGGAATCTTCTTTTCCTTTCCTCAGCTTTAGATTCTACTAATACTGCGACCATTGTGCAGCACTGTCTCATCCAGGTTCACAGTGCGGTGACACCGTGCGGTTGATGGCTGGCTGCATTGAAATTCGGTCATTTACCACCCGAAAACGGGTCTTTGGGATGGCAGTTGCCAGCAGACCCACAGATTAGTGCGCTGAATGCAACTAGCGGGTGCGCAGATCAACTCTCTTTTTTCATCCGTGTTCGCGCCGACAATTTGTCCGACTTCTGCAACAAGCTGGTCACAGCAACTAATAGCTTCAGAAAGGTGTCCGTCTCTGCATGTGCATAGATGAGCATTTTGCAGACAAACTCGCAGCTGTGGATTCGGTCGCTCACAGAGCTTTGGCGGATTCGGGTAAATATCGGTTACAAAAGCCTGTATGGTACCGCCATTTAATTGGGTGCATTTCCATTTTACGTGTCTGTGCGAGACGGGTAGCAGGCGTTTCTAAAAACGGCATTCTGTAAGTTAAACTCGATACGGAATCCGTTTCAATTTAAATAAGAGATAAGAGATGAGATGTCGCAAATTTATTCGGTGCACTTGTAGCGCCCCATTTCGACTCCCGTATACCTATCAGACTGCAACAGCACTTTTAGGATTGTGTGCCCTAGAGTGAATTGCTTCTATTCCTACTTCCAGTCTTTCCACAAAAGACTCTCTTATACTTCCTTATGTAGCAATTATATGACGAATCCCAATAGCGAAGATTACACATCGTAGGTTCCAGCACCTTCTAGGCCATTCCATCTGACAATACCCTCATTTTCGGCCGCTTTGAGTCCCAAAGAGAAGGTTTCTGACCGCCCTAAAAATTTGTCGTGGCTTTCACTTTTGCTGCTTCTGCAGGTACTCGTTGACTTCTTGCGAGGGTATTTACAGCCCAGACCACAACTCTCATGCCCACCTCCCCACTATATAGGAAGCAATTATCCTCGACTCCAGTACATACGGCCATAGATATCGGAAAACTCGGGATCCCGTCCGCTCTCCCATAGATAAGCCGATAATCGCCAGACTAGTAGTTGGGTCGGTGACGACCAGCGAATCCCTGGTGTTGTATGTTTTTGCTCACCCGTTTTTTTGCCGCCAGTGCCTTTGCTAGTGTTCTCTTCTATAAAACTCAACCCCCTCACAGGCGCTATCGAAGAATGTACAGTACGCACCGTCGCATTCCTGTCCCGAAGAATACCAATTAGGCTGAATTACGATAGGTAAATAACCAAAAATGTACCTAGGCAACATCCTCTCATCTTGGGAGAAGCCTCAATATTAGGTATCTCTTTCCTCTGCGTTTTTGTGGCTGAAGCAATTCGTCTCGGGATTTGTGATGCTGTAGGTTGCTCTAACACTAATACGAGTTAGCGCTGTCATTATTGAGTGAGGACAGCGCCCGTGGCTTGCAATCTCGCTGCAGCCGACTCAGCCCCAGCCACCTGACGGCCATTCGCTTTTCCCGAGCTCCGGAAAAGGTTAGCTCCCAGGGCAGACTCATCGGCGTTTCCTTCGATCGGGCTGCGCATTGGCAAATTGCTGCTGCTGCAGGCAGCAGCAGCATGTTGGCGCGCCCGCTTTAACTAGAGGCCTCTTAACTAAGGTGCCTTACATTAGGTAGCTAATTGCCTTACCTATCATATCATCTTGAGTCAAGACAGGAGCCGAGATCGCAACACGAGCTTTGCCCACCTTCGACCTTCAGGCTCACGCAAGTTCAGCTTCGCAGCATCTCATTTCAAAAGGCCGCCGCTCGCTCACTCATCATCGAAAGCGATGGCCGGCGTTCCCCAAACTCGACGGCGGCAGCCCGTCCTTGACCGTCTCACGGCTTTCCTGCCTTCCAGCCAAATTCTTCGTCGGTGGTGGAAAGGTGGCCCGGTGCTCAATTCAGATGCGGATGCAGATGCCGCTAATACAAAGGAGAGAAAACCATGGCCCGCCGCCGCCGCCGCCCAGGAGGATAGCCCGGATGCCGATGCCCCCGTCGCCCTTTTGCTTCCGGGCATGGCCGGGCTGACCGTCAGCAGCGGCGCCGCCCAAAGCCGCCTCGCCAACCTCCCTATTGCCGGTCACAAGTCTCGAAGCAGGGCCCTGTCCGTCCACAAGGCATCGCGTCAGCCCGATCTGTTTCTCACCATGTTGCCTATCGAGATTCAGCAGGCCATCTTCGCGTTACCCAATCTGTCGCTCTTCGACCTGCTCTCGCTCCGCAAAACCTGCCGTACCCTTCGTTGCACCCTCCCCATCGGCGTCATGGAGAGGAAGCTCAAGGAGCAGAACCACGCAGGCTGGTCCGTCGTGTTTGAAATGCACGGCCACAAGTACCCGGGCACCACCTACGGAAACCGGCGCCTGTGCGGCCGGTGTGTCGTGCCCAAGATCACGGGGCACTTGATCCAGGGCGCAGCCGTGCGCGACTACCTGATAGCCCGTCGTGGTCTTCGCTCCTCCCTGGTTAATACGCAAGAGGAAGGGGAAGAAGAAGACGACGGGGAATGGCCCGAGGAGCGAGCCATGTGCTTCCCCTGTCTGCGGACTGAATTATTACTCGCGAACAAGACACAAACGGACGGTGCCATGGTATTGTTAGAGGCACCCCCCGGCGCTGAAATGTACAAGCTGGCTGCCATCTCGACCGAGGAGCGGTTCCCGATGCTGGACGGGACGACCAGGAAGATGTGCAAGGGCTGCGCGAGGGACATTCACGAGAATGCGGTGCCGTGCCCCCACTGTGTCGACTTTTCTGAATGGTGCAGGACAAGGCGGCGGCACGCCTAGACCTAGTTCTAGGGGGAGCAGACATGGCATCCCCTCTGTATCAAAGGGGTGGTTAAGCTCAAAGAGTTGTTTGGAGTTACTTGGGTTAGATTTACATAATACATATATAGCAGATAAGATCTCAATTTCTCTAGGCTCAGGTCCGTTCAAGCCCTACACGTCTCTCTCAAGTGTTGGGCATGTCCAGTTCCACGCAGCGAGGTGATTGGAAACACCAACTAAATAACGTTTTGGGCCTGGCAGCTGAGTTTGCCGTTTCAGAGGAGTCGAGAGGAGGAGTCATAACTACCGTAGGTACCTAGGTATCCAGTCATCCATCTCCACATCCCCGGTGGTAAGGTTCGTGAGTCGGCCGGTATGACTCTATCGGAGTAGTGCCGTCAATTAGCTGACTTTTTACTGTACCGTGGCAAATGCCTATGTTAGCTTCCTAATGTGTACGTAGTGATGCTATGTGCCATTTTGCTTTTGTGATGAATCTAGCTTTGGAAGCCTCTCCTTGAGTAAAGCTTCATCGAAGCAGACAAAGTATAGTACGAAATATAACATCTCACACCCCAATGAGTACCTTAGCCTCCCTGACGGTTTGACTCATTTAAACATGCAAGCACCTCACCCTCTAGTTCTACTCCCCCCTTCCTACTTGAACCCACTCGCATCAGATCACACCAAGTCCGTCCTACCAATGTCGCTCCCCAAAGCCGCGCGCACCGCCAACCACGCTCCCCCTGGAACTACACGAGCCCATCCTCGCCAATCTCACCTTTCGGGACATCATCTCGCTGTCCCAATATGCCGACGCCAGCGGCCTGACGCGGTTGGCGTCTTCGCTCGCCGCCAGCCCGACGTGGAAGAGCGTGTGGCCCATGTAAGCCGCGCGCAAGCGCGACTTCCAGACACTCGCGTCGCTGGTCGTGCGCGTTGGCGCTTCTACTTCTCCGAGATTCAACCTGACGCGCGGCGCGCTAGACGTGACACCCAGCACGCTGCACCGGCGCATGGCGCGCCGGCGCGCCATGATGCATAATCTTCAGGAGTACGACTTCTTCTGGGACACGGTCGCGGGCGCAAAAAGCGCGCTGCTAGAGCAGCTGTGCCTTGTCAACTATCTGACGATTGCTTGCCTGGCCAACGAGTTTCCTCTTGGCTGTGTTGCTGTTTGTCTCAGGCCGCCTCCTCCTGCTCCTCTCTCTGAAAAAGAAGAGGAAGAAGACGCACACCAAGGCGGAGGAGAAGATTTAGATGACCCTCTCGCCCTCCGCCAGAAACTCGCCGCCCTCCTGACCGAGACTCCCATTTATGCAGAAGAAACAACCATCCTGACCAGCACCGTCACCGCGTGGTCGCTCGCCCAGCTCGCCGCCTTCGTCACGAGCTACGCGGCCGCACAGTCGCGCATCAACGCGGCAAAGGCCGCCCAGCTCTAGGCGCTATCGCGTCTCTACGGGTCCCAACCGATGCGGCTGCGCATGCCGCTGGCGCCGCAGCCGCCCCGAGAGAACACGGCACATGTCCCGGGCCAGCTCGACGTCGTGGCGCGGTACGTGCAGCGCGTTGTTGTCCTGAATGGCCTCCAGGGGCAGCGGAGGCAGGGACGGTCGAGGTTTCGGTATCCGCATGCTTGTCTGGTGCCGTGCGACTGGTGTTTGGTGCTGTGGGAGCGGGTGGCCAAGGTGAGGCCTGGGTTGTTTGATGATGATAGTGAGGACGATGACGAGGGGGTGGATGATGACGATGGTGACGAAGAAGAAAAGCCGCCAGAGGAGATCGTGCAGTGTCTGACGGTTGCGCAACGGGGCATCTTGAATTATTATTATCCCAATATTGACGAGGTGGATGTTGAGACCCTGCTACGGACGCGGACAGGGCAGGGGGATGATGGTAAGTCTTCTTTTTCCACTTTCCCAGAACGGAATTCCCGAGCTTGGGGTTCTTTGGTTCGCAGAGGTAGTCAACTGACAGCCCTGATGACAGGTCTCCTAATGTTCGTCGTCTACGAAACCGAGGCGCGGATCCTGGGTGGTAAGCGGGCTTTGCTTCTCCCGGTCGATAGTCGAGAGATGGAGTGGGTCGAGTCTTTTCTTCGGGGTGTGGGGTGGATGGAGAAGACGTTCCCGGAACTAGCCGCGGAAGCGAAGAAGGGTTGTGCTTGAGGGGGTTATTGGCTTTGTCTGTACGTTCCATATTACCGCCAAAGACAGCACAATTTACAACTATCCAGCTAATTAGGTGAGGCTGTGATATGAATTCGCATGCTTCCTCTGTTTCATCAGCAGCACACGAACATAATCCACGTCTATTATGTCTGAAAGTTAATATCACGGCAATGCAAGAATTCTAGAATAGAGACTGACCTCTACCTCTCCACATTCCCTTCCACGTCCACAGCCCCATAATGTTTCAAAAACCTACCCCAAACCGCACTCCCCTCCCCGTTCTTAGCCTCGCCCATGGTGACGGGCTAGAGCACGCGGCCGGCGCCGTCCTCCCAGCCCAGCGGCCGCCCCTCGCCTCCGTACGCGCCATCCATCTCCGGCGCAGGCGACATGTATCCCGGGTCGACCGTGTTCATGGCCACGCGCCTCGCCTGCCACGCCGCAGCTGGCTCGGTCTGCGTGATCATGTTGACGGCCGCCTTGGTCATGTTGGTGTGCACGTGCGTGGCGCGCTTGGCGCTATGCCACGGCCGCGCCTCGAACAAGCCCTCGCGCGACGACACGTTGATGATGTACCCGAGGGGCTTGCGGGCGGCGCCGCCGGTTTTGGGCTTGCTTTCCCGCCGAGGCTGTTTAGGTTCGGATGGTGGTGGTGGTGGTGGTGGTGGAGGTGGCAGCGTGTCTGATACTGTCATCGTCGTCGTTGTCGACTTGCCGCCGCCCATCAGAGGTAGCAATTCCCGACACAGAATAAGGGGAACAAAAGCATTGACGGCTTGCGCCGAGACAATGTCCTCGTAAGGAATCTCGTCGAGCGTCTGCACCCAAGACGGCTTGAAGTAGGGCGCCAGCTCGGCGCGCCCGTCATCTTTCACGTCTTCCGGCAACAGCACGTCACCTCGTCCCAAATATTTCTGCGCCGTCGAGACGAGACTCTTCTGCTGGTTCTCTCCGCCGTACAGTGTCAGGGGCGCCACCCCTCCTCGGACTCGCAGCTGGTAGCAGTACTTGTCTCTAGCGTCAAACACAATCCCCGTGTCCTCTGCGTTTCTCCTCTGCTGCTGCTCGCGCACGAGGGCGTGCTCCTTCATGACAAGCGCTGGGCAATTGGCTCGGACTAATTAGAACCGAGGACAAGTCTAAAAGTTCCTGTCGTTGCTGTTGTGAAAGCCGGGGCCGTGAACGGCAGCAGCTAATCATGTGTGAACTGGAGCCAATTGCAGTGCTGCGAGCGAGGCCGAGCCTTTCCTTTCTTCTTTCCCGAACTTTTAGTTAGTTAATCGACTGTCACAACACTGGTGTCGGCTCAACTTCGATAGCCTAGTGATGATGAGTCGGAAATGACGATCGATCTGTCTTTTAAAATCTTTTTGGAGCTCTTTTCTTGCACTAGAGTTGCACCATGAGTCATTGTGAACTTACCCTCAAACCTTTGAAGTGAGTACTTAAGGAAAACAGATCAGGGTTTGGAATTTCGGCGCATTAGAATTCCCGTAGTCGGAAGATAATTGACAAGGTCCGGGAGTTTACACATTCTTCAAATTGTGAGTGAAATTCCACTGATCTTGCAATCGTCTCTTGTTTCAACATACAACCCTAACCCTTGCCAAACATTCAGGGGGATTGTCCAATAACAGACTCGATGGAACTGAGCACTCTCCGCAAAGTCCCGATTGGACCGAACAGGCGCGGCCCGTATCGGTGGCAAGTTCAATCGCAACTGACTCACCTGCCACAGCATTTCGGGCTGGAATAAGGGGGGTGATGAGGGGCTGGATGCATGGCTCTCTGCGGAGACGAAATAATGTACATTTTCTCTACTATGGGGCGCATTTGGGCGGTTGGGATGCTCAGGTTTCAAGATGCACGCAGTCCACAAATGTACTGTCACTCGAATGTGTATTCCCATCATTACTCTATCTATCCTAAGGATGTGCATCGTGCACCTGATTACAACCAAGAGGCTCCAATTGCATATCTAGATAACACCCCCGAACACCCATGGTAAGCACTGTCGGTGCTACTTGCTCTGGGTAGGTTGAAACTGCGGGTCGATGGGAGCAAGAATGCTCTTCATCCGAGCCTGGTAGAACTCGATTCGCTCCTCTTTGTTGACTGGGCCCTGTGGGATTCTCATGAAGACGTTGTCATGCTGGTACTCCTCGCTCCGTGCTGCCGACTGTCCATGGTATTTTGAGAGGGTATCAGTGTCTTGAAGGACGCTGACGATCAAGCAGTGTTAGAGGAACCCACAGACAAGGGTAGGAGAGGTGACTAAATATCATAGTGTGAGGCGAGAGGGGAGATACCTCGTGTCATGGGACTCTCTATTGGAGGCCGACAGTTCACTCATGGTCACTGGTGGATAGAAATCGAAGTAACCGAGGTGTGAGGTGGGCGAGGAGCTGGGCGTCAGCGCCATTCGAACAGGGGGAAAAGAAGGTAGAGGGAGAAAAACAGGAACGAAGAGCAGTGAGATGATTACGGTAATATGTACTGAACTTGTCGCGACTTGGCCCAATGAAAGGCAGCCTCGATGATAGGCGCACTACGAGTCAAGAACCCAACGCCCCGGGAGGGGGCAGCAGCTTCTTCCTCTCAGACTGGCGAGATTCTGGATGTAGCGAATAGGCTGGCCGTTCGCTCATGCAAGATTCTCGACGTAGCCAATCGGCCGGCCGTTTTCCGCCCAAGTCTAAGCCACCAGGAACCTTTTTTTATGCAACCGACATGGGTGCCTAGGATTCGTTGTCAACAAGGTAGGCGGTAGTCTCGGCGGGAGTTACACCGAGTGAAGGAAGAGGCGCTTTTGCAGGTGCCTCAAAAAGTTGCCTTTTTAACGGCAGTGCGTGCAAATGATGGGTGTGGGAGTTGTCCAATGGCATTTTCCCGATCAGAACCTAAGAAATGGAGAAGGGTTGGCTAGAGCCTAACCGCCACAATGTCAATTTGACCAATGGTAGAAGTCGTCGAAAACGCCCTCCTGTGTGACGACGTATTGAGTCTCCGGACTTTCCCCGAATCGGTGTCTCGAAAAGATTTGGGCACCAGCCAATCAGTGACGCGGTCGACCGAGCCTAGACCTTTTTGTGGCTGCCAGTGGTTGCTCCTGCTTGTTCGGTCGTGCTCCAGACATTTTATTCCGCTCTCGTCCGTTCTTTCTGCCCCAAAGCTGTGACACCACCACCCCCCACCCGCCTGCCTACCTTGATCGCCCTTGCTAAAGACAATCGCCTCGAGCACCCCATTGCTTTGCCCGCCGTCTTCCGTCGATTTGTGGTCGCTTAGTTTTTAGACTAGACCCAAACTGCCATCATTTCCGGCCCCGTGATCGGCGACACTTGGGATGCAATGCGAGAGGTCCTGCGCGAGCTCTACTTGACCGAAGACCGCCCCCTTGTAGGCCCGGATGGTGTTATCGAGGTCATGAGAGAGCGCCATGGCTTTCTTGCCTCGTGAGTGAACTGTTCAATTAATTAATCACCAATCGACACCGCAGCGCCGCTCGTGTGCTAATTAGAACCCTTGTTTCCTAGAAAAGCCCAGTACGAGACCCGCTTTCGTAAATGGGAATTCCGCAAGTATTCCAAGTCCAAGAAGCGCGAAGACTGGCTGGCCATTAGTCGCAAATTCGAGGCGGCCAAGGCAAAAGTGGCCAAGACAGGAAACTCGAAGGAGCCCCGTCTGTATCATTGCGGCAAGCTTGTCACGACAAAGTTGCTCAAGACCAGGAGCTTCATGACCTTCCTCGAGAAGCGCGCCTTTGACCAAGGTAGGTCCATCCTTGTTTTGCTTTCTAAAGACAAAGGCAGATCCTGTGTTCAGCGTTGATCTCGCAGTTGCAGCACCGTCCCCAAAAACACCCCCCGACTTCAACATTCGCTTCCCGACCCCACCGCCAATCATCGTCTCGAGCCTGCCATTTCTTGACTTGAAGGTGATTATTGACCATCTTGGTAGTGAGTTTGCCTTTTCACTAGACTCTGCCGGGCTTAGTCTGCCGCCTACCCTAGACTGGCTGACACAGCACAGCGCGCCTCAAACTCAATGATCGTCCCATGACGGAGCTTGTCAGACTTTTCCCCAACCCCAAGACGGCCACGCACAGTCCTCTAGCTGGATTCCGTCCCTTCCTTCCAAGCTCGCCTGAAGTCCTCTGGCCATTCTCGTCTGAAGACAGCCATCTAGACTTGCAACAGATTGGGGAAATCCAAGTCCTCAGCCTGGCATCGTACTTACTGTCAAATAACCTCCCTGGTAACTTTGATGGAACCCAACTCTATTCCTGGCTCAAAGAAGTCGGCGCATTCGACATGCTCGATCACGCTGTGGATCTGGCGGGCCCGAGTGCCGAGGCGCTTCTCGAAACAAGTTTTCGATTGGCTGTCGAGACGGAGGACTTGCCCGCAGTCGAATACCTCCTTCAACTTGGTATCGATCCCAACGGCCGATCGTGTAGATTTCGTCACATCCCAACCCCCCTAATTCCCCTGGAGTTTGCATGTGTGACCGGAAACCTGCAGCTAGCCCAATCTCTCATCAAGCACGGATCGAGAATTGAGGATTCTGGTGTCGGATGGACAAGAAGCCTCCTGGTTCTACTGATTCTGGGATGGAACTCACGTAACACCCGCCAAGATCAGATTGCCCTAGAAGCAAAGAAATCAGCCAGGATTTGGAGTCTTGAAGCTGATGATGAATCGGACACGGAGAACCCCCCTCATCATAGCACCGGCCCCCTTATCTCCTTGATCCGCAAGCTGACCAATCATGGATGCGCCGTCGACATTCCACCCGAATCAACGAGCGACAACACTTCCTTGGTTGCGCTGACCAGTCAACAGCAGCCCGATCAATTGCTGACTTGGCTCTCTGAGGGACATTCTCCTCTCACGGCAGCTTCAAAGTGCGCCAATGTTGTGATTGTGTTTTACCTCCTTGACCGAGGAGCAAATGTCCACTTTCAAACGGCAAATGGATTCTCTGCTCTGCACGAATGCCTGGCTGGTTGGTGGGAGAGCGTGAATTTCGCAAATAATACCCGGCGGCAATGCTACTTTGAAGGGGACATACTCACTACCGCCTCCGGCTTGTTAGACGCCAAGGCCAATGCAAACGACCCAGCCCCGCCTCGATGGCTAAAACGGACGCTGGTTGATGAGTGCTTGCCCATTACTCTAGCGGCAGAGTATTCTATCAAAATGGTCGACCTCCTCCTGGAATTCGGGGCACGGCCAACATCAGCCTCCCTCACCGCCACGTTGAACTCCTCTGTAGACAACATGGCCTCACTCGATCGATTCCGGCGCCTGGCGCATTTTGGAACGCCAGTCTCGGACACAGCCTGGCCATACATCGTGCATCGCTTTGACCAAGGGGCTTGGCGCTGGCTACAGCCAGTTTTTGAAGCGGACATGGACGAGGAGACCACTGTTTCGCTTTATACAAAAGCAATGACAGCCTACAGCCTTGGCTCTCACTTGAACCTGAGGATGAAGGATCATATAACTTTCTTGTCCAGATGCTCGTCAGATGAGCTGGTTCCTGTTTTTGAAACAGTCTGCCCCATCGCGACCGTGGGGTTCCTCCAAGAGTTTGGATCGAATCTCGCTGGTCGAGTTCTCTCGCAACTCAGCGGCAGAGTAATATGCGGCGCAATTTCGAAGGGGAATTTTGAGATGGCTCGTCATCTGATTAAGGCTGGCGTGGATGTCAATGTGGTCACCAATGACAACAACAGCCCCTTGACGGCAGCTATCCGGGCACGACACGGGACCCTGGTGACGCAGTTGATTGAATCAGGTGCCGTGCCAATGCTCCGAGGCCACGCATGCGAATGTGGACGTGAGACATTTGCCAACGCTCTGGTGGCAGCTGCTGAGATCGGAAATGTCTCTTTGCTCACGAATCTCGCAGAGCCTGTGGGTGTCCTCAACATCGACACACTTGGGGCCGTCTCTCCGAAGTACTCCTTGGCAAGCGACGACAGAGCTAACAACTCGAATTGCAAATGTGTAACACCCCTTACAGCTGCAATTCTCGCAGGTCGAGACCAAGTCGTGACACTTTTGCTTCCGATGGGCGCAAGCCCCAAGAAACTAATGTGGCATCCCAGTAGCTGTGTTTTGCCCTTAGCTGCGGCAATACACAAGAGAGAGCTGGATGTGGCAACCGCCTTACTTCAAAACGGAGCAAGTCCAGTGGACATAGATGCCATTCTTGCTGCGCAGCATCAATTCCGGTTCCTTGAACTTCTTGTAGGCTTTTTCCCACAACAGCTCGATGAAGCCGAGCAGCTTGGAAGTCTATTGCTAGATTGCGTCCTCCAGAGCTTCCCGAAACTCCCTTCGGCCTCCTACTTTGAGCCCATTCAGAACATTTTCTATTCCAAGATTGCCCTAATCGATGGCCGTGAAATATTCCGTGGCAATCCCCCGTCACCTCTATACAGGGCTCTATCCTTGAACCTTTGGGGAGTGGCAAGAGTTATTTGGAAGAGGATGCCGATGTTACTGCCGGCCTGTGGGACCATAATTGGAGCGCAAATGTGCCTTGTCTTGGGCAGTGCATCAGGGTTCCCCTCCAGATATGGTCAAGGCTCTCCTCGAAGCCGGCGCCCAGGCCAACTTGGATAGGCAGAGCGGTTGCGAATTCCGCTCGACTGCTCTGCAGATCGCCGCGAGACGGCAGGACCATGATGCCCTGGAACTGCTCCTCGACCACCATGCCAACCCCAATGAAGTGGGCAAGGAAGACAGGCACACAAATTTTCAGATTTCTGTGCAGAAAGGCGACCTATTCATGATCGAACTGCTCCTCGAGCGCGGAGCGAACATTAATGCGCCACCTGACCCAGACAAGGGCGCCACGGCGCTGCAGCACGCGGCAATGGGCGGGTTCGTTGGAATCGCCGAGATGCTGATAGAGAAGGGGGCCGATGTCAACGCTCCTGCGGCCGAGAACGGCGGGAGAACAGCGCTCGAGGGCGCAGCCGAGTACGGCAGGATTTACATGATCCAGCTTCTGCTCAACGCCGGCGCTCAGACATGCGGACATGGCAGCGATTCCTTTGACAGGGCGCTCGACAGGGCCACACGGAACGGACACCATGCATCTTGGAGGCTTCTCAAGCGCCGCCTGGCGGAATCTTCATGATATGTTAGTGGTGTTATTTGTCGTTCTCTCTCTTTCTCTCTCTTAACTTCCTCTCCTTGCTATTGAAACCTTTGTCGTGGTAGTAGGCGCTGGCTTGGTGTTATATTTTGTAAGACGCGGGCCTTTCTCGCATCTGCCCGCTCCTTATCCGAAATTGGAAATCCATCGCTAGATCCAATCTTCGTCATCTACACTGTTCCGATAATTTATGGATACCACTCTTCAACAAATTAAGAACCTCGCCCGGCTAGCCAAGGTTGTGGGTTCGACCCCCACGTTAGGCTCAATTCCCGGCGGCGAGTTCGCCTTTTTGACCTTTTGCTGGTTACTTTTGTTCTGGGCATCTAAAGCATTTCATTTCTTGGCGCGTATGTGGAAAAGATCTAGTTAAATTACATCTATATATTTTCTTACATTTCGACCGTTAATTATGCACTTCCATTGCTTACCCCCCTTTTCCATCTCTTAAGCCTTCCATTATCACACAGCCTTCGTTGTCCTGTTTGCTTCTTCCTTGAATTCGGCCATGCCAAACTCTGTCTCTAGCTCGGTCCGCAGAGGGATCTCTTTCTCGAGAAACGTGATGAGCAGATTCGTGCCCGCAAATGCAATGCCGACCTGCCAGATCAGTTTCAGCGCCTCAGAATACACGCCAATGATCTTGTCGCGGTCCTCGGGCGGCTGGATTGCCCAGATGAAGTCGGCGTGGCCGTTCTCGTAGCCGTGGTTGTTGCCGTCAAAGAGCTGGCGCACGGCTGGGTCGATGTCGGCCTCTGCCAGCAGGTGGACGAAGCGGTTGTTGAAGATGGCCGCAGGGATGGCGACGCCCCAGATGCTGCCAAAGGACCGCGTGAACGACCACGCCGACGTCGTCGCCGCCTGGTGCCGCTCCTCCACTTGTGCCTGCACCGCCGGCAGCAGTGTGTTGAGCACGAGGCCGCTGCCCGTCGCACCAATGGCTTGGAATATCACCCACTCTGCCATGGACGTGCCGGCATCGAACAGGGTGAACAGGCCGAGTCCAAGCGTACTCACGGCGAAGGCGACAATGTGAATGGGCTTGTATCGGCCGTAGCGCGACAGCAGCAGGACGGCGACGATGGCGCCCGGGATGGCGAAGAGGACCGACGGCAGGATCTGCACGCCCGCGCGCGCGGCCGAGCTCCCGAGGACGGCCTGGAAGTAGACAGGGAGGAAGAAGATGCCCCAGTACAGCAGGGCCGAGTTCAGGAAAGTGGCGACGAAGATGACTCCCGACGTGCGGTTGCGGAACAGCTCGGGCGGCACCACGGGCTCGCCCACGTACGTCGACTCGTACCACGCGAACAGCACGAAGCCGACGAGCCCCACGACGAGCGGCGCGATGACCTGGCCCGACGACCACGGCAGCCGTACGCCGCCGTACGTCAGCGCGTACAGCACCGACACCGTCGACGCGACGAGGACCGCGTTGCCGATGTAGTCGATGCGCAACAGCTTCTGGCCCACCGACTGCGTGCGGTCGTGCTTGACGTGCAGGAACAGGAAGATCATGACCAAGGCGACACCGCCGACCTAGTTAGACAGAAACCTTGTCAGTCTCCGAGCCTGTCACCACCAGCCCACCCGGGGCCAAGTGCACAGATGTTCTTACCGGGAGATTGATGTAAAACACCCAGCGCCAGGTGGTGCTGTCGATGATGGCGCCGCCGACCCACGGGCCCAGACTTATACCAATCGTATAGACGAGCAGCACGACGGCGATGTAGTTGCCGCGCTCGCACAGCGGCACGAGGTCCGACACGATGATGTCGACGAGGATGTTGATGCCGCCCGCGCCGACGCCCTGGATGCTGCGGCCCGCGATCAGCATGGCCTCGTTGGTCGCGCCGCCGGCGATGCCGCTGCCCAGCGTGAAGCACGCCACGATCACCATGGTCACCCAGCGCCGCCCGAACAGGTTCGCCAGCTGTCCGATCAGCGGCTGCACTGCGGCTCTGTGGTCACAGGCAACGATTGGCGTGTTAGCTAATTAATCAGTTCACCTGCTTTTGACGATGCATGCGCGCGCATCCGTTGCACGCGGGAAAGAGAGAGGCACCCACGCTGTCAGAAAAAACGAATTCGTCACCCAGATGTAGTCCTCGCCGAGGCCGAGCTCGGTGACTATGCGCGGCAGCGCCGTCGTCACGACCGAGTTCTCGAGCGAGCTCAGCAGCCCGATGGCACAGAGCGTGGCAATAATCGCCCAGAACCGAGCGGTGGGCTGGAATTTGATGGGTGTCGTGGGTTCGGGGTGTCCGGGATCGTGGGCGTCGAGGTTCTTCGCGTCGTCTGCCACTGTGTTCATGTTGGCTTCTTTGTTGGTGGTGGTGGTATCAGAGCTGTCTTCCGCGCTCTCGGGGGCCTGGGCGCGATGGTCTTCGTCGGGCGGTGCGTCGTCGGCCATGATGGCTGGCGTTTTGGTGACTTGGTGGCCGTTGTCTGAGTTATGAGGTTGTTTTGGGAGGTGGTGGTGTGGTGTAGTGAGATGGGTGCCGGTTTTAAGGGTTCGAGATCGGGCGTATCATGGCTCAACCCGGCCTAGACCCGCCCTCGGACTCTAGGGTTCACATCCCAAAATGCGACGTCCTTCGGGACGACCCTGTTGGCTGCAGAATCGGGTTAATACAGAGGCGGCCTGCTTGAGTGGTAGCGGTTAGCTAAGCAGCTAGCAGGGACCGGGGAAGCGACGGGCTGTGGAATCCCGTTCCCGCTCGGAGCGGACCGTTGGCCTATTGTCGCGCCGATGGACCACCCGGCCCAACCACAGCCAGTAAAACAGTAAATGATTGAATAAAACCAGCGTTTTCCAGCACCGGCGGGACAATGCGGATAGATAGAAAGCCATTTTCTGTTCCGTCTCCGTCGCGAAACTTTATGAATCGGATAAAACTCTGCCTCCTCGGTTTGAAGGTGATAGGTCGCGTCTCGCGTTACGCGTATACTCTCTAGTTCCCTGCTGTTCATGTTGTGTTCCATCTCCAGAACATAGCAAAACTAAGTGCCCCGACCATGAAGAAAAATGGGACGTGTTTTGCGATTGAATTTGTCAAAGCCGTGGTAGATGTGGAAGCATTGGGTCATGGACGCGATTTGCAGTGCTGTGAGAAGCCAAGAGAAACCGGATAAACACCATGCACTGTCAGGAAGTAGAGTATAGCGAGATTCTATTGCACCAGTTCATGGAATCGTAGTGTATGTATCTGTTGGAATTTGTCAAGCAGAAGGGCCTCGAAGGTTCTAGATAGAGACTTCGCTACCCACTTCGCCACCACAATAGTAGTATAAGAAGGGGCTTTCTGGCATTGCCAGAAAGCTAGAGAGAAGAACACACATCTACAATCCATCACTTGAACCACCAGCTTTCGGCGTACAGTTACGCCCTGTTGATTCCAGTACCGGTACCCTGGTGAATCCAACAGTCCCATCCAGATTTCGTATCTGAGTGTTCCCCTCACATCTCCAAAGAGGTTTGTATATACATTGCAAAATATAGTGCAAAAGGGGAGTAATTGAGGTTGGAACCAGCCAACCAGGCCTGCTATAATTCTGTGAATACTACATCGTTTGTAAAGATTCCGGCATGATTCCTGTAATCTTCTGAGCTTTGGTACACTGGCCTGAAATTTCCAATATGACTCAAGGCGGAACACGTTTGTTAGATAGGATAAAAAGGTAGATAGCACCTAGAACTACTGGTTACCACTTACTTGGGCCTTGTTTCGAGCAGATTCCTTATTTCAACCCGTTCTATTGTCGATGGATCACGATATGACTCTTTACCGAGCACTCCGACTATTTTATCCGACCCAAAAAAATGTCAAGCACCTTCAGCGGCCAGCATTCGGCAATAGCTTCACGATCTTATTATTTTTCTCCTTGCGTGCAATGTCCAGGAGTGTCAATCCCTTTTTATCTCGTGCTTTGACATTAGCACGGTTCTCAACCAGAATGTGCACCGCCTTTAGTAGGTTCCTCCACGTTTGAATAGCACAGTGTAGTTGTGTCTCGCCGAGTTCGTTTCTTGATTCGATATCGGCACCATTCTGGAGCAAAATTTGCACTATTTTGTCCTTTCCGTAATAGGCGGCATCGTGTAACGGCGTATTTCCCGATGCGTCTGTCGCCCCAATTTTGGCGCCATTCTGTAGCAAAAATTCCACTACCTTTTTGCTTTCCGATCTTGCTACATGGTGTAGCGGAGTCGAGTGGCTTCTATCTATCGCTTGGACATCGGCACCTCTTTCGACTAAAATCTGCACCGTCTTCAGTGGGTTCCCCCACATTTGAGAAGGAAGGTGTAGTGGTGTCTCGCCGCGTTCGTTTCTTGATTCGATATCGGCACCATTCTGGAGCAAGATTTGCACCGTTTCGTCCCTTCTGTAATAGGCGGCATAGTGTAACGGCGTATTTCCCGATGCGTCTGTCGACCCAATTTTGGCGCCATTCTGTAGCAAAAATTCCACTACCTCTTTGCTTTCCGATCCTGCTGCATGGTGTAGCGGAGTCGAGTGGCTTCGATCTATTACTTGGACATCGGCACCTCTTTCGACTAAAATCTGCACTGTCTTCAGTGGGTTCCCCCGCGTTTGCAGTGGGTTCTCCTCCGTTTGCAGTGGGTTCCTCCACATTTGAGAAGGAAGGTGTAGTGGTGTCTTGCCGCGTTCGTTTCTTGATTCGATATTGGCACCATTCTGGAGCAAAATTTGCACCATTTCGTCCTTTCCGTAACCGGCGGCATCGTGTAACGGCGTATTTCCCCATATGTCTGTCAACCCAATTTTGGCGCCATTCTGTAGCAAAAATTCCACTACCTCCTTGTTTCCCGATCTTGCTGTCTGGTGTAGCGGAGTCGAGTTGCTTCTATCTATCGCTTGGACATCGGCACCTCTTTCGACTAAAAGCTGTACGGCCGCCATTCGGCCCTGACTAACGGCGTAAAATAACGAGGTTTACCTGTTCGAGCCTTTAGCTTCTATACTAGCCCCCGCATCGAGAAGAAGCTGCACTGCTGCCGTGTCCCCAGAGTGTGCAGCTAAGTGCAATGCAGTATGTAAATTGCAGTCTTCTGCCTTAATGTTAGCACCACACTTCACTAGAGCAACGGTGACAGCTGTATGCCCGCCCTTAGCTGAAAAGTGGAGTGCTGTCTCAGCCCTGGCAGCTGTTAATGAGACATCAGCTCCTTTGTCGAGTAACAGCTTGATGGCGCCGACGTGGCCCTGTTTTGCAGCAAACATCAATGGTGTCATGCCATCCTTTTCTTTCCGATCGATATTGACCACGTGGCCAATTAGCAGTGCCATGGCTCTTGTATGGCCATGTTCAGCAGACAATGACAGCGGACTTCTTCTATTGGCTTGCGTTTCTGTAGAAGCCCCGCTGGAGAGCAGCATATTGATGATTACCTCACTTCCTTGCTCAGCGGCAGAGCACAGGGGCGTGTAATCGTGAACGGCCTCTTCACAAGGTTCCGCGCGAGCTCCGTTGTCCAGGAGCAGCCTGACAATCGTTTCGCGGCCATTCTTGACGGCCCATAGCAGCGGCGTCTGGTTCCCCTTATCCTTGGTGTCTATGCAAGCTCCGCTCTGAAGAAGCAGCCTTACCACAGACTCGTGGCCATTCATGGCGGCCCGGAGAAGTGGCGTTGAGTTGGAGGCGTCTGTTGACTCGATGTTGGCGCCTTTTCCGAGCAAAATCCCGACAACACTTGCATGTCCGTTCGTAGCGGCCCGGAGAAGTGGCGTTGAGTTGGAAGCGTCTGTTGACTCGATGTTGGCGCCTTTTTCGAGCAAAATCCCGACAACACTTGCATGTCCGTTTGTAGCGGCCCGGAGAAGTGGCGTTGAGTTGGAAGCGTCTGTTGACTCAATATCGACGTTCTTATTGAGCAACACCCGAACAACGCTGTCATGGCCGTTTGCGCTAGCAACTAGCAACGGTGTCTCATTGCGTGAATTTCTCATCTCGAGCAGAGCTCCATTATCCAGCAAGAGCTGAACAGCAGTCTCGTCACCTCTCGCGGAGGTGACCACAAGCTGGTCACTATGTAGTCTCTCCACATGCCTTGCAAGGTTGTCAGAACGGCTTGTGCCCCGTTCACAAAAGGGACACCGCGAGATTCCCCGGTTGCGAGTGTGTGTCTGTCGATGTCGCTCGAGATCTCTCTTGGTGCCGAATGCGACCGGGGTATCCTTTCTGGAACACTCGACCTCGGTACAGAAATGCTTCTTGACATGACATCGCTTGTGCTGGCTGTCAATTTCACGCAGTCAGCATACAAACTTCGATGTCAATCTCGTAAACTAAGAGACGATGAAGGCAGTAATAAGCACCTGAGATGCTGTGCAGACTTGCAAACACGGTTGCACTCGCTGCACACCGCCATGTTCAGCGGCTTCAACTGTGAAAATGAGGTAGACACTAGACAGCACGAAAACAGTCAGTTAGGGCTGTGAGAAATGCTGCGGAACAGGCCCAGAGCCATTGTACTCAGTCACAGTTTATGGGTAGAAATGAATTATCTCTTTTACTCGCTCGGCGTCACGATATCGAGACCTCAAAGAGTCGGTGAGGGGACAGACACCAGGGGAAATGATTGGAATCCAACATCTGATACGGCAGGCCCTGGTTGGACGAAGCCGTCATGTTGCCGCCCACTCACAGCGTGGTGGCGTTTTTTGGCTGCAACCTTTCCACCCTATTCACCCTATTCTCCACACCTTGGCTGCAGAACTTCCACCCTATCCATGCCCCCAAAATGGAACAGGCAGCAAGGCATTTCCTCTACTCAGGCTTCGGCCATAAGCAGCATTGTCAAAGGACTTTCCCAGCTCTGTCCCTGTTTCCTCTCCCTCTTTCCTCTCCCTCTTTCCTCTCCCCCACTTTCTCAATCCCCTTCTCTTTTGCTCGACGTCTCTTCGAGGAATTCACGCGACCTCTGCAACTTAAAAGTTTGATAGTTGGTTGTTTACCTTCCTTCTCGTCTCTCTCGGAAAAAGAGACAACCGCCCACTGCGATGGCCGCCATCATTTTTCCAGTCAATGACGATTTTGCGTTCGACGCCAACAATATCACTACAGACTTCGGACTGGATCCCAATTCCCTTTCTTGGCCATTGATGAGCAACCTTGATCCGGCGGCTCCTCACTTGATGCTTGAGGCTCGGTGAGTCGGGCTTTATTTTTTTTTTACTAACCCACTTTTGGAGGCCACAACATCTGCACAATGGCGCGCTCGAAATTCACGGCAACATCCGCCCGCCCTTCACACACCAATGCGCCGACGCCACGTGCTTCGCAGATTTCCCGAACCGGAAAAGCCTCCACGAGCATGCCAATTAGACCGGACACCTTCCCTTTGGCTGCTGGTGCGGCAAGCTGTTCAAGAGAGCCGACGCCCTCAGCCGCCACGTCACCCCTCCATCAATCGAGTGCGAGTTTTGCACCAACCACAGCGGTGACAAAGCCTTCCGCCGGCTCGACCACCTCCGCCAGCATCTGTCCGTGTTTCACAAATTCAACAAGAAGGCCCTCGACTCGTACTTCAAGGCTCGCGCAGAGAAGAAAGCACGGGCCTGAGACCACCCATCAGACAGACCCCCATCATTGGCATGGTGTTGAGGGGTGTGGCATTCCCCACTTCCTTATGCACCTCCCTGACTATCTTGTGCACGTCTTGTGCAAGCCTTATGCCAGTTGGATTTCCTAGGTTGTCGTCTTCACTTGCCCTAACCCCTGATCCCCAGCACCGCCTGTTAGACGCATTTCTTGTTCACTCGTTCTGCAATCAGATTGTCGCCCAGATTCCACAACCTCCCCGTCCTTTCCCTCTTTTGTATCAGATAGGTGCCCAGTGAGCATTATTAGCACACAATTACACTCCTTTAATTATTTGCCGCGCCCATGAATTGGCACTGCATGCACCCTTGACATGTGTCGTGACATGCGATACCGTTTCACTTTGCAGTCGGCTGTCACACCTCCAATCCCCTTCAGCCCTCCTTCGATACCGTCCGTCACCAATACACACATTATAAACCCAGCTCTTTACATATGACACCATTCCAAGTTCTACTTCTGACACGCCGACCGCGGAGCTCACTGTCGACATCCACGTCCCAATGCTTCACAGACACTGACAGCTCACCTCCACAGCGGCGGCCCGGGGTACGGATACTTGGTCAACCCGCTATACATATTAACATGAATCCCGGGATCCTCTGCACTGTAAAACTCGACGGGCGACACCCCCCCGACGATGTCGGTGGAGCCGCCGGCCGTGACGTTGAGGTTGACGCACTGCGGGTACGCCTCCGCGCCGTTGACGTCCCAGGCGCTGTGCAGCGCGAGGATCTCGTGGCGCAGCACGTACAGCCCAGCCGCGAGGTCCGCGGGCACGTGGACGCACCACCGGTAGCCGTCCTGGCGGAAGTCGTCGACGACCCACGCCTTGAGCCAGTCGGTGGCGGCCGTGGCACCGGGCTTGAGGGCCCGCTGCGCGAGCTTGACGAACTTGAGCTGCGTCTTGTCGGCACCGGCGCAGCCGCCTGCCGAGGGACACGGCGCGAGGTAGTCGATGATGGGCCCGACGTGGCTCTCGGGCCACGTGAGCCACCGCAGCGTGACGTTGGCGCCGGCGCGCACGGCGACGTACTCTTGGCCGGCGCGCGCCGACTTGTGGCAGATCATGTCCGGGTCCGCAAAGCTCTGCGGCCCTACGAACCTAATGTCCGGGTTGTCGGCGTACTACCCGGCCACGCGCGGCGCGGGGTCCTGGTACCGGAACCCCGGGTCGTAGCCCCTGTACTGCACGCCCTCGGCTTCAATGTACTGCACGAAGCCGTGCGCGGCGACGTGGCCTGCGGCGAGCACTGTGAGGACTGCGAGGTTTGAGAGTGTCATCTTTTCTGCATGGGATATGAATGTGAATGAGATTATGAAGAGAGCCCCCAGCTTCCAAGGGAAGGGGGGCTGGAACCTGTAGATATATCCCGAGCCGATCATTTTGGTTCCCTCCGGTCAGCTAGTCCTCCTGCCATGGGTGCATCCCGGTCTGCGGTCCCTATTACCTTGTCCAGTCTTTTCCGCTAATGTGAGTGTCTGCTTTCTGGATAAATAGACGTCCGAGTTGCGAGCTAGTATTCGCGTAACTGTTCATCGTTTATTTAGCGAAGAAAGTCCAGCCAAGGCGTGCACTCTAATTATCCGTGTCCTCCGTCCTCGGATTTCTTTTGGCTAATCAATACCTAGTCCCCTAAGCAACTCGTTCCAAGAGCTCGATTGCGGTAAAGGGCGAGCCGCAAGTCAGTATTCTATTTCTTCCTTTTTAGTCAATCCCACAACATCTCATACAAGAGAAATCGTCAATCGGGCAGCCTCAGCTTTCACAGAAAAATGGTTTCATCATTAATCTAGGGAACTCAAGTTTTATTGACCCACGCGAGCCATCTCCTGTTTGATGGGTCCCCATTCACCTCTTCCACCCCTTTGGCCCAGCCCAAGTACCCTTGACCATATAGTTCTGGTACACCCACGGGAAAAAGTCCTTCTTGAAGCGGTAGAAGGCACGGCGGGGCTCGACCTAGTCGATGCCGAACCAGCGGTTGAACGTCTCCTGGGGCACGCCGCCGTACTTGAACTCGGCCAGGAGCACCTTGCCGTACTCGGTCACGAGCGGGCACGACGTGTAGCCGTCGTAGATAGACTCAGGCTCGAGCGCCTGCCCGTCCATGGTGCGCAGCAGGTTGCGCACCAGCACGGGCGCCTGCGCCGTGATGGCCGCCGCCGTCTTGGACGTCGGCAGGCTCGACGCGTCGCCCGCCGACCACACGTTGGCGTAGTTGCGCGACTGCGTCGTGCCGTCGTCGACGTCGACGAACCCTGCCTCGTTGGCCAGCGCGCTGTCCTTGACGAACGCGTGCGGGCCCATCTTGGGCACCGCGTGCAGCAGGTCGAACTCGCGCGTCACTTGCTGCTTGTCGGCGCCGCGGGTGAAGGCGGCCTTGTTGCCGTCTACAACGGCGACCAGGTCGTGCTCAAACAGGCCCTCGACAGAGTCGACACCGCGCTCCTGCCGCAGCTCCTCGAGCTTGGCGCTGTACTTTGGCACGCCGAACATGGTGGGGAGCCCTGTAGCGAAAGCAATCTTGACGGAGGAGTTCGGGTCAGAAGGCTGGTAGCGGCCGGCACGCTTCCAGTGGTCGAGGGCGAGCCACATAGCCTTTTGGGGAGCGCCAGCGCACTTAACGACGCCGGCGGGCTGGGTGAAGATGGCGGTGCCCTTTTGCAGCTTCTGCACTGTCTTGAAGACCTTGTCGCAGGTCTCGTAGCCATAGATGGACGACACCAGAGAGTCTGGATCGGCCAGGGCCTCGGGCAGGCCCTTGATGCTGGCATAGTTGATGCTGATGCCGGGCGCGACGACAAGCTGCTCGTACCCGAGTTTGTCGCCGTTGCTGAGCGTGACAAGGTTGTCCTCGGGCGAGAAGGCGCGCACGCCATCGTTGTAAAATTTTAGTTTGGGGTCGATCAGACTTTTCAAGGGCTGCCGCAGGTCCTCCTTCTTCTTGAGCCCGCCCCCGACCAAAGTCCATCCGGGCTGGTAGTGGTGCCACTCGGCCGGGTCAACGACAGCCAGGTCGTCCTGAGAAAATCTACCCGTCCGGAGCAGTTGATAGACGATGGCCAGGCCGGCACTGCCGCCGCCGACGACAATGACCTTGTGGTTGTGGGCCGGAGACGCTACGGGCGGCGCGGTGGCTGTCGCAAGACGGCGGATGGTCTGCGGGGTAACGAATGCACGCGCCCCAGGATAGGCCGCCGAGGCGATGCGAGTGCGCACTATGGTCGTGGTTGGCGTCAGAAATGCGGCGAGGATGCAACGGGCGGAATGAGGTGCCAGGAGAGAAAAAATGATGAAAGAGGTAATTAACGAGTGGGAGGTGAAGTGGGGAACAAAGGCCAAGAAGCTGATAATGCCGCACTAGAGCGTTGAACGAGAGGCCGCTTTGTGTTCTGGCGCCGTAAAACAGTAGAAATGCGAAATACTAATCGCCAAGTCTGGGTGTTTTAATTAGGTTTTCACCTGATCCACAGTTGCATCGAACCCGCCGTGACAGTTCGATGGTGCAATGGTGGAGCCCGAATGGTGACTGGCGACGGTATCCGCATGTGGGGGTCGGGATGATCCCCGGAAACGGGTGTGCGTCTGACGTCTGCGCATAGGGGTGTGATTCATGACGATCTCAGCACTCTATCGCCCTAACTAATTCTCTCGGCTTATTTACCCATCTTTCTTTAATTGTCAAATGCAGCATGGTACAAGATTAAAGCCATGATCAAGCCGCGCCAACTCCATGTTGGTGTCACAAAATGGGAGAAGCAGACTTGCCAGCTGCTGGGTCAACCGTCTGCCCCTATCCTATGCGGCCCCCGTAAATACCCCTATCAAGTGGCACAAAATGCCACCAGAACATGTCATGTCTCGAGAGGCGCTCGGGAGCTAGTATACAAACCCCAGCAGTTAACAACAAAAGGTCTCGCACAATTCACCACAAACTCCCACGCCCATGCCGCTCCCTCCGAGCCTGTAATCCACCCCGTCTTCGAGCCCAACACAGGCACCTGGCAGTACGTTGTCGCGGACCCATCGACCAGCGAAGCCGTGATCATCGACCCGGTGCTCGATTACGACGCCAGCACACGCACCGTGTCCACCCACACCGCCAACAACCTCCTCACCCTCATCCACTCCCACAGCTACACAGTCAACCGGATTCTCAAGACGCACGCGCACGCAGACCACTTATCGGCCGCGGCGTACCTACAATCAAAACTAGGCGCCGCACAAGCCCACAGAAACCACCGGCCGCCGCTGATCTGCATCGGGTGGCGCATCGGCATCGTCCAAACTCTGTTCGGCCAGCGGTACGGCGTGCCGGCCGACGAGCGCGCCGAGAGCGCCTTCGACACCCTGATCGACGACGACGAGCAGTTCGTCGTCGGGCGCGCGCTGCGCGTGACCGCGCTGCACCTGCCGGGCCACACGCCCGACCACCTCGGCTACATGTTCGGCGGCTCGCACGTCTTCTGCGGCGACTCGCTGTTCCACCCCGACATTGGCTCCGCGCGGCGCGATTTCCCCGGCGGCAGTGCGCGCGACCTTTACGCATCGGCGAGGCGGCTGCTCGCGCTGCCCGCCGCCGTGCGCATCTGGCCGGGGCACGACTACCCGCCGCCACCTCCAGTGAAGGACGACGACGGGACAAGGAAGACGGCCACCACCACCACCAGCCGCGCGAGCCTGTCAGCTGGGCAACGGTGGCGGACCACCGCAGGGAGAACAGGCACCTCCGCGACGGGATTTCCGAGGAAGAGTTTGTGACGATGCGCGGCGAGCGCGATGCGGGGCTGTGTGCGCCGAGGCTGCTGCACCAGGCGCTGCAGATGAATATTCGCGCGGGGAGGCTGCCGCGGCCGACGCCCGGGTTTGGGGACCGGTTGCTGCATTTGCCGATGCGGTTGGGGCCGGGTGTTGGAGAGTGGTGACGGCTTTTGGTGGGGGTTGTGTTTGTTGTGTTTGATGTCGGGGTTGTGAGTTATCTAGGAAAGTAGGTAATTGAACGGTCTGTTCTATTCAGGGGTCGACGATTAAAGGATTGTAAGTTTATTAAATAGCAAAAATATTAATTCTTCTAGTATTTCTAATTAATCAGACAAACAACAGCAAGAATAGATGCAAGACGAGAGACGGGACAGTACAATCATGTTCATGCTTCACCCTCAGTCCAGATAACCGCCCTTGAAGTTGTTGGCGACCATACCCTCCAGCGACACCCAGTCGTCCTGGCCGAACCACTTCTTGAGCAGGTCCCGGTACAGGGTCTCGTCCGTCGTGATGGAGAGCTGCTTGGGGTCGGCCATGTCGGCCATGAACTTGCGCTGTGGGCGCAGCTTGCGGACGACAGCCAGCACGTCGTTCCAGTTGCCCTTGACGCCCCACGTGTGCATGCGCTTTGCGTTGACGTCGGGATCGAGGGCGGCGGCCACGTGCAGGCGCGCCGCGTCGCCGACATCGATGGCGTAGACTGTTTGGGGAAACAATACCGTGGTTAGTCTTTCAATTCTTTCTTTTTTTACTTTAGGAAATCTGTCGCACAGGACGCGGGGGACTCACAAGCAGGCATGCCATTAAGATTGTCCGTCCTTTCGTCTGTGACCCAGCGCACGTAGACGGCAGAGTTATCAACGTGCTTCTGGTTCAGGGGCTCGCCGAGCACGGCCGAGGGCAGGACGGCGTTGACGCGGAACTTTGGCTTGCGCTCGTCCACAAATTTCCACAGGGCCTTGTCGGACTCGACCTTGCCGGCGGCGTACACCAAGAGGGGCTGCGAAGGGTCGTGTGGGGGCGGCGCCCAGGCGAGCTTGACGGCAAGGTCGTTGAACGAGCCGGGGCCCACGTCGTGGCCGAGGCCGGGCATGAGCATGGTGGAGGCCAGGATGGAGCTGGTGTGCACCAAGGCGCGCACCGTCGGCTGGGTCATGGCTGATTCGAGGACGGAGGTGATGCCCTGGATGTCGGCGGGGATGACATTGTTCGGGTCCAGGTCGAAGCTAGTGATGGCGGCAATGTTGATGATGGCCGACACGCCACGGACAGCATCGTCAAAGGCACGAGGCACGCCAAGGTCGGGCACCTCGACCAGTTCGAGGTCGCCCTTATCGGCGAAGGGCTTGATGCGCGGCAACGCGGGCAGCCATGAGGCCTGCTCGAGGTTCCGGACGGTGCCGCGGACTTTGTATCCCTTTTCTAGCAACTGGGCAACGGTGTGCGAGCCAATGAAGCCCGTGGCGCCCGTGACGAGGACGATGGAGCCCTTGTGGATGTCGGAGGTGGGGGAAGTTGAAGACATGGCAGACGGCGGTGGGAGCTTAGGACGAAGGCAGGATTGATCTATGTTGTTGAGACTATATCGCATATCAGCTCTTGGGCTAGTCGGCTGCGGTCTCGGTTCTTATACATGTTGGCTGTTGGACGGAATGACGCTGCTAATAATTGGCGAGACATGGACTGGGCACATTGAGACGCTCGGTGAATTTCAAAAATAATTAATTAACTCCGAAGTTCTCAATTGCGGATTCGCCGTGTCTGCTTTCTGCTCAGACTGATTACCAAGATTGAAGAGCGTTCGTATCATGTCGTTGGTGCTTGGATAATCCAAAAACAGCCGTGTCTTTGAGGCTATGGTCTTGGTGTTGTTGTTGTTGGACTTGACGTTTGAATTTCTGCCTGCTCCGGGCCCCAAGTCCCAAAGCGGAAGCAGCAAGTCTTGGCACCAAGTTTTGGCCGTTCCATTCCAGAAACCGGCAAACCTTGGCATCCTAAAGCAGCAAGAGCAAGTCTTGGCAATTTGGAACGCGGAAATAATTTTCGGAGCAGAACAACTGTAAGTCCGGGCCCGCTTAAGTAATCATAATTCGCAGGAAGTAGCTAGAATGCTGACGAATTACTACGGTATCTCCGATCCGAAGCCATCTAGTTCTCTTTGTTCATGGTGCGCATATCCGCACTTGTTCCCAAAAGGGTTGGAGCAAGTCTTGGCATCCCCCCGCGTATTGAAGCCTGTACATACATGTATTGGATTACTTGCCCATACGAGAATTACACCACATACACACAGCGTTACGGGTACGACAGACCAACAGGACACAGACGCGGGACAAGCGGACACGGCTCCCGCTTGTCGTTGACGACGACATTGACGCATCTCTGGAGCAGGGCGTTGAGAAAGCCGCCGATAACGCCGCCGTTGACCTCGACCATCTTCACCGCTCCCAACAGGTGTCGCCGTGTGGCAACCAGGTCCCCAATCAAGATCTGCCCGACCACATTGTTAGCGATTAATTAGTTAATTGGTCCGACAATAAATAATAGCCTTGGCTGGCCCTGGGCCTTGGTCGGCAAGGAGTCGACGTTGCACTCACCTCGTCAAACACCAGCAGCATCGTCTTGGTTAGGGTCGCATCACTGATCCTCTTGTCCTTCCCCTCGGCCGTGATGGCCTCGTTCAGCGCCTGGATGCATGCGACCTTGTACGTCGTTGCCAGCCTCAGGAATCTTTCGTGCGCCTGGTTCTCGTGATTGTCCGGCAGTGCCGACGCCAGCGACAGGTGGCGGCACGCGGCCAGGAAGAGGCCGCTCATGGACCCCGTGTCGGTTAGAGCGAGCCTGACCCATTCACGCGTCAAACACGACTGATAATCGCCCAGATTACTGAGAACGGGGCAGTGCAGATTGAGCTCTGGCATGACTGTTCTAACGTCTGGCCAACCACACCATGTCAGTGACTTGCTTCTATTCCATGGTGTGTGTTGCGAATTGCTCACAGTGGTCGAGGAGAAAGTGCTCCTCGGGTCTAAAGGGGCCCATTGCCAAGCGGGCCCAGGGTCCTACCACACCCGGCCATGCGGATACGTCGGCCGGGCTTGGAAATAAATCTGGCATGGTGGTCCTGATGATCTCTTCAATCGTTTCCGTCTTCTCGCTAGCATTGCCCACGGGGACAAGCGAGAGTGTGTTGTCGGCCTGCGTGACTGCCGTGGCCGTGCTCATGCGCGCTTGGTATTCTGCTGTCCGTTGGCGCCGGGCCCGGCCGTGGGCTTCGCGGGCCGCATGCATGCGGATCCGCCGTGGCGAGACCCGGTCCGCCGGGTGGGACACGTTGATGAACTGCACCTTCATGTCGCTTGTGTCTAAAGTTGATCGGCGCTAGGTGGAGTTAGTTACTTCAGATCTCAGTGACCAGACTTGGAAGCGCCTAACGCGCTAACAAACTGTCTTGGTAAGGTGCGGAAAAGCGTTTTCCGTGCTCGTTGGTGCTCTTTACTAAATACAGGGGGATTTGTCAGCTGGTATAGACCATGCAGCTGATTGCAGATGATCGGCGCTGACTGCGCATCTGGCCCACTATATCCTATTGATATGTTTTGGCGCAGACAAGGGAATTGTTGAGAAAGCGATATCCTAGCGAATTAGGCGACTGCTCCCGCTTCGACACCGACTCGGCTGATGCATTCACTGGCCTCGAGGTTTAAGCTCGTAGATTCGTATTCGAAAGATGCAAGAGATCCCGAGGCACCTTGCAGGGAGACGTTGGCGTAGCGCCACAAGGGCCTTCAGCGAAAGTCGACCGCTTGTCTCCAGCTTCTTCAACAAGCACAAGTGGCGAACGCGTATCTATGTCGTCAATTGATAGATGAAGTCAAAGAATTTGGTCTATAAAACAACATCCCAGCAATAAACGGCTGCCAGCTACGGCATAATTACCCACGCAACTCCACACGAAAAGCTCACGCGATCCAGGTCTTTCATCGCAGTCATTAAACGTATACGTATACGTTATTGATTATACAAAACACCTTGACATAACGTAATGCCGTAATTAAAACATAATACTCGCAAAGTCCAGCTGGCCCGGCTCCCACCAGTCGACGTCAAACTCGTCCGAGGTGCTCAGCTGGAAGAGTGGTAGTCGCCCACGGCGGGCGGCACGTCAGCGTCCTGGGGCGGCGTCAAGATGGGCGGCAGGCCGAACCCCCCGGCCACGCCGCCGTGCACCATCTGCTGCGGGAGTGGTGGCGGCGGCGGCGGCGACTGCGGAGCAATTACAGCATTCGTCAGGACGCCCGCGAGGTGTTTACCCTCGGCGGGCGTGATAGCGGGAACAAAGGCACCGGAAACCGCACCGGGAGCGGCGGCGGCGGCGGGTGGGAGAGAGGTATTATTATTATTAGGCGGCGAGTACAGCTTCATCTTGCTTAGCACGGCCTCGAACACGGGGATGGCGCGCTTGATGGCCGGGACCTCGCGCAGCTGGGTCAGCACTAGCATCGTCTGCCCGATGGCGATGCGCGACATGGACCGCACTACGTCCGTCTCGCTCGGGTCGAGCGCTGCTTCGATTTGTAGCGCGAGTAGGGCGGGCATGATGGTTATGCTGTGGGTTTGGAGAGTTAGGTACGCGTCCATTTAGTGGCTGGTGGTGAATGTGGTGAGGGAAGATGTGTGTAAGTGAATAGTGAGTGAGTTGGTGGGTGGGTGAGCAAGTGGGTGAGCAAGTGCACAGTACGAACCATGTCGTGGGAAACATGTGGAGCGTGCCGTTGGCGAGCATCCTGCCGGTGATGGAGTCGAGCTCAAAGATGGCCGACCGCAGCCGCTGCCGCGCCCACGCGGCCTGGCCGTCGTTCTTGAAATCCGCATGCAGACACCGGCGGCGGATCTGGCGGCAGGCTGTAGCCTCGAACCGGTAGCTCAGCGCGCGCAGCTCAGCATAGTGGATGTCGGCTTCGGGCGACTCGCCGCGGAAGTCGAGCTTCTCCGCTAGCGACATGCGCCATGCATCGAGGAGCCTTGTCCCTTGCCGCGGTTCCGCCGCCGCCGTGAGGTCCGCGTTCGTGTCCAGCAGCTAATACCGGGTCGCCAGCCGCCCGACTGACAACGGGGTTAGACTTGGCGCAGCTCAGCTGGAATAAAGGGGGAAGGGGGAGGGGCGTACTGATTTGGCAAGCTCGCAACGCGCGGTAAAGGAAAGCTTTTGGCGGACTGTCAGGGGCTGCACCATGGACTGGAACTCCTTTGGGGATTCCTCCGTCTCCCAGTCGGCCAGCGTGATGGGCTTGATGTTCGGGTCCCCGTTGGGGTGCTGCAGGTTGCTGCGCGGGTTGGCGATCATGTGGCAGTTTTCTCGGCACTTGTTCCAGAGCCATTAGTCAAACGGAACCACCTCCCGCGACTCTGCAGGCGTTGACTCACGTAGAGAATCCAGCAGATCCTCCTGTAGAGCCTGGACTGTGCAGGCGGCGTCCCGTCGAGGTCCCGCGTGGCGTTTGGGTAGATGTCCATCTTGGCAGCCAGCCGCGAGGCGTTCCAGAGCCAGTAGTGGAAGTCCTTGTCCGTGGGCCGCTCGACAATGACGGCGCCCAGGATGACGGAGCCCTGCAGCATTGGCAGGAGATCGCTCTCGAACTGCAGGTCGTGGAGCAGCGTTGCCCGGGTGGCAAAAGCGGCCTAGGCGGCGGACCGGTCCTTGAAGCCGCACCCGGAAATGACGTGGAACGGGGCCGTCACGCTGGCCGTGGCCAGCATGGCGTACAGCAGGAACAGTGAGAAGGTGCCGGATGCATACTTTGAAAGGAAATCGACGCGGTCGACTATGGGGCTGTACGGGTAGACACGTTCAAAGTACGTCTTGAGGAGGACGTCGAGGTGGTGGCGAGGCGGCAGGTCAAAGACGCCCTTCCTGGCGAGGAACTCTCTGTCGACGTCGTCGAGCTGGGGCGGCTTGAGCGAGGCGCGCATCTGCAGGACGCCGCCATAGATGCGGCTGTACGACTTGCAGCTGATGGCGTCCTTTAAGATGTCGAGGTAGTGCAGCTGCATCTGCGGCTGGCGGTCATCATGGCAACAGAGAAGGTCCGACATGGACCCGGGCTGCGTCTGGGAAGAGGCATGCCCCGTCTGGGAAGAGGCATGCCCATGGTCGTCGGCGCCGTCGGCGGCGGCGGGCTTAGCGTCCGAGGCTCGGGAACGTCTGTCCGCGTCGGCGACGAGGGTCGACTGGCTGCCGCCGTCTCCGGAGAAGGTTTACGAATCCCGCGGGAATGGGACCTGGCAAATGCGGGACGCTGGTCAAACCCGAGGTTCAAGACTCAAAAGAGAAGGGGCGGTGAAACTGTATCATCGGACCAGATCCAGACCGAGCCAACGGAGGGACATGCATATAACAAACCTACAGTGACGTCTTCCCGCGGCCTGGTTCTTCCGGCCTTTTTCTCAGAGAGGGAGGTAAACGAAGGCGGTTTTTTAGAGTTTTGGCGAACACTCAAATCTCGCTTTTCAGGGGCCCCTTTTCGCGAAAAATGGTCAAACTTGGCGACAGGGCCCTGTTCCAGGCCTGTAAAAAGCAGCAAGAATGCGAGTGAGCGTGCGAGGACGTCGTGAAGCTGGCTGGTGATCTGTTTTGTGTAGAGATTTGCTCCCAAATAGAATGACCTTCTAACCGACAAACCTCCTATGGCGAATTTGTTCATTCTAGCAGCTGGACTGGCCGCCCACAAACTCCTGGGGACCATCATCCACAATACTGAGGAGGCGCCCCAACCCAGACCTCAGCCGGCGGTCTGTGCGGTTATACATCCAGATGGGCCTCGAGGCGCACGTCGGTTCGCCTCACGCCTTCAAAACGGCTCGGAGAAGCAATTTAGAAAGCTCTTCCGAATGAGCAAGGCGACCTTTGAAGCCCTCCTGCGTTGGCTGAGGATTAACGAGGGCCTCCGCGGAACGCGGTATCAGACTGCCGAGTAGAAGTTGATGGTGGTGCTGTACATCCTTGGCCGTGGGCGCGATCAGCGTGCCGCCGCCCACAATTTCGGTATAGCGCAAAGTTCGATCTCCAGGACGATGATGACGGTCCTCCCAATGCTTGTGTCTCTCCACAGGGCGTTTGTACGGCTTCCTGAGGACGATTGGCTTGATCCGGCTGTCGAGCTAAACCCAAAGACGTCAGCGTTTAACGGTTGTATTGGCGCGATTGACGGCACCTACATCAGGGCACATATCAAGGCCTCAGAGCAACCGCGTTGGTTCAACCGCAAAGGCGTGATATCCCAGAACGTATTTGCGGCGGTACGACAAGACCTCTCCTTTAGTTACGTACTGGCCGGCGCCGAGGGCTCCATGAACGATGCGACTCTATTGGCACAGGCGTGTAGTCGCTCCTTTCGTATACCTCCGAATCGGTATTACGTTGGCGATGCCGGCTGCCGGCACGCGTGCCGGTGTTGTACTTCCTTTTCCGAATGTCCGGTATCATCTGCAAGACTGGAGGAATAGTCAGAACCCGCCTATCACCAGAAAGAGCTGTACAATCTCAGGCACTCACGTATCCGTACTGTCGTAAAGAGGGTGTTCGGCTTATTAAAGAGGAGGTTTGCTATAATCAGGGATATACCGCCAGAGTATAGTGTAGAGAAGCAGGTGCAGATCGTGTACGCTGTCGCAGGTCTCTATAACTTCATTCTTACGCAATCGGAGGAGGGAGCTTTAGTGCCAGAGGAACGAGAATCTATCGCATGCGCCGCCGAGAGGGCTCGTCAACAAGTAGTAGGATCATCGCAGGAGGTTTGTTGGCGTTGCGCGACTTCGTTATGGCAACAGTATAGTAATTATAGGTTAAGAAGATAATGGTGGTGATAATGTTAGAGTCTGGAGATGGTGGGGTAAATAGAGGGGTAGTAATAATCTTTGCTATAATAAGCCCTAACCCTCTGGGCCTCTTTTCCACACCTCAACATACCGAGCTTTAAGTGCCGGCCCCGCTCTCAAATAAACCGCTGCCTTTATAGAGTTCTTACAAAGATATTCTGAACAATTAAACAAGTCGTCAATCTCTAGAATTGAGCCGTATCGCCTCTCAATATCCTCCATCGCTACAGCAATATCGTCGGCGCCAACGGCCTTGGGAGCTGCAACTATCGCCGCCGCCTCGATAAGACCCTCCGCCAATCGCGATGCCTCAGTCTGCTTCCCTCTCCCTCTTTGCGCCTGGCGCGGAACGAGTACTACTGACTCTGGTTGAACAACAGTAGGCGCGCGGTGGTGATGGGCGTCAGGATCAGTATCGCGATTACGGCGTTGAGCGTCACTCAATGGCCTTGCCCTGGGCGTGCTCACTGGCGCCGGCGCCAGCGAGGGCAAGGCCGGCCGACCTTCTTCCCCGGCATCACCATCACCCCGACCATCTTCCTCTCCTTCCACGGCTTCTCCATCGCCACCTTCATCGTCGCCATCCTCAGGCGTATCACCAGATGTATCTGAGGCCTGGTTTATCTCCTCCTGGGCTTCCTGATCGCGCGCGCTGAGAATGTCCGCAGGTTCCATGATCGCGCCGCCCACAGACCTCTCCGTTGCGAAGACCTCCGCATACACCTCATGATCGCCAATTGGCCTTGTGGCGATAGTTCTGGTCGCCCCAGGATGGGCGGCCCAGAATCGCTCCCATACCGCATCAGACACATCAGGGAGACCATCCTCTGTAAAAGAGGTCCCAGAAGTCATCAGATCCATCAACTCCCGCCACTTCTTCCTCTCAGCGTAATATTTGGCCGCGATACACTTAGAGTCGGTAAGACCTTTCTCTGGCCACATCGCTTGCGCCTGTTCTAACGTGTACTGCCAGGCTTTCTTGAATCCTGCCCTCTCCGCCTGGAAGAAGCCCTCGCGAGTACAATGGAGGAACCAGAGCATCAATTGGGCGACCTCCCGAATACCCCAGGCCACTGGCGGTCTCCGTTGCGATCCAGCCTGTGATGGTGGAGGAGGCATGCCGCGATTCCTCTTCCTTATTCTAGGATTCTGGGCGGCGCTTTTCGCGATGGCGCGCTTCCGCGGAAGCAATGAGGTCACCGGCCTAGTGTCCCCCGCCTGGGACAATTGAGTACTGGGAATTGTACGGGTAAGCGTCTGCTCCCTGGGCGCAAACCCTCTACTCGGCACAGGCGTTCCTAACGATAGTGTCATCTGCGTAGATGGTAGAGGCTCGTCGTCATCATCGTCCGAATCGTCAGAATCGTCAGAACCGCTTTCGAAATCGTCGGAATCGCTTTCGAAGTCGGAGCGCAATGGGCCTGGTGAGTCTTCAAAGAATCGGTCGCGGTATGACTGGCTGAGTTGCGGAATGGTTGAACTGTCCATCGGGGATGCCATTTTCGTCGTTTTGGCTGGTGAAAACCAAGATTTGACATTCTACGAAGACTGGAGAGAATGGCCACGACAACGAACACACCACCCAGCGTTGAACAACGAAAGCGGTGAGTCTCCTTGGGCTTGGCCTTCGGCTTGGCAATCTACTCTATTTACGGCTAGTTGGACTAACCAGGGCTCCATGCAGTACATCTTGGCGTAAGCGCTTGCAACAGGGGTTGCAAAGTCATCCCTTTTCGCGAAAAACGGCCAAAACTGGTTCATTTTTCGCGAGAAGATCTGGCCCCTAACAATTCTACACTTTTCCATCACACCACGCACCACACCGCCAGTTCTACCATTTCCACCACTTCCATGGCTCTTGGTGATACGCACTTTACTACGCCTATCAAGGCACAAGTTCTTGGTGCCATTCGCTTTCTGGAAGGCCATAAGATTCCACACTATAAGAACGATGTTTTCAGCTCTTTTGGTGTAAGCCGCCGGTCAGGCTGGCAGATCCTGCAAAACGCGCGCGAACGGCGGCACCCAGAGGTGGAATCCAGGGGCCGGAAGCCGGTCCTTACGCCAGCCAATTTGCTAGCAATGGAAAGGATTATCTGGCAATACGGTTTCCAAGCCCGGGCACTAAGCTAGCAAGGCCCTGCCAAAGCCGCCAGCATCTTGACGCCAGTTTCTACACGCACGATCGAGAGGGCAATGGGTACACTAGACTACCGGAAGTGTATTGCTTGCGAGAAGGGCTTTGTCTCGCCAGCGCACGCCAAGCAAGGATAGAAGCAGCCAAACTTTCACTTTCCTATCGCCCTTTGCCTGAGAACTGGCGCGATATAAGATGGTCAGATGAATCTCACTTTGGTATATACCCTGAAGGGAAGGTCCAGATTATACGGAAGCCTGGAGAGCGTTGCTGCCCTGACTGTATCCATCATGCTGAAGAACCTTCTAAAGGTATTGAACGATACCATGTTTGGGCTGCTGTTGGCTGGAACTTCAAGTCACCACTTCACTTCTATAGTGTTCCTACCAACACCAACGGAAAGATGTCCTTAGCTGTATATTGCGATATCTTAGAAGAAGTAGTAGGTCTTTGGCTGGCACGTGGGGATTCTTTTGTTCTGGAAGAAGATGGGGATTCTGGCCATGGTGGAGGAAAGAAGCCTAATATTGTAAGGCAGTAGAAGGAAGAATACCAGCTCAAGCACTATTTTAATACGCCTGGCTCACCAGACCTTTCGCCCATAGAAAACTGTTGGCGTGCAGTAAAACAATTCGTACGTGCACACTATACTATAGGAGCTGACTTGAAGGCAATGATTTTGGAAGGCTGGGAGCGTGTAAGTCAGGAGAGCATCAATAAGATGGTGGATTCTATGGTAGTGCGGATGGAAGATGTGTTAGCCGGCCAGGGTCAGATGACTGGGTGGTAGAAGGCCCTGTGGTGAATTGCTTGTAGGTAGGAATTTATATGGCAGTGGAAGTACTGTGCGGGGTCTGGTGTGCTGGTTTTTTTTTGGCAACCGCTTGGCCCCGTAGGACACCCGGTGCCTGCGGCGCTCCTTCCTGACACAACCTGATTGGTCAGCTCCCGCCACCTACTTTACCACTCAATCTTACCACCATTCACAACTATAAAAGAGAGGCCTTTGACCCTACTAAAAGTGGTAGAAGACAAGACAATTTTAGACACTTTAAACCTCCCAGTACCAGATGCCCTGCCCTGTGAATGCGCGTGACAATATAGCTTCGCGCCCGTCCGCCGGCCCCGGCTGATAGATCTACCAAAGAGATGGCTGTTCAGCATGCTGTCGGTCATCTTCTCGGGCGGGTCAGCATCCCTTACGGTCTTCTGCCGCCGCTGGGCGAGGTATCGCGGGTCGAGCTTCGTGACTAGTGGTAGCTCATTTCGCGCACGTCGTCCTCCAGCCAGCAAAGCGTCTCGAGGAGTGATTGCGCTCTGTGTATCGCCAAAATCGCGCCCCGCGTGGTAATTAGCCGCGCATATGCATGTAATACGGTATGCTTTGTCCTAGAAAGGAGACCATAGATCCCGTGCTAGAGCTCTGTCAATGCCGACTTCGGTCTTAGAGCCTTGTCTACCTCACACCCACCTTTCAATCCGAGGTGTATACTTTATAAATGATATTTCCGCCTCCTCATTATACATACGGCCATAGATAGTGGAGAACTCGGGATCCCGTCCGCTCTCCCATAGATAAGCCACTAATCGCTAGACTAGTAGTTGGGTGGGTGACCACCAGCGAATCCCTAGTGCTGTATGTTTTTGGTACTTCTTTTTTACGGGCGCCCTTGCCAATATTCTTTTAGGCTCAGTCGTGTCGAAAAAGCAGCCGATGTCCCCGGTAGCTACCCGAGCATCTCCGGTTGAGATGTTGTATCTGGAAGAGAGTCCATTTTAGACCATGCAGCACGCCTCGACACAAAGGTGACGGCGATAAGGGTTAGGATACGAACGTGTCGGACAGGTCGTCGCAGATCAGCCAGCTCTCCAGCGGCTGCACCCTCTGGCCCAGGCAAGCTGGCGTCGTGGTCGTGGACGGGCCCGTTGCGGTTGGCCCGGTAGCACTGGTGGACGTTGGCGCATCTCCCACGTACAGGGTCGAGGCCGAGGTGCTGTAGGGTAGCGTCGTGGAGCAATTGCTCTGGAGATCGTCAAACTGCCCGATCAAGTAGTCTGTGAAGTTGCTGACCGGCAGCCAAGGGTTCAACAGGCGCTTGCAATACAGCTGCAAGAAGCATTCACTACAGTACTGCATTGGTCACTCATGTCAGCGAGCTTTTGGGTCCCATTTATTCTAGCGTCGAGCACCAGAGTCTTCTTACCAAATCTTTGCCGTACAGGTTCCTGATAGCGGCCATGTCGCTGTCGATCTCGTCTAGGTCGAAGTTTGGGTCCCAACACTGCGGCGCCACGGTGCTGTTGTTATCGCCGTCGCTAAAGCACATGCTCGTGTCGTAGCGTATGTAGTCGCTCCCGCGCCACGACTGCGATTCTACAAAACACCAGCTCGACGTCGCGTCGCGGGTACACACCAGGCCGGCGTTGTAGGTGAAGGTCAACGGGAGCGCCCTGGCCTTGACGATGATGCCATTTTGGATCGTGGTCTCGTCGCCGCAGACCGTGTTGACCCTGCTTTCCCAGGCGTTGAGAGAGTCGACACAGTCGGCAGAGCAGAGGCTTTGCGCGTCACTGGACGTCCAGTCTGGAGTTGGGCTGTTAGTAGTATGCCCAGAAAAGCAGGTTGGAGTGAAGGCAGCTGAGGTTGAGCAAGCTTACAGTGAATGTCGACCCCTTCCCCAAGCAGATGGGCCGCGGTCTCGTTGCATTTGACGGTGGTGTTTCTGCGGTAATGCTATAAATGAGTGAATAGCACCTAGGTAGTTACATAGGGTAGCCGCCAGACGGAGAGCCAGGGCCTAGGTTAGCTCACAACGCTGCCAGGCAGGTCCCGCTCAGAGCCAGCCCGGCTACCAAGGCGCCATCATCGTAGTGCTTGTAGAGAGTAAAGTCGGTCGAGGTCTTGGCTACCCACGCAGCAAGCAGGGTCGCCCAGGTCAGGTTGAAGAAGCACATTTCGTGAGCAGCTCGAGCCACGCTAGATCTTCACGCTAGATCTTGACGCTTGGCTTGAGAAAGGAGTTCGAGCCCAGCCCGGCCCGGTTGGGAGTGCCCGAGGACCACGGCTAAGTACTGGTTAGTCAGCTCCTGGCAAGACCAGGCCAGACCAGCTTATAAACCCCTCTCGGAATAGAGGGGAGTTTGCAGTCCGCCCGAAGGGCTGTGGGTGTCCCGTTGAACGAAATCCACCTCCCTAACTTGTAGGGCTAGCTCTCGGCTTACGCAGATCTCCCAAGACAGCTATTCAAACCTGTTTTCTTCAGCTATGTGCTAGATTATGTGCTAGATTATGTGCCGTCTCTTCGTGCGCATCCGACTGCAGCTTGACCGTAAAGCTGTAAGATTTTGTCTAGCAATCATATAAGCTGCGGGGTATCTCACCAATCCCTTTCCTCACAGTTTGTTGTGTCACCGCAACGGGTCATAATAATAAAACTCGTTGGGTGGCACTGCATATCTATATTGCCTGGCACAAGCGAGGGGGTGCTCTCGATCACTTATGAGCCTGAGCGAAAAGCACTCACCCAACCAAGTCTCACTGTGCTCGCGACCTCCCCTTCACGTCACTCTAATGAAAAGTTGCCGCGACAAATATCAGCCACTTCTGCTCTCGCCGAGTATTCGCCGTATCTTGGTCCGCCCATCGTCAAGTAATCAGCTTGACAAGAATAGAAGACCAACACAACAACTACATCCCCAGGTGCGTGCCCCTTTGAATACTTACCCTAACACCGAGATAACACTCTTGTCTTGTTTCGTGCATAGCCTCGGGTAGTCTGCCTACTATGCGAGCCGTATTTCTCTTCGTCGCCTCTGTTCTCTCTGCACACTATGGCGCTTCTCAGGCTTCGGCGCAAGCTAGCAATAGCTTACGGGCATCTTGGCTGGGAAACTCATCTGCCTTGCCCAGGAACTCGTCCTTCACCTTAGAGCCTCTCTACCAAGCCTACTCTAACAAGACGCCCAAGTTCACAACCGAGCCTCTCATCCGGTTTCTGTCTGAGCACCCGGGCGCACGACTTGATCGCATGGCGCCGAGCGGCTTTGATCTCCTCGTCAAGAGACAGTCCAACGGGCTTCCCGAGGGTGCCTGCGCGCCCGGGACGCCCTGCAGCAACGGAGCCTGCTGCAGCAACGGAGCCTGCTGCAGCAACACGGGCGTCTGCTCGTATGCGCCATCGAGTTGCGCCCCCGACGTCTGCATCAGCAAATGCGACGCCAAGGCCCCCTGCGGCGAGTACGCCGTGCCCGGCAAGGCAACGTGCCCTCTGAACGTGTGCTGCTCCCAGTATGGCTTCTGTGAGTGGCGGGTCTTTGTTGTCACCCTGTTCTCCTCTCCACTCTGGCATCAAGGTCGCCTCCCAGTCCAAGCCCATCATCATCATGATACTGATCTGATCTACGCGAAGGTGGCAGCACCGCCCAGTTCTGCGGCGACGGCTGCCAGGCCAGATTCGGAGGCTGCGGGCCCGCGCCTCTTCCGTCGTGCCCCAGCGGAGGCGGCAGTGTCGTCGGGGCGCGCCGGATCGCCTACTACGAGAGCTGGGCGGAGACGAGGCATTGCGACGCCGCCGAGCCGGAAGACCTGGACTTGGCGAGCCTGACGCATCTCAACTTTGCCTTCGCTTTCTTCGACCCCACCAGCTTCCAGCTCAGCCCCATGGACGCCATCGCGGCCTCGCTCTACTCGCGCTTCACAGCCCTCAAGACCAAGAAGCCTAGTCTTGAGACCTGAATTGCCGTCGGCGGCTGGTCCTTCAACGACGACACAAACGTGCCCAACACGCAGAGGGCCTTCAGCAACATGGTCGGGTCCGCCGCCAACCGGCGGGCCTTTATTGCCTCGTTGCTCAGCTCCATGCAACCGTACGGCTTTGACGGCGTGGACCTGGACTGGGAGTACCCGGTGGCTAGCGATCGGGACGGCGCAGCGGCTGACTTGGCCAACTTCCCGCTCTTCCTCTCCGAGCTGAGGACCTCCGTCGGCCCGCTCGGCATCAGCGTCACGCTGCCGTCCTCGTTCTGGTACCTACAGCACTTTGACCTCCTGGCCATGCAGCCCAGCATCGACTGGTTCAACCTGATGAGCTACGACATCCACGGCGTCTGGGACTCGAGCAACAGGTTCACGGGGCCCTACATACGGCCCCACACCAACTTGACCGAGATCCGTGAGGGGCTCGACCTACTCTAGCGCGCCAGCGTCGACCCGTTCATGATCGTGCTAGGCCTGGGCTGGTACGGCCGCTCGTTCACGCTGGCCGACCCGGCCTGCAACCGCCCCAACAGCGTGTGCCACTTTACTGCTGGCGGCTCGCCGGGGGAGTGCTCGAGGTCGGCAGGGACCTTGACCAACGCCGAGATCAAGCGAATCCAGGCGTCGGGTGCCGCCGTGGAGTCGTACGACGAAGCCGCCGGCGTCCGCTAGATGACCTAGCAGACGAACCAGTGGGCCAGCTACGACGATGGCGTCACCATGCAGCAGAAAATACCCACGGCTCAGAGTCTCTGCCTAGGCGGAATCATGATTGTAAGCTGCCCGCCCTGACCGGCCGTCCATCACTCTTCATGGTGCAGCTACTGAGCCCCGGCGGTGACGGATTCCAGTGGGCGATAGACCAAGACAACGCCGCCGGCGACAGCATGGACGATCTGCTCGGCATCGGCAAGGCCAACGGGGTCTCGGACGCGGTCGTGCAGCGGTACAAGAAGCTGGCGGCCCAAGAGATGCGGCGGCAGGCTGTCGCCTCGAGCTGCTACTGGTCGTTGTGCGGCGGATCATGCACGACGGGCTACTTCGACGTGGCCGAGGCCCGCGGCTCCGTCTCGGCCGTCCAGCGCGGCGCCGTCTGCGGGCCGGGCGAGGTCCAGATATTGTGCTGCGCGCCCGGCACCACTATGGGCTCCTGCCGGTGGGAAGGCTTCCGCGGTCTCGGCTTCCCGTGCTTGCCCGCCTGCTCGGACCCGGGCGCCACGCTCGTCGCGCGCAACACCAACTCGTACACGACCAACGAGGGCGGCCAGGTCAGCGACCTGACGTGCAACGGCGGGTACCAGGCCTACTGCTGCGTGGGCTTCGTCCCTTCCTCCATCACCAACTCGGGCAACCTCGTGCTCTACGGCCAGAACGCCAATCGACAAAGCGCCACCACCACCGCCGCCACCTCTCTCAGCAGACGCGACGGCGAACACGGCTTGGTGCTGCAGAAGCGCGGCAAGGGACGGCCTTGGGCACGGCCGCCTTCTGCGCAGGGTTGGCCGTATTGGGCTCAGTCGAGACGCTGGGCCTGCTCACCATCGCGGGCGGCGTATGCGCCGTCCTTGCCGTTGCCGTTGCCGCGATTGGTTTCATTGTCGACATCATCGGGAGCTTGATCGGTTGGATAATCGGGGGCCCGGGCCCGTCCACGCCCAACACGGGGAGCCCAACGACCATCGGAACCCGGACGGCGTACGGCCAGTGGCGGAACAGCGCCGCGCCGAGTACCGGACCCTGGTGCAAGGGTCGCGGCCGGACCAGGGCGCGACGTGTCAGCTAGACGAGTTCCCCATGGGCAACCTCCGCGAGTCCCGGAACCTCGCCCCGCAGGCCTGTCGCCTCGTCAACGGCCTAGCCAACGGCGCGCAGGGCCGCGACTACGACGCCTGGAAGTCGGCTCAGTGGCGGCCCTGCTCCGCCTACAGGCGCACCGTGTGCAGCGTCCGCGACGACGGGCCGCCCGCGGCCTGGAAATTCAGCCCGCTGAACGGGAACCGCGGCGCGGGGAGCGGCAAGCACTTCCTCTATGCCTACGGCTTAGACTTGCAGACGCCCGGCTCGCTCTACTTCGCCTCCTTCACTTTCACCGCCGGATCGCCCCAGTTCAAGACCAATACGATGGTAGTAAATCACGGCTTTCGTGTTCTCGACGATGATCCGTAAGTGCAGCCCCCTCCTCTCTGATCATGCCCTGGGGCACTTGTCTAAGAAGAGGAAGAAAGTTATTAACAGCAGTCTCTTTTATCGGGGTGAAAAGCATGTTCGGGGCGGCCTACGGATGGATGAGGCAGAGCTATCGCGATGACCCAGGCCCACTCGACGCGAGAAATAGGCCTTTTGACTTCCAGCCCGGAATATTTCAGAAAAGGGCAGCGCAGGAAGGTCTGGCTGCCGGCAACGCCACGGGGAACACGGGAAACGGCACCGAGGCGAACGGCGGCAGCAACCCCCAGCCCGCTGCTGTCTGCCACATGGACCTGGAGCAGCTCCAGCAGAAGAGGCCCCAACGACAAGCCGACGCCAACCTCGACTACGATCGGCTCCTCTTCGTCGACGTGGCCGGCTACCCGGTAGATGGGCGGAGCTGCGACGTAATATACGAGGATAGGGACCTGGATTCGCGCGTGCGCATCGTCATCGACGAGGACGGCAACGTGGTTGACGTGTACGCCGAGGACGCTGCGGACCCGTGGGGTAGTCGCGGCGAGAGTCCGGCTATGGCTGAGCTGCTCGTTAGCACCGCCACCATGGCTACAACGGCCGGGGCTGCACGCCCGAGAAGCGGCAAGCCCTCGGTCGGCGTCCCTGCGAGTACGACGGCGACGGTGACGCGGCTGAGAACGGTGGTCACGTTGGCTCCCGCCGTCTAGGCTCGCCGCCCTGCCGCGGGGGCCGACCGTGCTGGATTCAGTCTGTCTCTCTTTTCTCTCTTTTTTTTCCCTCGGTGTAGTCGACTTTCCGCACTCGGGCGGGTAAAGGCTTTCAAACGGCGCATCCAGTGATGTCACCACATCCTCGGTTCAAATCACCCTTATTCTGCTGAAGACTCTCTTCATATGTTAGCTTTCTTGAAAAGGAGCTTAATAGCAGAAGGTGGGATGCGGGCTGTCAGTGGTAAATAAAACGTGGTCCCTCTTTGGGTACTGACGGCACATGGTGCGTAATCCTCCGTGGCAGATTGCGTTGACGACGTTCCGTGGCAAATTGCGTTGACGATGTTTCGTGGCAGATTGCGTTGACGACGTTTCGTGACTCCCGCTCTTCATAGGACAAAACAAGGGTGAGAATGTTGGACTCCTATTAGGCATACTTCTTCCCGCAACCGAAGATGAGTTCCCAACGGGCGGAGAGCATCCCCCTAGTGTTTAGTTGGCCTGTCGGGAACGCTTCGGCGGTTGTTAAAAGTTTCCGCTTTCGTTACGACAGCTCGTGTCCCCCTTCACCACAAGCAAGACCACTTTATTGCCGACTGCTGCAGTTGGATGCACAGATTTGTGCGGCGTCTCGGGCTGAAGATGCGTCTCTGTCGGGCATCAAAAGCCACATTCTCGATGCTCGCCGCTTCGTAATCTGTACGACGCGAGTAGCGAGGGGGTGACCGGATTCAGATGCTGCCGCCGCCCACTGCGTTGCAGGGACAAATGTGAGGGGCCAGCTAGTGGGTCCATGTGCCAAGGCTGGGCAATAATAGTGGGCCAGCCACACAAAGAAGGCACCCAATGAGCCACTGACACGGACGGACACTACTGTCAAGCCCTTAGCTACAGAGTGGGGTCTAGCCCGGTCTGTTCTGGCAGCTGAAAGCCCCACCACAGGATTATCCTCAGGGTTAGGGTATACCCCACACCTAGAATCGCGCTTCATAGCTGGTGGCCTTCGGCCTGTAGTTTTAGAGAGGACAACCCATTCCAGACCGTTCTTTTCACAGCTTGGTCACCCCCCGTCCAACCAGAGCTGCAGAAAACGGCTGCAAATCCCGCAGTGCCAGTTGGATGGACCCCCAGGTTTTGCCTCTCTTCAATTTCCTCTCAGCCTTCGGCTAATTGAACGGCAAGTCCCGAGATAGTGAGAATGCCAGAGACCTGTATGAGGAGCCCAGCCCGCATCCATGCATTGGCTCAGCTGGGGCTCTGCAGCTGCGCATTTCCGTCACATTACGAGCCAATCTGACGAGACAAGGCTGGAACCGAGCTTCCTTTGCGAGCAACTATAAGGTCGAGCATGGCATCTGGCCATGAGGGAGCAACATCCCCTTCTCTCCTCCCTCCGTTTTGCGTCCCTCCTGGTCATTGAATCTCTTTGGACCACCTGTGACCACCTTTGACCACCTGTGACCACCTGTGACCACCTGCAACCACCTGTGACCACCCGGCAATTTCACCGTTCCAGTCCGCCTCTGTTCATCCCAACTTGCGCCATGCCATCCTTCACCCTGGCCCTGTGGCTCGGGGCTGCCGCCATTGCGGCGGCCGGCTTGATACAGGGGGATGGCTACGTGCACGCCGGCGTCAGAGAGATTAACCTCGGGCCACACCTCCAAAGGCGTCAATACTCGGTACCGGTTGAAAATATGGATACGATAAGGCAAGCCTGGTCTTTAATGAGAGTCTGAAGCGGTGTTCTAATGCGGCGTTGACAGGTATCTCATGACGGCTTCAATTGGCACGCCTGGGCAGCAGATTTCACTCATTGTTGACACGGGCTCATCAGAGCTCTGGGTCAATCCCGATTGCGCTACATCGGGCGACCAGGACTCTTGCTCACAGGGCGGCACCTTCGACCCCAGAAAGAGTTCGACGCTCGTCGACACGGGGGAAAGCAAGTCCCTTTTCTACGGCAGCGGCAATGCCACGGTCGAATATGTCGTTGACACGGTCACAATTGGATGTGCGTTTCTCTTCCGTCTCATTCTCACTGATGAACTGCCCAACTAGGCGCTGACATGCTGCGACACTCGGCACATGGACAGCCGCCACGGTGAAGCAGCAGATTCTCGGCATCGCTCTCGAGTCCGACAATATCAACTTTGGACTCATTGGATTCGCGCCCGCGACGGATGGACAGGCTGACTACCCCTATCTTCTCGATACGCTCGTGAAAGAGGGTGTCATCAAGAGCCGCACTTTCAGCCTCGACCTCCGGGGATCCGACGAGCCCACGGGTGCCTTGATCCTCGGCGGCATCGACACGAGCCGGTTCACAGGCCCCCTCGTCAAGATCCCCATCATACCCGTGAGCCAGACTCCCTTGCGCACTGACCGTTACTGGGCCGTTCTGACGGGCGTTGGCCTCACGGGTCCCGACGGCACGACCGACAAATCCGCCGCGTTTCAGGTGCCCGTCTTTTTGGATTCGGGTACGACCGTCACGCGTCTCCCGTCGCGTCTCTTCGAAGCCTTTGGCGAAGAGCTCGGAGGCGAGTACGACCCCCAGAACAAGTGGTTCGTCGTCGACTGCAGCGCGCGAAATCTCAGCGCCACGGTCGACTTTTACTTTGATGGCAAGACAATCCAGGTCCTGCTCAAGGACTTCATCGTCCAAATCGACGCCACGACGTGCATCGCTGGCGTCTTCCCCGACGACCAGGAGCCAACTCTGGGCGCCAACTTTCTCAGGGCCGCCTACGTTGTCTTCGACCAGGACAACCGCAACATCCACCTGGCCCAGGCCGCCAGCTGCGGGTCGGGCCCATCCATCCAGTCGATTGGATCCGGCTCCAGCGCGGTGCCCTCCGTAACGGGCCAGTGCACTTCCGGCGCCGCCCTACCCACAGTCGGAACTACCGTCACAACCGGGCTTGACGCCACCGGGACGCGCGCACTCACCAAGACGTATACGGGACCGGCCATCACGGCGTCATTGGGCGGCGGACCGGGCCCAGCCTCGACTGGCGGGTCTCTCACGGCAGCTCCGACTGCCACTGCTTCTTCTGGAGGCGGCGGACCGAATGCCCTCAGCAAGTTTTTGAGCGATAAGGCTTCGACAACCGCTTCTGCCAGTCCGACCTCGACTTCCAAGGCGGCTGGTACTCGTGCTGGAGTGGGCGCAGGAATGGCCGCTGTTGGTATGAGTTTTGTGGTAGCCTACGTCCTTTAGTGGGTTAGGAAAAGCAACCTATGGGCCGCCTGGTAATTTTGTTGTAGTTTCATGATGCTTCAGTTTCATTTTTCTATTTTGATGTGTTCTGGCTGCAAAACACACCAGATCCCTTGGTAGAGACTGGCTCTGCCAACATTAATGACAATGACTTCCACCTCGCTCCCTATTTCTCAAGCAATAATGCACTTGAGAAGCTCGACTGTACAAAATCAACCTGTTCATTACCTCTTCAAACAAAAGTAGCAACCCACACATCCATTGTCCTCACCCTCCCCACCCCGCCCGCCGCCTCAGCTGCCGCCACCACCGCCTCCCTCGCCGACCTCAACATCGACTTGACCCTCTCCCGACCCTCCTTCAGCCGGCCCACCTCGCCCAAAAACCCCTCCCATACCACCGTCCCCGCCTCCCACCACCCATCATCCAGCTTCCCGTCCCCGCCTCCCACCGCCCATCATCCAGCTTCGGCCCTGGTACCACCACCCCCTCCCTCCCTCCGCACCCGCAGCAGCCCCCTTAATCTCCCCAGGACTCATCCCCGTCTGGATATTCTCGCTGCCTGTCCCCTCCGGTCTATGCGCCTCCAGCATCCCCCTCACCAGCGCCGCTGGCACATGCGCCTCTGCCTCGCGACGTGTGGCATGTAAAGTATACTCGGCCACACACACCCTGCCCAGCGCTCGCAACAATGCAAATAAATATGCCCGGCACCCGTATTTGTATTTAATTTGCAAGGTGAGGCTATATTTGAGCCTTTCTAACATGTATTTGAGTTAATTGTTTTATTTACAAATATTTGACCGGCGCTGAAAAACAATATTCCGGCCCGGGTAAACCCGGCATAGAAAAAAACCTGCCAGCCGAGACACCGAAAGCCAGCCAAAGCCATGCCGAAGCTTCAAAACAGGCCATATCGCCGCCAGTTTAACAGGCACAATAGCTTGTTGATAGTATCGCTACTGAGCCCGTGTCTCTGCAGTCCAACGATCAATTTAGCCATACTGAATAGCCTCTCGCAGTCTGAAGACATGGCCGGGATCGAAAGAAGGTCAAAGGCCATTCGTGATAACCGTGGAAAGCCGTCTTTATTGTCGGTCCACCAAGCCAGAATTTCATCAACAGGCTTGGTACTTCACAATCCACTTGTCCTCATGCCCAGGGGGCAGAATCATCGAGACCCAGTAAACTGGTGTGATTTCCAACCTCTTGATGTATTTCTTGAGCTTCGCAATTGAGCGATCAATGATTTGAGCCAGGAAGGCCTCACTTTCGCCGGCCAAAGGAAGCTCGGGCGCGGCGGCAGGCTCGGGGTGTAGCAGGCGAATATTAACGGCGAGCCGGGGGAGTTCGGAGGACTATTGGAAATGGAAAAGGGACTTCCGGGAGGGCTCTTCATTGTGTTGACAGGTCGGAATGGCTTCAGTTCCGGTAGAAATGCGGGTTTCCGTAAGTATGGTGGTGTTCAGAAAGTTGTTCAGAGCTTGCTAGGCAAATGCAGGATTTCAACTGGAAAATCCACTTTTTCCTGGGCCGGTAACCCACTCACTGTTGGCACCCCGAGCCCAGGAAGATGGGCCATATAAAATGGCCTCACATATGTCAAATACATTTACGGATCTACGGCTTCATATTTGTATTTAATTTGGTCTTTTTGGCCTATTTGTATTTGCGTATATTTGTATTTGCTTTGTTTGCATTACCGTATTTGCATTGTTGCGAGCGCTGACCCTGCCTACTCTTCCGCGCAGTGCAGAGAACAACTCCCGCAACTCGTCGCGTTCCTTCTCGAAACACCACGCGCTATGGCCTGGCCCAGCACCGCAACATCCCATTTCGTGTCCACATTTACCGGCGCGCTCAAAAACCCCAGCGGATCGGCGGTATGGAACCTCGGGAAACACAACAAAGTTCAAACTATATCACGCCAATCGGCGAAACGGTGCCTGGGCGCGTGTCATTTCTAGGTAGGTCAAAGGTTTGATCAATCGCAAACTGTGTGATCGAGTTAATACCTCAGAATTCGACATTGTTCCCGGCTGACTCATAGTCGCTAATTAGGTTCTAGGTCTGATGATGACGAGCTGACTCTTCAAACGTTGAGACTGCAGTTTCCCTCGCCAGCTGGCAGGCCCTGATTCCTTTGATGACGACACTTGCACAAGAGCGACCTGCGCAGTCCCTTGGCAGGCTGCCTCCTTAACAGCTTTTGGTGGAAATTGGGAGGCGTCGAAGCTAGCCTCTGTTAAGGCGGACTAGGCATCCCACCTTGCCGCACAGCCACCACTGCCACTCCCCGCGTTTCGTTGACTTTTGCTCAAGTGTGCAACACCATTGAGGAAGGATCCGTGCACGATATTAAAATGGGCCTTGTATCTGGCCGCGCGATCTGATTGGATCAGCCAGCTTCTGGCAGCTGAAGCTCAGGTGTCTACAAGCAAAGTCTGCTAGGGTTCGGACAAGAGGCAAGGCAGACATCGTTGCCTCTGCTTTGAGCATCTTTGGCCGCTAGACGTGCCGACCAGCTCAAATTGCAGTATATATTCGTGCTCGCCACTCTTCGTCCACTTCCAGCCTGATTCAGCAACATCCACAAACCACCACTAGAATCCACATCATCTGACTTGGCGGCTGATTACCTCAGATCGGCTCTTCTCAATTGCCAGAGAATCAATTATCGCCCCATTCCCCCCCCACATTTTCCCGCCCCAATCCGGCCTACCACCCCCCATTTCCCCGCCCCAATCCGGCCAAACAACCAACTCGACCCCGACTCGCGGCTTACAGCCCGGGCCCCTGAAATATCATAACCGCAACAATGTATCAGCCCCACTCCTACCACAGTGGCCACCTCTGCGGCTTCTACTACTTCCCCACCCCCGACCTCACCTTGAACCAGTGGAGCGCCCCGCAGCGGAAATACCTGCCGCAGGTCTCTCTGTCGGTCAAGGCGCGCATCATCTCATCCACCAGCCGCACCACCCTCACCCAGACCTTTGTCAACACAGCCAGCGAAGCCGCTATCCCCGAGCTGCGGTACACATTCCCACTCTATGATGGTGTCTCGGTGGTCGACTTTGTCTGCACCATCAACCGTGACCGCGTCATCCGGGGCGTCGTCAAGGAGCGCGAAGAGGCCCGCCAGACCTACAAGGCCGCCGTCGCTCGCGGCGAGACTGCCGGCCTCCTCGAGCAGCTTCCCGAGGCCAGCGATGTCTTCACGACAACCATCGGCAACGTGCCTGCTGGCGCCGAGCTCAAGGTCGACATCACCTACCTGGGCGAACTGAAGCACGATGCCGAGGTCGACGGCATCCGCTTCACCATCCCCACTACCATCGCCCCGCGCTACGGCGCCTCTCCGGCCCCCTTAGCCTCGGCCACTGCCGTTGATGCCACAGCCGGCATTGACATCACCATCGACGCTGAGATGCCCGATAGCTCAAACATCAAGAGCATCCAGTCGCCGTCTCACCCCATTTCGGTCACCATCGGCAACACCTCAACTGGCGCTGCCCAGGGCGCGGCCATGTCCCTCCAGAAGGCCTCGGCAAGTCTCTCGCTCGGCACCGTTGAGCTGGACAAGGACTTCGTGCTCCAAATTGTCGCAACCAACACTGCCAACCCTGTCGCCGTGCTCGAGACCCACCCCACAATTCCCAACCAGAGGGCCCTGATGGCCACGCTCGTGCCCAAGTTCAACCTGCCGGCGTCGCGCCCGGAAATCGTCTTCCTGTGTGACCGATCCGGGTCTATGGGCGACGGCAAGAGGATCCCAAACCTGCAGGCCGCCTTGCGTGTCTTCCTCAAGTCGCTTCCCCTCGGTGTCAAGTTCAACATCTGTTCGTTCGGCTCTCGCCACGAGTTTCTCTTCAAGAAGGGCTCACGGTCATACGACGCCTCCAGTCTTGACGAGGCAATCCGCCATGTCGACCGCTTCGCTGCCGACTTTGGCGGCACCGAGATGTACCGCCCAATGGAGGACATATTCAAGAAGCGCTATGCCGACATGGAGCTCGAGCTGTTCTTGCTGACCGACGGCGAGATTTGGGACCAGGCGTCTCTCTACGAAATGATGAACAAGTACATCTCGGCGAGCAAAGGCGCCATCCGCGTGTTTCCCCTGGGAATCGGCAGTGCCGTCAGTCACTCGCTCATCGAGGGCGTCGCTCGTGCCGGCAACGGCTTTGCCCAAACTGTGGGCGACAACGAAAAGATGAACAACAAGGTGGTCCGCATGCTCAAGGCGTCCCTGACCCCCCACGTGAAAGACTACGTGCTCGAAGTCAAGTACGGGAGAGAGCCGGCCAGAACCGCCGAAGACGACAGCGACGACGATTTCGAGATCATAGAGAAGGTTATGGATGCCCTGGCTATTGACGTACCCGAGTCGCAGCCGGGAGGCGCGGAGCCCCAGGCGCGCGCAGTCCCGAACAAGCCCATCTCTCTCTTCGATACATCGGCCGACGTAGACGCTGAAATGACTGATGCGTCGCTCGGCAGCTCTGCCAGTGGCAAGTACTCGCACGTGCCGCCAGTGAGCGAGCCCAAGTTCCTTCAGGCCCCGTTCAACATTCCACCGCTTTTCCCCTTCAGCCGGACCAGCGTCTACCTTCTTCTCTCCCCCGAGACCACCCAGAGGACACCAAAGTCGGTCATCCTCCGCGGCACATCTATCCACGGGCCCCTCGAGCTCGAGATCCCCGTCACGGTGCTTGCCGAGAAGGGCCAGACCATCCATCAGCTAGCTGCCAAGAAAGCTGTCTTGGAGCTTGAGGAGGGCCGGGGCTGGATATACCAGGCCAAAGACGCAAAGGGCCCCAACGGCAAGCTGCTCAAAGACAAGTTCCTGGGCCGCTTCTCGGACATGGTCGAGCGTGAGGCCGTGAGACTTGGCGTCGCCTTCCAGGTTGGCGGCAAGTGGTGCAGCTTTGTTGCCGTCGAAAACGGCAACGAGAGAGAGTCTGCACAAGAGACAACACCTGCACAAGTGCCGGACAAGAATAAAAAGACTCGCAAAGGTAGGTTTCCACTCCAGCCTCCACCATACGATGCCTTGCCCCATGCACTTGCCCGCCCGTCGACTAAGCCACTGGCGCCGTCTGGCTTCGGCCGGACCGGTGATCGTGCGGTAACAGCTTCGAAGAGCGGCTTGTCATCCAACCATCTTCTGAATGCGAACCCCCTTCCTGCGGTTCTTGGCTACAACCAGCTCGACTTTGCGAATTCCTCGCTCTCGGATAACGTGCTCGATAATTTTGACTTTGATTCGTTCCTCCATGATGCGGGGGCCCAGCCTGAGGCAGCATTTGACTTCCCGGGGACCCCCGACGCCAACGAGTCAGCCGAATGGCTAACACGAGAATCAATAGGTGGTGTCGACACGCGTGCACTTTCAATCTCGTCCGAGCCACTCGCGAGGATGCATACGGTGGCAAAGGCTGCCATTTCTGCGGATTTATCGCAGGCTTCTCCGCAGCTTTCTCACGTTTCCTCGCCCAGGGCTAAGGGGGTCCCAGGGATGGTCTCGAGTCTTGCTCGAAGGTCTGTAGCTGCACTAGGCGGCGGACAACAAATGATGCAGCAGCAGCAGCAGCAGCAGCAGCAAAGAGGGGCAATGTCTTTCGGAGCTGCACCAGTCGTCGGACAACAAATGATGGCGATGCAGATGCCGCAGCCCCAGTCAAGTACGGCAATGTCTTGTCTTGCTATCCAGCTGACCCGTAGCCGAGACACGGCGCTGACCTGTTTGCTTCCAGTGGCGTTAGGTGCACCGCCTCCTCCTCCGCAGCCTGCTCCCGCCCCCATGTCGAAAAGAAAGCCGGCCAAGCTCCCGTCCTTCATGTCGAAGAAACGCACCACCTCCGTCGACGAGAAATACGACCAAGGTTTGTACATGCCTGCGGGCTCCATATGCCGCAAGCCACCACAGCCGCTCACACCCACCCCAGATGATGCGATGGTCCTCGCGAACTACGAGATCAGCGCCCCGGAGTCCGCGACGGAGGGCGGAAAGGAGGAGCAGACGCTCGAGGCGCTCGTCGCGCTGCAGACCTTCACGGGCGCCTGGGACTGGAACAGCAAGCTGCTGAAGACGCTCGGCCTCGTCGAGAAAGACGTCAAGGCCAAGGCCAAGAGCGCCAGCTTGTACCCCAGACCCGACTTACTCGCGACGGCGCTGGTCCTGGCGTACCTACAGGCCAGGCTAGCGGGCCAGCAGGACGAGTGGGAGATGTTGGCCGACAAGGCCAGGGACTGGATGCAGGGCGAGCTCGCCAGCCTGGGCGCCTTGTCTGCGGAGGAGTACATTGAGAATTTCAAGGGTCTTTTCTGAGTATCTTTGGCACACGAATATTTCTATGCCGGGGGGGGGGTGTTTTTGGCTACGGTCCTGGGTCTGTCTTGAATGGACCTGCAGAAAAGAGACAGGATTATGAGAATGACTTTGTATTAATTAGGACTCACATCAGGAAGCCTGGCTGCTTTTTCCCTGGGCCGTACTATGGGTGCCTGGCAGCTAATCATGGGTAATCAATATCTCATGAATTTCTGACATGTTCTTTACTGAGCATTTTAAAGTTGGCCATTTACATCATCCAGTGAATCGGGACCTTCCCAGATCTCCAATGCGCGATCCACAAACAGAACCACCACCGCCAGATAATTTGCTCACTTATTATTTGTCCCTATTTTCTGATGTGTCAATTTCTACATTACGGTGACAAGTTTCGGCTGAGGGGTGTGGTTCATTATGGGATATAGTGAGAATGTTGAAGGTCATGTCCTATTGTTGGTGTTGGAATGTGGGCCTCGAAGGGGCTAGGCAGAGGATTTGCAGCGTACTTCGCGACCTCCTTCGCAGCCTAACTCGCGACCTACTTCGCCACCTATTTCGCCACCACAATAGTAGTATAAAAAGGGGGCTTTCTGACACTGCCAGAAAGAGGGAAGAAGAAGATATACAGAACAATCCATCACTTGAACCACCAGTTTTCGGCGTGCAGTTACGCCCTGTTGCTTCCAGTACCGGTACCCTGGTGAATCCAACAGTTGGATTCAGGTGAAAGTCCGAGACACGGGCTCCCAACACAGCTCGGCAGTCGGCTCAGGTCTAGGGGTTTGTTGCAATGCAGTGTTTGCCCTCTGATGAGGCTCTGCGCCGCTATGTGAAATTTATTGAACGAAACTGCTGGTAAGCCGGAGGTGGACAAGAATTTGCGGCCATAATAGTAACCACTGTTCTCAGGCCGTGCTTCTGTTGGGCTGTGGACTCTTTGAGAAGCGTCTACTACAAATCTGATACTAATTACAACGACACACGATTGAACAACGCCAGTATTTGACTGGATGAGCGCGTCTGAGTCTACACATTATGAATTGCTTTCTCGAGCGCTGCCTTGACGTGCCGCAATCCCGCCAGCGAATTCCGGAATTTGGGGCCCCCGAAAACCCTGTAGGTATCCAATGGGGGTTGTTCAATCGATGTTGAGTGGACACAGTTAGGTGACTTAGTTCCTCTCGCTTCCAGGTTGTTAGCTTCCTTCGGTCGCTCCTACCCGTGGGGGCCAAGCTTTCTTGTTGGCGTGACCAAAAGGCGCAGCGCCAGGCCCAGGAGCAAACCACACCCTGATTATGGCACCGCCTGCCATAGGTAAGTGGTAAGGTACAGGCAATACACGTAGTAGTACCCGCCAGCTGCACGCAAGCATCTAGGTACCGTAATTATGTCCGTTCTCTTCGTATTCATCACCTGGCCAGTGGCCATTAATTACTAATACCGAAATCTGCCCCAGCCGCGCCTCTAGAGCCCAACTGAACATCGGTCGCTTCCATCCCCACTCCACGCCGCGCCTCCTGGGCCCTCGGTGCCGCCGCGACGCCGTCGGGTTTCTGGTCTGGGCTCTAATTATTATTTGCTAATGGAAGGCATTGCTATTTGGCAGAGGACCTTCGGCATTCAGATCTATATTTAGGCGAGGACGAAATGCGGGGCAGAGAAAAAAGGCACGAAATGCGTTGCCGTGCACGCCATCATCCATGCCGTCTCGCGACGGCAATGGCGACCACGAGCAGAGCAAGTTGGTTCAATCTGCACCCCCGCCCACGTCATGGTGTCTGTGCCGCCTCACCGACACTCCCAGTCTCGGCCCTGCCACCACTACAGGGCATGCCTCGGCCTCGTTCCACCACTCTCTCCTTCTCGCCGACGCGTCCGCAGGGGCAGGGCGGGTCTCGCAATGACAATACCGTCTCACTCTCACCCTTCACGTTCGCGCTAGAGAGACTTTAAAAACGACACGGCGTTTCACTCTCCTTTTCCCAGAGCACACGCATGCCTTCAACGGCATCTGCGAATGCCAATATTGATGCGATGGCGGCTCTACAATCCCGACCCCCTCGGACCGCGGCCTCTTTGAGTATGCGTCGGGCCGCTGGCTGTGAGTCTTCCCGAGAGAACTGACCGGGCTGATGGGGGTTGACTCTCCGAGACTGCCCCGAGACTGAGCCCTGGCTGAACGTGATTATCAATCTAGCTACAACGGTGCCCTTCGCCACCCCGAGCGCAGACGCATCTTCAACGTCGGCGAGCTGAAGCGGCTTGCCGCCGAGTCGGTCGATCGCAGTCGCAGCTATTCGCCTGCATCCGACAACCCTGCCCAGACTGGCTATTCGCCTGCACCCGGCAACCCTGCCCAGACTAAGTACATCTCCATGGAGTTTGTCAAGGACGCCAACCTGAGTGACACGTGGTTTGACCTTGACGAGACCCAAGTCGCGTCACTCACGCGCCAGCTTGCCCAACTCGAGTTCAAAATGATGTCCCTTGCATTTCCAGCCGGCGGGAGCCTTTAATTTGCCGACGACCTGGCAAGTTCGCTCGCTAGGTCCGGAGCCCCACTTCACCACGACAAGCGCTTCTGTGTCGGTCCGGACGCTGACTTGGGTCTCTAGTATAGCCGCAGATCACAGCTTAATGTCAAACGAGAGCCATGTGAGTCCTGCGCGTTGTGTTTGTCCGGATATCCGTGGTTGCATTGACTGACTGGCTTACAACCGCCTCCGCCTCCGACATTAGACGCAAACGCCAAGACCGCTCTCACGAGAGGAGCTGAAAAGGAATTGGCGTACCTCCAGCAATTAATTCGACTACATTAAGAACCTGAGCCGTTATCTCGTCATGGCGTCGTCGCTACGGCCGTAAGACCCAGCTCCTAGTTCTTTTTGCATCCGCCACCCCGACCTGCAGCCTAACAACATCATTGTTTCTCTGTCGCCTGGCTCGGGCCTTGAAGTTGCTGGCTTGATTGATTGGCAGCATTCCTTAGTCCTCCCCCTCTTCCCTCAAGCTGGATCCCGATCGAGGGTGCAGCCGTCGCTGCCAAAGGAATGGGATAATCTGGATGACAACTAGAAGAGCAAAGAGATGGATATATACCGTCGACGCCTCCTCCACTATCACTAGAAAACACAGAGCGGTACAACAAACCACACTACCTGGGGTTGATAGACGCCGCCGGGAGTCTCCGCCGCCGACTCTTCCAGACTGCTCACGAGCCGTGAGAAGGCGAAACCATCGCACTGAAAGCTGCACTGGTGCAGGCAACCGAGAACTGGGAGACGCTCGTGGGCCCGGGGCCGAGGTCGAGTGCTACGGCGTGCCCTATCAAGTTCGACCCTGAAGACATAAGTAAGACATTGGAGCTGCAAAGCCGACCGACTGAATCTGACTGCTCGCTAAAGGCGTGCCGCGAAATGATTGGTTTCGGATCTGACGGGTGGGTACCCAACACACATTTCGAGCAGGCCATGGCGCAGGCCAAGAAGCTGAAGGAGGGCTGCATAGCCGCGGCCGAGACCGACGAGGAGCGAGCCTAGATCTTGGAGAACCGGCTCCTGGACGACATGGACGGGGAGGAATACTTGTAGCAAGAAGATGCACCTAGCTGAGCATCAGTCTAATTGAATGGTCAACATTGAGTGTCAACTTGCCCCGGAGTCTCGACAAGCGCTGGTGATAACCGGTTACCGGTGACGAGGTAGTCAAGCGAGCACAAGACAGAAGAGGTGGTCTGCCCCGACTTGGCAAGATCGCCTCTGCACGCCTGCCGAGGGCCGACCGACCAGGCAAAAGGAAATCGGCGAGGGGCCACCTTGGACTATGACGCATTCCGGACCAATCAAAGCCCGTCACTGGTTCCTGTCGCGCATGCTGTGTCACCGTCCCTAAATGCATGGAGATGCAGATGTTGCCGTTCCCCGACCGGCTGGCCAGAGCTCGACATTTGCGAGGTGCTTGTACATGGTGCATAACTTGGTTGGTCCCCATCCCGCCATTGTGTCGTAATTAAATCCCCCTCTTGTCTCTCGCCAGTCGGCCATATCGCCTTCGTCGCCCTTGTCACCCTCGTCACCCTCGTCACCCTTGTTGGACTTGAACGATCCCCTCCAGTATCAATCAATCCGCATCGCCCATACGGCAGATGCCAGGGCTGCCTCCCTCCCGGAAGCCATGGCAGAACTCGGACCGCTCTGCGACTCGTGTTTGAACGATGTTGGGTTCGAGAAGCCACCCCAGTGGATAGTGAGGGACGCAACACCGACCAGCCTGATATGGCTCGACGGCAAGGTCGCGTTCACGCAGTTCATCATCCAGGACAATGTCAGAGGGTACCACGCCGAGATCCCCAAGGCCCCAATCCAGATCACCGACAGGGAGAAGTGGAACGCGATGCAACGGATTCCAGACCATGAGATCTACCCCGTGGCTGGCGGGCACATGAACTACGGGGACTACAGCGACTACCCCGACGACCTTGCCGACACGGACGCGTCCGAGTGCACCACACTCAGGCAGCCACGGGTGGTAGAGCGCTACGGGCCCCTCGTCGGCACCGACGAGCTGGCCCGGCGCTGGGAGACCGAGATCAACTTTTGCGAGTTCCTCACCCAGCACCAGCACCCCAACATCGGCCTGTACCTCGGCGGAATTTTCGAGCGCGGCCGCATCGTGGCCACGGCAATGGGCGACCCGGGCCGCCACGGCGTCTTCAGGATGGTGCGGCCCGCGAAGCCGCCGCCGCTTGACGTCGAAAAGTGGCTCGCGGGGATCGAGTCCGCAGTGAAGCACCTGCACTCGCTCGGCTACGCCCACAACAACCTCCGGCCCGATCTCGACCACATCGTCGCGGGCCGCGGCAAGACGCCCTACATCTGCGACTTTGAGTTCTGCCGCCCCTTTGGCTCCCACTTCGCCGTCCGCGGCACCGCCTTCGTGTCCGACCCCAAACACGACCTGGCCGCCCTGCAGAAGCTGAGGAAGTACTACACCCGCAAGCTGCAGGGCGCCCCCGACAGCTGCCTCGTCCGCTTTCAAGATGGCCCGGACATGGAGGTTGCAGTCCTGGCTCCGAGCGAGGCTCAGGCGGCCGAGGCGGCTGCGGCGTATCGGACGACCTTATTGGCTCAGACGGCCGTCACTTCCTAGTGAGCGATTGTTGGATGAGCCAGGCCTACTTGCCGTCCATGTTCTAGGGGGAAATTTCATTCTTGGGCGACGTCTTCTTGGTTGGCAACTAAAACTTCACTGACGATATAATAATCATTATGACGTGACCACTTTCACTTACCCCAGTCCGGTCACTACCTTTTATTGTTTGGGATTCGGGAGAGAGAAATGGGCAGATGGAATGAATGGTGGAATTGAACGTTTCCTTCGTACGGTTGCTTTGCTGCTCGCATTCCGCGATTGACTGTCGTTACAAGACTTTAATTCGCTATTTTGTCGTAACACGCTGCGTTGGTTGCTGTGCAGCAATTACATATCTGATTGATTGTTTCGACTTGGTGAGTAATGGCCCGATGTTGCTAAGAAAAAGTAAGGTAGGCATGAATTGCAGCGCTCGAAAATGCGGCCGGCGAGCACAGACCAAACGTCCAAATCCAAACCCAGTGTGCTGTGGCGTCTGTCACTCGGGGCCGCGGGAGTGCGTCCATGCATTGTGGGCTGCAGACGACGACGGCGTCCGCGCGTTTTGAAACCGGCGGTCTTCCCCTCACTCACTCCTACACCGGCGAGCGAGTCTGCGAATCCGGCATCCAGACTCTGGAACCCCCTCCCTTTTATTCCCTATCCTATTGGGACATTTTCTCTGAAGCCACCATGCGAGCCCGTTCCGAACAGTGCGAATCCGCCTGCGCCACGGGACTGTGTCCCCCTCCCTCCTCTGCCCCTCCGCCCCAGAGCGTTGCGTGTTTGCTTCTGTCCTGCTGGCTTCCCCGGCATTGCATTCTCTGGGGAAGTGAGCTGGGTTCTCGCATTCGATCTCAGAGTTGGCGTTGTTGAATTTATAATAGGCTGCAGCTAATTACCCGAGTAAGGGACTCATCTCTGGCAGTCAACATGGCTTCCCTGTCATTTCACTTCCAGTGCTCGTCAATCAACGTGTCCGGAAACCGGTGAAGGCGTTTGGCAGTGCAGTCGGGCAGCCGGGCGATCCCATTCGCCCATTCGCCCAGGGCAGCGCATCTGGACATATTTGGGTTGACCGTCTTGGCATATGCCACCTCGTCCTCTCACGCGTCTTGAACTGTGCGTGTGCGGTCACAGGCAGACCGGCATCCATGCCGCCTTGATCCCACCGGTCTCCATGTTGGCGACCTGCCTCCAATCAGTCAGTCGGGCGCCGAGACAGCGAGAAACTGCTCCTGCGTGTGCAGTGCTGCCCGCTGCGTTTATCAGCTGATGGTGATCCAAGGATCAGCAGAGCGTCTGAGCTTGGCGCCGAGTGACAGCGTCATCGCCGATTCATCCCAACGACCGGCCCTGGCCATCCCTCACAGTCACGGCTCGACCGCCCTCCCGCGCCACCACATTTGGTCAAGTCCTGGACCGCAATCACACAGGGCGGCGCATCTGGCCGTCATTGGCGCCCTCGCTCAGGACGGCGCAGTGGTGCTGCAGCTGCTGGCTGCTGGCTGCTGGCTGCTGCTGCTGGCTGCTGGCTGCTGGCTGCTGGCTGCTGGCTGCTGGCTGCTGCTACTGGCTGCTGGCTGCTGGCTGCTGGCTGCTGGCTGCTGGCTGCTGGCTGCTGGCGTGCACGTGCTTGGTCGACCGACGGGTGCGGCGCGCCGAGGCAATTAGGTAGTTGGCGGCGACGCCGCACGCGCCGGCCACCTTGCCGTCCGTATTCAGGTCCGCCAGGTACATGCTCGCGCAGGGCGACTTTCGGTCCCCGCCACCAAGACATAATCGTAGCCGGGCTGGCAGCGGGTTCACTACTTCCGTGACGCGCAGATCGATTGATTCGTTGACGTAAAGCCGTAGTATAGAATGCGATTAGAGGATTGAGCGCCAGCGTGCAGAGCAGAGACACACGTCGGTCCATCCTGCCGGGCAAAAGCGCGTGACGCTCTCCTCCGCCACGGCGTCAACCACGTCTCTCTCGCCGTCTCTGTAGATATTTTGATGGTGATGAAGTTGAGTGCGGAAGTGACTACGTTGAGCGATAGCCCAGCACGGTAGTGTCCGTGTCGGCGAGTCCAATCGCCACCCGGCTAGTGCCCTCGACCTTGCCGTACGCGTACGGTATGAGGTTCCTGTCGATATTATTTTCGGGTGAGCTTAGCGTCCGTGTCGGGTAAGGCAATTAGCGGGCGGCTTTCTGTGCTTATCGTTAGTCTCCGTGAAAGAGCAATGGTATCGCGGTTCTTTGTCGCGACGAGGGCGCCAATTACCTCGCAGGTCACCTCTGGCGGTTGTAATTGCCCGGTCAGCCCATCTGGCGTGGTAGCTGCGTATTGGTATTGACCTGACGTCAAATTCAGCGATTGTGAATCGCTATGCGTTCGCTCCCCTGGTCACCAATAGTTACCACTTTGGCCGTGTTGGATGAGGAAGGCTGTGTTTTGTTGTATTTAATGCGTACGTAGAATATTATTACGCTCGGATAACTACGTTAGGACTTTTCGAGGGAAGTTCGAGAGTGACGAGGAATCTGCCAGACTCGCCATGTTGAAACACACGCGATTGAGATTCTCTTTTCCGGTTTGAGGACTTCCAAGACACCGGTAGCTTTATTGGCGCCAGCCAGTGTTTCTTTGGACTTGTTTGGAAACAAGTGTCATAGTTCTCATCGGCCATGATATTCTCAATTGAGGCTTTGTTGTTCTCCCACTTTTCGGCTGTTTGTCACACGGAAATATGCGAACCAACCCTGACGAGAGACTTGGCGTTGGAATTATGACTGTCGTTATAACACCACCCGACGCTTCCACTGCATCCCCTAGGCCAAGTTGTGACGGAAACTCGCACTGAAGCGGCCTGCAAAGACGACCTATCCAGCCCATGTGCATATACGAACCCAGAACACGACAGCAGCGCCAGTTGCCGGCATCGCCATCGCCATCGCCATCCTGCGGCCTCCTGGCCACAGAGTAAACCTGCACAACAGCTATACCCCCCTCGCCTGACAGCCTACCACTGACGGGGAATGTCTCGGGTGGGCTTGCTACCTTATCCTTAATACTCTAGGCCTGGTGTGTGCGTCGTAGGACGAATGCTGTAGCGAGGGAGGCAGTGTCACTCGACGGTCTCAAATACTTGCCTGCCCACCGTGTCCCAGTCCCACCGCGCAAGCCGCAGTGTTACAGCATGTTGGTCTCGTTGCTACCACGTTGGCACGTGGGAGTCGCTGCATGTTCGGGCCCGGTGACTATGGCAAACTTCGCAGTGTCCTGTAGCAGCGTGGAGGCGTGGACAGAGATGCCCCCCCCCCCGTCCCCCGTCACCCCACAAGCCTTGGTGCCATCGCTACCATGTTCCACCGAGAACGTGGCATGCACGCTCTTGCTCTGCTCGCGTGTCTACACTAATTATGGGCTAATTGCGTCCGGGCACTGCGTCCGGGCATTGCGTCCGGGCACTGCGTCTGCTCTCGGCCGAGCAGTCAGCCAGCACGCCACCGCCCATGTGCAACAGCTATCTAGTGGGAATCTGCCCGGCTGCTGCTCGGGAGCGAGCCGGATGGCCGGGACATGAGCGCACCTTAATAAGTGGGCGCGATGCTGTCATTGCGCACCCCCAAGGTTTCCTGCCTCCCGCTCGCTCCACTCCCCCCTTTTTCTCCTGTCTTCAGTCCTGATATCCGAAGCGCCAATCTTTACCACTCGCTCGCGGCTAGTTATTGAGCAAGCATTTGAAGAGGCCACTGCGGCAAGACCCTAGATAGAAGGAGCGGAAAAGTTCTCCCCTTTCCTCCTTTCCTTCTCCCCTTTCCTCCTTTCCTTCTCCACTTTCCTCCTTTCCTTCTCCCCCTCTCACCTCGACCGCCTTTTGCCGGAACAGCCTCGACCGTCGCGAGGGAAGGCGCAGCTCATAAACCACCTTCGCGAGCCAGCCAGTACGATGCTGCAAGCAGCTCTGGCGCTGGCGGTGGCGATGCTAACCACATGCGCGGCTAGCCCGACGCCGTACCAACTGCTGGCGCCGCTGCTGGACACGCCGTGGACGGAGCAGATAGGCACGGCACCGTGGCTGCAGCACCCGCGGCCGCAGCTGCGGCGCGGCGACGACGCGTGGCAGTCGCTGAACGGCATCTGGACATTCCAGCCGGGGCTCGACGCCGACACCGTCACCGGCCCGCCTGCGGCCCCGCTCGCCCAGGAGGTCCTGGTCCCGTCGTGTATCGAGAGCGGCGTCTCGGGCGTCATGGCTTCGGGTGTTACGCACATGTGGTTCGCTACTGCTTTTGCTGTGCCCACTGCGTGGGATGCCCTCCCTGGCGGTGGTGGTGATGGTGATGGCGGCAGACGCGTGCTGCTCCACTTTGACGCCGTCGACTATGAGGCCACGGTGTGGGTCAATGGTGACGAGGTGGGGTTCCACCGCGGCGGCTACGACCGCTTCACGCTGGACGTCACGGACAATGTCGTTGCCGGCGGGGGCGAGAACGAGCTGTGAGTCTGGATTCCTTCGAGGGGCTGGCTTCGAGGGGCTGGCTGGGCCGGCGGTGCTGACGCTGGCGGGCCTCGTCCTGTGACTAGGCTGGTCTTTGTTTTCGACCCGACCGACGAGGCGCCCTACAACATCCCCAACGGCAAGCAGACTAGGCAGCCGTCGCACATCTGGTACACGCCGTGCAGCGGCATCTGGCAGACGGTGTGGCTCGAGAGCGTGCCGAGCAGCTACATCGCCGGGCTGGACATTACCGCAGGCATGGATGGAGACGGTGCGCAAGCCCCCTTGTCCGTTTTCTGCTCGGTTGCAGGGTCAAGGTGACGAGGTAGGCATGGGCTGCGAAGCGCGACTGACAGGCGCAACAAAATAGTGACCATCGCCATCCATAGCGCGACCGGCACGCCGTCGACGCCCGTCGAGGTGGCGCTGCACGACGGGGGCGGCGTCGTGGTGGCCTCGCACCAGGGGGTGTCGGACGAGGTGCTCGCCTTCTCGGTGCCGGCGCCGGCGCTGTGGACGCCCGACTCGCCCTCCCTGTACAACATCATGGTGACCATGGGCGACGACGTCGTGCGCAGCTACACAGGGTTCCGCACCGTGTCGGCGGCGTCGGTCAACGGCGTGCAGCGGCCGCTACTGAATGGCGAGTTCGTGTTTCAGTTTGGCACGCTGGACCAGGGGTAATTAATAGTCGAAAAAGCCTCTGGAGTGATTAGATGGCCCTCTGCTGATTTCGGGTGTGGCAGGTTCTGGCCCGACGGCATCTACGTCCCGCCCACGCTCAACGCCATGGTGTTTGACCTGCAGCTGCTCAAGAGCCTCGGCATGAACATGGTCCGCAAGCACGTCAGTCATCTCTCCTCCCACCCTCCCCCAACCTGAACAGGCCGGCTGATATGAACCTTTCTGTTGTCCCACCCCTGAGTAGATCAAAGTGGAGCCGGACCTGTTCTACGAGGCGTGCGACCGGCTCGGGCTGCTCGTGGTGCAGGACATGCCGTCGATGCACACGAGCAGCGGGGCGGTGCCCGACGGCGCGCAGCAGGCCGAATTCGAGCGCCAGCTGGAGCGGCTCGTCGCCCAGCACAAGAGCTTCCCCAGCATCGTGACGTGGGTCATCTACAACGAGGGCTGGGGCCAGATCCGCGACGCCTACCACCCCGAGGTCGGCATCACGGCGCGCGTGCGCGAGATGGACCCCACGCGCCTCGTCGACGCCACCACTGGCTGGTTTGACCACGGCGCGGGCGACTTCTCGGTGCGTTTGTGCCCGCCCTGCCTTCCTTTTCTTCGTCTCCACTCTCCCCTATTTCGCCCCTTGCCCCTATTTTTGTCGATATTTATCCTCTCCACTGCTGAATGACAGCCCGGCGGCGATTGTTTCTGCAGGACAACCACCACTACGCGGAGCCGCAGTGCGGCACGCCCTTCTACTCGCTGCCGTCGTCGCCGTACGATAGCGCGCGCATCGGCTTCCAGGGCGAGTTTGGCGGGCTCGGGCACCGCCCGGCGCCACAACAGTAAGCAACTTTTCACATCTTCCGCAAGGGGTAAACATAGCGATGCTTCAAGCTTCGCGGGAGCGCTGATTTGGTGTCTGAAACGCTGCAGCCTGTGGCCGGTCCAGGCCGCCATCGACACGATCCCGCAGACGTACGAGGTGCATGCCGACCTCGAGTCGTTCAACTACCGGTCGCACATGCTGTTCAGCCAGCTGCGCGACCAGGTGGCCCTGTTTGCGTGCTCGGGCGCCGTGTGGACGCAGACGACGGATGTCGAGGGCGAGGTCAACGGGCTTGTCACGTACGACCGCAGATTTCTGAGGGTGAATGCGACGCAGTGGCGAGCAGACATACAGGCGCTGTACGCTGCGGCGGCAGAGAGGACGCGCTAAAATGGTATCGGGTCTTGCGTGGCCGAATATTTGCGGTGCGTTGCTGCTGGGAAAGGGGGCGGGTCAGGTCGGGTCGGGCCGGGTCGGGTTATAGGTCGGTTTCGCAGCACAGTATTTCAAGTTGGGCCCCCAAGGAGGCGCCTTGGGCAAGCGGTCTGGAGGTGCGCACGCCCTGCTGCATTCTCGCGACTATGAAAACGTTCGCTGTGCCCCTGCGTGGTAGGGAGGTAGGCCATCAGTTTTCGTAAGGTCTTCGGTTCGAACCAAAGTGTTCCCGGGCCTGAGCTTTTTGCTTTTTTTTTTTTTTTTTAATATTATGTATTGTTTCTTTCACCTGCCAACATCGTGATGATGAACTTCGCACTTGCTGTTACCCTGATTTCTTTTATTCGTGAAGCTGAATGGGCTGGTTAGACCGCGTTTCTTCGCGTTGGTTCTGAGGCTGCTGGGGACAATACATCGCGATACAATACCCGATACAGCCCTTACTGAAACGACTCCCGTCTGCAAACCAGCGAGTGACGTCAGCCAACAATGGCCACTAACCGCAAGCCATTCCATCGCCCATGCTTGCTCCTGGTCCTTGGCTTGTTTCCGTGTCGCGTATATTTGAGACCCTGCTGACTGTCCATCTTTGAAGCCCAAATCTTTGGGTAATAGTTGATTGAGTATTATTCCTTTTTCTGGTTTCCAATGCAGACCCATCGTTGATGGAAAATTTGCTAATCACGCTCTCTCTGGATACCTAATGGTAGTGTTACTGAAGTCGACATCATCATAATGCCACGGGATTCTGTGCCAAGAGAAGCCGAAAGATGACCTCGGACTTTTTCTGCTTGAGGCCACTTTTGACTATTTTGTCCCTTGGGTTCTTTTGGTCCTCTGCGTCGCCCCGAAGCTTTGGAGCCAACCAATAGTCAGCCAAGTTCCTGTTTGTCAGGCCATGGCGGAAACAGTGGCTGCCGGGGAGGCGCGGGTGGCACCGCAGGGCGATGTTGGCGGCAGGATAGTATGCGGCCGCGGTCAAGGTGCCGAACAGCGACGTCCACCGCTGGCTGCGGTAGAGGAGGTCGCGGCGCAGGTCGACGGCGAGCCCGGTCGAGAAGGTGGCGACGGCACTCGGGCCGCCCATGGGCCCCCAGATCTTCAGGGCTATGTAGCGCGAGGCGCGACACACGTGCAGGGCCGAGCCGTCGTAGCGCATGGCTCGGTCCGGCGTGCCGGGCGCCTCGAGCTTGCCGAACAGGCCAAACCTGACCATTCTGACTTCCCTCCTGCTCTGGATCATCTTTGTTGGAGTTGATTCCATCCTACCACCGTTGGTTATTATCGGGATCTCGAGTGTGAAAGTGGTCGATGGAGAAATTGAAGGTGAGTTAGGGTCAGCGTTAGCAATGGCTCAAACAACTCAATCTTGAGGCTATATTTGGTTGAATTGAGCCACCAAAAATGGATATTTAGCTAGTTTGAGGCTAGAATTGATTGATATGGTAATGATTGATGATATTTGACGGCATCTTCAGCTCCACCAAAAAAGATGTAAAAAGTTATCAAAGAGGTCTAAAATAGAAAAAAGAAATGCCCTGAAGCCCGGAAAAGCTCGTCAACGTACCCAATCCTTCAAATACATGATGTTATTGAAGGTATCGTCGCCCATTCTATCTATGCGCCGAAGACCAGCTTACCGTTACTGAATGCCCCCGCTGACAAGTCAACTAGGCCAAAAGCGGAACACCCTAGCTACGGAATTTGCCGTGTAAGACACAAACGCCATCGCATCCTTCGCGCAGGTCACACCGCCGAATACGCACAACTGCTTCATTGAACGGTAGTAATTTGTGTGGAGTGCTCTAGCTTACACCGGCGAAAAAAGCGCCACCTGCATGCTCCGCAGCTAGGGCGTTCTGCTTTTAGCCCAGTTGACTTAGACCTCACGCCGTCTTCCTCAACGTGAAACTTTCGGCATGCTCCTTTTGCAAATGGCCTGCCGCCAAGCTTGTGCTTACGGCCGTGAAGACCTTCTCGTGATGGTGATATGCCTAGAATCGCTGTAGGAATGGAAGGATTCGGTAGAAAGGTCGGATTCGGCTGTTTATTTACGTCGTGATGATTGCATTGCAGCTTCAACGGTGCATTGCAGCGACCTGCGGCCTGCCTAGCAGTCAGAGATTTTCCCGGGCTCAGGAAAATACAGGGCTGGTCTTGTTGGTCAAGGAGCGCCCTGGACCCAGGAAAATCCGAAAAATCCGCCCTAAAAATGGCCTGGCCAATGGGAAATAATTGACAATTCGCCAATTATTTTGGCCCTACGAGTTGGTTGAATTTGACCTCAAAATCGTGTAATTAATTGCTCTAAATGGCTATATTTGATCGATTGAACTGGATAAATTTGAGTTGGTGCCGGCGCTGATTAGGGTAGGTAGGTAGGCAGGTAGGTAGGTGGGTAGGTAGGTAGGTAGGTGGGTAGGCAGGTAAGTAGGTGTAGGTAGGTGGGTAGGTAGGTGGGTAGGTACGTGGGCAGGCAGGCAGGTACGTGGGTAGTTAATTATGTGGGTGAGTTGTTCCTCTGCGGAGAACTGAGACAGCCTAGCACGTGCCTACTCAGGTGCGTACGTAGGAAGTTGAATCCCTCATCTGAAAGTTTAAGACACTAATTACAAACTGTGGCCGGGACCGCAGGGATCAGGCCGGAACCCGGCCTGATGCGCCCGAGCCCAGGCATAAGTGGATCTGGGATCCACTAGTCCAGGCCATCATTTCCATATATATATTCCGCCGTGGCCTTGATAGCTAGACTTCCTGCAAGCAATCCAGTCATTCCCTTCCTGCCCACACTAACTAATCTTCATGACACAAGATATTCGGAGGCTTAGGTTCTTACGGCCTCGGTAAACAACCGACTCCCGTCTGCACGTTCACCCGTCCCAGCTCGCCAATATGCTTTCCACTGGCATGCTGAGTCATTGCAGACGCTGCACTGTTACTACCGTACCGCCGCTCGATAGCGCGCCCAACGGCTCGGCTGCCACCGATGTTGCTTTCGGACGTCCGGCTAGTCTGACTCGTAGAATCTCGGCTGGGCACGTTTTGCACAAAACCGCACCCAAAGTTGCAGTGCACCCCCCGCCTTCCCACATCCCAGGAACCCTATCATCCTTCTAATTCGATACCGTTTGTGGAAAAAAAAGCAGTTGAAAATTATCCGCAAACGCCACCTTGCGCCACCCAGTCCCAACCGTTCGTTCCGCAACCGTCATCACCGACCGCCGCAATGCACATCACGCAGCAAGAGTCGCACCACGTCTCGGTGCTGGCCGGCCAGGGCGAGACGGCCAAGCTGCGCGGGGCCGTGACGAGCCTGGCCGCGCGCGAGAAGAGTTCGCCGGCCGACGTGCTGATGGCGTGCAAGGACGACTTCCAGCAGACGGCGGCGCACATCGCCGCCAAGTCGGGCCAGACGCGCACGTGCCCCCCCGCCTCCCCCCCTACCTCCACTAATTAGGGCTGGTTATTGACTGTACTGTGGGCGGGTACAGGCTCCATCGACGCGCTGGCCGAGCTGTGCGGCACCCCCGCGCACCGGCAGGAATACTTCAACATGGCCAACCGCTTCACCGGCGACCGCCCTGTGCACACGGCTATGCGCCACGGCTATCTGGATGTCCTCAAGGCCCTCGTCCGCCACGGCGCGGATCCCACGGTCAAGAACCGCTACGGCGACCGAGTCGTCGACTATCCTGGCGACTACGAGGCGGAAGAGGTGCAGAAGGTTGTTGACGACTACGAGGCGGCGGCAGGGATTAAGGCTTGAAGTTTGTTATGATGGTGGGTGGGGGCTTGTGCCTTTCTTTGTTTGTTCTTTGCTGCATTTTAGGTTGGACGGGCGGGGACTTGCTTGCCATGGGTGTTGCCAGGCGTTGGCATTGTCACAACGAGACACACACGTTGCTGCATTAAAACGTTGACTAGATGCACGAGACTCTGCTTACTAGCCTCTGTCTCCAAATTATTCAAGCTACCAGTAACCAATCTGCCCGGGTCTGTTGTACAGTGAAACTCAACTACCATATCTCAGCCCTGTCCCGTTTTCACAGTCCTCTCTCGTGCCAAGCGGAGCCTCCTCTGGGAGTCTGGTAGGAGCTGAGAGCGACGGTACCAGGGCAGTTTGTCCCTTTCTCACTGCCAAGACTTCTCAGCAAAGTGATAGGCTCTCCTTTGTTTGATACGTATATAGTGCGTACTTGAATGAGTGGCTCGTCAACCGCGAGGCACATAGTCATGCTTCACCTCAGATTCCCAGGAATTTTCGGACGTCCAGACCGAATCGTCATTCTTCTGTTAGCCGACGCCATAATGCGACGCCTCTCAAGCCACGCGGCACTCAGTCGGCCATAGTGCGGGCCTCGGCGTCTTCGTCGGGGCTGATGGGCGACCAGGCGTCCGGGTTCGAGTCTTCCCAGATCCTGCTCGTCGGCTTGATCTCGATGGCCATTTGGGCGGGCGACGCCCCACCCCGCGCAAAGTCCTGGCAGTAGGGCCACAGCTTGGCCGGGCTGTGCTGCTGGCGGTGGGTCTGCGACTCGAAGGCCACTAAGAGGTCCGCATACAGCCCCGCGACCGGCACGGCCCCCTGCCGGCCAGGCCCTTGGTCCAGCGAGTGGCGGAGCGTCTCGAGGAAGATGGAAGGCCAGGTCGGGCCTTTGCCCGTCAGCCTGAGCAGCGTCGGGTCGATCTCGGGCGAGCAATCACCCGCCGCCTGCCTGCGATACGGCGTGTCGTCGCCAAGCGCTGCGAGCACCACTTTGCGCGCCTGCTGCCAGGCTTTGGGCGGGCCGGGTGCGTAGGTGCAGTTCATCAGCAGCAGCGCGTCATAAGGCGCCGACGCTAGCCTTCTCTCGATCCAGCCCCAGGGCATTCTCCCTGTCTCGCTGTGCATCCGGGCATGGGTTAGCACTGTTTGGTGGTCGGGGAGTGGCGGGAGGTGTGTGTTGACGGGTGACAAAACGTGGGGAATATGCTACTGAACAAGGGGCACGCCGCCGACTTGTTGACTTCAAATCAGGGGGGGGAGGGCCTACCCGGTCAAGAAGAGCTTGCCGTCCTGCATGACGCTACCGCCGTTGTACACGAGAATCACCAGCTCGCGCTCGTGGTTGCCGTTGGCCATGGAGAGAAAGCCGTTCTTGACGAGATACTGAACCACGCAGACATCTGGCTTTTCGGCGTCGTCGGGGATGGTGAGCTGGTGGATGGCGAACTTGTACGTCATCTCGAGCATCTCGCGCAGCCGCTCTGTCTGCGCGACAAATATTTCGTTCGCGCCCACGCCCATCGATTCCCACGCGAGGAAGAGGACGCGCACGGCCTGGTATCCATCCGGGTCGCTGTCCTGCACCGTGCCGGGCCAGCACGGCTCAAGCGGCCCAGGTTCAGTGAGAATCTGGCTTGTCAGTGGCCGTCCTCGTCCGGATTCGTCAGTCGTCATGCTTGCCGGCCCGAACTCACCTGGCCGTCGACAATGAACGTATCTATCGGCTCTGCGTCAGCCAGCTGTGGGACTGGCGTTGACATGTGCCGCCGTCTCGCTGGCCGCTTGGCCTCGGTGCTCCTGATGACGCGCTGGATGAGGTCTCTTGTTTGGGTTGCGACGACCTCGGAGAGCCGGCTGCCAGCCTGTGAGAGGGCTTTCCGGGCCTCGGGCAAGCGGCGGCCGGCGTCGTAGAGCCGCAGGCCGACTCCAAAAACAAAAGACAGCGCCGAGTTTCTGCCCCCTGATACAGGGTCCAGGTCTCTGATTTGATCCATGGCTAGGCTCGTGGAAATCGCACGCAAATTATTAAGGTGGGAGGTTAGGAGGTTAGATGCTATGTGCTGGTGATGATGATAATGATGATGTTTGTGGTAGTGGTGGTGGTGATGATGATGATGATGTTTGTGGTAGTGGTGGTGGTGATGATGATGATGATGTTTGTGGTAGTGGTGGTGTCCCTAGACTATCACTGGTATCTATTTATCATTTCTAGGACAAAGGTTTGGTGTGCGGGTTTATAGTTACTGTTTCTGCGAGTTATCTGGCAATCTGTGGAACCCGGTTAGATCCAGCGTATTCTTTTTAGTTAGAGGGCTCCTAATTTGATCCACTGCGAGGCAAGCCATGATAAGTATGTTCCACAGACTTCCTTACCTCTTAAGTCACCCCCCACAACATTTTCTAACCAATCCCGGATTAGTCGCAGAGCATGAGCCGAGGGTGTGGCGCAACGAGCACGTCCCTAAGCGGAAGTGAGTTCGGAGAAGCGATCTTTGGCCCGGCTATAGTTACCATAATCTAAAATGGGATATAAGGTACGGACCAAATTTGGGACACCAGTCCACCGCCAAATACTACCGTTTTCCTTCGCCTATACAAGCAGCCACCGTTAACAGACCCACTAAAACTACCTTCAGTTCTTAGAGCGTAACTCTAATATACCCGAGTTGAATTTCAGTTCTCCAATAAATAGACTACTGTAAAAAACGTTTACTAATATAGATTAACTATATTACAGAAAGAGGGTATTGGAGATAGTAAATATAGAGGTAGAACGTAGAAGAATGCTAGGGAGTACGTAGCTACGTATTTTATCAAGGTTTTAAAATGAGAAAGTCTACTCGGACTGTAGGTGGCAAAAAAGTACATGGAAATTTCGCCAAGCTACTAGCCCAGCCGAATCCCTGTTTTACCCGCAAAAAAACAATAGATTGATGGCGAACCCGCTCATCTTCAGATGGCTGGTACAATGCAGCTTCAACCGCGCCCGGCGCCTGGACCCCCCCCTCCCCCCACCCAACCTAGCCAAAATTTCTACCCTGCAAGGCTGCAATTGAAGCCATCGCCAAATCCACCAAATCCACCAAAAACATCACTACAATACCGTCAATTGAGCCACAATAACAACAACGCGATTTTATCGCTGCGCAAGTACGTGCATCGCTTCATATTCAATCGGCGATACTAACTAGCAGTAGAATGGCCGAGCGCGCCGATTCTCCCGACGACGGCGACCCTTTTTACCTCACACCCGACTTGCCGGCTCGCGAGCCGCCCGCTCCGCCTGCAAGGCCCGTGACGGCGCTCCCATACGACCACAACCTCCTCAACCACAAATATGAATCTATCAACATATTGATGCTTGAGCTTCAAGCCTGGGCCAATGAACAGGGCTTTTCCGTCAAGAAAGAGCGTGCTTGCAACTACATTAAGGGCTTTGGACCTTCGCGAGTCGATATTTCCTGCCTCCAGGATAAATTACGGCCCTCAGAGGCACATTCTAGCGAGACAGACACCATAAAGCGTGACTGCTGCTTCAAGGCAGTTGCAATAGCTTTGGCTGACAACAACAGGCTACCGCATTTGGAAGTATATTGACGGCGGCGACGGCGACGAGGTGCAATTGCGGGCGGATCAATTGGTAATTGATCTGGACTTGGGTGCGCTGGCTTCATTCCATGGATTAGCCTCTTTTTTGGTGCGAAAAGTAGGGTTTTGGTGGCTTGGCACCACGGCGCTTTGTACCCTACAGTCCGAGTAGACGTTGCCTACAGTCCGAGTAGACTTTCTCTTTACAATGAAGTCAAGATTTTCTTTATACCAAGTTCACTTCGTAATGTTACCGAGATTTTCCAAAACTTAAATAGAAACAAAGTTATAGTTAGAAGCTTGAAGTAGTTCAAGTTATAACGGTCTTAGCGGCTTATAACGGCTTTTAACGTCTTTGAGCGAAATCTGGTATTTTATCCTTAACCTCGCTTTTTCTTTATTTCTGACTGTCAGTTGGATCTCGTTTGTAGAATATGAGAGCTACCAAGCAAACCCCCGCGGACTTTGGAAAGGGGAAAAGGAAAGGAATGAAGGAGGCCGAGATACTCCCACTCACCGCTCCGCAGGCCAGCTCCAACGGAGGCGGCCCGCTCCAGCCGTCAGGCAATATCTTCCTCACATCATACCGAATCGAAAGCCGCAACTGCGGCATCCGCTTCATGCCCGCAGGATACCGCCCGCTGTTGCCCGCCACGTACGCATACTTTTTGATATTCGCCGTATCAACGCAGTCTAAGAACCTGAAGATAGCCTAGATGTGTGTACTGCAAGTGACTGTCGACAAGGCGGCCCGGGGCCGGCTGTCGCGGTCCTCGGGCCTGTTCTCCCACTACCACGTGATGCCCACGTGAGAAGGGGATCTCGGCCTTGTCAATGTTCTCGTAGTAAGTGCTGAACGTGACGGGATTCACCTCGGTGTAGTTGTCGCTGTCGACGTGCTAGAGGGAGGGTGGGCGCCCCTTGAAGTTTCTCTGTTAGTTGCTTTGTGTTTCCTATTCTGCGCTCATACACGGGCTTGACTGCCTATGCGGCATCTTGGATGACGACGGTAAGAAGACTCGGCGTACAGTACACAGAGAGATCGTTTGGGTTCTCGCCCGAGGGACACCCCTTTTGAAGCTGCTCGGTTGCAGGCAGATAAGATTGAAATATTGGTGGAAAAAGCCAGTTCTCAAATTAGCCGCTTCTTTGAGCTTCCTTCGGCACCTTATGACCTAGGTAAGCTCCAGCAAGAAGAGACTTTTATCGCAGGTGGGACATATAATAATTTCTAGGGCGTCAAGAATGCTTTTACCTATTGGATCAGTGTAAAGAAGTATCTAAAGAAGCGACAAAAAAAGGAAGAAAGAAACACGAGGGGTATGATGCTAGACAATGAACCGACCCGACGCCGTGCCTGCCAATCATCTTTCGATTGAGAAACCCACTAGCATATTACAGACCATCATTTTCCAAAACGACAACCAAAATCCTCGTACCGCTTCTCGCAGCTGGTATGACCTCAAAACTTAGGCTTCTGCTCACCAAGGAGAGTAGCCTTGGTGAACATTCGCCGGTGTCGGCGGAATTGGCCTAAAGTCGTCAAACTCATCCGGTACACGAGGCGGTGGCGGTGCGTGCTGCTGCTGCTGCTGCTGCTGCTGCTGCTGCTGCTGCATCGGTGGTTGCGCCCCCATCATCGTAGGCCCACCGAAAACGGCGTCTCCCGGCATGGGCCCAAACATGTCATTCTCGTCACCCTCCCAGCGGAATAACACCGTCTCATGGACAAGAATCTTGCCGCCGTGGCGCTGCCGTAGCTCTCCATCACCATCAACACTATCCCCGTCAGCAGCATGCTGGGCCCCAGCCGCTGCGGCCGGCTCAGCCCACTCAAACTCTGGCCTGATCTCATACACGAGCGTCTTTTGCTGGTGCCGCTCGCGGTAGTTGGCACCAGCCAAGAACCCGAACCACCACAGCGCGGCGAAGCCGAGGACCGCCCACGACACCGTAGGCACAACCCACCAGGCCACTGTGCTAGTGACGAAGTCGGCCGTGGCAGGAATCCACGAGGTGATAAGAGGGAAGCCGTTTCCAGCGAGGTAGATGATGGCGCACACGACGCTGAGCCAGGCGTAAATGCCCTTGTCCGTCATCTCGGTCCATGTTTTGCGCACGGGGTTGTCGTCGGCGAGACCGTTGGCGTGAGCCGCAAGGTAGTCCTTGGTCTTGGCGGGCTCCGTGGCGGGTGGGCCCCAGATGCGGAGGATCAAGATGCCCAGGGCCAGGAAGAAGCCGAAGAAAGCTGTGGTGAGATAAGCAATCAGGCCAGCTAGAAGGTCGTAGGCGTCATCAGCCTGAATGTTGTAAGTGGCGAAAATGAGCACCAGGCAGCTGAGGAGGTGCAGAACCAAGGCCCCGACTGGCGTGGCCTCTTGGTGGTTTTCAGGTACTAGGAACTGCAACTTCCAGCCCTTCTTGCGGAGATGCAGGACAAGCCGACCGATGCTGAGATCGACATTCTGGCCAAAGAATTTGGGAAACGGAATGAAGCCTTGCTTGGCGATCTCTTGCTTCATACGGGCGGCAGTGTATGTCATGACAATGACGTTGCCAAATGACGACAGGGCCAGGAAGGCGTTGAAGATGCGGTCAGCCGTATACTCGCCGGCAAAGCCAAACGTCTTGCGGAAAAAGAGAAGCGCCACTACGTCGTGCGACTGCTCAAAGGCCGGAACTACAGCCATCTGGTGATTTGCCCAGAGTCAGTTATCCCACTCAGAGAGCCAGGCAGAGGAGAACATACATAGCAGATATTGACCACCATGTAGAGAACTGATACCAGAACAATTCCAAACGCAGCTGCCCTTGGATACGTTCTCCGCGGTCTTGCTATCTCTCCAAGGACCTACGGAAAAGTTAGTTCGATGAGGGACATGCAAAGCGATCGTGAGCCAGACTTACGTAGTTTGCCTGGTCAAAGCCAGAATAGGCGAAAACTGTTTTCGTGTTAGGTATTTCATTTTCTTATATTGTTTGGTTAAATGGAGGATGCTTACTGATTGACAAAAACGCCGCCGCGTAACCGTTTGCGGTCCCTTCTTGGTAGATGGCGTTCGCCGGGTTCTTGGCCGGATCCACAGGGGGCTTGAATGCTACTTTGGGGTCCAAATTCTGGGAAAACACGTTTGGGACGAGGTTTCCATCTCTGTCGCGAATGCCTTTTCCAACTACAGCGAGAGTTGTGGCCACTATCACTAGCAGAATACCAACTTTGACAATAGCCAGGAGATTGTTAAGCCAGATCCCACCGCGACGCGAGACGGCATGGATGATGCAGGCAAATGCAGCAGCCGCAATGGCAATAGCGCGGATGCGGCCGTTGTCAGGGACCTCTTCGGGGTGTGCTGCTTGGAGAACGCGGACACCAAAGTTGATGCAGTTGCTTGCCATGTTGCCGATGCAAATGAAGCTGATGCCGAAGAGGACACCGCTGAGTACGACGGTATTCTTCTTGTAGTAGATCCAGCGGTATACGTATTGCAGCTGAAAGCCCAAGACGCGTTAGACAGTACCCACAGCCTGCATTGCATCAGGTGGCTTACGTAGTGAAGATCGCCACCACTCCGGGGCACGGCTTGTTCGATGCCGTCAATGACATAGCGCGGTATACAAATGAGTGCCGGCCAGCCCGTAAAAAATGCCAAAGAACCAAAGCAACAGGGCACCGCCAGCACTCTTGGTGCCCTGCATCACAGCCGTGGGACTGTTGAAGATACCGGTACCTGCCGGCCAGTGTGTGTTAGCCAATATTACCCCTGAATGGCCGACCCCTGCGTTGGTAGATGAAGATGCACAGCAGATGCCTCACCAATGATGCGGTTGATGACCATACACGTCGAGTCAAAGAATCCTAAACGGAATCGCTCGTCAGGAGCGTCAGTTACGACGGCGGCCTGGTTGGTGGTTCGGTTCAGCTCCTCGAGGAGGTCGGACTGGTAGCCAAGTGCTGGCTGGCCGGCGGCAGCTGGCCCCAGCTGGTGCTGGCCAGCTGCGGGTACTGGGCCATGCTGGGCTGCCAAGAAGTGCGGGTTGCTGCTGGACGGACTCGCCATCGGACGCTTCCAAATTCCTGTGCCTAACCAAATGCTTCAGCTCATCAACCATGGACAAGCAGCGACGAAGGAAGGACAGTGAAGAAGTTATGATTTTTCGAAAAGAGTCCTCAAGACAATGCGGCAATCCATCCGACGCGTACCTCGTATCTAAATGACAAGCTGCACCTTTTTCCTTTGTCGAGCCAGGGCCGTTGTGGCTGTTCGATCTGCCTTGCTTAGGCAGCCTGGCGAGACGAGAGATGAGCGCCACCACCCAGGACACCCGCGCTATTGACATGGGCTGTGCACAGGAGCGGGCAGCAACCTCGAGCAACATCACGAAGCGCGATTCGCCGCCTTGTCCCTCCCACCCTTCTAGCGCTGCACCTCGCAGGCCAGAAGGAAATTCGGTGACAGTTTGGGCGACGCGCTGCTCGCCAAGCTCTCGCCTGCGTCAACGACTCCAAATCAGTTGAGTCTCTTTGGCTGCGCTCGCAAGGCGGATTTGCCCCCGCGCTAGACCGAGGGGGTCGATCATGGACACTTTCTGCGGGAAAGTGCAGGCATACTTACGGCTGCACCTTCCACGACAGGCGACCGATCATTGCCCCTTCCTTCCTTCCCCTTCCCTCGTCCCCTCGTCTCATCGTCCCCTCGTCCCTCCTCCACTTGGCTCCCCACTCGCAGCTTCTCCGCACGCAGTCTGAGGTAGTTCCAGGAGAGAGGGCAATCAGGTCCCAGGAAGGCTCGTTGGTCCTTGGGTGGCCCCGACCCCAAAATAAAATACCTCGAGGAACATATTCCTTTCGCCAGGAATGGCAGCACCCCAGATTGGAGATCTCATCAAGTTTGCCGAGCTCGGGTGGCAGGTCTACAACTACGGCTGGAGCGACGAGTTGAAAGCCAGCCGCCAGTACCTCGAGTTTGGCCGCGATGTCCAGCACCTCGCAGAGTCGCTTGAGAGCCTCTCGCACATCATCAACGCGGCCAAAGGCTCATTTCACAGCCATGGCCTCCCGCCTCCCGACGAGCCCCCTTGGGATGAGACCACGCTGCTCGAGATCATCGGCGACTACAATGCTACTCTCAACGAGTGTGCCCGTCTCATCAACGAAAACCGCACCTACGCCAGGGCCACGGCCGGGCCTATCGCCAACGTTGTGTGGAACATCATGGTCCAGCCCAATGTCGAGAAGCTACGCAGCCGCATCGTACTACACAACACCAAGATCCAACACATACTAAAGCCTTTTGAGATGGACTTGCGCCTGCGCATCCACAGCGACCTTGCGCGCCGTATCCAGAAAGTCGACGCCGCCGTACAAGGCGTTCACGACGAGGTCCGCCGCATGTGCGCTGACCTTCATACCTTAATGCGCGCCTTTGACCCCCAGCTGCTCCCCGACGCCCAACCCACAACCGAACCAGAGCTCCACGGAGTGCCTATTCCGGACAAGGCAAGGCAGGCCCTAGAGCAAGTCTATGCTAACTCCGAACCCTCAGGCTTTGACGAGCCAGGCCTCCGCGATCTCGCCGACGCCTTCATGCGGAGCTTCGACGCCTCGACCAGGCGCTTCCAGCCCGAGCAAGACTGGAATATACCCCCGGAAGAGCAATACTGGGCCCTCCTGACGAGCCAGTTTTTGATGGACAAGATAATTGAGTCAGGCGAGTTTCGCGGTGAGGCTGCCGTCGATACGTCCCATTGGCCTCGGTACATCCAAAGCTTGCAACAGAAGCTCTCCGCGGAGTCCCGTCGTTTCAGGCAGCACATGGCTGCCCCCGTTCTCACGACGCCCGCGCCGCCGATATGGATCTGTGAAGAGCTGCCCGCCTACATCGAGTCGGCCAAGCTTCCAGTCGCCATGGAGCTTTTGCTCGAAATGCCCCTCGAGACAAGCACGCAGCGCCGCTGGCGCAAGCTGAGACTGCTCCGTTACTGCGACGGCACTGACAGGCGATTCCGTCTCGTCATCACTGCGGGGGACCGTGACCGAGACCGAGGAGAGAAGCCGCCGTCAGAGACACGCCCAATCGAGTTTAACATTGCGACTGCCTTCCTCATCCCTCGTTATGCGAGCATCTACGGGGGCGAGCCACTGGAGCTGATCCTCAAGGTGCGGGACGAGATGCATCCGCTCGTCTTCTCTTCGCCGTACGACCTGTACAGGTTCCAGCAAGCTCTGACGGGCTACGAGGTGGTAGATCAGTACACGGCCTACCGACTGCAAGTTATTTTTGTCCTGAGTTCCAACCAAAAGGTCAAGGAGTTTGCAGCATTACAGCTGTGGCGTCCCATGCGCCTCGAAGGTGAACGCGTCACCAATGATGGCGCAACTGATAGCATACCCCTCAGTGGTGTGAACGACAGCTCCAGGTTGAGCATAGCATCAGCAGAGACCATCCGGCCGTTGCATCCATCGCTGACGCAGATGTCATCCTCACCCCGCTCGCAAGGTGTGTGGCTCTCGGCTCAAGCATCCGAAAGTCCGACTTCCGGCAGAGGTGGATGGAACCCAGCTTACGTTGGCAACTCTGATGACACTCGCCAACAAGCACGCAATTCCACGGCATCCGTGGCCGGAGCTAGCTTCGCCCAAAACTTCCAGACCGCCGGATCGAGGGCATCTGCGTGGTCAGCCACCACCGCTGCCAGCACCACCGCCAGATCATGGATGTGGCAGCAGAATGACAACGCCGCCGCTAATCCTGCCGCCGCTAATCCCGCTGCAGCCAAACCCGTCCGCACCGGCAGCATGCTCTCGTCCTTCTCAACCGCCAGCTACACCACGAAGCCCGTGTCGGTCGTCGCTGGCGCCAACGTCGCCACAACAGGCACCTTGCACTGCAAGCCGACCGAGCCCCGGCTGGTCCTCTTCACGCAAAACTGCGAAACGAAGGTCCACGGCTTCGTCTCAGTCGCGATCGACCAAAAGACGGCCGCCAACTACAAGGCCTGTGAATGCACTAGCGACCTCAACTGCAAAAAAGCCTTTCTCGAGCGCGGCACCGGCGGCACCAGCCAGCCCCTCACGGTCCTTCGGCTCGGCGGCTGCCCCAAGGCCAACGGTATACCCGCGCCGTGGAACCTCCTCCCTCTCGCGGAACCGTTACGCGCCTTCGCCGGAACAGCCGCTCGCAACAGCAATCCCAACAGCAAGGCCTGGCGCAAGGTGATCCGCATCAGCATGTGCTTTGAGCAGGTCAACCTTCGCAAGGAGTTCTCGGGGTGGCCGTGCACGTGTGCCCCGGCTGCGACCGAGGGCCGGCTCATGGATTGCTTGGGGCAGTGGCACCGCGGCCGTCTGGGGTTCGTCAAGGAGGTGTCGCGTCGCGAGAGGGTTGAGTGGTATAACCTGAGATACCAAAACTCGGTGCATGTCGAGGATAGACGGCAGTTGCCGGGCGCCAGGCAGGGATAGTGGTGATGCTTCTTGTTCTTCTTTTCTTTCTTTGCCTCCCCTTTAGTAATGTTTTTATTTTACCTTTGTTGTTTCACAACCTCAGTCTTAGGTTACCCTTATCTTCGGCTCTAGCCTCCGGCATTTTACTTGCCTAGCATCTATATTGATATAGACATGTCAGGCGTTGAGTAAGCGAGCGGGTTTGGAGCCTTGTTTATGTTTGTGGCTTTTGGGGGCGTCGGTCGGCTTGCGGATTTGGGGAGATACCCTTCTCATACTGGTTTCACTTTCGGTCTCCTATGGTTTGGCGCTTGGAGAGCGGCGTTTAGAATCATCTGCTTGGTAAGTGGTTGAAATAACGATTTATGTGATAAAAAGCACTGGAGCTGTGCGCGTATATATTGATAGCGTCCACGAAATGAAGATATTTACATTCTCGATGGTCCTCTGGAAATATCGAATGGGTCAATCCGGACTCGTCTGTGGCGCTCAAGTGTCAGACTCGGAGACCCTCACTAGATCCTGACCAACTTGCTCGAGAATTCAATAAGATGAAGGGGATCTAGAAGAGAGCAGGAACGCTGCCGTCAGGTCTGCGAGGTTTGAGTTGCGCCTGCCTTGGAACTTCAGGATTGCGGTAGGCTGGTTTGGACGTTGAAATTTTATATCTCAGTGATCCTTCTCGTCCAACCACTGGATTCAGCTCTGGCTCCTTAGGTTTCTCCGGCGCCGTGATAGGATGGCTGATCAGCTTGGCTATGGCAGTAATCCGAAGATTTGCTGCAAGGAATATGAAAGGTGCTTTGGTCCGGGCGGGCACTTTTGTGTGAAAGGGATAATTGTGATGGTTGATCTGTGCTTTGTGGACTGAGGGACATGGCCAAAATCTATTTCATAGAGAGTGGATAAACTGCCATGGGGTAGAAAGATTGGCGAGAATGGCTAAATTAGAAAATAGACCTCAGGCAACAGTGAATGTCCTGTGAAGCAGTGTAAGCAGAGAGTAGATAGTGGTTAGTTCCACAACCTCAACTGATAGGAGGTATTTCCAGTCGGCTGACTCGGCTACGGTTGTGATAATCCGCACTTTGGTTTCCCCGCTACCTACCCACGCACGTTTGTGCTGATCTGTATCCAGACCGGTTAAATGCGGTCATCCGGGGCAAGTTCATTCCGAATCCAATTGCGTTTTAATCGCACCCAATTTATGCTGTGTTACCTACGAATTCTAGTAACTTTGTAATCAAGTCATCCTCCCGAAGTATTGCTTGGGTGTAAGGCTTGCAGGTTAGCTAAGAGCTTTAGTGCTACCTACCCTTATGGTCATTTGTGTAACGGTGTCCAACATAAACTGTACCTGTTGGAATTTGTCAAGCAGAAGGGCCTCGAAGGTTCTAGATAGAGACTTTGCCACCAACTTCGCCACCACAATAGTAGTATAAGAACGGGCTTTCTGGCACTGCCAGAAAGCTAGAGAGAGAAGAACAGACATCTACAATCCATCACTTGAACCACCAGTTTTCGGCGTGCAGCCACGCCCTGTTGAGTCCAGTACCGGTACCCTGGTGAATCCAACAGTACCCAATTATTTCAACCCTCCTCCCATATGCGCCCACGCAGGCCGAAAAGTGACGGAAAATTCAATTCAGCTCAGATGAGCGATCGAGTCATTCGTCGAGCATCAGGAAATTGTATTTTCGCGCCTTCAGATCTCCCGAAGCACTCTAAAAAGATTTCCGAGGGCAGAAAGCCCTTGAGGGCCAGATCTTCTCGCGAAAAATGGCCATTTTTCATGGCTTTTCGCCAAAAGCGAGCACCCCAGCCATGCCAAGACAGTGTTTTCCGGGACGCTTTCCCGTTTTTGGCAGCACTTTTCGCCTGAAAAATGAGAAGCCGCCCGCCACCCCTGAACCCCCCATGAAGCCAATGTACCGAGCTAATGCAAGCCGTGGTTAACTGCAATAAGCCAGAAAACTGGCCCGTGATGACCGAATACTGCCGTTTTTTTGAGTTTTGGCGAAACTCAAATCTCGCTTTTCGGGTGCCTCTTTTCGCGAAAAATGGCCAAAATTGGCGACAGGGCCCTGTTCCACGCCTGTAGAAAGTAACAAGAATGCGAGTGAGTGCGCGAGGACGTCGTGAAGCTGGCTGGTGATCTGTTTTGTGTAGAGATTTGCTCCCAAATAGAATGACCTTCTAACCGACAAGCCTCCCATGGCGACTTTATTCATTCTGGCAGCTGGACTGGCCAGACTGGAGAGAATGGCCACGACAACGAACATACCATCCAGCGTTGAACAACGAAGGCGGTGAGTCTCCTTGGGCTTGGCAATCTACTCTATTTACGGCTAGTTGGACTAACCAGGGCCCCATGCAGTACATCTTGGCGTAAGCGCTTGCAACAGGGGTTGCAAAGTCACCCCTTTTCGCAAAAAATGACGAAAACTGGTTCATTTTTCGCGAGAAGATCAGGCCCTTGGAGAACACGCAACGCGTTTGAGATGATTTTCCTTAAACTATTCACCCCTATATTGAAAGACTATGCATGACATGCATTGTTGCTTTTGAAGTAATTAAATGATACTTGTCTTGAACAACAATTGCGTCTTGATACAAACAGACCCCCTTATTCATGCTAAGTATTAATTATCTTGTCATTCATTTTGTTCTTCCGCCCTCGCCTGACCCCTCTCCATATTATTTACCTCATCAAAAGCTCTCTGCGGCGCCTCTGTTATCCCATTGTTGTCATCGCCTCCGTCTGCTGGCTGTTGTTGATGCCCCTCCGGCAATACTGGTGCCTCCTGATCGAGCCCTGTACGCGGCAGCGGTAGTGAGTAATGGTGCATCTCGCTTTCCGCATCGCTGTGTCGGCGGCGGCTGGTGTGGCGCGAGTGGTACAAATTCTGTGCTGTTTCTTTCATGTTATGGTACGCTTTGAGCACGTATATGAGAGTCCGAGAGGCGGGACTGCCCGGGGAGAAGCCGGCCTCGCGCAGCCGGTCGCGGGCCTTGGTCTTGTCGACGGCGTTTTGCCGCCACGTGTTGCTGGCTACGGTGACTGCGGTGGTCGCCAAAATCGTCGCTGCTGCCCACCATACTGCGGCCGGCCCGGACCACTTGCCGGCGAATCCTGCCGTGTCACTGTCGAACCGGACGATGCCCGCTGAGAAGATGGTCGATACGACGGACACGGGTAGGAGGATGAGTGTGATGGTAGAGAAGATGATCATGGTCGTCGAGTCTTTGTGCGTCACTTGGGCGAGGTCTCTCATGATCCCTTCGTTGCGGTTCTGGAGGAGTCGCTGGACCTGTCATCGAATGTTAGCCAATAGCCCTGATGTAAAGTGGGGACTTTGAACTTACGATGCTATCGCGCCTCGTGCCTATTTTCTTCAGGGCGGCCACCCGCTGTAGCGTGTCAGATATGGCATTGCATGTGTTTTGCATGTTGTCAGCAAAGGTGTTAATGGCGTCTTCGATTTGGAGCCGCGGCTTGGAGCTCTCCTTCATCCACTCCAGCTGCAGTCCCCCGAGTCTAGCGTCGTTCAGTAGTTGTGTCTTGTAAAAGTGCAACACAGACTTGCACACGCCAAGGTTTGCCTCCAGGGCCACGATGCACCCGTCGATGAACTCCATGTGTTGATTCAACATCTTGAACACAATGACTTCGTTAGAGCTTACTTTGGCCACGGTGACGTCGATGAAGTATGGTTGGGTCTACGTGACGTCGTCGGCTATTAGTGTTTATTGTTACTTGGACGGGCAAGGTGACATACCAGCGTCTGAATGTTCTTGTTGATGGCATTGATATAAACGCCAAAATCGCTCAGCGACCACTCTCCCAGCCAAGCCAACACCATTAGTGTAGCCTCAAGTCGTTCCTTGAAAGAGCTAGAGGGTGAGATATCACAAGGGAAGGTCATCTTTTCCACTCGAGATGCATAGGTTGTGGAGCCCTCGGGTTGGAAGCCCTCGGGTTGGAAACCCGGGATAATCCATAGACTTTTGCCGTTGACGACGTCAAAGTGGTGATGGAAAGCTGTTGGCTCGAGCCGCCAGGTCTGCAGCTTTTCCAGCTCGGGGTTGAAAATCTCCGTGGCATTATCTTTGGGTACATCGCGACGCCTCCGCCACAGGAAGCCCCACTTGCCAGTGTTCGTCTCGTCGTCCATGACCATTGCGTTGTTGGGCTGGACGCTCCCGTCGCTCTCCTCACCCTCGTACCGCGGGATGAAAACTGTCTTGAGCTGGAAAGCCAGCTGGTAATGGAATCCACTGCGGCCCAAAGCATCGAAGTTGAAAGTGGGTTGTGAGAAGGATCGGACACTCCGAAACCCGGCGAAGAAGAGGTCGCAGTCGCTTGTGAGAAAGTTGTTGCTGAAATACGAGATGTAGTTGAGAAATACCGGTGAGACGCGGTGGTAGGTGAGGATCTTGAGCAGAATCTCCTCGGTGATTCCAAGTTTACGACTGCTGAGACCAGTCGTGTCGATGAAACTGGCGGTATTGCATGCATTATTAGGTTTTTATTGTAGGTTTGTGAAATTCTCGGTCAGTGATAACTCACATGAACCTGCAGACGGGATCTGCCCGCGGCTGGCCGCGTTCTGGCGGGGTTAGGCCGAATATCTCGTCCAGATCTCCAGGCTCGGACACTGTCCTTGTCAGATTGTCTTGTTGTGGCTCGTTTGTTATGTCTTCGGCAAGTGTGGTGCCGCTTCTCACACTGCCCATGGTTAGCGCTGTCGGGAGAGGAGGCGGAGCGTTGCCGGGGCCACGAGTCAGGTCATTCGGTGTTGGTATATGGACCAAGCTTCGGTCATTGATGCCGCAGTCGTGGAAGACCACCTTGGTGCTCTTGAAAACCTGCCGCCTGCGAGCCTTGGATTTGGGGACCTGGAGAAGCACCGTTTCCTTGGTCTCGTCAAAGTGCTGCTTGAATTGCTCCATCAGCTTGACCCTCTCCAAGGTGTATGGTTTCATGTTGTCAGGATAAGAGTTCCAGCCCTCATAGACCCTCCGTAACAGCTCGACCCCGACCTCCCGGACGAGGTTGTTGCCTTCAAACGCCATGATGGATGGTGATTTCTTCGTCGCTTTCCCATTTAACTGTCGCAGGCCAAGCGCATGCTCACGGCAAACATCAATTCACAAGTACTGTGCCGCCGATGATCCTGCGCTGGTGCTGCAGGGTTAAATGGTCTCGGGCGCTGGTGGGTATTCTAAGATGTCTCTGAGAGAAAAGGGCGCAACTGAGTTCGTGCGGGGGTCATAGTGAGCAAACGAAAGTGAAGACCACAAGGCTCTGCAGTGGAAAGCTCCGGGCTCCTCGGGGGGGGAAGCTCACAATCCATGTCAACTAATGCAGCCGCAATAGGTTCGTTCCCGAGTGGTGGCGTTCACGATGCGGCCTGGGCTGTGGGAACGCGTCCAATCACGACGGCTTTTCCAAGCCGAATTTCAGCACGTCCGCGTGCGTACCGCATGGCTCGAATTCGTGTGCTACACACCCTGAAAAGAGCCCCCCCGCTGACCCTAAAAGGAACCCGTTGACCCTAGAAATGCTAATTCGCAAACAAAAACTCCCCCAATATTCCGTAATCCTGCGCGGCTTCCCTGTGGGGGGCCTGGAACAGCCATCAATTTCCACCCCCCCTGTAATTTAGTCTGCTACCTGCTGTGGGCGACTGAGGTGGCTGCTCGTCCTCGTCCTCCCCCTCTTCTGAAACCGTCTGCAGCTCCGACATTTCTTCCCTGAGGTCTCTGAGAAATTCGTCAATGTCTTGCTGGTCTTTCCTTAACACGTCGATATCCTGTTGCTGTACCTTTATTTCGCACAGTAGTTACTCAAGTTAGCGAGTGTCGTCACGTGAAAGCTGGGTGGAGAAACTTGCCTCCGAAAGCTTTTTGGGAAGGTTCACAATGTAAACGTCGTTGAGAGCGGGCTATTATCGAAATGCGTCCGTCCGTCAGTCAGCCTGCATGCATGCACGCCCACGCGGCAGCCCTTCAATGGCCGCCACGCTCTCGGCAGAAATTTCGTGACGGCGATAGCAAAAATGCCCACCAACCTTTAGATCCACGGGAAGTTGTAAATTTTGGCGAAACACGATGGCGAGATATTCGCGGAGGTTTTGCCATTTTATCCCTCGTGCTGGGATCGAGGCCTGGTACTTTTTGTTGTTTTTCTTTTTCCGGCCGTCGTCGTCGTCGCCGCCGTGAAGCGTCCATTGGCTGATGCTCCCGGGCCTGTTATTCCCGGACCTGCTCATCTTTGGGGATTTGGAATGGCGAGGAAGCGGGCGAGATGATGCAGCGACGTGAGTGTGCGGGCGAAGCGAGGGTTTTGGAGAAGGATAATGACGAGGGCGAGGGGGTGGTCTGGCGGGGGTTGAACCGAGCCACCCACATGGGCTGCAGTACTCCATGCTCTTATAGGTTGCTTTGTCAGGTGGGTGTCGCTGTCGGGTGGCTGGAGTGTGCGCGGGGTTCAACGAGTTCTGCCTGGGCAATGTTTGCCTTCAGGGCCGGACCCAAATGGGAGGCCTGGGGAAGCGGTCGGGTTTTTATTCCAAGACATTTCGCCTCATTATTTTGCGAAGTCGCAAAAAAAAAACAAAAAAAAACATTGCCACGCCGTCTTCAACCGGCCTTTCCATACCCATCGCCAACAGTTGGGCATATTTCTTCACGCCGAAGGCCCCCGAGAGCAGCCACAAGCCAGGTTTATCGCGCCCTGTTAAGTAGCAGTGCCGCCACGCGCATCCGATGCGACCCGACACGTGAATTGTCACTGGTTTGATGAACAGCGATGAGCGATGAGTGGGCCGCGCATTCGCCGAGACACTGCAGTTCCGTAGGCCCAACATCATTGTAACGCCCCTATATTGTTGCTACCCGACTGCTTTATTGTGGGGAGCATGCTGATGATTTCGCCCTGCCAGCATTACACAATACAGTTACTGCAGCAAGCTTGAAAAAGACATCCTGTTCCTGCCTTATCGTCAATTCTCGTATGACATCAAGCTTCAATGCTGTCTGCTTTTAACAGCAGGTCGCATGTATGACAAGATGAGAAAGGAGACGATTGGCAGGAAATGGGTGAGTCAGTCACTCTTAGGCTGAAATGCGTTGGCAATGTGATGTGAAACCACAAAGGCCTTGTCACTTGAACTGTACCCATACGGGGTTCTTTTTCCCCAACGAAAACTAAACCTCGGGCTACTTCTTTCATGAGACAACTTTGCTTGTTTTGGGACTGAAAACCCCTGTGTTGATCTCATAATTACCTGCATGTTAGCATTATGGGCAACAAGCTATATTTAGGCAGCAAAAATGCGAATTTTGTCTCAAGCCACTCAACGATGTCGTAAGAATCAATAACGTCTACCTAAACTTTGGAAATTATATTGTGCATTTGATACTGGTTATCCCCATGCACTTTAGAGTTTATGCAAGATGCCTTACAACTTGTTTGTCTCGGTCTCCACTTCCGCCAGGTGTAGCTCGATCCTATTTTATAGCTGGATCAAGCAGTAAGCATTACCATTACACCACCCCCGTTTTTCATCGTTAGATCCGTGGCCTAGGCCGCAGGCAGCTTAGCATATGCGCCACTTATGCCCAAATGCGACCCCAACCTCCAAGCCGCGGCGCATGCAGCAGATCGACATAGAGAGACGGTAGCACTTCCCTCGGCGCGATTTTTTACACGACCTTTCGACCCTGTCTCTCATCATCTTCCAAGAGATAAAGACTGACAAGTTAGTCCCCAAGGAGAGTGTTGATGGCGCGAAGGCCCTGCGTATCCCGATTGTATGGAAGGGTCTCCACATGGTTGTTGCCGTCAAGATTTGCCGTCAAGATCCCGACCAGCGACGGAGCGTACCTGGTGGACGATTGGACCAAGTGATTGCCACCACCGCAACAGGATCGAGGGGTGCTTTTTAAACCACTCCATTTCTAGTCCAAAACTCGCCATAGACTAACCTTTGACCGTAGACAGGCAGGGCTTGACGCCGTCATTGCCGCGGGAAAGAACGCCACGCTTACCATCGAGTTCTATCCCTGTATTGCGGAGATTCTATCCCCGTGTTGCGGAGAATGGCAACAGTGTTGACTATTTTCTAACCGTATAATTTGTTGGGTAATCTTGGGCAAGGTACTCGGTCTCTCCACCTGCGTACCGAGTGCGTAAATCTAATTGCTGAGCCCTTTGCAGTAAGTGTCTTAAAAAACAGGTCAGGAGTTGAGTTCAAACGCTTAAAATGCATCATTTTACAGTGCCATAAGTTTTCGTGTTCTAAAATAGTTGCACCCGAAGTTTAGTCGGCTATCATTGTATCTAATGCGTTGACTATTCTTGAGATTTGAACTATCTCATAGGCTAGTTAAAAAGTGTCTGACCTCCTATCGGAACCTTGAGCCGCGCAATCGTATCCGGCTTTTTTGGGGTGGTCGTGCTGGCCGGAAGATGTATAGGATGTGCTTGAGGATCAATTTCGTCAAGGCTGCCCAAACCAAAATGACCGTCTTTCTCCGTCGTAAGAGTAGCAGGGTCATTGTGGGAAGTTATGGGAGAGGAGGAGGAAGGAGACGGGGCTAGGAGCAAAGATCTGTGCATTGGTTTCTTGATTTCGGCAGGCCTGCCTGTGGAGTCGGAACCAGGTGAGATTACTTTAACAAGATTGGTCGGCGTGAAGCATCGGGGAGTAGTAGTGTCCATGGGCTTGCTATCATCGCCCTTAGGAGTGACGCTGCTCACGGGTATCAACAGGGCTAGGCGACCCGGCTTTTTCTTGGTTATAACCTGGCTTGCAGACAAGCTCGCGGACATGATGCTTAGGTACACACACGTGTGCGTCTAGTGGGAGCCGCTGAGGTAGACTGTCTTATATAAGCGGGAGGACGCTCACGCTTTGTATTGCTGAACCGGCGGAGCGGTGGGAGACTTAAGAAGGGGAAATGGTCGCGAAAAAAAAAGGTTTTCGTCGGACAAGGACCGAGGTGCTGAAGCTTTTGTGGACGAGAAAAAGAACAAGAGGATGATGCCCAGGAAACTGTGCGCAAGGGTTTTTAATAAATACCTAGGTATTAAGACAATTACCACCCTGTTCCATTTTTGGAGGCCTTGATTATCATGCCTAAACTCGTCATTTTGTCTCAGCCGAGTGTGTCTCGACCGAAGTCCTGGAAAGTCGTGTGTGAGAGGGCCTCGCGAGACCGGCCATGGTCTCGAACACTTTGGGGCGAAGAACAGACTCGGCGCGGCCTATCCGAGGCAACAGTCCGAGCTTCAAGCGGACAGGTTCTGTAACAAGGCCTAAGATTTAGTGAGATGCCAAGGGTGCCTTGCCCCGCTTAAGGGTACCTCGCTGGGCAGCTTGTGCGGTTTGGGCCCAGGTAAGATGCCAGAGCAGAGCACCGATATAGGAATGTATCTCAGCTAACTCCCAGCTGCATGTCCCTTTTCACCAGAGGGACATTTGGCGAGCATCTTGGTCGGTACTTTGTGCGATAGATATTACAATGCCGACGAGCAGCTGGGATCCTGAGGCCACGTGGCCCGCGCGGCCGTGTTTCACTATGTTTGGCGCGCGCCGTACGGGGGGTGGTGATGGCACGCGGCGTGGTCGCTGCGTTGGCCACCTTCTGCTGCGCCACGATTGGCCCCGGCACGTACGACCCGGATTTCGGCAGACACTGCCGGCACGGCTGCCTAGGGGGCTGCGTGGCGTGTAATTGGTCCGTCCGTAAACACGATGTTGCCGCTAGCGCTGATACGTGGGTCTGCACGAAGTAGCGTGTGCCTGCGTGTCGGCCGGCAGGCCGCGCACCGACACCTTCCAGAACAGCGGGGTGGCGTGCGGTTGAGCGCGCCCAGGTAGGCGAGCTCGGCGCTCCACAAGTCGGCCGGCTCGAAAGCGACTTGGTCGAACCGCGTCACGACGGGGGAACTAGCCCGGATCTGCCCCGCAGCGCCCAGTACAACTCGAAATTGCTGGTTAGCGACGCCTCGATAATATTTCCCGACGCTGCACCACTCCTCGCAGGATGCATCTTTGCTTGCGATGTCTAAGCCATGATTATTCCACGTCTGGCAAGGCAGACAGAGGCCGCGACATAGCGCAGAGTCTCCTGCCCACCCTAAACACTTCGGAGCGTTTCTCCCAGACATGCAGCCTTGATTTCTCACTCGAAACGGCTCGGTTGAGAGTCAATTAGCTCCATTGGTTGGACCGATGAGAACATCTTTGTTGCATCCCCTGCGCCGACGGGATCGCGGCTTACCCCACCCCAGCATTTCGCGGGAACGAGCCGGCCGCATATCTCAAGTCTTGGCTGAGATCATGATTCATCAGTCTGCGTGCTGTTCCTGTCGATTCCCCTTTTTTGACTGCTCGCTAAACCGTCACTTATGACACAATTATTATGCGGATATGCATTCGGAACACGATGTCGAGATTGGGATTTTAATGGTGGTGCCCTCACTCGGCCAAATGCTTAACTTCGGTGAGGAGAGCAGCTCTCGGTGCGCATTCTCACCCTTGCAACGATGAATTCCAACCAGATAGATCCTCGCCAACACCCCCTCAAGGCCACGGCCACGGCCATTGGGGCAGGTCAAGGGGTTGGCGAAGGATGCTCACACTTGGGCCAAGGAGAGGGAGTTTATGCTGTCGACTGGGAGAGGTTGTCTGGATTTGCGCCGACGGAGCCGGGTGATATTACGGAGCCGGGTGATATTGCGAGTAGTAGTATTAACAGGAAAGCTAGTACCTCCTAGGTGCTGACCTAGACTCTCCCTTAAGAAGCAACTTTCAATATCAACAGTTACGGAGATAAGTCGTGTCCTTGCCATTGCCGACTTCGGTGCGATGAATGGGGGTCGTGTCTGGTGGATCGAGTTGTCTTTTCTCGAGAGAATCGACGTGCGCCCGGGCGATACTCTTCGTCGTGTTTTCAGCCGTTTTAGGTCGATGACGATTGAAATGATGGAATTAGCGGCCCACGAAAGAAATCAGGATGGAGAATCAGCACTACACTGGGAAGAGAGGCCCGCCACATCAGCGTGAACTCTGCGAGGGTTGCAAGCTAGGTTATTGTCAGCAGAATTACAGCTAGGAGAATTAGGCATGAGTCAGTTGTTAAGCTACTTCTAGCCACGGGTAAGGTGGAGGTCGGTGCGAAGGAAATATTGGGTCGGCGGCTAGTTTTCGAGAGGCTGCCGTACTCTAAGGCTTGATAATCTAGATATCTTGGAAAATATTATCCGCAGATATGGCTTGACGGGCAAAAATTGACCGGATCTCTGGCTGGATAGTGGTAGTAGCAGTTTCCAAGGCAGTAAACGCTTGGCTTGTCAATTTCTGCTGGGCAGTCTGAGTTGCACTAGCAGTCTGAGTTGCACCCTCCACCGCAGTGTCAATGGCTTGAGCCAATCGCGATTGGATCTCGGATGGCATCTGAAGATACAGCTGACTAGAGATAGGGTAAAGGTTACATAAGGGTGCTGTTCTTTACTACTAAAGGCGGGGCACGGATATTGGGTAGTGGTGTTGAACTGACAAGTCACATGACCTGCGGGGACATGGCAATTTGTATTGCTGAGAGAGGGCCTGCAATATTACCTTGAAGCTTCCTGACTTTCTTTGCGGTTGATAGTGCCCAATGTATCTTCTTCGGGGCTGACAACAAACGGGGTGTTGTGGAAGCTGGACTGATCGTTGTCTCGTAGCTCTTCTTGATGCGGTCAATGAACGAAAGAAATTGACCCTCGAGCTGCCTGCAGTATTCTTGCACGTTTCTCGAGAGCTCGGGATTCAGCGAGTCGAAAGGTAATGTGTTGATATTCTGGATGGTGAGCGACAGAGTGCGGAGGTATTGTACCTCGCTTTGGTAGTCCGACGAGGCTCCGCTAGATTCCTTGAGCGCATTGCGCACCTTGTTCAGAACCCCCCGATGCGGCGACGACGTCGCTAGTAGACCAGCCGAATTTTAAAAAGCTCAAAGACCTGCGAGAAATTAAGTAGGTAATAATTATGGCTCGATATTCAACCAAACGGTATAAGGTATCAAGTTACCTAGGTAGACCCAAGGGGATTGAAGCGTCGTATATTCGTAGGGAAAATGGAATCGGGCAAAGTTGGGCAGAAAAGAAAAAGTTGGGTGGGCAGAGAAGAAAAAGGTGGGTTGCAGACGGCAACTTCCAGTCAGTAAGATAAGAGAATGTAATTATCGCCGCAAGCTGACGCCGGGGGTGTATGCACTAACAGCAACTATCAATTCCATAACAACTCTACTATTCGAGGTGCTAATTCCGTAGTACTTGTTGTTAACGTAGGATATAGTGGCTGATGCATTGGAACCCATCTTCATCTTCCAGGCCGAAAATAATTTTCAATTCAGCTAGAAAACATCCCACTGCCCCAAAGAAGTGTCAGGCACCCGACGCCTTGTCCTTCTGTATCCAAACAAGCATCTATGGTTGGGATTTCCCCGTGCTGTCAATATCTGAGACGCTGTCAACATCTGAGACAGATTGCGTGCTTTGTCCGTCACGGCCCACGCTGTCGGCGGAAAATTGATAGATGCCACTATATCCAGCCACCTTCTCCTCCATTCTGTGCAGAGTGATCTGTCCCAGCTTGGCGTTTCTGCAGAGCACAATGCCGGCCGGGTTCCTCACGTCCAGCAGCGCACCCAGAGCGCCCTGGTACCCGGCGTCGACCACGCCGGCCGTAATGGTTGCGCCCGACCTCCACAGAGACGACCGCACGAATATCTGGCCCATGCAGTCCAGTGGGATGTCGACGGTCTCGTTGAACTCGACCAGGTATGCCCCTTGGGCGAGCTGGACTACGTCGGCCGCCGTGCTGTTGGTCGAGGGCTCGGAAAATGGGAGCGTCGAGGTGCACGCAGCCCGTCGCGTCGAGTTGTCAAAGTCGATGGTGGCTGGCGAGGTCCAGGCGAGGACGCGACGCAGGGAGAGATCGATGCCGCACGGCTGGAGCTGCTCGCTGGCCGAGCGTAAATTGCGCACGATGCCATTCTTGATGATTGCAGCTCCACTTAGCATTGCGGCGTCTTGTCGTGTACCTCTTCTTTTAGCTTTGTTGTGTCTTCGTACTCGGTTATTGCACAATACGTGATTAGAAAATGATTAGGGCCTGATCTTCTCAAACTCGGCAAGTTGCCAACTCTTCGAAAAAAGGACTTCCAGTGGCTTCGTCAAAGTGGATCTACCAAGAAGTAGTGCATTAGTGCCAGTCAGCCACACTATACCGTAACAGTAAGGCGGTCAGAGCGGTATTCTCACCGCCTTTGGCCACTGAAGTTGATCCTGGCCATGTCCGAGTGCGATGCCCGAGAAGTCCTTTTTTGCAGCCAAAACGACGTACAATGGCATCTTCGAGCGACAGCCAATTGGACCTCGAGCCAGTGATTGATCTTACTGGCGCACCGGGAGCCCCCGAAGCCCCTGAGTCGGCCAGCGACTGGCTTGACAACCCCCTTCCAGAGCCCCGCCTTTCCGACTTGCCAGCAGAGTCGCCGCTGCGGTTTCCAAGCCCAGGCACTATAGTAGCCATAGTCGACGACCCAGGCCGACGGTCGACGGCTTCCAATAGTATTTTGGCGGCAGAGTCGTCCAGCGAGTCCCCCCTTGCGTCCACGGCGCCCCCTAATGCCGGTGCATCACGAAAGCGCCCGGCCCCGAAGAAGGAGTCTACCAATAAGCGGCGCGGCAAGCAGTTGGTTGATTTAACCGATACAACCGACGACCAGTCAAGCTCATCAAGAAGGGCATTGCAGCTGAAGAAGGTGGTATTCAAGCCGCATATGACGGAGCAATTGATGCTCTGGTTCCAAGAGTGCAAGTCCGAGGGCCTGTTCAATAGCAGCAAGAAGAAGGATTACGCGCAAGTCTGGCAGGACGTCTGTACTCGCTGCAAAGAGGCCTGGCCGCAGTATCCATGGACCCCTGCTGTTATCTCGACGAAATATAATACCGAGCGCTCTCGATATCGCGTATGGAAGGCTCTGTTGGAGTATTCTGGGGTCTCTTTCAACGAGGAAAGCCAACTACCCGAAGCGGCCGAGTCAGTATGGGAGGCTTTCTTCTTACGGCATAACACTCCCACCAGGAACCATACCTGGCTTCAGCACACACCTCTGGGGGATCCAGAGGTCTACTCAGCAGTCTTTTGGCGGGAAAAAGCGACAGGCAACCATATAATGGAAGCTGAAGATATACCTTCCCAGTCCTTTGACCAGATTCTCGATGACGGCGAAGAGTCCGAGAACGATGAGGCTGAACCTAGCGGTAGCGAAGAGGCTGGCAGAGCAAAAGCATTACGAATACTACCAGTTACGCCTGCAAGGAAGTTGACACCGGCACAGCAACACCGTCGTGATACTGACCCTGACTCCAACCACCGCCGTACTAGCGGTTTGTCGGTCTCTGAGGATACAATTGCCGTTTCGCAAGCCTCCCAGCAAAGCAAGACTCCTGATGCTTCTGATACAGCCTTGTATAGCACTCTTTGTAAAGCGGCCTCGATTATGGCCGCTCCGAGGACCCAAGGCGCCACCGATCTCACCGAGGCTATTGTAAGCTTGGAGGCTCTGTTTTCGCAGGATCTCAGCCGTCAGGAGAGGATAAATTGCCGGAAATACCTTCAAAACAACCCTCTGGCCGTAATAGTGTGGAACGCGTTGAATCCAGAGTCAAAGAGAGAGATGGTTGACGAGTGGAAAGTATGAAGTTGAAGTGGTGGATTTGATGGAAGTCAAGATTGTATTCAATATTCAGCTTCGCCAGCCAATTACCATAGAAATCCAAAATCCAACCTCGGCTAAAGCCACCCTTTCGCCCCACCTTATAACCCCTCAACACCAAGGTTTTGGCCGTTAAATATCACCATTTCTATCCTCTTGATTGACGGTATCTACTATACTGAGCCCACATTGCGTCTGCAGCGGTATGGCGAACCCAATCTGGATGCCGCGTTCCGACCGTCCGCCCAGCTCTGGCTGCCGCAAGCGATATCAATTGCCGCTGTTCTGGTCCAAGTACGTCCTCGTGATTATACTGAAGAAGGAAGTTATGTAACGCAGTCACAGCGTATACGATAAATACTTGCTTCTCAAAGCTGTACTCGATTGGGGCGTTCCGAATAATTCTCCACATCCTCTTTATGATACCGAAAGCCTGCTCGACGACGACTCGGATACGGGCGTGCCTTAAGTTATAGAGCTCATTCTGTGTCTCTGGCGGGTTTTGAGCATCTCTCCAGTCTTGTAGGTGGTATCTAATATTCGGAAAAGGAATTACGATGCCTTGGCGAGCCCCGAAGCCAGCGTCTGCCACATAAAACCGGTTCTCTGGTACACGAAACCTCCTTCCAAAGGCCTGGGCACACAACATCGCGTCGTTAATCGAGCCTTCGGCACCAGCGAGTACGTAACTGAACGAATAATCGCTTCTGACTGCGGCAAATACGTTCTGAGAGACTCCTCCCTTTCTATCACGCCAGCGGGCTTGATCACGAGTAGGAATGTGGGCGGCAATGTGAGTGCCGTCGATAGCACCGATACAACCGTTGAAGGCGTTCAACTTCGGGTTCAGCTCGACCGTCGGATCAAGCCAATCGTCCTCTGGAAGGCGTACAACGTGTTTATGTAAAGACACCAGCATTGGCAAGACTGTATCTATCGTCCTCGCCACGGAGCTTTGGGTAATTTGGAAGAAATGGGCCGCGTTTCGCTGTGTGGCTGCGTGTGCCAGGATATATAGGACCACCATAACCTTCTGCTCAGCCAGTTGATACCGGCTGCCTTTGAGTCCTTCGTTGGTCCGCAGCCATCGTACGAGGGCATGGAAAGTAGGCTTATTCATGCGAAAGAGGTCCTTGAACCGAGTGTCTGCGCCATTGAGAAGGCAATTGGCCAACCGGCGCGCAAATCGAGGGCCACCGGGGTGTATAACTTCGCGTAGGCCAAGTTGAGTGCCTTGCTGGCTTGGTTGGTGGTTGAGCCTGAGCCGAGGGTGCAGAATCGCCAAAACGGCGGCAATGCTGAAGTCACGGCTGGCTTGGAAAGTATCCCACATCGTCGTTATGCTTCAAGCATTCTTGGTTGGTACGAATTACATACAAAGTCAATGTTGAGGCTCATTTCTAACCCTGTACAGACTTTTCCAACCGGTTCTCAGCCCACTTCCAGTGTGGCTTTGCCTGTGGCGCCAGCTTTGGATCTACTTTCCACCGAAAAAGTCACAAATTCCAGCTTTTCCAGCCATCTTGCAACTCGCCAAGTTATGGCCAAAAACCGGCAGAATCCTCGTCTATTTTACCATATTCGGTATGGCTGTGGCCCGGGCGGCCTTGCAGTAGCGTGGTACATGCGATTCCAGGGGTGTTGGCATGAGTTTGGCTGGCAAAATTTTATGAGGTACAAAACCCACTTTTTCCACTCAAAATTGGTGCCAGAAAGGGTCAAGCTCCCTCCGGAAATTCGATCAATCTTGGTCTTGGCGCCTGGGACCTAAAGTGTCACGGCCGGCTTGGAATGAGGGCGGAACTCCTCTATGGGGCGCTATGGACGAAGATTCTAAACTACAGAGAAAAGGGAAAAGAAGCAAAAGCCTCCCCTCGCGAGATTCTTCCAGGACGCGTCTCAAGGTGGGGCTCTGGCCGAGCTTCCATTGGTCAGTCGGGTGGATCCACCCGACTGGCGTCTGATTAGTCAGAGCGTCTGGGAGGTCTGGAGGACCAGGCCCTCACACTACCCCCCTCCAAGCCGCGACTGCCGTGACGGTGGTTGTGGCTTTACAGAGCGGATTTAAGCGTGCCTTCTGGTGTACTTCCTCTTTTGCCTTGCCTTATACCCTTTGTGCTCTGCCTTGTTGTCCTCTTCGTGGTCTTCCGGATATTCGTCTTCTGCTGCTGCCTTTATCCAATCACGCAGCCTCACCGGAGGTCCTGCGGCGTCGGGGTATTCTCGATGAAAACTATCCAACGCCATAGCTGCATTCTTGAGATTCTCTGCCTTATACCACGTATCGTCGGGGTCGTGCCCCTTCCAGGCAACTTGGTATTGTAGGGTCTCTCGTTGGCCAAACAGTCGAGAGGCATTAATCCTGTCAACTTCCCACTCTGGCTCCCCGTTGATCTCCTCAGGTGGTTCCGGTAAGCTGGCCTGTTGGGGCAGGGGATTGTCATCGGCCTTACGCAGCCGATCTGCATGGAAGAGGTTTGTGCCTTTGACATAGGGCGGAATATCCAGCACAAAGCTATATCCTCGTTCCTCCACGATCGTCCACGGTCCTGCCCACTGTGAATCCAACTTCGTACTCGGGGCCTCTGTCCTCATGCCCTTCTTGCTCACGTATACCAAGTCTCCGATAGTGAAGTCAACGGGACGTCGCTTCTTATTCGCTTGGATGGCTTGGGCTGCTTGAGCTTCTAAGGCATTCTTCCTTGCTAGGTCTTGCACCGCTTTGGTCTGGGTGACGAGCTGCAATGCTTTCTTTTGCGGGTCGGTCGAGGTATCGAGGTCTAGGATATCAATAGAGAGGGGGTTCCGTGGGGTGGCTCCCAACGCGACCTTTAACGGGGCCATGCCGATGCTCGAATGCCAGGACACATTATGGGCGAAGTCGAGTGCCGGTAGGTACTCGCTCCATGTGTCTTGGTACTTGGTGAGGTACGGCCTCAGTCGTTGGTCTAGATCCGCGTTGGTGATCTCCACGGCGCCTTGCGTCTGTGGGTGGCGAGAGCTGCCGTGCCGGTGTTTAGTCCCGGTCAGCTTATTAATCGTTTCCAGAAACTCCGAGACAAACGGTCCTGCATTATCGCTAATCCAGACCGCCGGGATACCAAAGAAACGGTATACCTTATGGAAGTAGCGCTTCGCCAGATCCGGTGCGGTATCGTTCTTGTGTCCAGGGAGCGTAGCCATTATCTTACTGAACTTGCAAATAAAGGCCCAAACGTAGTCGTAGCCGTGACGATCCTTCGGCATATCTTTCCCGTCAACGACTACCTGGCTCCAGACTTCACTCGGCACATCCAGAGGGTGCAGGAGGCCCGGGGTCTTATCATGACGGGTCTTGTTCCTCTGGCAGCTTCGGCAGTTCTCAATATACCTCTTGACATCCT